AGACAGGCGACCAGGGAGCGACTGGGGGCCGCGAACTGAACACTGGGCTGACTGGGTCCGGTCTGCTTCATCCAGAGACATGAAGACGTAAAATCCAGGGTTGTTTCGCGAATATGATGGATATTCTCAAGTCAATGCGACGGAGTCATGACATGGTGAACTGCACCAGAACAGTGAGCAGGGGATTTGAGCTCAACGAGAGAGCGGGGAGAGGATAAAAACGGGTGAAAGCGAAAACGGGTCCTCTATAACAAGCGACAGGGGGAAAATAGCAGAGCAGACGCGGCGGCAGCGAGAAGCTGGGGGATGCATTGGCTGCATTGTCGCTCATGATTTCAATTTGGGGCGATATGCCGTGGGGAGAGCCGATGTGAAGTGAAGATGCAGCACCCATGAACCATGACTGTTGGCCGTCAGGAGACGTAGATGTAGAACCGACAGCCGTGGGAGTTTTGCCGCGTCTATCGCTCCGTTTTTGCAAGTTTGGGACTCAGTGAAAGTGAGACTGCGTGAGACTCAGCGAGTGAGAGGATGATCGATGCGTATCTGCCGACCTCAGAAATGAGCAGGAAGAGGCAACCGAGAGTCCTAGACAAGGCCAATAGAGACAGCGTAAAAGAAAGCCGGATGGTCGACTCGGCCGGTTGGCCCAAAAGGCCCAATTAGGAAGCGAGCGTGCATTTCAGCGAATGGCGCTTGAGTTGAAGAATGGGCCACCTGCAGGAATCAGAAGCAGGATGGAACTCCCAACGCCGTGGGACGGAATGCGCATCCTGACTTGCTGCTATGATTATCGCGTCCCTTAAACCAGGGCAGAGGCGAGAGGTAGCCGGGATGGTCCTCTTTTTCGCACCCACTGGGCCACAGATGAGCAGCACGGGGATAGGGTGGTGTAGGCACTCTGCAGGTGAGTGAATGAGCATGAGAAACGGTCCCTTGAACTCGCAACTTTCAAGTTTCAAGGCACTTGACCGAATGCCATCATGCCGCAGACCAGATGGCAGATGGTGATGCATGAAAATGATGTCGACCGAGGGAGGGGACCAACTGTCGTCCGTATGTCCCCATCTCGTCGTCGTTCTCGGTATGGTCCAAAGCGGGATGGCGTCGATTGGAATGGATTTTCTTGGGGAAGAAAGACGGGCACAACGCCCCAGCCTAGTTGCGGATCGTGCTGTGTTGGTAGGAGAACAGGGGCGAAAACGAGAACGGGAACGGTGAGTTTATCGCCTCGCCTCGCCTCATATCGTATTTTGATCGCATCGCATCTTGGATTGGACCCTTCTTTCGTCGCTGAATGTGGCTTGGAGCAGGAAAGTTTTTCTCGTGTCCAATGTCCGTAACTGTAGCCATCGTGCGACCTCGGTGTCTTGATTGAGTTGTCTTGGTGGTCCCAAGAATGTCTTGTCCGTTGCGTACGCAGCCTTTCACGTCTTCTCTGTGGCTTCGCCGCAAACTTTTTGACGGGCCATTTTGGCAGGTAAGCGGCGGCAGTGGCTGGACTCAAATGTTTGAGTCTGTGTGTTTTCGGTTTCCAGCGCCTTGCGCCAGCCTAGCAGTGCCTCGCTGAAGGGCCCGAACATACAGCTCTAGCGCTCAGATGGAGGGGTAAGTTGCTGTGTAGTCAGCCAGCTGCCAGATGGTGAGAATGACGACGATTCATGTGAAGGAGACTCTGGAGCTGAGTGAGAGAGTCAGACTGAGAGAGGGGAAAGCAGCCAAACGCAAAAATGGCACCAAAATTGGGGAGTGGAATTTGGGAAAAAGGAGGACGAGTCGAGAGCAGGGGAGTCTTGTGTTTGTGCGGCTGGCACTAACTGTGAAAGGCATAAGTGGACCCGCCACCCGCACGACACCAACGAGACGGTGCAGATCAGCCAATGAGACTCGGCGAGATTTGCATGGAAGGTCCCGCTAGTGGCTTTCATAAAAGGAAGCCTTGCCATAAACGGTAATGCAGATTTGGGTAGGGGCAGGAGCAGGGGTGGTTCTGGTTGGTGGTGGGTGGTGGTGGTGGGTGGTGAGTGGTTCCTTCCAACCTTCCTCCGGATAGCGCGAACCAGTCCACGGCAAGCGCTACTGCAACCTTCTTCCCAAGTGCAGGTGCAGATACACTACCACACTACCTAGGTAGATGGATGCAGGTGCAGCTGCCAGTTCCAAATGATGAGGGAGAAGCAGAAGCTGGAAGCGAGAGGGCAAGTGCGAGATGTGGTCTCTAGTAGATGCCGCCTGTGATGAGATCTGGTTGTCAACTGCTACGCTACGAATATAGTCCGGCATCGACGCGTGGCTGATAAGCTATCACGGGCTAGACGCAGACGCTATGCTCCCCTTCAGCTGGCTGCCGTCGCGATACTTCAGTAGTCGGTCGCGGCTTGACTTTGGACCTGTTGACCGGGTGGATGGTTTGACTTTTGACATGTAGTCATCGTCGTCTAACTCAATATGCTCGAGTACTAGACTGATTAGCTCGTTGCCTTGGAGGCGCTCACCGTTCGACCCTCCACCCATCGCCATCGTCGTCGTCCAGCTCTTTCAGATGCTAGGTCACTTCCCCGCAAGCAAACAGCGCAAGATACCTCGCATCTAACCTCTTTTGGCCTTTCGGGCGCATGGCCGGGGCCTGGCCTGGCCGGGCTTGTCTGCCGATGTCGTCTTGGTCGGGTGGCCTGCGCCGCAGCGTGGAGCGCAGAAGACAGAGAGAGACGGGAGAGAGAGACAGAGAGGGCACACGGACGCGACGACACGTCGGGACTGGTCAGGCATGTCAATCGCTCAATTGGCTACTTCGTTCTTTCAACCTCGGTGTTGGTGTGGTGGTGGTGGTGGTGGTCGCGGTGGTGTTCGCGTGGGTGAAGGGCTGCTCGCTTCCTCCTGTCTCGATCTTTGCTTCTGCCTTCTGTTTGCAGCAACTCACAAGACTTGGTGTAGTAGGCGTGGTCTGGACTGGTCGTCGCGCCGCTGAGGTAACACTTGGAAGGAGACATGTTCGAGAAAGAGGTGACAGTGAGCGAAGATCAATCGTCAACAAGCGTCAATGGGTCAATAGGAAGTGCGACCCCAGGCCAGCTGGAAGGAAAGCTCCATTTTCCTCGAACCATTTTTGAAAAAGGATCCACGGGGTACGTATCGAATCCGATTTACGGGAGATGCAGACTTCAGAGGTTCGGTGAAGGTTTTGTGAGATTAGGTAAGAAACAAAACCTTAGGTAATTGGATTTTGGGGGAAAGGATGAATACACGTACGGGATGCAATTCAACAATTTTATTTTTCTCTAACAAAATCTGACCATCAGTGCGCGTATTGACGTATTCGCCGCCGCTCTGACTGTCGGCCAGAGTCCAAGCTCCAACAAGGGCCCTGGAAAATATCAATCGAAAACTGTTTTTTTGGTGGTGTTATTTTACCGCCAGAGACGAGCGAGACTGACTGAATCCTCGTCTGGCTGAAATGCTGTGGAGAGCAGCAGCGAGAAGTGGCGACAGCTGGCAGGACATGTCAGACATGAGATTTCCACGGGATAGCAAGACCCCACGAATCCCCTGCAGGCGCAATCTTGGCTCCATTCAATGAGACCCAGACCCATTGACCACGCCCCCAGCAAGCCCCCAGCTGCCACTCCCCTCGCTGGCCCCGGTCTGGGTCTGGGTTCGGCGGTACGTACCTCGTTAAACAGGCACCCTTGTGAAGTTGAAGTTGCTGGGAGTGGAGGTACGTACTCAGGGATGCACATCCACAATCTCTCTCTGTCTCTCTCTCTCTCACTTTCTGGCGCTGCCCATCCCATGTTCTGTCACTCAATGGCCCTCACAATCTGGTAATTGTTCCACGCCTCTGCCTTGCCTCTAGCCCATGTTTCCAGCGTAGCTCGTCGCTCTATCCCGTACTCGTAGTGTCTCTAACAACCCATATCCATCGCTGCACCGCTCCTCTTCCCAGTCCTTGTCCTGTCCTGTCCAATCCCCAATAAAACCATCGTGACACCTCCCCCGTGCACGCTTCGCTCTCGCCCTCTCTTTCCCTTTCTCGTCGTGTCGTCTCTTCGCATCCCGCCAAGTTGAAGGTCGTCCCGTCCCAAAAAGGCCCTGCTGAACGGTTTGCAGTTGGTTTTGGTTTCAACTCGCCTCCCAAGTTTGAAATCGCCCATCCACCACACACCACACACCACACCTTCCCTCACACATCAACCACCAGTTGGGTCGAGCTTTATTTTCTCGACTTCAGGGCAGCTCTTCCCCCTCATACATATCATCCTCGACCTGCTTCGATAGATCTGCCTTCTTCCGCTCTTGGACAGACTCGACATACTCCTCCCTTTATTCTGCCTTGAGCGTGCCTGTCTCGCATTCTCCCTTGCAACGTGCCAACCAGCCTCCGGTTGACATCACCAGACCCGTTCGAAATCGTCTGCCAGTGGAAAGACAATTCGGCTTGGCTTCGCTCTTTCGACCCTGAGCCGTTCATACCTCACAGCCGCCCGCCTGCTCCCGTCATCTCACCTGCTGGCTGGGACCATTCTGCGTGGGTTGACATCAGGCCATCATCGCCGCTGGACTTGCGCTGCTTGACCATCGACCTCTCCTGCCACCTTCCGTTCCTCTTTTCAAGGTTCCGTGAGAGTGAGTACCTGCTGTGTCTTCTGTATGCCACCCCAATTCTCTCCCCTAATTGGGTCCGCGTTGATCTCAATTCCTGCCCTGCATTTGCATTGCCCGCCTCCCCCAAACCTCCTTGTCACCCTCACCCTCCTGCTGTGCAACCTTCGCGGCTGATTCATACTTTAACCTCGCCATGCCCAACGCCCTGACTAACCCGCCTCACAGTCCGCCCAGCACTTTTTCTTGGCAATCGTCTTGTCGTCTCCTCTTCTTCAGCAACCGGGACAGACATCTTTTGGTGCTTGGATCTCTCTGCTCAAGACCTACAACAACAAGACATCACCAGAAATCGCACCGTATCGTTAGACAACTAGCCTCGAGAGCCGCGAATCGCAGCAATGGCTACCACCCAAGAAAAGGCGACCGCCGCCGGCATCGCCTTCCCTGAGAAGGCTGCCTTCACCACCACCACCGAGGGCATCTCCTCCGCGAACTTGACACCCGTTCCCACGACGACCCCCGAGAAAAGCCTCGACCTCCACCGCGACAGCAACCTGTCCACCCCACGATCCTACCGCAACGAGAACCCCTTTGACACCGACATCGAAGCCATGATCACTAGCACTTCCTCGTCCGACCCTTACGCCATGAAGACCATCACAACCACAAAAGCAGACTGCCCCACGATATGGCCGGGGAAGCAGGACTGGAAGGCGAGGGCAAAGGCTGCCAAGCGGGACCGAAACTCGTGCGCTTGCATGGCAAAGATGAGCAAGAAGAACCGCATCATCATGAAGGTCGCCATCGGCCTTCTCGTCGTGGGCGTGGGTGTGGGCGTCGGCTTCGGAGTCAGCAAGCCCCTCGGCGCGCCGATCTGGGGCGATACCAGCAGCAACAGGTCATGAGGAAGAACGCCTCAGTCCTCAACAAACTCCACCAACAGACAATGGGTTTGTCGTCTGACCATCCTCTGTCGACCATACTCGCGAACATATCCGAATAGATGGGCTCAGTCGACCTCATCCGGCGCCGCACATTCGAGCCGCTTTCACTTCAGCTTGTATTATATACAACGACTTCTACACTTTCACAACCTGGCCCCGACGGCCACATCGGGGGCTTTCTGTCTTGACACTTCTTTTTATCGAGCCTTTTTCACCAAAGAACGGGCGGGTACGGACCACCATAATGATCAGGCGTTATCGGAGTCGAATGCATGGACTATCAATTAGCGAGCGAGCAGCGGCAACTTTTCGATTCAGTATCCTACGACAAGGGCAGCAGTCCATTCTTTCGCAGCCGTAAAACGCTCGAACGGGATGCGGCTATTGGGGCAAAGAGACGCGAGACCTCGTGTCCGCGTTCGCAAGGAGCAAGGGTCTTTCCTACTTCGATTCTCAACAGGGAGAACAGCACCAGCACTTTTGTACAAGGGTATTGGGACGACGCTTCTTACAACAGCGTTCTTGGGAAGGAAGCATGCGGTTTGCGACAACTGCGGTTTGTGAGAAAAAATTATGGGATTATTACGGGAAGGGATCTTATTGTCCGGCTACTATTAGACGGCCACTCTATTGCATTAGGGTATCAAGGAAGAGCAATCAAAGAGTTTCAGAGGATGGCCCGCAGTCGAGAAGCGCTCTGGCTGACGGGCTATTCCAATTTCTTGGTTTACACGCACATTTTCCTCTTCCGGTCTTGGTTTTCAGGGTCATCCCTCCTCTCGTCTGTTTTGGCCAAAGTGATTGACATGAAACGACGCACGTCTGTCGGGGTAGACCCTTTTCTACGAGACAAGAGCTGACAGTTCATAGGTCCGCCCACCTCGGCAACTCGCATTTATGCTCGACTACCTAACGTGCTGCATCCCAACATTTCACATCATAGAGTTCACCACTTCCCAGAGCTTCCCATATGCCGCGGCACGATCTCTCTCACATCTTCTCTCATCCAAGATGTCGGGAATAAGGGCGAACGAACTATAACGAGGATCGTGTTAGAGAAGGATCTGGGTTTGATAGGGGCACGGGGACGGGGGATGGATATGGTTACCTGATCCTGATCTTTTTTCTTCATCCAAATCTTCTCTTTTCGTCCCAAGACGGAGACACTCGTTCCCGAGGAGGAAGGTAAACAGACGCATCGTCCTTCCGTCTGTGGTAGGTAGTTTCGACCGCCGATCTTGCTTCCAAACACTCGGGCACCAATCTGCCTTTTCTCCCGCCTCGGCTTCTGTCGTCCGTCTTTGTTTATCCCACACGGCCGCAGCTGGCGCAGAGACGCGGCCACTCAGACGCTGGGGCGCACGCCGGACATGCGTCCCGCGGGTGCTCGACCTCCGCCGCCGACGACGACGACTGGGATGGACCCTCGCCCGCGCCGGTGTGGTGGGCGTGCCGAGACGTCGCAGCGGGGAGCTGAGAAACGTCGATCCGATCGGCTGCCGCGGCGGCCTGGGCTCTGCTTCTGCTTCTGCTGCTGCTGGCCTTGCCGTTCTAGGGCTTGGCGGGCTGCTTGCCGGCCGCCTTCGCGCTGAGGCCCGGTCGCGCTGGAGCAGGAGTGTTTGCGTTCACGTTCTCGTCTTCGGAAGAGGATGAGGTCAGCTCGTAGTTGATCTGCGGGGAGCGGCCGTCGGCGTAGTAGGAGGGGATTCCGCCTGAGTCCCAGCCCGGGCTGGCGGTGTTGGCGGGGCGCATGGGAGGCGTGGAAGGTGCGGTGGGCTCGACGGCCGTGGCGGACGAGGAGGAGGGGGTGGCCGTGGCGGTTGCCGTGCCTGTGTCTGTCATCTGGGATACGTCAGCACCTGAACCCCAAAACGGGCCGGGAGGTTCCGCGGCGGGCCTGACGACCGCCACGCGGTCGTCCCTGAGGAGGACCTCGCCGGCGTCCGTGGCGGAGAGGCGGCCGTCGCGGACGAGGCCCTCGAGGAAGCGGACGGCGCGGGAGCGGCGGGCGTGCTCGCGGCGGCGCGGGTCGAGGGCGGAGGCGTAGCACCTGTGCTGGGCGAAGGTGTGCCTGCGGCCCCATTTCGGGACGCCGCCTTTCACGCGGTGGCGGTCGCCGCAGGGCCAGCAGTTGGGGTCCCAGAGGGTGGAGAGGGGGGTCGGCGGACGGGGGAACCAGCGCTTGTAGGTGTTGGCCCACTCGTCCGAGTCTTCGCTTACCTGGTCTGTGACGGAGTCGGGCTCGAACCACCAGTACTTCTTCATGGCGCGGTCGCGGAGCTCGATGTCGTTCGGCTCGGGGGCGGGCGTGGCGCGGGAGGAGGAGCGGTGGGTTGCGTAGGCGGCGAGGAGGAGGACGACGACGGGGACGAAGGCGAGGATGTAGAATGTCGGGGTTATGTCGCCGTGGACCGTGGGACGTTGGGCCGGGGCAAGGGGGGCGGTGGGAGTAGGGGAGGATGGTTGGAAGATGGTGATTGTTGTGATGGAGGGGGGTTCGGAGAGGAGGGTGGATGGGATCGGGAGGAGATTGATGATGGAGGGCGAGGGAGGGGATGTGATTGTGGGTGAAGGGGTTGTCGACGATGAGGAGGATCTGGTTGTTGTTGTGATGAGCGTCGTGAGGGTTGGTTCTGGGAGAGGATAGGGGAGGTACCTGAAGTCGGCCATATTGATCGTGAGTGAGCTGGCCAGGCAAGTGCCTTGCGCGCAGGAGGTTGAGGTATCGTCAGGTCGTGAGACTTTTCTGGTGAGGTGTTCTTTTTTCCTGGTGCAGTGACAGACAAGCGTTTGTGCGTGGTGTCTCCCGCTTGTGTAGGAGGGGGTTTGCTGTTTGTGATGAAATCGCTTAGTTTGTGATTTGTTGGATTGGTGAAGGTGAGTGAGTATTTGACTGGAAGAAGGAGGAAGAAAAAATGTATTTACTCACTCTTCAGATCGCTTCACCTTTTCTTTTGCGTTGTTGTTGATGTTTATCTTTTTCTCAGGGGGAAGGAGCTGAGCGTCCAAACAAAGTGCCGTTTGCGGAGAGAGGATATATATCCCTTCACTTCCTTTTGTGTTCCCTCTTGTTTGGGTCACTTGAGGGTCTGTGAAATCCCAGTTTGATCAATAAAAGGAAGATAATGGCTTTGTTGTGGTGGTTCTGAACGGGAGGAAAGGTATGAGATAATATGGTTGTGTGGGTGAAAGAAGAAGATGAGGATGGAAGACTGACTGGCCGCACAGGCCCTTTCTGAGGTGACCTGTTGCAGACCAGCGGTATTGAGTGTGAAGAGTAGGAATCTGGGAGAAGAGAAGGGAAGGGAAGATTTGAGATGGAGGTGAGGTGGGTTGGTCTTTGTGAGGGTTGTTTGGGTTTGTGAGTGGTGTTTTGGGATGGGGCGGCTTTGTTTGTGTGGGTTTATTTAAAGGTGAGTGAGGTGAAGGTGACTGGGAGGGAAGGAGCGATTGAGGATGAGATATCAAGCGAGTTTTGGCAAAGTTTGACGAATACTTGGACGAATACTTCGACGAATACTTGGACAAATACGGTGTGTATTCGACATCAAAAAAAGGATTTCGACATCTGACCTACGGTATCGAGGGAACCCGAACCTAGAGAAGTCGACGATATTCAGGTAAGCTACGGAAAAACACGAACACTTCGACAGTTTGTGCACTTGACAGTAAGTACGATTTTGGAATCTGGTATATTGACCTTTCAGCCAGCCTGAGACAGTATTCAGAGATCCTCCTATCGACAGCGACAGCCAGAACGACTGCTATCAAATCCACCACTACCTCAGCCCACCAGAACTCAACGAGACCGCCAATATCCAGGTAAGCTGCGAACATCCACAATCGCACTGGGATTTTACGAGACTTTGACAGTAAGTACGACTTCGACCTCTAACCTATCGACACCTCGGCCTTAGCGAATACCCGGAGACCCCAAGATCCTAGCCGCCTTCCGCTTTGAATACCACAACAAGAAGAGCAATTTAACCTCATTTTTTATGACAAGATCGACCGTTAATAAGAGAAGCCAGGAACAGGCTCCGGTCTATCCCATTCAGAGACGAGACAGTTTTCAGGTAAGCTACGGACCGCCATGGACGACAGCACCACGCGAGCTGTCGCTGCGATTACCAGCGTCGCGGCCATCGTCTTCTTGTGTGGAATAGGGGTGATTCTCTTCGTCTGGAGGGAGAAGAAGATGGCTGCGGAGGACGACAAGGAGGACATTGAAATGGTTCGTTGAAAATGGTTCGTTGAGGCATTTCCTTTGCGCTCGGTGTTGCGAGCGTAGTTGAACAACATCGTTAGGGTCTTTACTGGTTAGCGGTGGCATTTTCAGCCGCAGAACATGCATGGGAGTAGAGATTTATGGCTATTGTAGTTCAATTTTGCTATTCAACGAACCCCCTTCCCGACACATGACTTTGCGCAACCCGTCTTGGAAGTTTCAAGGTTGACTTAGGTTGGAATCATTCAGGTGGCTACCCGAAATGATCGCGGTTGTTGACACGCTGCCTGATATCCGTAGATCATCAGCTACTTCATCGACCCAATGCAGCCCCAGACAACGCTTAAACCAAAGAAGCGAAGGCATACCGACAAATGAGGTTGTCTGCATGGCGTCCGGCATGGGGTTTAACCCAATTCGAATCTTTCCAGACCCTGTCATGCTGTCATTATAGTCCCGCATTTGATGTCGAACGAAGTCCATCCAAAGGTTTTGTTAGCCGCCATATGCTGCAAGACCCCTCTTGCCAAGAACTAGCTCATGCGCGCCGGGCCGTTCCTGGCGAAGAGGCGGTTTGATCTATTGGAGGGAACAACGAAAATGCTGATCGCGAGATGCAGCCTGCAGGTTGACGTGGTCAGATGCGGCCAAGGCAGCCGACTTTACAGACCCGGTGGTTTTCAGTCGAGCATTTTTATGTCTGAAAAGACTTGGTGACATTTCTCGCCAGGACGGAAACTCGCTCTTTATCCTTTTCCACAATCTGCTTCCTATCTAATCGCAAAATATCATCACGTCGTTACTTACCCGACGATATCCAAGCTCCGTCTGTCAATAGTTCTACGAATCTCAGGCATACGGCACAATGTCTCAAATCAGTAGTATTCATATTCACCTCTTGGTGGCACTCTGCCTTGTCACCACTGTTGAAGCCGACTGGTGGGATGACTTCTCGAACAACTTAGCCACCGATCTTTCACCTTTGCTTGCTCTTTTCGGCGAACAAGTGACTAAGCAGTTTCTAAGCGAGTCGCTATCCATCTGGGACAACTTCATCTTCGCGATGGCGCCTCTCGGTATCGTCACTGCGGTCGTGTCTGCGATCCGCGTTTGCGGCGGGCCGTCCTTACGAGCCTTCATCGGTCGAGCCCAAGAGGGAGGAGGGATTGCCGAAGCGGAGCTGTGCTCGTCCACGAGTCGAGATGTCTGCGAACTGTATCACAACGGCGCCATTGTTCGAGTGTTTGGTCGACCGAAGATTATCGAAGTGGTTCACGACACCAAACAAGCCGACTTCTCTTACACAGTCAATGATCAGCACAAGCTTACCGCTCCGAAATGTGGCATCTACTTCTTCAAAGACTATGTCGAAGGGAATCTCGCAGAAGCTGCAGGATGGACAGAAAGGGGAGTTGACGATACAAGCAATAAGGCCAAAAAGTCAAAAGTCAGTTGCTGGGAGTCGTTTAAGAGATGGTTAAGGCGCTGTATACCTCGAGGCAAAGAGAAAGCCTCTGGGAAGGCAGCCGGTCCCAAAGACGTCAACTTTGCGCCAAACCCCAACCTCTCTTTCAATATCGGTATCAAAAAGCACCCTTTCTACGTATACTGGATAGCAGCGGGCATTGGATTCCTCTGCCAAGCCTCAGTCATCGTGTTTGGTGCGCTTGCCACGTACTACTGGCGATATGAAAAGGATGACGCACCTCCACAAGTCTGGGCCTTTCCTCTCATGACCACCGGGACGGTACTTCTATCTTGTGGCATGTTCTGGTGCGCCTATCTTGTGGAAAGGAGTACCAAAGAGAGAGTGTTTCGGAGACATGAACCAAGCCGGACCGCGAGCGTATATGTTACACAACCGGGAAATCAGACCATCGGAGATCAAACATACGATCCATTCGCTTTCACGGACTCGTCGGACCCATTAAAGGAATACATCACCTCGTGGAAAGTCCCCCGGAAGCCTGACGAGCGTCATGTGGGTGTCTGGCTGGCCACGAGCTCAACAATGGTTGGGTTCATATTTCAATTCATCGGCTTGAGAGCAATGCACTCGTCAGTCTCCATCATCGTCTTGGGTGCTATAGTAATCATGAGTATTGTACGCGCTACTCTGCGTACGGGACGCCTGAACGAAAACCAGAATTTACTTCGCAATCATCGAGAAGACGTTAAAGGTCATGAGTTAGACTGGCTTGCGATGCGAATGTGTTTTGGACGCGATCAGAAGGAGAAGAAATACAAAAACGAGGAAGAAACAATATCTTGGTCGATTATTCCCTGTCCGGAGTCACAGACAATTCAGAACTCAGGACCAGCAGACCACGAGAAGGCCCCTCTTATCCATGACATCGGAGACACGGTAACGAGTGGTCAACACGCTACTGAGGGGCCTATCAAGTTTATTCAGATGGAGGGAGAGCGATATGGAACAATAGGCGTCCGTGCCTTTTTCGAAAGCGAGGAAAGTGCAACGTCCCAGAGAATTACAACGCAAAACACCATGAGATCTCAAAGAGCCCTGAGATGGGCGGAGGCACAATGGTTACGGAACATTCAACGCTCTGCCTCACTGATTACCCCTTCATCACTGGAAGACAGGGCCCAGAAAAGACCGCAGATGAAACCACACGTGGCCGGAGAATTGTTGTATTACCGAGCTCGCCTTGCCGAGTTGACCAGCCCCACAGACAACATGAAGTCAAGATCGTCCACAGCCTGGGATGATCGAATCATTCCGTTGCGAGAACAAGTCCGGCAGTTGCAAACAGCCATAGAATCCTCTGCAAGCGTTCTGTATCCCTACCTGAAACCCGAATGGAAGCAAGCCAAATCGCTCGCATGGAGTATCGATGTGCGGGTTTGCCAACATGTCGATTCGTGGGACGCCTCACGCCGTTCGGAACAGCATATCGATGAAGAACATCAAGTTCATGTGTTTCTCAGGCAAATAAGCTGCGATAGTAGTCAAGATCTGACGACATGGGAAGTCGAGCAGAGTGTCTTTGAAGCGATTCTCGGCCTCTGCGTTTGGTCTATCGAGTCAACTCCTATTTCAAAATGCATACGATCAACCTCAGACACTGAATACCGTGAGCTGTCTACCGCGTCCGACATACCCAGAGCCCGAATAATTGCATTCGGAAAGACCAAGGATGAAACCAGCATGGCTGAGAGAGAGTTCAGGTATTGGACGAAAGATACGCCCGTATTGATGTCGCGTAAGCAATGTGAACCAACGTGGCCACACGTAGGAGCTCTCTCTCTCTGGAGCCATCAAGGCGATTCCACTGGAAGTATGTTGCGTGAAGTACCTCCAATAGTCCCTGATAATCGATTATTTCGACTTTTCGGTTGGCAGGGTGCAGCGCTTCCAGCTGGTCACGAAGACCCCCTTGGCTTGAGCAAGACACATGCATTAGTCACAAATTCTCGGCGTTCGATCTCCGAGTTATGTGCTCAAGATATTTACCAGTCCTTCATCAGCGCAATGGCGATGGTGCTCGAGACCATTGAAGGTGGCACTACTTGGGGAGAAGACGACAGTGGTTTCTATCTCACCAATGCTGTGGTCTCTAAGCTTGTGGAGTCATTCTGCAAGAGCGGTCTCGGTTCACGGGAAGAGGCATACGCAGTCATTATTCCATCATTAAGCCGTCACTCAAAGCTACCTCTTCCTACATCTGTTCTCCCGGAAGTCTACAAGATTGCAAAGGAGAGAAGACTCGGATCTCAATTCAAAAAAGCAGAGCATACCTATATTGGCATGGGCGTGGCAGACGGGGCTTCGGGCACTTGACCAAAATCCACATGACACAAGATTGGAGACAACTCTTCTGGAACTGGCAGAACTCTATCGAAATGCGTTGCGGCAATACCATCACGAAGAGCTTGGCCGTAAAGGCACATGCATGCGCTGGATTGAAACTGTTAGCCGCCAGCCGCCAACAGATTCGGTTACTAAGGTGGCTGGTCGGTACGCTGATCTCATGATTCAACGGAGCGGGAAAACTATCGAAAGTGTCTCCAATGCTACGGATGTTCTTCAAGCAGTTGTCGACAAGGACCGAGTTCGATGTCTGGTAGAAATCAGTCGGTCCAAGAACATCGAACTTCAAGACTCCAATGAACGCACGATTCTTTCCTGGGCGGCGGAACGGGGTTGGCCCGAAATTGTCAACGCATGTCTTGAGTTTGGTTCTGCGCCAGATTCCAAAGATGGATTTGAACGGACACCACTGAGTTATGCTGCAGAGAGGGGACATGCTGATGTAGCGCGTATTTTGATGGATTATAGCGCGCTTCCAACGACAAAAGATGACGACTGGCGAACCCCTCTTTCATATGCGTCCGAGAATGATCATGTATCTGTCATGGTCATTCTGATGAATGACAGAAGAGTAACCCCAGAGACGAAGGATTTACGAGGACGACTGCCCCTTCACTGGGCAGCAGCACGTGGAAGTCTCCGCGCAATCGAATTTCTCTTCAAGAAGCAAGCAGAGATTAATGACATTGACCAGGACAGAAAAACACCATTTGTCACTGCAATGGAGAACCAACAAGACGAGGCGGCGCACCTGCTGGTTACCATGGGTGCAATATGGGATGTCACGTTTGGCGGCCAAGGTCTCTACAGCAACGATTCAGCATTGGAACGTGCGATTCAGGACGGATTATGGTCTTGCGCAATTACAATCTTCAAACTCCTAAACAAGAAGAATATGGAGAAAGACCCCAGCCAGAAAATTCAGACGACGGCAGTCCTAGTGCTGGGCGAGACATCAAGCATTCAAGTTATGCCTCCTCCTCCTCCTGCCCTCATAGACTCGCAAAGCACCTTCCTAATCAAAATTTGTGAGCTGAATCAGGATGGCACATGCAGCGATGCAACAGTGAGTACATTGCGAATGGCTCTTGGAAACACATTCGATGCCACATGCTGGATGTCTCAGTGCAAGGGGCCAGAGATTGTTCACCAGAGTCAGATTAAATTGCAGAGTCCCGGCGCAATTCTCAACACAGTAAAGTTTCTGTTCAATCGTCTCAGAACAGACATCGAGACCCTGCAAGAATTGGTTTCGATAGCGGCGAAAAACCCAACAGATCCTGGACCGCTGGGATTACTGCTCAAAATGGCGGGAAATGACATCGAACTCACTGATGAGATTATCAATGCCACCGTCATTCCAGAGACGATATGCAGTGCGGAAAAGCTGGAAACACTACTCGATCTACGCGGAAAGGACATGGTAATTACGCCAACCCTATTGCAAGCAGCCGAGCAGAATACAACACGTACCGGAAAGCTGATCGAGCTGCTGCTGCGCCGACGACCAGAAGACTTCACTATTACGGAAAGAATGATGATAGCACTTGTAGGAGGGCTATCAAAGGAAGCTAGGACGTTGGAGTCATTACTTGATCAACGACCACAGGACATCGTGATGACTTCAAGTGTCTTAGAACAGGCAGCAGCAAACGAGAATGGACTGTTCATGTTCGATTGGCTGCTTTCAGGTCAACAAGAAGGAGTGGAGATCACTCAGAAAGCCTTCAGATCTGCCATAAAAGCAAGTGGCCACGATGAGATGTATCGGGTTGTGAGTAAAATACTCACGAAACCGAACGTTCGAGTTCAGTTCACGCCGGACGTTGTCAAAGACATCTTGAAAACCTCTGGGGCCTACAATGATGCTATTGATGCTGAGGTGGCAAGAGGTCTAAGTCTATATGAGGCTGGTGTAGGCTTAATCAGTGTTTCTGACGTATTTCTTGCACTCTTCGAATATGAAGGGAAAGATTTCCGTACCACGGATGAGCACTTGAATGCTGCCGCAGAAAGCCAAAACTGCGATACAGCTATTTTCGGCATGTTTCTCAAACAGCCAAAGTCAGCAAGGAGACTGCTGAGTAACTTGCACGAATGGCTGCAGAAGCATGGAATGGCGGTGAAATTGTGACCGAGCTGCTTACTGCTCATAATGAAGAGATAAGAATGGTGGAGAGGCAGGATATTAAATAATTTGGAACTCTTGGAATCTTTGTTCAGGCTCTTGTCCGTCGAAATAAGAATACCATCCGAGAAGAACTTGGGTTCAACGTAATATGTTTTATGAGTCTATATGACTGCCGTCTAGTTACACCATATGGCATTAATTGTGACTCTCAATATCTGTCAGACATAAGGAATTAAAACAATTGCAAATAGGTAGGACATCCTTTACCAAATATTAGCTTGACTCAACTGGGCTTGGACTAGGCGACGTCCCTTACAAAGTTACAAATCGGGATTTTAGATGAGCTCTAGTACACATCACGTTATAATATTTTGTTTTCGTTCTATCTAGTGATAGCAACATTGTGAATATCTAGACAATATGGAACATTCGGAAGGGCCAAGTGTCTCGGTCTCACGAGATGATGGATCAGGTTTCATCATGCGTGACAGAAGGTCGGGGTACATTTTTCATGCTCCAAATGATGCCAATCTAATCAACGAGGCAAATTTCAAGTTGTTGATCGCATATTTAGTTGCAATCTATCCGACTTGGAACATAACATGTACTGATCCAATGAGTGTTCCACGAACAATACGCCTACGCTGATACCGCAAGCATAAACATTCCTTGCATCATGCCAAATTCGTGGTGTTGAACAGCCTGTTTCCTGTATCCGTGCCGCCCTGCCCAGTGAACTTTTTCTCAGAGAGACGAAGCGCCACAAGACTCAGATCAGCGATTCTGGAGAGAGGCCTCATCACATCCGTAATCGCTCTCTCCTGAACAACTCCAGCCACCACCGCGATTCGAATCCTACTGTCCAGCGCACGAACATGGTCCACAAACTCTTTGACCGACTTGCCACTGTTGATCACTGAGTCCACCAAAAACACAGCTTTCTTGCCTTCGACGTGACCTTTGGTCATGTCCTCCGGCTGCTTGGCGTGGAGAAACATGGCTCTGGGCATAGCCTCGCTGATACCCATGGCCATCGGCTCCCCGCCGCGCATGAGAGCCACGATAAGTGTCTCATCTTCGCCCAGGAATTTGTGGCCGATGACCATGTGACCTTGAACATGAGGAATCAGGTACTGCTCGAGTTCAAGAATCTCCGTCAGGAACTCGGTGGCAAGGTACCAGCCGACCTGGTGATGGGCCGCGCGGAGGCTGGGTCCGGAAACTGTGGAATCGCGGGTTGGTTTCATGAGTAGCTTGCCCGCATTCTTCTAAGTGGCGTGGAGCACTCGAAGACGTGGAGTGACTCGGGTGAAGTGGTCAATCAAACACTGGGTATCCGAGCTGATCACTGGAAGTTTGTCTTCCGTAAGACGAGGTGTCGATGTCGAAGGAAGGAGCATTTGTCTCGCCTGGAGGCCTTCCTCGTCGATACGATGACCTGTCAGATTGATAGATACCGATGTCGATGATCTATGACTACAAGTGGAAGTCGTATGCTGGGGGTTGAAGGTTCTCTTATACTTTGTGAGTTGGGAATCTGTAGACTGTCATGACGTTCAAACTACATACTCTACAAACAAAGATTTGAAGAAAGCTGCGCTGCATGATGGAGTTGATTCAGGCAAAGCAGCATTCAGCGTGCCTGCAATTGCCTGATTGGCAAGAGTTGTCTTGGCATTGGTCAAACAGGTCGACCAGGAAAACCTTTGTTTCCTCAGACTGAGTATTGTATTTTTACATACTTGCAGCAAAAGCCTGTTTCTTCTACACAAGTCCCTAATATAACATCAACATCAACAAAAATGTTTACTGCAGTAGCATAACCGCCAACGTTTGAGAGGAGCGACCGAAAACGCGGGTATAAACGGAAATCCAATGGTACCCTAATAATCTAGAAAGTTGGCTGAGAGCGAACATCTTTCTTTGACCACATGGACGTGGCTTGGACAACCAGTCGGTACTTCAGGCACATTTGCGCTGTCATAATTTGCTGCGGGCTCAAGAGCGGAATAGTTACCCAAGTTATCCAACCCGAATACGAACCCTCTCGCCTCTTCGAAAATGTGCACTTATTGGGTGAAATGGACTTTACAGGGGTGTCAGACGAGGTTGTTCTGACCCAAGCAAACCAGTTCGGAATCCTTCCTGCTTGGCGATGAGATCTCGTATTCGTATTTTGCTGTATAAGACAACTCATAGCTCAACACCAAACAGCATATAAACGGAGGTTTGCAACCGGTAAAACAGAAGACCTGCTACAAGGCTCAGATTTCATTCATATCAACACTCAAACATGGACTTCCCTGCCCCATTTCACGTCATCGTCCACCACATCCCCTCCCAAACGCCAAACCTTGTGGCCTACGAGAGAGGAACATCGACCTCAAAGAATGCTTTGATTTTCGTGGGAGGTCTTACCGAGGGCCCGCATACCAATGCCGTCGTGGGTGTGTTAGCCAAGAAGTTGGAGGGTTCTGAGTACGGCGTGTGGGAGCTGCGGATGCGAAGCTCGTTCACAGGTTTCGGGTACTCCAAACTCTCTAATGATGTTGAGGATATCTCTGCTTTAGTTGAGTACCTCCGCAAGCTTGGAAAAGAGAAAGTTGTTCTCATGGGAGCGTCCACCGGTAACAGTCTTTGCCTCTGGAAATCACTTCAGCACACTGACACGTTCTTGCTCTTCATAGGTTGCCAGGACTGTCTCGAGTACACAAAGCTCAGAGAACACAACAGCAACCCGGTCGATGGCTACATCCTCTTGAACCCGGTTTCAGACAGACAAGCTGCTGGGCTTATTATGTCACAAGAGGAGTATGAAAAGAGCATCGGGCACGCGCAGAAGATGATTGCCGATGGCATGCAGAATGAGGCCATGCCAACCTCGCTGATCCCTTTCATATTCACATCTCCTATCACGGCTTACCGATGGAACTCGCTTGGAGCAAAAGGGTATGATATTCCCAGGTTAAAACCATCGATACAAAATAAAAATGGCTGGCTAATGGGTGGTGAACTACAGTGGCGACGATGACTACTTCTCCTGGGATCTTGATGACGCCACCGTCCAAGAGAAGTTCGGCCAAGTCCATAAACCCATTCTTCTGCTTCCTGGGGAGAAAGACGAGCTTGTTCTACCTTCCGTCAATAAAACAGAGCTACTGGGGCGCTGGATTCAGGCGTGTCCGAAGGGAGTGGTAAGCGAGCTATCAGGTCTTATTCCGGGAGCCGATCATACCATTTCGCAGCTTGAGGTCCAGGAATGGGTTGGCGACACGGCCAGAAGATTTATGGAACTTCTATGAAGAGCTGAATGGGTCGAGGCATCGTCGACGGCGATGCTATCATAGAATCACTGCAGGTATTCGACACTTATCCAACCGAGGAGTGCCTAAATAATTGATGGAGGCGGGCAACATAGCGAAGCCTTCTGAAATTTCCAAAGGGTAGACGAATGACAATATTGATGAATTTTCCACGCTTCAGCTTGCGCTGTTCTATATTACACGCTATGCTATAAAAATGACCATTATCGTATCTCATTACACACTCTCAGCGTAGCCGTCCTTGGGCGGCGTCTTCTGCTTCTTCTCGAACAGTTTTTTGCCGGCCTTGTCCGACAAATGATCTACCTTGTCGCCCAGGAAAGTCTTGATGCAGCCGTAGACGCCAGAAATCAGCCAGAAAATGGCGTTCACCAGATCCACCCACACGGCAGTCTTCATGGCTCCCGTGCTGCTGCCCTTGTACTTGTCGTCGCTGTCCCTCTTCAGGAAGATGCCCGCGAAGATTCCGAAGACGACAATCCACATGATGAAGAGGAACAGGTCCCAGGCGAAGGCTCGGTACGTCTTAAACAGTTTGACCCTGCTGCCGATGAAGGGGATGGCGCTGAGCGGGGTGGCCAGGACGAAGAGGACGGACGAAACGGCAGCAGCGCCGGCGACGGTGATGGCGAGGATCCACTCTGGTGAGAAGCCCTCGTCGGCCTTGTCCTCGGCTTGGACGCGGTTGCCGTAAAAGCCGCAGGCGATGAGTGCAAAGAGGAACTGCAGGCCGCGGCAAACCAGGCGCGGAATAACTTCGAACGTCTTGAGCCATGTCTTGCCCATCGTCTTGCCCGTCTCGGCACCCTCGTTGAAGGCGTGTCGGCCGGCGGTACGGCCCATTTCGCCCTTGTCTGCGTTGCGGAATTCGGATGCAGCGCCAGCAATGCCCTGAGCGTTACGGCCGAGCTCGATGACGGTTTGTCCGGCCTTGATGGCGTTGGAAAATTGACCCATCTTGATGATATGGATGGTCTAAGGGGGTATCTTGGAAAATGCAAAGATTTGTATGAAAAAAAGACCAATGATGATTCCTTGTAACGAATAAGATTGCTGGTGCGATACGCGTTTCAAATCTCGACTGTGGTGATGGTGCGAGAAGAACTTGGAATAATAAACTGGCTAGCAGTATGCAGAAAGAAAGTCTTGCTGAGATGCAAAAGAAAGACCCAAGGAAAACGCAGAAAGTAGACCGGAGTGATACTGAGGAGGGGGAGGACTGATTCAGAGGAGCCAGTTCAAGATGTTAGAACAGGTCACGACCTGTTCCTTATAAAATCACCATTCGACAAAGACAGCATGAACACACAGTTCCTGACGAGACAAAGAGGCTGAGTCGCATCGACTGACGCCGAGGAAAACGGACCCTTGATCGCTGGCCGGCGGCATCTCATGATGGAAATTCCACAGCCAATCAAACCAACATTGGCAGGGCTGAAACCGCCTGCAGGGGTCATCGTAGGCCGGGACAGGCGTCTGACTGCCTGTCAGTCAACCCCCAATCGTTTGTGCTTTGCCGCCCTGGGGACAGGCGCTTAGCGAAACCTGGGGGATTTCCATTCGCTACGCGCTGTTGGGACGATGAGTGGGACTTCAATGGTGTTGTTCAATTCACCTATGGACTCACTCTTTTGTTTGAGTCGATATTTTTATAATTCAAATGAGACGAAAAGAAAGAACATGGCGGCAAAATTTATGCTTGGTCGAGCCCAGTCTGAAAGCCATCCATTGGGTATTGGCGCTGGCCAAGTTGCACAGAGTCCACAAATCGTGTATTTCCAGCTTTCGTGTATTTCCAGCTTGTCTGGCCACCGACGTGTTGCTGTTGATTCCACCATTCATAAACGAGCTCTGTACGATTTCAAAAAGATGGAGACGAATGTTCTGAACAATTCAATTGGGAGCTTCGTCTATGATTCTTGGTGCTTATCCAACTAAAGGTCTTCTAAAAGCCAACAGCTTTAGAAGTACCTCTCATATGCTTTCGCAGCGTCCAGAATAGTTTTGTCGAAAGGGATCCAGTTCTGACCTGTTGCTTTAATAGCCTTGGACCCATCGACCATAGGCGAGCCCTGGATTATGCTGTAGTCTTGATGATAGCCTTCGCCCGGCTTGCCTTCAAGAATGATGTCCCTCCTGTCGGGGTACGCCTTTCTGAGAAGATCGCAGTATGCCTGGACGTTCGCGACATTGCCGTTTCCTCCAGCGATGTACCGCTGCCCATCAGCAACATCCTTGTGCTCGACCGCAAAGGTGATAAGACGAGCGACATCTCGGACATCGACATGAGTGCCGTTTCCTGGACCGACGGGCGGTACTTCCTGCCCAGCCATAACCTGGTACGCGACGATCGCAGTGTCGCTCAGCTTGTTCGGGTCTTCTGGCAGGATCAAAGGCGGCCCCGCAACCCAGACAGGATTGATCGCCGTCATGGTGAACTTAATGTTTTCGGCGTTCTTCTCTCGGAATTCCCAAAAGGCCCGTTCGGCCTTGACTTTGCTGACAACATAGAAGTGGTGTCCCGTAGCCTCATCACCCGCTTTCTCCAAAGCATCCTCGGCTTCATCGTTCCAATCTTCTTCCGTGACGTATCGACCAAGAAATTTCTCTCCTTTGCCCCTCACGGCCACGATCGATGACATGTAAACGAATGATTTTAGCAAGGGCGCCTTGAGTGCAGAGCTCAGAATGCCGGTCGTGCCATTGATAGCCGACCCAATGATAGCATCCGCATCTCGTACTTTGAAGTTGACGGGACTCGCAAGGTGGGTGATGGCAGTGACATCCTTGACTGCTTCGTCGAAAGCTCCCGGCGCCGTGATATCGGGTACCAGAGCTGTGGTTAAGTGGCCAGACTCCGTGTACTTCGTCAACGCGCTGAGCAAACCCTCGGCTGAAGATGACGAACGGGTCACGGCCCGGACGGAGTACCCGGCCTTGAGGAAGGCTTCGACAGTTCGAGCCCCAATGAAGCCGTTGGAACCCGTGATGAGAACAAGGCCCTTCGTTGATGACATCGTGGCTGGTAGTTCAATTCGAATTTCGCGATTGTTGACGTTGGAACAATTCACACAGACAGACGTGCTTCAGGTTCTAGGAGCAAACGACTTCTTTATGACAATTGGGGAGATGTGCTGATTCTTATCCACATTCCTTCGCATCCTTCGGTCGTAATTACGCCATGAGGAGTGTGAGGTGGACTTAAGCTGTTTTAAATGCGGTCTTAGCTCTTGAGACATGCTTTGACTGCGCGTTAACGCCACACGCCACCGTCTTATCCCCGCTTCCTTCAATATCGTTCCTCCATGAGCCGCTAGTAACGCGAGGCGCGAATCGGCATATCGGCTAGGTAGTAAGCACGAAAACCACAAGCCCAGCTTTAGGATGCGGCGATCTTAGTTAAGTGGGCTGAACGAAATGACATCATCGTCAATAAAAATGAGAACTAGAAAACAAGCTTCAGATAGTACCTACTACAGTTAATACCGTTGAAAATTCAAGCATACTTGGTTGAAGCACAGAGGTTCCTGCAGAAATACATGCAGTTGAAACCCTGCTTGGCAGCATCTTCAACTGAAACTAGCATGGACGTAAGTTTCCAATGAAGTACGAAGCTAATACTCTTGACTCAACGCTGGGTTGTTCGAGTCTCGACTCTACCTACATGGATAGAGAAACCTCGACAACACTTGTGTTCTCAATCAAGAAAAGTCTTAACGAAGAATACTTTATAAACTAGAGGCTATGTGTTTCATCGCAAAAAAGAGTAACACTCATTATTCGGAAGTGAAACACACCTCCTCCAACGTACTGCTTGAACTAAAAGTCAAGACCCGCCTTGTTGTCGGCGCTAGGGTTGCTAGCATCGTGAACCCACAACTTCACCTCGCCTGGCACAGATCAAAACCTCTGTTTTCCCCACCCGACCGCATCACAGATCCGAGATTCTCAGGATCATCATCCGGAAGGGTGGCCGAGTTGGTTATGGCGCCAGGTTAAGGTCAGCTTAACATCTGTTTCCTGGTGGGGCAACCCGCGCGAGTTCGAGTCTCGTCCCTTTCATTTCTCGTTTTTTTCGTTTTTCTTTTTTTTTTTTTTTGGTTTTGAAACTCATCGGTTTGACCCTTGCGGTCACCTTTTGTATCCTGAGAGTTTGATTCATTATGAAAACCCCCAGGTGAGCCTTGTTGTGCTCTTGCTGACGGATCAATTCGGCCAATCACGACGTGAATGTACAGAGTCAAGCTGCGTATTCGAGACGTTGGCAAGACGCCGTAGTTCTAGTAGTATGAAGAAAGCTTACTTGGAAGAATAAGTTCCAAGTTTGCTTACATATACTGCATCAATGTCTCTAGAACTTGACTGAAATGCGGGATCATTTTTGGTAGCCTGACGCCAAGAACTCGCGCGCCAAAAGTCGGGTAGAGAGGTGCCGAATTCAGCTGGGCATTCATCTAAAACTCTTGTCTGTTCAGCTTACACATACGAAGGGCCGAAGTATTAAGGGTTCATCTTATGATCTGTGACCCTGAAAGGTTGTTGGTACGCGATGGACTTTGGACGAAGCCTGGCTATTTTTGCCCAAAGTGGTTAGCGAGGGTTTACCCCAGAGCCCGATAACATGGCGAGATCTATTCGAGGAAAGATGAATAGACGGAGAAAGCCGACGCATGGATGCCGAGGGCCTGGATCGGAACTACTTCCGGCATTAGTCAACTTATTCACTCTCTTTGGCCTTGTAATATAGCTCTGAGAAAGAATGCTGACGGGACACGAAGTGATATCAGAAGGAAAATAGCGTCTGAGAATTCTTTCGTCTCATATGGAAATGTCTCGGTTGGTACCTGTTTTCTGGAGCGTGCTTTGCAAAGGAAGATCTCATGTCTAGTACGGAGGCTGCAGGGTCTGGGGGCGATGACGCAAAGCTTGACAGGAATTAGCTCCCGACGGATGCATTCTGGGTCCGCGGAGGCAAAGAAAAACAACCCATCCATCGAATATTCTAACTCTCGGAACCCGCGCACGAGTCAACTCGCACCACCGTTGCCGGCCGCAACCATGGATGCGGGGCTTTTCCAGCCCGGATTCAGTAATGGTAGTATCGCGAGAAATGAAATTACCATGCGTGGTCATGGTATGACATGCTCGAAATCTGTCAGTGGTTGCGCATTTGTAAGTCACATCAGGGGGTAGGGGCTTCTCCTGTCAAGTCGAGGTGGATATGCGGCTGTTCTACTTCCACATGCAGACATGAGATGAGTACTTAAAGTAAGGGGATCGCCAAAACAGTGGAAAAGTCTACAGAGCTTCAGCCGACCTCAATCTCACTTGTCCGCCATCATGATTGCGATTCTCTCCTACGTTCTGCCATTGCTGGCTCTGCCTGCTGCTCAGGCCTGCCCGACGAAGCAACAGAGCAACACGACCTGCGGTCAGGTTTCTGGAAACAAGACAGTCAACTCTTTCCAGTTGTACCCCGAGAACGCCGACTTTGACACCAAGCGCTGCGTCGCATACTTCAGGTTAGTTTCAACTGACACTACCTATCATCCGATCACCGAAAGAAAAGTAAGACTAATACTTCGATTACAGCGTCCTCTACAACACCACCGTCGCGTCTTGGAACCCCGTCACCTCTGAAATCCAGACCATCGAAATCCCGGGTCTCAGCTTCGACAGTGAGCTTCACACCAGCGGTGTTCGCGTCGACCCTCTCGACCGTCTCTCTATCATCGTCGATGCCGGATCTGCCTTCGACACGGAGGGAAAGAACATCACGGGAGACAACATCCTCGTCAAGTACGATCTCACCGAGAAGAAGGTCCTCTGGCAGCGCAACCTGACCGAAGTCACCGGCGGCGTCTACGGCGGTTTCCAGGACACGGCTCACGGCGCGGACGGCACGACCTTTGCGCTCGGTACGTTCCCGAGCAGCATCATCCGTGTTAGCCCTGACGGCTCTGAGGCTACTGCTTGGTACCTCAAGACGCCCGCGGACCACACCATCCACGGCTTGTCCGGACTCGTCTCGGCCCCCGATGGCAAGTCAATTCTCGTTGCCGACAGCTCGGATGGTCAACTCTACCGCTTCGACATCACCGCCGCCACGGCTCCTACGCCGGTCCGCGTTCCATTGACCTCGGCGAGCATCATCGGCTCGGCTCTCGACGGCGTCTCGATTCCTTCCCGATACAACGGCACTGTTATTCTCGTCTCTGATAACGTCAACGGAACGGTGGTGCTTCACTCAGCCGATGCGAAGTGGGAGTCGGCTGCGGTTGTCGGTACCGTCCCCAACGGATACCTTGCTGATGGCGGCTCGACTGTTGCGACAGTGCAGATCGGAGGCAGCGTTTATGCAGTCACGGAATGGTTTGGAGATGCCAAAGTTGTCGGCACGTTGGCTGGCAACCGTACGGAATGGCCGTTGGTTGACATCACTGCCAACATCGACGGATTTCTCGCCAGTCAGTGAGTTGTAATGGGACTTACAATACCGTACATATTCCTCTAGACTCTTCTGTGAGCTTATAATTTATACTTATTATTCCTCTGCGGAACTATTATCCGTCTTCTCTAATTCCATTTTCTTCCAAAACGCATCAATGCCGGCCGTGACATTCCTCTGTAGCCTCCACTCCTCCCAAACCTTTGGCATTATACCCAACATAGCTGTCCAGTCATTCAGGCTACGGTCTCTGTTCGAAACTCCCGCGAAATGAATCAAAAAGTCCCCTCTTCTGACTTGATAGTCGGCCAGTCCGTCTTCGTCATCCCTATCCAGGAACGTACTCGCGTTGCCCCCGGGATATGTGTTGAACCAGGTTTGCGGTACGAGCTGTACGCTCTTGTTAAACCGCGGCTCCCTCATCACAATCTCCATCGCGCTTTGCTCGGTAAACGGAAGGTTGACGTCGGGCCTGTAGTGTCGGAAGGCCAGTATCGCACTGAAGAGCTCAATGGCCCACTGCCCAACGCGGACCAAGAAAACGCCGTTGTTTAGTCCGTTCCAGTCGTTCGTGACAATAAGCTGAACGTCATCGTCCCCGGTTTGCCCCCGGATTTCGCCACCGGCATCGAGTGGGCGTGGCGGGAGAAAGCTGGTAGCAGGTCGGCACTCGTCTAGAATGATGGTGTCGCGGTCGACCCAGAAGATCCATTCCGTCCGCTCTTCCGGCTCCTTGAGCATCTCACCCAGGAGCATGGACAAGAGAAAGGCTGGTTTGTTCCAGAGGCTGTCGATGATGGGGGTGCACATGACCTCCAGTCTCGTCTGGTGAAGCATGGTGTGGAGGACGTGAGTCTGGAGGGCCTTTTGGTAGTGCTCTTCCACCTTGCCGAAGTGAGCGGTTGCGGTAGTCACTCGCCACTGAGGTGGGTGATGGCTTTTCGGTAGCCCGCAAGACGACTGCCACGCCTTCAGGTCATTGAGAATGTCGAGAGAGTACTGCGGGAGACAGTTTCCCCCTTTGCGAAACTGAGGACGGGGTGAAGGAGAGTGGTTGAAGTGTGTTGCGTTCCGGATCCCGGGATGTAGGGATAATGCATGAAATGTGATGACAACGACAGCGAGAGCAACAAGAACCTTGATGATGAAAAGCGAAAGGAACGTGGATGGCAACCACGGCAGATTCATGATTATAAAGCCAGAGAAGAATAAGCTTATTGTTGAAGGGGACATACCATTGAAGAGGAGCCTTAGACTTGCTTTTATCTCTCCGTCAGGCCTCCGGCGCCGCTCCTCTGACGATGACCATGTTCTACCCACCTTACATCTATTTCAAACCAGAAGCTTGTGACTACTTCTGAATTTTGATTCGTATCCTTTGACAGCTCCAACTCCATAGGCAGAGAGTCGGTGCCCTTCCTTAATCGGGGAGGGGTGTTCTTCCCGAGGACAGTTGCAATTGCCTACGCAAGAACACGAGCTAACACAGGGATGAGGGTCTGAATGCGAGATTTGCGAACATCTCGGACTACAATTCCGTGGTTCTCGTGTACGTGCTTAGCCTCACTGACAAACACTCATGATGATTTGGTCGAAAAATATTCTAGCTTCAGCAATGGCCCAGTAATAGTTACTGCGTACATTGACGCCGGTAAAGACCTTTGCTAGTGTGAGGCAAGTCCAAAATGAGAATATCTGGAGCTAATGCTTAACATCCAGATTGGATGAACGAGCACGATCGGTCAGTTATTGAACTCGGTGAAGCACTGTCTTGACTTCATACACCGCCAGAAGATCCATTTCGAGCGAATATTTAATGGCAGGGGTACAAAACATGAGACCTCACTACACGAGGGGATTCGAACCGGGGCGAGAGGTGTTAACGTTGCGTCGTGTGGCTTTGCGATTTCGACGACTCAGCTCTGGCTGGGCCGGGGGGCATCTACCCAAGTTAGAAGCATAACGTCGTTTTAGTCTCATTCAGATACGATCTTGAAGGACCCATAAGACTAACGCTTAGACACCAGCGTTAAACTGCTGCCTAGTCGTATACCCATAACAACTACCACGTACCTATGGCCCTTGCCTCTGGGCATGGGTCGTTATTCGTCAGGTCAGGTTCATTGTCTTGATAAGTGCCAAACTTGACCATACTTTTGAAATTTACCTTCATACTGTAATTATTTGAATTTTATCTTGATGTTACGAATGAGGACAGGTCTGTCTTATTGTCTGTAAATGGCAAATCTCAGGTTTTCGATCTCTTCCCATCTGCAGCCATGATCAGGGGATATCCTGGAACCCAATCTGCTACTAGTGGTTAGGAATTAGACATCTGGCCGCGCGGGCGGAACAGGGATTTCGCTTCTTGTTCGCCACACGGGCTTCTTCGTGCTGATTCTGCAGAAAGCAAACCTACAGTGCCAGCGGCAACCGGACATTGACAGTTCCGTGGAACGCGGAACCGTACTCCGATTACCTACCGTTAGGATTGAGAGGGATACATAAAGCGGACCTTGTTTCTATTAGATCTTTAGCTTAGCGCAAGCAATCTAAACCCCCAGTCATAGAAAGATGAAGGTCATTCGCCAGCTAAAACGGTACGCAAGCTAGCCGTAAGACGAGTTGCAAGACGCGAATCTCACCTTTGCAGGTCACTTTGGACTGGAAAAAGTCGTGGACTCCTCTGAGCTGTTCTAGCGACCCGCAAAGTCCTTTCGGAAATGGATCTCGAAGGAGCCGGGAGCAAGATTCCCTCCCGAGAAGGATCGCTACCGTATCTACGCTAGCTAAGCTTGTCCTTGGGTACGAATATTCTCACGTGTACCTCATTCCTTGGATTACCATGTGTCAAATGCCCCATTCAATATATTATAATATTCACAGGCGTATCGTACTCTTAAGGGCCGAAAACTCAAGGGCCTCGGAAATGTCACCACCTTCTCATCGGTTCACTGGGATCTTGATAGCCGTGGTAGGCGTTCCCTGTGCGGAGAGTGCGAGAATAAGGTACTTACTATCGAGTAGACCAGGTAGACTGGCGGTTCAGCCGTCTGAGAGGAGTTGCCTGGCGTAGTTGTCATCTCTGATTCCATTCCTGGGCAGGAGACCTTCACCAATCTCAATCTCCTCTAGGTCTCCTCAGAGTCCGACTCAGAATATGGTGGTCGGATCACGGTCGCCATCAAGGAGCAAAAAAAACGATTCTTAACAACGAGAGCAGCGAGATAATCCGTATCCTGTACACAGAGGTCGGTCGATTCGCAATTCCTACTGCTCTCTAACATCCTCCCTAAGGTTTGACGACCTTCTCCCGCGCGAGTTTCAAGACGTACTGGCATCCGGCGGAGTTCCGCCCAGAGATCGAGTCAGCAAATATGTGGGTTTATGACATCGTCAATAATGGCGTATACAAGTCTGGTTTTGCCGCAAGCCAAGATACATACGACCGAAGCGTCATCTCCCTCCTTGAAGCTCTGGACAAAGCGGAGGCTCATCCTATCCAGCAGAAGGAGGGATCGCACTTCTTAGACCCACATCTTCATATCGACATACGGCTGTATGTGCTTAGGTCAAGCTCACGATCGGTTTGCAATGCTAATACTATCTCCAGATATCCCTCCATCATTCAATTTGACGTAAGGTATTCCTTCTCACGCGCAATAGCACTCGCATTAACCTCGATGTCGACTTGTTCACATTCAACACTTCAAATGCAACATCAGAGACATCAAGCCGGGCTACCTGTCCTTACATCGATGGTTGCGCAACTTGTACTGGCGCCACGCCGCTTTCCGCGATACTACGGAGTTTGACCACATCAAGTGACACTACGCGAAGAGCCACGCCCACATCAACCCATTGTCCATCTGCCCACCGGGCCCACTGCCCCATATCCTCTTGAGGAGGAGGTACGGATACGAGCACATCCATCCCCTTTAACATGAGGACCGAATGCGGGAACAAATGCAAGATGTGGCTTTTTGACGGAGGGGGGAAGTGTTGAAGATGCGTGCAAACCGCCACGGGCAAGGAGATTTGCAGGGTGTCTCATTAGAAGGAATTGACGAAAGGAGACGCTCTCTAGAAACTTGGTAAACTAAATCAATTGTGCTCTGAATGATTCTTCAGTAATACAATGCAAAGTTGGTTGAAGCAGCGACCTGTCACAAGATGTACGGTATGGCCGTTGTACTAACCTGTCTCTCGCTTGCAATGACGCGAATGAAATATTGAAATGGTATTTGTGTATATCGACCTTCAATGCCTACACGAATCTGGTGATAGAGACAAAATGGAAACTCCGTCATCTCTTCAAGTGTCTAGTTGCGTCTCATACTTTCAGCCCGCAACGTTCTCACTTCCTGGTCCAGGTGCTTCAGCAGCGTCTTGCCCCGGTATCAATATCGCAGTCGTCCGTCCTTAGGGCTAGGGAAAAGCAAGAGATGAGATAGGAGGAAGTTGGAACTCCCTCGCCGCAATAATCGCTTCTGCCCTGGACCTGAAGGTATTCTTGCATTTCCGACCGCATACGTTCGGCGCGCACGTGGGGTCCAGACCGTCACTCGGTTCGAAAGGCGGAAACCTACACCTTCCTCAAGAGGTAAGAAACGGTGGATCTCTAGGCGCGGATGGTTCGGAACCCTAAATCCAAGCTTAAAACCCGCCTCTTCGGCTCGCAAGCTCGGCGCGGGTGGCTTTGGACGGGAGATATCCGAGTCAACACCACGAGTTGATCAACTCAAGGGTGGCAAGGATGCAGTAAGCCGCACGTAGCCACCCAACTCGTCCTCGTTTCTGCGGGGAGGCGAGGTCATACCAGTAAGCGAGCCAAGTCATACGAAAGTCCCTGGGAAGATGTTGAGTGTGGGCAGCTGCATCATACACCAAAACATCAGTTGAACTGGGCCTGAGTGAGGCTCCAGTCCTAATCAGTGAACCATTTTGTGTCTGACTGCTTGAGGAAGCTTCCACAAGTCACAAAAGACCCCGCATGCATGAGTTACATGGTGTCTTACATCGTCACATCGCCACATGCAGTATCCTTGCCCGCACGCAGGTTTGCACGATGAACCACCAACCGGAATCCGACTGAAGCGGGGTGCGATATGTACAGGAGAAAAGAAAGGATGTTGCCGGATAATCGAGCCTCTGAGATGACTTGAGATTGAGCAGCGTGGAGGGAGGGAGAAGGTTGGTGAGGTTGGACAATAATGCCAAGAGGTTACGACATAGTTCCGACCTGCCTAATTCATCACCCCGAATTAGGCCCCTCACTTGCCCATCTGATGGCTTTCAACTATGGAGGGGGTTTAACCCCGGTACATTCAGAAAACTCTATATGACCTTATTTGAACGACGTTTTTCGCCATTGCTTGGCTTCCGCAGATCGTGCATGGTAACAATAGAGGAAGCACAATCTGCACAGCTGCAGGTGTATTGTTACCCTGCGTGCGTGAGACCTGGCACTTTTGCAATGCAGGAATTCAGATTGTGATCAATCTTACCGAACTCCACGGAACTTTTCTTTTCAGAGGGTATAAGAGTTCGGGCCTGCCCGACAACATTCGACTTGCTAGGGACTCGTCTGGTTGCGCACACATCGTCCATCGTTCCCAGCTTGCATCCTGAATCTCAAAGATGAGGACTTCAGACCTAGCAGTTGTCATCGGAGCCCTCTCCGGGGCATCCTTTGCCAAGGAGTTGGAGCCCAACGCGGAGTTGTCGGCATGGTACAGCACCGGCGCCGCTCACCAAGAGAACATGGAGTACAAGATGGTGAGTTCAAGCCCATCGACCAGCTTGCCCTTCCGACCGAACTAACACCACCTAGGCTCAGTGGGATCAGTTCGAAGCCGAGGGCAAGTTCGACTCTACCCAATGGACCGCTCGTCCCAAGGACTACATCGCCTGTAAAGACGGCAAGGTCGAGCTCGTCAAGGGTGATCCTCTCCAGACGTTCAGGTGCAAGGATGTAGGTACACCGCATAGCTTCACCTTCCAATCACTAACACAAGTCAGCTCGACCTGTACGACTTCCAGCCCCATGCTGCCTTGGGCAACTCCACCGGCAGAGGCTCCGGCTCCTGGGGTTGGACGGCCCCAAACGGCCGCGAGTTCTTCGCCGTTGGTCAGCTCGACGGCGCTGCTTTTGTCGAGATTTCGAAGCAGGGGAAGTTGATCTACCTCGGTCGCCTGCCTCAGTTCTCCGTTACGAGCCAGTGGCGTGAGATCAAGACTTACAAGAACTATCTCGTCGTCGGCAGCGAGGCCGTTGACCATGGCATTCAGTTCTTTGATCTCACCAAGGTATACATTCTATCTTGAATCCAGACGTGAGAAATTATGTTGTCCACGGAGTAGCTGACGTGAATGAAGCTTCTCAAAATCGACCCCAAGAACCCCGTCACATTCTCTCAGAGTGATTTGACGGCGCATTGGAGCGAGGCCCTTCCCCTCGGCCGCAGCCACAACGTCGTTGTCAACGAGGAGAAGGGCTATGCAGTAGCCGTCGGTGCCCAGCCTCGCAAGAACCTGCCCTGTGATTCCGGTTTACAATTCCTGGATCTCGCCGACATCACCAACCCGCAGTACCTTGGCTGTGCGGCCGGTGACGGTTACGTCCACGACGCGCAGTGTATCGTCTACCGCGGCCCGCACTTGAAATACTGGGGACGCGACATCTGCTATGGGTACAACGAGGATACTCTGACCATGTAAGTCAGCATCAATCCCAATTGCCTCAAGAGCAGCCATGACTGACACAGTCTACAGCTACGATGTCACAGAGAAGAACACTACGAACATCATCTCGCGAACTACCTATGAAGGAGCAACCTACACCCACCAGGGTTGGGTGATTGACCCCAACTGGCAAGACTTCCTCGTCCTCGATGATGAAATCGACGAACGCAACAAGACTGGACCCGCTGCCGACGGTTTCCCAGTGACATATTTCTGGGATATCAGGTGAGACTTCTATCGTTTTGCTGGGCGCCGAACGGCTAAAGCTAATTATTCGGGTTATCAGGGATTTGGAAGCCCCCAAGCAAAGTGGAATCTTCAAGGGCACCGTCCGAAGTGTTGATCACAACCAGTACATCAACCGTGGTCTGTCCTACCAAAGCAACTACGGTGCCGGTCTCCGTATCATCGATGTCTCCTCCATCCGCAAGGACCCTACTGCCAAGGGCGTGAAGGAAATCGCCTACTTCGATATCTACCCCGAGGATGACAACGAGCCGGGTGGTGGTCTGAACAACTACGTTGGCACCTGGAGTCACTACCCTTTCTTCAAGAGCGGTTATATTGTCATCAACACGATGGAGCGTGGCGTGTGGGTCGTGAAGCGTTCTAACCCCTGGTGGTGGCCCTTTTGAGTCTGGACGAGCATCGCGAAGATGTAGTCTGAGGGACGAGAACATTGCATAGTGCGTCTTATCTTCATGTAAATAGTATGGAATCGTGATCGATTCTACCAATGCCAAATTTTTCGAAAGCATATAATACTTCGATTTCCAGTCGCCTAACAATGTCTTCTTCTACTGAATTTCTTTTACGCGCCGAACTCAATCTTCACATCCAACGAGCTGTTGGTTGGTAGTGATTCTCAAACAAACAACGGTTCTCACTGGTTTACGGGTGAAGGCGGTCCACAATCGTCATCCAGGGGGGGGCCGGCAAGCGGATCTTCAACGTAGGATTGAACATCACAAGAACCAACGACGGACCACTCGTTCCACAATTCCACTTTCTAGGGTTGCTCACAATGCCGTGCGAGGGGTTCGGACTTCAACAGATAAGATGAGTTGGCCTCTTGGTGCCGTGGAATTCTCACCTTCATCTCATCTGTGTCATTCAAGTAACAGAGCCCAGCCGCTTTCATGCCAGCAAACCCCACGACCATCGACAGTCCCAAGATGACCGCTACCAAAAACGCAAAGCCTCTGGGCATCGTCTTCGTCCACGGCGGCTTCCACCAATCCTCCTGTTTCGACGTACCCAGATCCCGCCTCGAAGCAGCAGGCTTCTCCCCCATCATCGGCGTCAACCTCCCCAGCGTCGGCACCAACCCCGACGTGAGCGTGGAAGACGACGCCCGCCAGATCCGGCACGACCTGGCCCCCCACCTCGACGAGGGCAAGGAATTCCTCGCCATAGCGCACTCCTACGGCGGCACGCCCACGACGATAGCCGCCAAGGGCCTCTCGGTGTCCGAGAGGGCCGCGGACGGCAAGAAGGGCGGCGTCCGCGCCGTCGTCTACGTCACGGCCAACATGCCCGCCAAGAAGGGCGCCAGCGCGCTCAGCGTGCTGCCGCCCATCGACATCGTCGACGTGACCGACGACGGCCTGGTCACGGCGAACGCCAAGGCGAAGGCGGTCTTCTACGGGCCCGACATGGCGGACGAGCTGGCGGAGGAGTGCATGGCGTCGCTGCTGCCGCAGTCGCAGAAGGCGCTGTTCGGGGGTGTTTCGGTCGGCGTGGAGGAGTTGAGCGTGCCGGCGTATTACATCCTGTGCGAGAAGGACAAGACGATTCCCGTGGCGACGCAGGAGGAGATTATTTCGAGTATCCCGACGCTGAGGGAGGTGTTGCGGAACCCGGGCGGCCATTCTGCGTTTATCACGGAGGTTGATACGTTTGTTGGGCAGATTGAGCATGTTTCGGATGATGTTGAGAAGAGGGATGGGCGGGAATGATGTATGTTTGACGTTGCGAAGACCATGGAGGATGATGCTCAGCTCGACATGGACCCCTAAAGGACATACGGCGTGGCAGCAATAAATTTCCGGTCGAGGTTCAATACAATATCGGGCGGCATTCGGACATTAATGTAGAGGTTCAAAAGACAAGGAACGGGAATAGTGGAAAAGACGAGCATTACTCTTATTGATATACAGGCTTTTGTTTGACGACGCGGACGACGCGCAGGCTACGCGCTGAAAGTCGGCGAGGCTATTTACATTACATCATTAATCTTGTGATTGTACAATTACAAAGCCAACAAGCCCATTGCAGTCGATGCACGGCGTGGTGTTGCGTCCGCTAGCGTTGAGCCCCTCCATACGTGGGCCCATTGTGTTCTCACAACCGGCCCGTCTTTCCCAGATTGTAATGACGTCGCGGCATCTCTCGTCATTTCTGACCTCTTTGGAGATACGCGGGTTCGCCAGCAGGGCAAGTCTCCAAAGTCTTCCCGCGGCGATAGCGTCTGGGAATGCAATTCACCAATAACCATGGTCAATGAGCATGGTGAAGCGAAAGCCAGAAAATAAGAACAACACAGCTGTTCAATGGACAACTTAAATGACAATGCGACAGCACGGGATCAAGCCGGCTCGTGAGCGGGGTCAGCCATGAATCGATCGCCGATTGCGTGGGCAGAATTGCGGAACCCCGGGTCCGGGGCCGATTGCCGCCCAGGGAGAATTCGCACCGAGACGGCGCAAGACACGGAGATCCGGCCCGTGTCCAGAAGCCGGTGACGTTGAGAGATCGTGTTCGAGCTCGATTTGGGGGCGATGAAAGGGATTGGCTTTTGACGGCAAATCGATTGATTAGAACAATCGCGTCACCGATGATCGAGAGCTCGGAAAACCGTCGTGTTCCTGACGAAACACTCGTCATCCTGGGTCCGACATCCTAAAGCTATGCGGGCTGTGCGTTCATCGCCGTAGCCCTGCATGTCGGCGATGATGCGGGCGGCGGCGTTGCAGGACATTTCGTGCGGAGATGCCTGTGAGGGATGATGCGATTCCGTCGGACGTGGTGGCGTTTGGCTCCTGCGGCCGTAGAGATACGGGCTTCTTGAATTCTCTCGTATTTTTTGATGTTTCGGTGGTGTGGACTGGTTTGAGCTGTTGAGACTGGCGTTGGCAAGCATGGTGAGCTTGTCTAGCGGCGAATTCTGTTGCACGTCCGGTGTGGGCGTCAAAGTGAGTACTGGGGGTAATAACGTTTCCCCGTATCTCCTCTTCGTGCCGTTGACATGGCCGTTCACGTCGTTTTCGGACTCTGGAGGAAACCTGGCCTTGCTGAAATGTTCCTGTAGCGGCGGAAGTTGGTTTGACGACCTCTCGACGACAACTGGGTTGTTCAGGATGGGAGGGAGCACCGCGGCAAGAGGGGCTGCGGGTGATTCTCTCATTTCCTCGTCGACCGGCCGCCCGTAGCCCTCCATCTTGCTCTCGTCTTCGATCGGCCTCACGTAGCCATCGGCGTGTTGGCCAGAGACGGGAATTGCAGGGGCCACCGCTGGAGAGCCCTTGCTATCGTCATCGTCGAATGACCTCAGGTATGCCTCTATTTGTTCGGCAGAGACTCCTCGGCTCGCGAGCAGTGACTTTAAGCGGGCGTTCTCGATTGACACGTCGCGGGCGGCCTTCTGCATCTGGACGGTAGCCTCGACTCCGCGCTTCTCGTACTCCTGGACCTTCCGCTGCAGTTCGTCGACGAACTCCTTATGCCGGGCGCGTGACCGTCGCTGATTATCCCGAATTCGGATGGCATTGGCGGATTTATCGGTCTGGAGCTGCTCCTCGCAGCAGACGTCAGCAACCGAGGGGATTCAACAGCAATGGCATTCCAGGACGGGAGGTGACGAACAGTTGGAGATGTACCCGATGTATCGATTTGACTCTGACTTACCCGCCCTCGCTTGGCCTTTTTGGCCTGGGGGCCGAAGAGGTCTTGGTAGTCTTGCTCCGACGACATTTGCAGCGAGTCCGTTGATTACATGAAGGTTTCGCGTGGGGGCGTGAATGTCGGGTCTTGACCTAGACCAACCGAGGATTTCGGGAGAGCAGTATGGGGGGTGACGGCGACAAACATTCGCAGGGCGGTGAGGGCGGGAGTTGGCCTAGGAAAGGGACGGGGAAAAAAAGATCTGCTCGATTTTTTGGTGGTGGTTGGTGGTGACAAACAGGAAAAAAGCAAAGGTGAATCTGGTTCGATGACTAATCTCGTTAATCGGCCAATCCACAGCTGCGCGACTGAGTTTTTTCGCACTAGCCTAGATTGCCGAATCATACTGCACGGAGCTGTGTCCGCAGTGGGGCCCAAGCTCCACAGCTCAAAACATGGCTTTTCGGTCTTTTTCAGGGACAGATGCTCCGCTGGCCTGTCACTGTCATGTTTTGTGACATGGTCAAGCTTGGATGAGTCCTCGAAAGAAATATGAGCATGTGAAGTGTGTATGAGAGGAAATCTTATAATTCTCACCTTAACGAATGAATTCTACATACAGTTACTGCATTTTCATCATCCAATGGCTTGACCGTCCACGTCAAATCCCCTGCCCGCTCAAACTTTCTCGTGTTCTCATCTGAGCTGAATGTCACCATGTGTCACTGAAGGCGCTGGTTGGACTCACTAAAATCGCCCGGTCCACACCATATCCATGACAGTGTGGCTACGCCTGTGTGGTATCCACGCGGCATGCACGCCAAGTTGCAAGGATTCATCGCGGGGAATTCAGGGTCTCGTCACTTGTATGTGGGACTCATACCAGCATTCAACTCACTGACTTTCGCGACTCACTCATACGAATGCCACAAACAAGCCACAATATGACATGGTAAATTGGCATGACTGCCGATTTGAATTCTGCCATCTCAAAGTGGATTTCGGCTTGACCTATTTTGAGCTCATGCTGAGGATTTCCCCTCACCCAAACTCTAATCGTCAATGTCTCAACTATGGCGATTCGAGGAAGTAGATACGGAACCCACAGAATACGCCTCACTTTATCTTCATACCATCCGTCTTTCCCATATTGACTTGACGACGATGTTGCGCCTAGCTGATAGTGGATAGTAAAAGAAGCATGTATTGACTCTTATCAAACCGGACAACGCTACAATTTACGCCTCACAAGGACCGACTGGACCGACTGTACCGGCCAAAACAAGACATTTCCGCACACTACCTGCTCATCCAACACTTTGATCGGTCCGCCCTTCTAATCATACCACCTTCCTCGTTGTACTCTATCTCCCATGACCATCGGAGCGAACGTAATTCTTCCAACTGCTTCGTCAGGCTTTTCATCAAGCACTATCACCTTGGTATTCCCGAGACGTCTTGAAACCGCTTCACCGCTCTCAGTGCTATTGCCGCCCGCTTCTCCGACAGCGAAGTACGGTGAGATTTTCGCTAAACTGCCCACAAAGCCTAGTATCTGCGGCGCGTTACTGTAGTAATGGAAAACTAACCCGGCGACTGCGGCTAAGAGCATAACGGTGGTAGAGATGAAGTAAACGACAATCCAGATGGTGTTAAGGGCGTAAGTGGCGGCGAGTGGGATTGTCACTAATGACGTCGTGTTTAGCAGCCACGATGTCCCCCTTGGAACAGCTCCCAGTATGGTCTGGGGGTCAAGGGTAGAATCCAAAAAAGTGTTTAGGAGTAGCCCAAATCGATCTGCAAAGACCTCCATAGGGATTCTACACCACCGTACACTTTCTCTACTCGGCGACACCATAAAAGTCCAGACAGGATTACTGACAAAGATTTCGGAGAAGCTTGAGACGTCGCTGCTGAAATTCTTACCCTCCGCGGCTGGGAACCGAATCATCAGACTGTCGGGTATAAATCGGGCGATATGCTTTGTACTGAAAATTGTCTCCCAAGGCGGCAGCGGCGGCTCTGGTAGCTGTCTTATACGATCAACCCTGCATTGAGACTGTGCAGTGATGCCATGATATTCGCATAAGACTTCAGCGTTTACGTAGACAGTCCTTACTGCGCATGACGTCATGCAAGAACCGCAGCCGTTTCGAGACCCTATAAATACTGTAGTATTCGATTTGTTTTGGGTTCCCGGTCCGTAAGTGGTGTTGTAATCTAAGCCCAAGGTATTAGGGTCCTCCGGTTGAGACGGGTCTCTCCAGAAGAAATCCTCTAAAGCCCTGTCGTAAGGCGGATAATCGAGTGTTGCGTTGTATTTTGTTGTGAAGGATTTGTAATTCGCAGCGAACCAATCGGTATGAGGCTTCAAGTATGTGAATATCAATGCCGAGAGAAGCGGGATTACAGAATATTCTTCACAAACTTTGACTAACCTGATTGCTTTCATCGTCAGCGAAGCCACTTTTGCATACCCACTCGGAACACTGAAGTTGTACTTTTAGCACTTTGTAACTAACGCTGAACTCAGAACTTACATTATGCAATTCGATATAGCTAGCGTTGATAGGGAACGAAATGTTTCCAATCATTTCCGCGTTTATTCCATGAACACGGTTACCAATGAGGCTACTGTAATTTTGAACACTTTGATACCAAGGTACGGTCAGCCACTTCTCTGGATTTGACGCGTTATAGCCGGCTACATCCTTTAGATTGGGAACTCGGGGGCTGCCCCACGGATCGATCGCCATCTGTGCTGCTGCTGCCTGAACCCCTCCCAACCTTGCTATAAGGTCGTCATAATCGCTGCAAGTACTATCGCAGTACTGTGTGCCGGAAGTCATAGCGGTGAGGACGCTGCGAAATACAGCATCGACTGCGGGCCTGTAATATGTCCATGTGGAACTGCTATTGAGTGCGCCGTTCTCAATAGTGTTGAGTGTGTAGTTTTTGTAGCGTACACGTCCATCGAGGTTCGTCACCTGATCCTGAAGGTATAAACTTCGAAAGGAAGACTGCGAGCCTAGTGGATTAAATGCCCACACAAATAACAGACAGATGGTCGAAATATTAATCATAGACAGGGCATAAGCGGATAGGACCGTATTGGCCATTGTCAAAGACCCTAGAACATGTTCCAAAGTCTGTGATTTTGTTAGCATAGGAAATTATTTTACTGCAGACGGAAAAGTTACTCTTAATGGGACACCACGCTCGAGGAGCCAGTTTGCATATGCTTTCAGAGCGTTGCCTACAACGCCTGAAAAGATAACAGGCCAGAATGAGGGCGCTAATTCCGTGACCACAATCACCGCTTTTGACCACTCAGATTCCTCCTGTCCTCGGAGAAAACAAATGCATACGCCCAGAGCTGTTCCATGTCTCAGTGAAAGGTTCGCCGTGGACTATGGGTAGTGAATAGTAATAAACGAACCGAGAAAGCATATTGAAAGTGAAATTGCCATAATGTCACCAAGAAATCTAGACCATGGCAAGCCCTTCCAATGCACGGGTGATTGGGTCTGGACAGGTTCAGACTTTGATGATGAATTTTCATCTCTTTCGCCACAGCTGATTGCTGTTAAATGCGCGTTTGGATCTTCATTGATTTCTGGCGGAGAAATCAGTTCCTCGAAGCTGGCATGATCTGCGTCTCTTTGTTGCAGTTGCAAAGTGTCTGCACTTTTCTGACGGTATGTGTGGAGGTCTTGAAGCCCGTCTGCAAGTTGTATGCGGCTGGGCGGCAAGGGGCAGGGGACGAGTTCGTAAGTGTGTTCCGAATGAGGCTCCATAGCGGGAACAAAAATACCATTGGACGACAAACAAAACTCAGACTTCTACAGAATTTGGAAAGGTAGTAGGTTCGATTATTTATATTCTCTCATATGTAATACGAGGCTAAAAGGTTGTGTCACAACTGTCGCGTTTGACAACGTTGTCAAACGCTTCTATTGAAGCGATTGGGTAGGAACCGACGTAAGACATCAGAAATGTAAGCCATATTGATGTGTTCATCAATGCAGGCAATATGTGCCCATCCTGGTTTTCGGTTGAGGAAAGGTAACCAACTGCTTGGCCAAGGGTGATAATACTCACCGGTGGTGGACCCCGGAGATGCGCTCCGAAATCGAGGATTTCAAGCACACGTCGCACCAGCTCGGCGTCAAACTTCTCCAGATCTTCGCCCGACACTTTGGTCTCGAGAACGACTACTTCTCCAAAGCACATGATGACCTAGAAGGCCCCGGCAGTGCCCTGCGGATGCTGCACTACCCCGTTCTACCCGAACAACCGGACAAGAGCGTTCCCCGACTGTACGAGCACACAGACTGGGGCTCGCTGACCTTCGTGTGGCCCCAGTCGGGAGGCCTGGAGATCGAGACGCCTTCGAAGCAGTGGATACCGGTTCCTTTGGTCCCCGGTGGCGTTGTCGTCAACATTGGGGATTGTCTATCGTTGTGGAGCGGCAAGGTGCTCAAGTCGACGCTTCACAAGATCAACTTTGATGCTCTTCCTATTGATCAGGAGAGGTGGTCGATGGCGTATTTTGTGAATGCGAATAATGGTGGGGCTCTCAATTTCTTCTAGCCGCGAGTACTCTCATCTTGCTAACTTCTTATGTCAGATGCCAAACTCGAGGTTCTCAGCAGCGAAGCTAGATCTGCGTCGGTCCAAGACTTCTCCGAGGTGCTCACAATGCATCATTACGCCCAGGCGCGCATCTACATGTCACAAGCGCTAGATGCCAAGAACAATTGGCTGGCCAGCGACACTCGAGATTTGAAGCCAATAATGAAAGTTGTTGACGTGATAGAGCAGCTCGGTATTGCCAACGGGAATGGGGCTTTGAACGTGATGAAATCAGTCGCGGCGTGAGATATACTATGTCTGGTTTTCAAGACAGAATGAGCAGAAGGATCTATTTCCGTAATAGGGTATTCGATGACTTGTGCGGCGACATAGGAGTGCACTTGGTACTCCATATCTTTAACACATGCAGTCAAGTTTTGGTTTTATATCTCATGTTAACCAATAGCAGTCCATCATTCGTGTGACCATCTTGCCCTTCTTTCGCCAAAGTTAGTGTCAACTTCTATCCCACCAAGCATAAAACTTCTCATTGCTTCGGAAGCGATGAGAAGTTGGCCGAAGCAATGAGAAGTTGCTTCCGGTGAGCAAACGTATCGGAGTAAGTTGGAGTTGATGACAGGAAAAGAACAATTGAACCTCGCTTCTCGCCGATTAGCCTGCGGCAAGCCGCCCTGATCAACCAGTCCAATATCGACACCTAACCCTGATCGCTAAAGCCGGGGGCAGCATGCCTTGAACACTTTAAACGAACGACCTCGCCACCCAAACAGAATCATGCATGGGCACCCCTTGATAATGCTTCGAATAGCCGCGCCCTATGGCCCTAGCGGCAACGGGACGATGCCTTCCGTGCCGACATTCCCGGAATCGCAGGGTCCCTCCAGCTGACGACGACCGGGGAAATCCTACCCTCGGCATTATTAAACATCAGATTTCTTTTAACTTTATTTCTCTAGACCCTCATCGCGAAGATGGCCTGCATCTGCAACCCAAACAGACGAAATGAGAGAAAGCCAAGTACCCTTCATATGCATGTCAATCACCTTGATCGGCATATTCGATCTGAGCGTAGCTACCTCAGCGTGAATGAATGCGCCCAGAGGAGAATCCTGAAGCTGGTCCCTAGAGATGAGTTGTAACCCAAAAGGCACCAGAGTCCGATATTCATTCAACGACCGAACTATGCAACGACTCTGGTCCTCCGTCCATGTTCCTATACTGCATACGGGCAAACAAATGTTACATGTAAGGAGCAGACGCGTTATATTGTGTGGCAGTTCATCGTGTCAAACGTAGGTCATTGTTCCAACGTAATGTGATGACTGCCGAACTCCAAATGCCCATTTTCGCAAGACCTGGATCTGCAGACTTTCAAGCATCACGTTAGAAGCTGCAAGCCTTGGCATAACCCAAGACAACAAACGCCCAGACTGCCATCCCACCTCCATCAACATCACGCGCTCTAGATGCTCTTTCTTTCTTCGCAATTTCCCCAGAGATATCGACGGTCTTTCGCCTTGAGTCCCCGATAAGCAACCCGGTATGACTCGCTCCCATACATGTGGCGATCTTTGACGGCAAGGGATGGCAGTAGTTAGTAAAGACACGCAGGTAACGTCGTACATCACCAGACGACGAGAGTCTTATGCGAGAAGTCATTACTGAAGGCGATTATTCGTTGCAAAGTCGACAAAAGCAGAGGCCAATACAACGATTTGGTATGGCCATCGCCGCATGCGAAGTCTCTCCTAAGTAAAGACGACAAAATCCGCCGAGATATGCATAAACGTACGATGGACCGCCGCACCGAGTACGAACAGTCAGACGCCACAACAACACGAGCAGCGTCTGCGGCGCCCACACAAGCGAATCCCAGACCCGTCTTCGTTCAACATTCATCGACGAAGATGTAGGGTAACGCGCCCTTTCGCCACGCGGGTAGCAGGGCTAGATGCATGCAGTCTGGTGTGCGCATGGGCTCGGCCGACTGCACGTCCGGGCGGACGTGGATGGTGATACAGTGATACTGCTCGGTTCTCGGATCCCACGTCCTGAGACCGTCCGGAGATGGGACGAGGACGACGCAGCAGGAGGAGGAGGAATCGTGTTGTGCTGTTTCGTCGGGGAGGCGCGTAGTGCGGATGGCTGTCGAGTGAGTAAGCGGGAGCGAAGAGACCTTTTCGATTTGGGCTGGTATTTCACACGACACGCAAACATCTGAGCGTCACCGGGAATGAGAGAGGAATAAGTGTTTTAGCGGGGATGACATGCATTCTCTTTTTCGTTGAGTGTTTCCTCTAAAGGTGTGCTGTTCAACCGTCCCATCTTGCCCGCTTCCCCGAGTCTCGTCCGCCCCTTAGTCTATGGTGTGCCAAAAGTCTATCAAAGAAGCCCCGTGTTTGGTATGAATGATGATGATCCTATGCCGTGTTGTAGTTACAAATGTGAGTATCGAGAAAAGTAAAGACTGTGAAGGGTATTCAAGAAAAAGTCGAGAGAAATAGAGATCCAATTTAAGGAGAAAAAATTGAGTACGCTGGCTGCGCGCGCGCGCTTTATTGTGTCGTACGCGCTGGAATATGCCCCCTTCCCAAACCAAAATGACAACCACACACACACACACACACACATGATTAGAACGCCGCCTCCAGCCGTCGCTCGTTTGGCCAGAGCGGAAATAATTTGCAAAAACCTCCCACTCCAGAGTCAGTTTCTGGCGCTATGAACATTGAAAGCATGAACAGTGAGCCACCCTGGCCCACGACTGCGCAGGCACGACATCCGTAGATCCGTGCTGCGATGATCCTGGTTAAACACATCCGTTTTTCTTTTCTCCTCTCATCCTCGTTCCCCTTGGTGACACCGCTCACCACACCAGTCCGCTGAGCGCAGGCGCTTAGTGGTCGTTGTAGTCCTCGTCTCTCATGGTGTACATGATGTCTTGGATGACAACTGCCCTGATGTGGTGGTAGAGGACGAAGAAGTAGGTGCCGAGGAGGACGAGCGACATGGCGGTGGCAAACCACAGAACCGCTTCGTTGCCGAGCTGGTTTCCGATGGTGATGGTTGCGAGAGTGAAGCCGGTGTTGGGGAAGACCATGGCCCACCAGCCCAGGTGGAAGTAGACGGGGGGCGATGAGATGACGGCGATGGTGGCGATGCCGAACCACCACGCAGCGAGAGCCCAGAGGAAGATGGCGCACATGAGGGCGATGGTCCTGATGATGCCGACATCGATGAGGATGCCGTCGCGGTCGGGGTCGAGGTTGTTAGGGAGGCCGTTGGCCATGCCGATGAGGGCGAGGGCGGTGAATGCCGGGGGGCCGACGTTCATGAACAGACCGGGGCGGTGCTCACGGTTGGGCAGGCCCGCGGACATGAGGCGGCCGACCATGTGTGCGTACATGAGGACGGCGACGGAGAGACCCAGGCCCTGGCAGGTGAGGCCGGCGACGACGATGGGCACCGCGGCGATCTCGGGCTGGGTGTCGGCGATGACGGAGGCGATGGTGCCCGAGAGCATGATGGGGAAGATGGGAAGAATCCAGGTGGGCATCATGGTCTGCAGGCCGAAGTTGTGCCTGGCGAAGACGAAGCTGTACTGGCCGATGGCCAACATGAGGGTGACGATAACGTAGCCCCAGAAGGCGACCTGGATGGCCCACACGAGGGTCTCGTCGTTTTCGGGGATCGCGTAACGGTTTGTACTCGTGATGAGCGTCGCGATGGAGAGGAAGAACGTGGGGAAGAAGAAGCCCTCGCGCTCGTGTGTTAACGACTTCTTCATGTCGCCGGGGTACAGGAAGAATCTCGCCAGCATGGCCGAGCAGACGAGGACGAAGAGGATGATGTTGACGACGTAGACCACGGTACCGATTTGCCTCAGGCCGGGGAACTGATGAGGCTGGGCGAAGATGAGGAGGGAGAGACCGCCCGTGCTCATGGTGAGGGTGTACCAGGCCCAGGTGAAGTGGTGGAGGCGGGCCTTGAAGCCCATCCGCGGCCGGTTGGGGTCGTTGATGTCGATGTGGCCATGCTCGCCGTGGCCGTGTGGTGATGCGCCCTTCTCGACGACGGGTGTGATGGAGGTGCTGTAGGCGCCCTCGTCCTTCTCCTTGCCGTTGCCCTTCTCGTTGAATGCCAGGTCTAGCGGTGCCAGCTTGGGAGAGTTTGGTCTTGATGTTTGCCACTCCGCCGAGTTCTTGCGCGTCGACACCTCTGATTCGGTCCAGGCCGAGTGCTGGCCTGGGTGGACTGGATCTCTTCGATCCATTTTGTGTGTGTATGTGTGAGTTTTTGGTTTGGTGGTTTTTTGTTTTTTATGCTCGCTCGCTTCAAATCGAAACCGGTCGAAGCAGGAAATAGGAAACGCCGAATCTCGCAGAGAATAAGCCGTTCGCTCGAGAGTGAGTGTCGGGGGTTTGTTGGTGATGAGTTCAAAGGAAACCGTGTAGATGGGGAAAGTAAAAGACGATGATGATGATGGGGATGTCGAGGGGGGATAAATGCAAACAGAAATACAACGGAAGAAGAGAAGTTGCTGTCGCTGACAAGGGGATTCCAGCTCCGGTGGATAGACTGTAAGATTAGGTCTTGGACGGGATGATATATCTTCTTGGTGGCTCGAGAGATCCCAACTCCCCAAGTGTCCGGAAAATTCAGACCAAGCAAGGGCTCTCTCAGAATAGCTACACTGGGCTTGCTGGTTTGGCAAAACGGGGTATCAGTCCGGTGGAGTCAGTGTCGTCTGTGAGAGGACCGTACGGATACGTAGGGGAGGAGGAGGAGAGCAAAACAAAAATACACCAAGTGTGTGCGTATGAGACACGACAGGTCCGGTAGATGGAGATGTGTGGTTCTGGACACCCTTGTTTGAGGGGGTGGAGGGCTCGACTCTCAACTCTGTTCTGCCCTCTTTGCGTGTGTTAGTCGGTACGTAGGAGAGGATGGGTGTGTCCAAACCCCCAGACTGGGTGTTTGTGAGGGCCCTCTTTTGCGTCAACCAGCTTCTGTGCGTACGAGACGCGAGGCCCTCTTGAGATACCAAATTTGGGCTGAGGCAAAAGTTAAGATGGTCGACCCGCTTGACGACACCCCGTACAGACACACCGAAGGGTTTGAGAGTTTGAGTAGCCGCGGAAGTGTGTGTGTGTGAGAGGGATGGGCGGAAGGGGATCCACTCATATGAAGATCCCATGCGGCGGCGATACCGCTGTCGGTAACATATGGTTACGTTGGTGAGATCGATTGCCCCTACGTGAGAGGACTTACACATGTACCCTTACCTTGAGGCTCTTTGAGCGAAGAACGTGGGCTGGCGTTTGGGTGGCGGCCCAAGGAAGACACCCCCACGGCCTTTGCGCAGGGGGGCCCAGTTGGGCGACGACGGTTTGCCGGAAGAGGAAGGCCAGGGGGCATGTAATAGAGACCATCGTGGGTCTGGTCGACGGGCTAGCAAAATGACGGTTGAGAAGAACTATACACACTAGTGAGGGCGTCTACCGTCTCAGCCCGGCAGGGTGTTGTTGTCGCGACAGGTCGTGATAGTGACGAATGCGGCTATGGATGTACACGGCCTCGAGCAAAGGACCTCACGACGGTGTCAAGGGGCAGTCCCATCAGAGTGATGTGATACAAGCCGCGAGGTATTTTTGGGGCCGAGGGGTACTCCTGGATTTCATCGCGGTGACGGCCATTTGGGCGAAGACAGCAGTTCGGGCGCAGCCGTGCCAAGAGGTGAAATGTACGCCAAGAAATAATTTGTGCCAAGCTGGAAGAAGAGGCAAGGGTGATGTTGAGGATGTTGAAGACAGGAGACAGGAAGGCCAATCGGGGGCCCGCCAGGACAACACCTAGGCCGCGCATCCATCCTCTCGGCCAGGAACATGAGAAAAGGGGGGGACCGTGTGTCGAGGGTGTGTGTGTGTATGTGCGCGCCATGGAAAGAGATTTTCCTTCTGCGAGTCTTTCTCTCGGGCTTCCTTATCTGAAGAATGTGTGAATGGGGGCCATCTCGACGTCGATCACCCACGCACGGGATTGGGAATTTGGGAAAGATGGATGGGTGATGCTGGGCTTTGGTGACAATCAGGAGGAGTGAACAGGGGTGGCCGGTTGATCCTGAATCGGGAAATATTAATAGCCCATGCATATGCCTGTCCGAAGCAATGCTTCAGGCGGCTGGCTGGAACAGTCTGGCACCTGTTCTGCATCGCTGTCATCGTAGATGTTCGCATATCTGTAGGATCTGGGTGAAAGATGAAGCACACTAGAACAAGTCGCAGAATTCGGATCTTGGCGTTGAGGCGCCTGCGCGCGCCTACTCACGCATGCTGGCGGACCGCTTCCTCCCTCCCGCCCGTGTCAACGTCACGCTAATCAGCATATATGTGTGTGTGTGTGTGTTTTCTGTCTCTCTGCAAGCCTCAAGCCTCCGAGAGGATGAGAGGTGACTGACGCAGGTCAAAGAGGGACGGACGAGGGCACGGGGGTCACCCCCGGCAGTCCGAGTCGGGACATTCGTTTCACGATCGGAGCTCTGGCCGCCAAGAGATGGGAGGACCCGCCTTGGACCTCGAAACACGCTGAGAAGAATGAGGCAATGAAAGGCAATACCGGATTTTCATCGCCCCTTTTTTCCTGTGTCTCTGTGCTGCTGCTGCTGCTGCTGCTGCTGCTGCTGCAGTTGAGAGACGTGTGGATTGAAGATCGTGGTGGACAAGCCAAGCCAAGATATCTGCCAGCTCGTGTTTTGTGGTCTTGGCTTCGACTTACACGCCTTTTGCAGATGGAATTCGTAATTGACTGCGCACGCCTGCCAAGAACCGCGCTCAGCTTGTCGTTCGTACACTTCACCTTGGATCTGCATCTCAATTCTTCTCTGCCTCACCAGAGGTTCATTCATCTGTGCCCCAACAAGTCAAGCCATGAACGCGCACGCACATCTGAGCCGTCGCAGCTATCCGTACACACGTCAACAGCAACACTGACGCATCGTGTACCCGTTGATAGCCATTCCCGCCAAGACACACAGCCAAACACTGGCTTGGACGGATTACCCACTTGCACTGGACACGAAAATGTGTCGGAGGGCCAGGCAGGGAGAACCAGAAAATAGACACAACACAGAACAGCTACTGCGGCAGATTCTTTATTTTTTACCGCCGGGCGTAGCATTCGTCGGGTCGGTGATACCCTCTCCTTAACTCGCCGTGGCTTCAACGGTCCTCGCGGTTCAGGAGACGGGGGAATCCACCCGGGCGAAACACCGCTCTGGCCGGACACATGTGAATGAGGGCCAACGGCCGCGATAAGGCGCCCTGTTCCAAGTTTCCACGTCCTCTCTCTGTCTCTCGTCACATCCGTCATCCTTGAACGTGATGATAGCAGCGGCGGCGGCAGGCAGGGTAACACAATCTTCGGTTCCCGTTGACGGGTCGGCTTGTCCCACCCGTCGAAATTGAAATAGAAGTCAAAAAAGAGGGTCTCCCGTCCATCCCGTTGTTCCCCCTAATTGCCTCTTCAGGTATCCTCCCGGCATCTTTCACGTTGTCTTGGGTTATCTTGGGTTGTCTTGGGTTGGGCCTGGCTGGATGGTCCTTGGCTGGTTGTCCGCATTGTCGAAGGCCCATAACAAAGCTGGTTGGTCGTGTCTTACAGTAATCTGCCGTCACAGAATCTAGTCTGATGTCCTCGTCCACTGATCGACGCCTGGAGTCTCCAAGAAAGCCGTGCCGCTCGAGCCTAAATCAATGAATTGTCATCATTGTCGACTTGTCGCTGACAGACAGACAGACAGACAGACAGACAGACAGACAGGACAAAGCACCACACAGACGGCTACCTTAGACCGCCACACAACGTGGCCTTCGTCTTGGCCCTTGGCCGTCCATCCGGTCCAACCATCCATCCTGTGCGTACGTGCGGGTGCAAATCATATTTGACACTTTGTAAAAAAGGGAACAGAGATGGTGGCGCTTTCTATGCGTCTGGCGTGTGAGGCTAGCATACAATACCACCACACGATGCCGGAGAAACCAACATCCTATCAAACCGACGAATTGGGATGAAAGACATTTGACCTGTGCCTGTGCTGCGTGTTGAATGCTGAGCTACGTGTCTAAGCATACAAAACCACAGTTACCCGCCCGTTTCTATTCTCGTGATGTCTTGGCTTGTTTTTCCTCTTCTCCAGACAAGAACGTGCCCGTTTTTTGTTGTCTTGCGCGTCCGCTCGCGAACGAAGCCTCGTCGATGATGCAACTGTCCCCTCCGTTTGACCTCATCTTTCCCCCGGAACCACTTGGCGTTCTGAGTCTCTGGCTGGATAGCCCATTCTTCCACCCGCATTTCCTACCCACCGAAACTAGCGTGAACTAGTCCGGCGTGTGTTTCTACTGAGCCTCCCATCGCGACCCAATCAAAGTCTCTCAGAAACAGCACAGGGGAGGAGAGCCAAGATGACGCATCACGAATGAGTTTCAATGATTTTAGCCATTATCACGTCCGGGCGAAGGCAAGTGAGTGACAGATATCGATTTGCACCGCTTGCTGACTTGGCTTTCAATAGGGCGCCGGTGAGAGTGCCCGCCATCCCGGCCGGCCGCCGGTGGGCAATCTTGTCTTGGCCAGATTGGGTGACATGATCTACCGCCGAGGGAAAATCCCCATTAAATCAGCCATCCAGCAGAGATCCGGCCTGCATCTGCGCCGCAATCGCCAAGAACGCCTCGAAACGCGCCAGCAGAGAGAGATGATAAGCATTGTCGTGCCCGGCTGCATCCACTGCCGTGTAATGCACCGCCGCCCGCCGTCATCCACAACGTCCATCCGTCCATCCGTCCATCCGTCTTGCTGCATCTACACCGATGATGGGAAAGTTATCGCAGCATCTACGCTACACTACTACTGCTACTCCTACATGCCCGTCGCGGCGGTGGACACGACCTCTTGGCGAGACCCTCTCTTGTTGCGTCGATGGAAATGATCGAGAAACACAGTCCACACAGACACGAGGAAACACCAAAGCGGTGACTATCGCAGGCCTGCACCGCCCCCTGTTGATCGTGATGGCGATGGGCATTATCGCCAAGAGCCCGCGGAACGGCGTCTTCGCCCGTCCGTCCTACCGCGACGAATATTCTTTGGACGTCTGGATAGGCGGTTGTCTGGTCGATTTGGCCATCACTCTCACCCATCGACGATGTTCCTCTCTCTTGCTGCTGACCCATCATCATCTTCCGTCACACTGCCCCGTTGGCTGTAACGCTTGCTGTGTCTACACCGTGGCATCCTCGGTGGACCTTCTGCCGGACAGCTGGCTACCGCGCACCTCGCAGATCACCCGCCAGAAGTGACATTTGCCCAGAACTCGATTTGCATTCCCTTCTTTCCCATCACTGACTATCCTTCGTTAACCGTACCGTTCATTGCGGGATACCGGAATGCGGACGCTCTGCTCCAGTCCGCGAGATACGGTTCTTGGCTGATTGCCGATTCAGTATTTCTCACCCACAAGTCCAACTTACTCGTGACATAGAAGAGAAGCATAGATCCCGAGCAAAGCATCGACGTTCCCAGTCACGCCAGCATTGTTGAATCGTTCAGAAACCGTTTGGTTGAGGTCTCCGCCGTTCAAACACACAAAGGCATTCTGGAATTCTGGAACTGCAACGGCAGCAGCGAAGGTAGGGCCGAGAGTCCTCCCGAAAAGCCCCGAACACACACGGCCAGAAACCGGGTTGTTAATCGCTGTGTGTGATATCGCGGAACCCATGTTCGCAAGCACATGCCTTTGATGCCCAACAGCAAGCAACACGAGTCAAACTTCATCGCAGAAGAGAAGAAAAAAAAATTCCATCAAGGAACTCCCTACAGAAAAACGCACGCACCCAAGACACCGGGGCAACGGTCCGGCAGGCGGCCCAAGGAACGCAAGCGGCCCGCTGTCAACGACTCGGGATGTTAAAGGTAGAGACGAAGAATCGAGACCAGCAAGAAAAAATTCTTCCAATCTTTGGGTCGTGATGGGGGGGTTTACTCAGGACAAAGTTTTGCCAGGCTCAATCTGGTCTCTTCTGTGCAATCTAGCATCGTGACATGGGAATCTATCTGTTCCATGACGATAGAGACACAGAACGAGAGCCTCACGGACGGGAGGCCTGCAGTGTAACCAAAGAAATTTCGGCCACGCCCGCGACCTGGTTCCCGCCAAGATGTGTTAGATGCACGCCGCCCTGATAAGATACTTGGCAAGTGCTTGTCTTCTTTTTTTACAAGACTTTTTTTTTTTTTCGGCTGGGCCGCCAATCTCATACTACTTACAACATGATGCCCAACGAATTGGCAATGAGATGTAAATGAACGTCGAGAAAAACTTTTTGATGAAATTTTCACACAGCCCTGAATTAACGCGGGTTATTGCGACGGGCTACCCGTTGAGCTGTGATATCTGTGTGTGGTGTTGACTCAGTCGCACGCATAATTCTCGTCTTTGCAGTAGTGAAAATGTCGAGTCAAAAATAGAGACATGTGAAAGCCCGTCTTTCGAAATCGTCCCGGCCGGCCGCACGCATCCGCCCCCGTCCGTCGTCTCAGGACGCGCGATCCGGGGAGGACTCCAGACAGACAGACCACAGAATAAACGCCTACGCTAGCCAGCCATCACATCACATTGCCGTCTGGGGGAAGTAAACACTCCAGTCTCCTCCATCCCCACGAGCCAAAGAAGAAAGACATCAAAAAAAGGAAAGAAATCTCTGCGATAAGAGACCCAGATCTAGAATAGAAACAAAACCGTTACGGCGAGGAAGAGGGACCAGAAAACCCGGCCCCACCCAGACGCTGGACGCCCCGGCAATCCGAAACCGCAGACCCCGGCGCCGGCCTGTCTCAAGGAGTTTTTTGACAGCTCTGATCCCAAATGGCTGGCTACCTAGCTGCAGTTGCAGTGTATGTACATCTACCGGTATGATCCACCAGATCCGTATCCGCAACAAACCAACCCCCGTCCGCGAACCTCGTTGGGGTTTCAACTTATTATTGGCTCAGAGTTGATCTGGTATTTCATTTTTTTTTTTTTTCTTTTCTTGAATTGTATGTAAACAGGCCGGACTTTTTAAGTGGTATCCAATGATATCTCGTATCTTCGATGTGCGGTTGTGACTTGTAGAGTCGCAGCTATTTCCAGATCGTCTAGATAACGTCAAATCACGATACTGAACAGCTATGTGACAGTGATAGACAAACAGGGACTTTCGGATCTCACGAAAATTTCTCGGGGAGCTCAGGAGCCGTTCTTTTTTAATGGATCGTGATTTGCTTTTGATCAAAAAAGTCTTTTCAATAAGCTTGTGTGATTTGGTCGCGGTTAGATTGATGTGTAAAATGCCTGGAACACTGCAATGCTCCTCGATGGACTTGGCGATCCATACTCTACGCTACACTCTAAAATTGAAGGCTGGATGGTTCTACGGTAGCGAGGATAGTCTATACGTTATTGAGTTCGACCCCTGAATTTTGCTGTGTGCCTCCTTTTTTCATTCTCTTTTTACGACTGGCTACCCGTCATTGACCGAATTTGACTTCCTCACGGAGTGGACTACCTTGACGCCTGGTTACAATGACTGCTACGTGAGCTGATACAGTAACGCCTCTTTTTTAGATCGAGGAGTATGAAGAGTGTGATGGAGTCACTCTGACACGCCCGGGGTCCGGTCAACGGCAGCGTCCCACGGGAGGTTGGAAATAAGCAATGGCGGCGCCGCCGTTGCGCAGTCAAGCGTGTCTTTGAACTCTCGGCCTGCGTCACGACCCGTGGACTCCGAAGTTTGAACCTGTCTCGAAGGCGGCGTGAGTACACGCCCACATCACGAAGTGCAACAGAGGGAGAAGATACTGATGATCCAAGCAGATTATTTTCATTCTGTGATATACCCTACAAATTTTACAGCCAACACCCTAATCAATCAACTTCACACAGCCGCAGTCAAATCGGCTCGCCCGGACACACTACCACAGCTCGCAGGTCGGCTTCTTGCTCTTGCACTGGAAGCTGTCCCTGAACTCCCGACTGTTCGCCATAGTGCCAAGAATGCGGGCCCACTTGGGCGCATGGGGGTCGGTGTAAATGCGGTTGATGGCGGTGTCCTTGCGGGACTTGCCACACCACCAGTTGGAGTAGGTGACGAAGAAGAGCTGCTCCTGGGTGAAGTGCTCCAGGCCGGGCAGGTTCTTGTTGGGCTTCTCGTGGGCGCGGCGCTTCCAGGCCTGGAAAGAGGCGGAGAGGCCGCCGGCGTCGGCGATGTTCTCGCCAAGGGTCAGACGTCCGTTGACGTGGAGGGGCTCGTCGTCGGGTCCCGGGACGGTGAAGTTGGAGTACTGCTCAACGAAGCACTCGGCGCGCTCCTGGAAGGCCTTAACGGTGTCGTCGGTCCACCAGTCCGTGTAGTTGCCATTTTGGTCGTAGTGGCGACCGGTGGAGTCGAAGGCGTGAGAGAGTTCGTGGCCAGCGACGGAGCCGAAGGCGCCGTAGGACATGTACGCGGGTACCTCGACGTCGAAGACGGGGAACTGCATGATTCCGGCGGGGAACACAATTTCGTTGCCTGGAGGGTTGTAGTAGGCGTTCACGGTAGGTACTGTCATCCCCCATTGCTCCCTGTCGACGGGCTTGCCGAGAGCAGACCACTCGTAGCTAACAGCAAACTTGTTGACCTCGAGGGCGTTCTGGAAGAAGCTATCAGGGTTGAGGTTGACTGAGTCGTAGTACTTGTTCAGGCTGGGCGGATCCATGATGTTGGGGCTCTTGGTCGGGTAGCCAATCTTCTGGATGATGTTGTGGACCTTGTCGATAGCCTTCTTAGTGGTCTGCTTGTCCATCCACTTCGTAGCCTTGAGCTTCCTGGTGAACTCGTTCTTGATGTCGGTGATGATGGTGTCACCGAACTTCTTCGCCTTCTCAGAGAACGCCTTTTCAACGAAGAAGCGGCTGAGAATCCAGCCGACACCGTTGTCGACCTCTCCAACACAGGTGCGCCATCTCTCGGGGACAGACTCGGGGTCCTGCGTATCTGTTAGCATGGAACTTTGTGGAGAAAGATGACATCTCCTACCTTTCCAGCAAGCTCATTGACGAAACGCTTGTACGGCTTGACGGCATCGGCGTCGATGTATTCGTGGAGTTCCTGAACGGCCTTCCAGACGAAGAAGTTCTGGATGACCTCCTTGTCGGTCTCCGCCAGAATCGTGTTCAACTCAGTGAGGTACTTGGGCGCCATCACAATGACACGCTCAACCACAAAGTTCTCCGGTGCCAAGTCATGGATCAAAGCTGTGAGCTCAATCTCAGGGGTGAGAGCGGAAGCCTCATCAATGAGCATGGGGTTGTAATAGAACTGTACCTAGATTAGCACAGACGACCACCGCCGATGAGAATCACTTACAGTAACGTCCTCGCGCTCCTCAGTGCTTGGGGATGCAGCAGCCAGCATTCTCTCGAGATCAATAACCTTGGCAAAGTTGTCCTTGTTGTTATCAGGGAACAGATTTCCGAGAACCTCGACGGCGACACTGCGGTACTTCTCGACAAGCTTCTCATCCTCATAGCGCTCCTTGGAAGGCAGACCCAAGTCGTAGGGCGCGCCGACGGAGACCACAACAGAATCGGGGTCGCGGTCGTCGGCACCGGTACCAGCAGCAACGAATGCATTAACGCCGTACTTGGCGAGAAGGAGAATGGTGTCCTTCGTCGGCTTAGGCTCATCAACCTTGGCAGCGCCCTCGAGCGGGTATGCCTGCTTGATCTGATCCAGAATCTGAGTGAGAGGCTCAAGTCCGACCTCCTTAATCTTGTCCTCGTTGATACAGGCGTCGTAGACGGCCTTCATCTTGTCAAAGTTCTCCTCATCGGCGTCCTTGTCGCCGGAAAACAGCTTCAACGGGGAGAAAGCCGAGTGCTGACGATTGGTCAGGGTAGCTCCGCCCGAACGAGCCGGTTTACTCACCTTGGAGTCCTTGGGGTAAGGAGCCTCCAGGATGTGGCGAAGAAGGAGCTCCGAGTTCTCCGACATGATGGTGCCGGTGAAGGCATCACCTTGGTCGGAGCGGAGATCGTGGCGGTCACGCCACCCGCCGCACACGAGCTCCTCGAAGTCGTTGCATGGGTCGAGCTCTTTGTAGTTGGGGGAGAGATTGTACAAGATCTCCGAGGCTGCGTGGACACAGGCTGGAGTCGTGCACATCTTCTCCGCCCTGTCGGCGGCAAAGTGCTGTTGCGCTACAGAGGCATCGTTAGGATGGCGCGTCGAACTCCAAAACCAGAAGAAAATACCTTGCGGGATGCCGAAATACAGCATGCCGACAACAGCAGCGAGCGTGAAGACCTTGGCTACACGCTTACCGGCCGAGCAGCGGCCGGCATACGGGCAGCGCGGCTTCGGCTCGCCGGATTCGTCACCAGAGACGATGAGAGGCTCCTTCTCCTCCATGATGGGCTAAGGTAATCGGACTGATTGCAGATAAGCTAGATCGATTGAGATGATGGACGCACCCAGCCAGCTGAGCGTCTACACTTATCTTAGATATGATGTAGACGAGAGATTGGTCGGATGTACTGCTGCGTGCGGGTGGATAAAGGAAGGAAACGGAAAGGGAGGGAGGAGACCAACAAAAGCGAGATGATGGAGCTCACCAGGCAAGGTTAGAGCTTTGGGGAAGCTAGAGCTCTCAGGTCGGCTAGGGAAGCTTGGGCCCACCGATGACGCTTGGATGCGGAGAGACAGCTGCCTGGGGTCTTGGCGGGGAAACCTAGCTGACGATACCTGACGTCTCACCAAAAATAGGTGTGTCGTTTTGTACCCCTGCTATCCATGCCCTCTCGGACACCATCCGCGTGTCCTCGGAGGATATTCCGCCCACTTGCCGCCGTTTCGCCCAACTTTAAAACGTTTGTTTGATTTTCTTTACTGTCTATCAAACATACGCGAGAATGCCTTCGTCCACGGTTGATTCTTTGTAGAGACAGAATGAATTATTCTTCAGTTTTTAATCTCACAAATATCATTCTTAATACTCAGTAGGACTCATCCGTTGATACCTCTGCCAACGTTGCGCCACTCCTGCCATCATCACGGTTGTCTTGGACAAGTCCGTTCCTGCAGTAGCTTTGGCATGTGGGTGTTTTGGTGAGTGTCCGATCCTCTTCCGTGAAAAGTCTTGGCAATACAGGTATTCGGCATTGGTCACGGGAGAATCGCAACTGCATTAATCTGCATTAATCTCAGCCGTAGATCAAGATGAAGCCGTAGTGGGCTATGAGTAAGTGATACTCGGAGAACAAAGCACGACCCGCTTCAAGTTTCGTGTTCTGGGGGAGTGGGCTGTTTGACTGATCAAATACTCTTAGACCGTTCATCATCAGTCAGCCTTTCTCATCTTCTGTAATCATCTTCAGCTTCAGCGATTGTCAGACCTTTTTCAGTTTCTTTCCATGGTTGACTAATTCATGAACGGCGGGTTGAAATATGTGATGAAGAGTAGCCGCATTGAGTCGTGTCAGGTCTCGTCTATTGTTGCCCCTATCTCCTGTCGTTGCCCCTGCCGTCCGATGTTTCTTCTCCTGTCATTGCCCGTCATCGCCTGCCATCTGTCGTCGGTCTTGGAGTATTCGGCTCCGATAACGGCAAAGTAGCGTAAACTTCGGCTTCCTTCTATTTCAGCCGATTCACTTCACGTTATCCCAATATCGCAAAGATACCACCTGCGCGTGACGACGTACGCCAAGCTTTACCCCACGCTCGAGATCATCACGACAGAACTACCCCTCACTCAATACTCATCCTTCCGAGTAATAAGCTGCAGCAAAAACACCAAAAACTGGGCTCATTCTCCGCTCTGTCGGGTTGCATTACATGAGCGCTACGCAGGATAGGAAGCTCACAGCGCATCACGCAAGCATGATAAGGCGGAAAAGCTGTTATGCCTTCCTCCTCGGCCGTCTCGGACGTCCTTCTTTAACGATGCTTCCTTCCACTGTCGTCGGCTACCTTCTGCCTTGGCTTTGATTGCCTGGTGAGGGGTTCATGATGGCATCCCGCATGTGGAATGCCGACATATAAAAACGCCGGGAGGGTGTTATGGTTCTTGTCGTCCCGATCACTCGGGACCGCTGGTCATTCCACCATCTGCATTCAGCTCATCCATCATGAGGCGGACTCTGTTAGCAATCGGAATCGTGGCAACCGGCGTCTACGCCTGCCAACGTGACTGGGCGGCCCTCCACAAGCGCATCCACGATCACAGACACCACGACCACGGCCACAAGAAGCGTGATCTGGCGGTCGAGTATCCTCCTTCTCTCACCGAGCACGAGAGCATTCTGGTGAACTCGTTCGACAGCAAAGACTTGGACTCCTGGTCTTACTACTACACCCATGGAGACCATCTCGGCGGACACAACCGCACCATGGCCGAGTGGACGCAGGAGCAGTGGACCAACGCCGGCTGGGATGCGCATATCGAGGAGTACTGGATCTGGTACACCGCGCCTATTGAGACCAGCTTGAAGTTGAACAGGCCTGATGGTAGTGTGCATGAAGTCAGTTTGATTGAAGACATGCTGGAAGAGGACTCGACTACGAGCTACCCGAACCGCATTCCGGCTTACCATGCCATGAGCGGTTCCGGTAACATCAGTGCTGAGTACGTCTATGTTGGGCGTGGCCAGCGAGGCGACTATCAAGCGCTCGAAGATGCCGGTATTGAATTAGAAGGCAAGATCGCTCTTTCCATGTACGGAGGTATTTACAGAGGCACGAAAGTCAAAAATGCTCAGGTACGTCGATGGTTGTTGATATGAAGCATCTTGTTAACACGATGACTCCAGGACAAGGGCATGATCGGTGCAGTTCTCTTCACCGACCCCCTCGACGACGGCGAGATCACAGTCGCCAACGGCTATGCGGCCTACCCAGGTGTGTTGTTCTTCGTGTATTCGTAAAACATTTCATATCGAACGGGTGTTGACGCAAAGTCTCAGATGGCCCGGCGCGCAACCCCTCCATGATCCAGAGAGGCAGCGTCCGGTTCTCCTCACTCTACTCCGGCGACCCGTCAACCGTCGGCTACGCTTCCGAGAAGGACGGGCCTCGAAACGACGTCACCCCTTACAACCCGACAATTCCTTCGGTACCCATTAGCATGAAGGATGCCGTTCCTCTTCTTGCCGCTCTTGACGGGAGCGGCCAGTCTGCTGAACAGGTCAACCGGAGCAGCTGGGTCGGTGCCCTCCCGAACATCACCTACAGCAGTGGGCCAACTCCCGGTGCCACGCTCGATATGGCTCATTTCATGAACCAGACAGTCGCACCCACGTGGGATGTAATTGGTATTATTAATGGAACGAAGGAAGATGAGGTTCTTGTCATTGGTAACCATCGTGACGCTTGGGTTATCGGGGGCGCGGCGGATCCCAACTCCGGTTCCGCCGTCCTCATCGAACTTGCGAAAGCCTTTGGCAAGCTTGTCGAAAATGGATGGAAGCCTCGAAGAACGATGTAAGTGTTCTCAAATGTGTTCATGTACTGGTTTCGGATTACTAAATCATGTCGTTTCGCAGCATTCTCGGCTCCTGGGATGCGGAGGAGTTCGGTCTTCAAGGCTCGACCGAGTGGGTTGAGACTCATTTGCCCTGGCTCGTAACAAATGCCGTCGCCTACCTCAATCTCGATGTAGCTGTGTCCGGTCCTCGAACTGCTCTGTCTGGGTCCGGAGAGATCCAGACTCTTGCTATTGAGATGATGAAGAAGGTTCTCTTTCCCGAGGACTGGGATGTCGGCCCAACTCTGTACGACATGTGGTTCAACACCACCGAGGGGGAAATTCCCCCCTTGGGAAGCGGAAGTGACTACGCCGCCTTCTATCATAACGGAATCAGCGCCATTGATATTGGGTCTGATGGTGGAAAGACTGATCCGGTGTACCATTATCACGGGTAAGTATCGACACCATACGAACGTGCACTTCAAACATCAAGCTTACACCGTGTTAGGCACTACGACTCGTACGCCTGGATGTCCAAATTCGGCGACCCGGGCTTCAAAATCCACCGCGTGATGGGCCAATGGCTCACCCTGATCGCGTACCACATCGCCGACGACGTCATCATCCCCTGGGACCTCCCCAACGCGGGCCGCGTCCTGCGGACCTACTACGAAGACCTCAACGAGACCATCGCCGAGTCGTACCCCGACCTCGACCTCGACCTGTCGCCCATCGACGACGCCATCGCCGGGTTCGAGGCCGCGGCTGAGCGCATCGCGACGGTCGCCAAGCAGGCGCTCGCGTTCAACGACACCGTCCTCGTCGACGTTGTGAATAGCAAGTACCGCGACTTCTCACGGGGGTTTGCTAGTGCGGGAGGACTTCCCGGACGGCCGACGTTCCATAATGTGGTCAGCGCGCCGGGGCTTGATAACGGGTACGGCGCCGATGTGTTTCCGGCCGTTCAGGATAGTTTGAGTGCGGATAACGAGGAGCAGGCGAGGGAATGGGTGGAGAAGAGTGCTTCGGCGGTGTCTCGTGCCGCTGAGATTTTGCACATTTAATATTCAGACAACGGTAATGAAGGCGAAGATGAAGAAAAGGCCGATGAAGATAGCGATACGACATGGATGAAGTTTAACTTGCCCCGGGGTGAGTATGATTTATCAAGCGCCTTAACCAGGCTTAAAGGCTGATGCTATTATGATTACAAACATGATAGTGAGAACAACGACTCGTACAAACCCAACGCTACTCTAATCAATCTTTCTTTCTTTGTAATTGATGAGGGGGTATTCGTGTTAATTGCTTTTTTCGCGCCGCCCGCCGTGAACCTTTGACTCCCTCTACCAATCGCTGAATTTACTTCCCCTGTGCGAGCCCCCGAGAACAGAACGATCACCGGCATCACTCGGCGAGATATCCATCATGCTGTCGCTCGTGAGGAGGCGCCTGAGGGGCACGCGGTCGGGCGTCAGGGTGGCGACAGAGTCCTTCTTCGTGGAAGCGACGGTGGAGCTCTCGGGTATGTCGTCGGTGGCGATCATGGCGATGTCCTGGGAGACGATCTTGACGTTGCCGGACGCGCGGGTGGACTGGCGCGTCGAGCTGATGTTGGTGACGTAGAGCAGCTCGGGGAAGAGGCGCCGCGCGAGGGTGCGGGCGGCCGGCATGCAGGCGACGATCATGCCTACGCAGAGCTCGATGTGAGACCAGAGGGCGAGACCGTAGAAGTCATCTGAGAGTGGTGGTTAGTTACACAGAGAAAGTCGTGGTGGGGTTGAGGATCGGGACCTACATGTTGGGTTCCACGAGTGGCTGAAGACAGAGACACTGCGCAGTCGGACGGCGCTGACGATCGTGATGCTGCGTCACGGGTCAGTCGAGGCTTCGGGTTTGCGCCGGTGGGGAAGTACTTACAAGATGCCGACACCGAACATCGACATGATGCCCGCCTTCTGTCTCTTCTGCAGATTGAGCTTGTAGATTTGGGTCGCGGGGAGGACCAGCATCCAGACGTCCATCGCGATGTTCAGGGCTGCGTGCGAGAGCGCCATTGCGGACAGATCGATGCAATAGCCGGGATGCCTGCCGTCCCATCCGTACCAGAAATAACTGAGAGGCTTACACTGGTTCAGGTTGACGATGACAAACGCGAGGCAGACGGCGACGTTGAAGATTTGGGTGGCCCATAGGATCTGGCGGAAGACTTCCGTAATCGAGCCAAAAATGCGCAGGTAGAGGAATAGGACCGACGCTTTGATGACGGCTAGTGTTACCGAGTAGACGATCTCAAATGCAAAGAAGCCCTGGAGTCGGTGTTAGACGCAGAACGGAACAAAATGGAATGAGGGATGTATTACCCTGATGAAAGCTGTGATCTGCTCAACGCTGAGTGTCCAGATATCTCGACCGATGCCCTCTTTTTTGGCTGGGCGAAAGAATGTTAGACTCCGTACCAGACACAAGGAGGGAGCGGCCGACTCACCGAGGAAAGTTGCGACTAAGAAGGCGATCATCATAATCTGTCGAGGACATCGTGAGCCGAATCGTCAGCCTGGGGAGGGGAGTTCACCACCTACGTATCCGAATGATATTGTCCAGTCATCGTAGCCCCACGTGGCCAGGCCCATCCATTTGGTTGCTAATCTCATGCCATAGAATAGCGTAAGGACTCCGAACAGAAATGCTGGAACCCATTGGATCGTGTTGCCCTCATCGTGGTACTCGAAGCCGCAATCCGACCATGTCTGGTTCTTCGTAACTGTTCATCGTCAGTGCCTCCCTCTTTCGATATCGTTTACGGTCTGGTGGCATACTGAGGGCTTGCTGGACGCTACATTGCACTCGAACGCAATGGATGACAGCCATGTTATAATTCATGTCCGCGCACAGACATGTCGAATTCGTAAAGGCGCATGGCGTGTAATCGAGCGGTTCGAATAGGCACGGCAACTATTCAGCAGTCAATACCATACAACCATCCGTATACCTCCGGCGATGAAGCGATACAACTTACAGCACAGTCAGGGACATTATCGTAAAGACCGCTCACCAGCGGGAGGCTGGCGACGAAAGAAAGGGCCCAGAAGGAGACCTTCATCGCGAAGATGTTGTAGGCTGTCAAATCGTACGGTTGATCAGAGCATGACGGAAGGGAAGGGCTCGGTGGCTCGAGGGTGCTCTGGCAAAGCGCCAAATTCGACAATCAGATCGCGGGGGAGGAAGAGAAAACTCAAAGGTACATTTCAGACCAGGGCGGGACGAGAAGGGCACCCGGTCACATATGATGGGGACCTCAGATATGAGGGGCACCACAGGCTAGGTCCGGATCAGCCGCCCGCGTACGGGGCGACGTCTTGTAAGTTGTAAGCCACGGAAGCGATGGCGAAGTGGCTGGCCGGGTGCGGACGCACCTGGCCCAGACCGCCGGCCATGGGGCTGTTCGATGACCAGGTCGAGGTCGCGGTTTCTGACAGCTCTCCCCAAGTCGGGTTCGACAGCTGGGGCTGTTCGTATCACCGTAACTGCAATGATCTGCTCTTCGCAGCGGCGGAAAACCCACGTTTCTTGCGACAGAATCAGCACAACCAGGTAGAACTAGACCCTTGAAGACCCCTAAGCGAGAGAGCCAGGTCTCAGCCGGCAGCGGTCACGATACCCGTATGTTGGGAAGAGGGTGTGTTCGGCGAACGTCCCCAGCGGCGAGTCTCTCGCCCCGGCTCGCCGAAGCACGTTTCCGCTCGTCTATGACCGGGACATTCGCCCTCATTGGTTGAAAGAAACTCCAAGGTTATCCTTCATCAGCCTGAATCTTGGCTTCGAAAGACCCTCCATAGTATTTGTCGGCAGTCAGGAAAAAGGCGGCAGGTTCTCCAGGGTTGCGGACTCAGAAGGGATCTTCTCCGCAGAACCGGATGTATTGCTTTAACTAAATGCGTCACCAAGACGCAGTTATGTCTCTGCCTGTCAAGCGTCTTTGGGTTGGTCAAGTGGCGCCGAGAGCACAGCCAGGGCTTAGTTCACGAGCTAGTTTCGATGGTGGCTTTTGTGGCTTGCATATTTGATCGACGACCGGGCATTGGGCCTTGAATGTTCCTGAAAGGAATGCGTTGGGCTCGGCAGCATCTGTGGTATTAAGACATGGCTTCACCTGTCACCAGGATATTGGCCCTCGAAATGCTCAGATCATCCCTTCCTGCGTCGTAAAACTCGCGAGGTTGACAAGATGCCTTGGCAAACAGACGGCGCCGGCAGAAATGTCATTGAAGGTGCCATCCTGTTGGTAACGAAATCGCCGGATGATCGAACGTCCAGTCCAGATGGGCTCTATCGAAGCTAAGGATGTACCGTCACTGATGGTTCGAGGTAATCGGATCATGTAGTGCAGTCCGTCTTTTTTATCAGATTCCGTGCCCTTTCTCAGTCCGCAAATGAACACATGATATCTCGACCGAATCTATTTACCAAACCACATCTTCTCGGACCCTGGCAATAATAGAGAAAACCAGTTCGAGTACCGAGGCAACGAAATGCATTCAACTTGTCGCTGCTATCAGGCAGGCATCATCATCTTGCCAAGTGATTTCGGCTGTCAAGGATGATGCCATTCCGCCGGAAATGGAAGCATTCTCGTCAGAGGCATGTAAATCATCATTCGGCAAACCCTGACAGTCCCTGGCAGTGTCTTGAACTGTGCGATGAACCAACCGATTGAACACGGCTTGTTCCAGCCACAGCCTTGAATGAAAACGTGAGATGCTGCTTCTTGGCGGTCTCCGCGGGGTGCGGTGAAAAATGCATTAGTAAACATGATCGTCCATTCCTCGCGGTGGCCAAAGGAGAAAAGAAAGTTCTTTCTCTGTGGCATTATCAACTGAAGAAATCTGCCATGCCCCACGCACAATTTTGGATTACCGAAAATCCGGCCTCAACCGTTGAAACCTTTTACCGCGCTGATGACTGTGGGCAATGCAAGGTGGCTAGACTCTGGCAATCTTGAGGATTTGAAGTTCGGTATCTCATTGATGGCAGATGGTTAAAGCACAAGGGTGAGTTGGCAGAGAAGACACCACGAAAAAGCTAACCTTGGGACTTTGAGAGTCGCGAAATTCGATACGAAGCATGAAGGTAAATTCTGCCAACTCTGGAGTCACTTGAAAAAAACATTTGGGGAAAGCTTGCGGTATGTAAAAGAATCTCGAAAACAACTCCGTTCCTATTCTTTCATGATCTTCTCATACTGGGGACATTGACATATTGCAACTCTCTTATTTTGCCTCTGAATTTGTTCGTCTATATTGCGCGTCTATTCAAGGACCGATATCCCCCAGACCACGTAAATAGAGCTCCATGGCGATGTTCCTGCCACGGAAATCGAGTTATGAATGTGGTCGCATATTGGCGATTCGGATCACGATCTCCGAAACCTGATGTACCTACAGAGACAGTACAAATACCGAGTCAGTCTTTGGACTGATTTTGGCGATTAGGAACAGCCGTGGCGATGACTTCCAGATCCGGATGTGGTGGTCAGCTCTTCCTTTGACAGCTCCCAGGGGCTATTCCATCATTGACATAGTTGAAGTCCGCAAATAATAAAGCACAGGGCCATAAGAAAAAGAGTAGACCAGACCAGACGGCAGATCTGACGGTTTTACGCCACTTTCGCGGCGCGATTTCAAAGATCCAGACTTCTATGCTGCTCAGGCGGAGAGTATGTGAAGATATTTCCGGCCCAAGACTCTTCAAATCACTCTTTGCTTTCTGCAGTCCAACTAAAACGTGCTTTCCATTCGTCGGCGATTAGGAAAACGTGATTCAGCGGTCAAAACCATGTGCATGAGCCGCTTATTTTAGGAATAGACTCCTATTAGAGATGCCTCCATTTTAGCCCAGGGCCATGCCGGTAATATTCATTTAGTTGCAGTACAGCATCATTGTCCTAGAGCTAAAATGTCTTCATCACAGATATGATGCTCTACTCCACCTAGGTGACCGAGATGACAACCTTCTGACCCACGACGGTGGAGATACTACCATCTGCAGTGCTGTAACCACCTCCATCGACCTGGAAGGAAAGTCCGTTGCCGACTCTGATCTTCAGCTTGTTGCCCAGGAGGGAAGTAATTTCTGCTCCAGTGACAGCGCCATCCGACCAAGTCATGTCGACCTTGAAACCACCTCGAGCAATCCAGCCCTTCAAACTTCCGCTCGATAAACCCTGGCCGTTCGGAGGGATCGCTGGGCCGAGATGAACGACGCCGGCATGGCTTTGCAGCAGCATTTCCACGATCGCAGCCGTAAAGCCCGAGTTGCCGTCAATCTGGAAGTAGCTGCCATTCCTGCTGAGCAGGTTGTTGTGTACCCATCGAGATATGAGCTCCATGGCATACTTGAGTGCATTGGTCGCGTCAAATAAGCGCGCATGCAACAAGCTTGCCCAGGTTACGGCCCAACTGTTTCCACCTCCACCATTGTCCATGCGATGGCGAAGAAGTTTGTACGCCATGTCCGCATAGTCGGGGGTAGTAATTGGAGTAACCCAGGTGCCAGGTTGGGCACACACTAGAGGAGAAAAGTGGCGATGTCCCGGTTGATTCTCTCTGAACTCCTGGGAATATTCGAGGAGTTGTCCGAAAGAGCCCGCAACCGGAGGCTGGATTTTGTCCCGGAATGCCCTGGCCCGCTCGACGCCCGTCGTGGAGCCGAGAGCTTCGGAGATTTCGATAAAGCCAGACATCACTTCCCACATTATGGCGCGGTCATTCATGGCTCCTGCGTCGATGCCGGTGTTCTCCCCCGCCACTGACATATTCTCCGGGATGTAATAGGAGTTCTCTGGTGAGCAGCTTGGGTTGGTTATCCACCAGCCGTCTCGTTCGGTGGCCCAGCTGTAGATGAAGTCCATGGAGCCCTGTAAAATGGGTAAAACGCGCTCTTGAGCGAACTTCTCGTCACCCGTGAAGCGGAAGTGTTCGATTGCTTCGAATGCCAACCACGCGCCGCCGAGAGGGTAAGGAGCTGCGATGGTGATTGCGTGAAATGGTGTGCAGTCTCCTGTTATATCGGTGTTGTGGTGACAGCACCACCCGTCGGCCCCGTACATTCCCTTGGCTACCTCGCGACCTGTGACGGCCAAGCGGTCTAAGAAGTCGACGACAGGCTCCGCAATCTCTGGCAGATTGAGTGGCTGCGCAAGCCAGTAGTTCATCTCGAGGTTGATGTTGATGGTGAACTTGCTATCCCACGGTGGCCGGAAGTCTCTGTTCCAAATCCCTTGGAGATTTGCCGGCAGAGTGCCTGGCCGAGAGGACTGGATAAGCAGGTATTTTCCGTAGTTGAACTGAAGCGCCATCAACTCAGGATCCGTGGTGATGTTGCTGCCACGCTTCCAGTTCTCCAAGCGGGCTATGGTGTCCTTGGCGCCGATGTCCTGTGAGGTGCCTAAATCGACAGATGTACGTTCATAGTACTGTTGATAATCCTCGATGGCCTCTTTCTGCAAAAATTTGTATTCGGCCTCGGCCGCTGCGCTCAGGCGGTCGTCAACAATTGCCTCTAGATCCGCCACTGTGGCATCAGGATGTCGAAAAGCGGATTCTACGGTGTAGAGAATGACGACCTCGTTTCCTCCACGAATGTGAAGCGCCGTCCCGTTGGAATTAACGCTTCCAACACCTGATAAAAACAATTAACGAAGTTCTCGAGAGTTTAACAGTCACGATTCTTACCTCCAGAGAGTACAATCTGAGCCTTTGATGTAAAGCGATAGGTGTCGTCTTCTTCTCCGGTGCCATCTAGTCTCAAAGTTCTACTTGTGGCGTCCACAACCAGCGTGGTGACATTCATGCCCCTGGACAAGGCGATATCGAAGTCCATGGAGTTGGTTTTGTTCGACGACAGCTTGAATGCCAGCACATTCTTTGGGTAATTCCCAAATGCCTCTCTAGTGTACTCGACACCATTAAAAACGTAGCGAAGTGACGACAAACCAGTCGAGATATCCAAAGAGTGCCTGTAACCCGACGTGGAGTTGAGAGTATGATTGAAGTCGATCCGCAGCTCGCCTGCTGGCTGATATCGTCTCATGTCGTCATATTCAGGGGTAAAGTTTGCAACCCAGTTTTCATCAGCCTCTGTCAGTTTTCCATTGAGAATCTGTTGTCTGAGGGGTTCGAGGGCTTCGCGAGCGGTTGGCGGAATCTTGTCCATCGGCCCACCACTCCAGATACTCTCTTCGTTGAGTCGGATAAGCTCCTTGTCGGTGTAGCCATGTATCATGACCCCAAGACGACCATTGCCAACTGGAAGGGCCTCATAAAAGTCCCTGAGGGCTGGATGGGAATACCACAGCGTATGAGACGCTTCGGAGAGCGCAACGGCGAACTGGAGACCGCCCAACAGTAGACATGGGATAACGTACGCAGCAAACATATCAACAGATGAAAAGAAGGTACGCGATTGACTGTGTAAGACTGAATTTTAAACTGAGTCAATCAACGAAATCAGGAGTCACGGGTCTAAGCATTTTCAAATGACATGCGCCTTAATACTGATTGGAACTGAAACTTTTCAACGAATTAGCAATTGTCGTTACTCGGGGTATCATTGAGACAATTGGCGAGCAAATTCCGCCGTGTATGACGCTGAACCCCGCAAATCTGACCTTGGCGCCATCAAACCACAACCATGCTCATCTCTTTCCACTTTGGTACACGGAACTTGTGACTCCTTTCGATATGTTCTCTGCTCAAAATCCCTTTAGAAATTATATGCATCTTTGGAGAGGGACAGCCTCAACCCCTAGACATGAACAACACGCTGTGCTTGGCTGTGGTCGTGTGATCAAGATACAGCTTGAATCGCAAACCTATTTGTTTAGAGGCTTCTGTCCGTACACCATATGACTGTTGTACGTGTTAGCAGGTTCGTTCTTAGGAAGAATGCTTCGAGTCAACCTACACGTCGAAAAGCGCGTGGAAAACTCCGCTTTGCAACTCAGCTCGCACCTTCTCAAGCTCCTCGGTAATTTTCTCTTCGGTCCAGTTGAGCATCTCCGAAAACAGTTTCAGCGACAAGGCTTCGAGCCCGTCGAGGGTCAACTTCAAGTTCATCCATCCTAGCTGCTTATAGTATGGATGTTTTGGCCATATGCCCAAGGGTACCTTACTGCCCTGGGCGACGACGTTATCGAATCCGGCACTTCTGACCCAGCCTTCGAGTTTCGGTCCCACGCTAGGATCGCGTCCTGTCGATTCGCAAGCCCCGACAAATGTGTTCATCCATTTGTAGGTGGCATGTTCCGGTGTGTATGAACCATCCTCGGAGTAAAATGTCGTGTTTACGTCCTGGAACTCTGCCCAACCCCCAGGACTCAAGTGGCTACAATTTGACTTAGCAGAGCAGGTAGGGAGGTCTCCGAGATCGAGGCTTACTCGTATATGTTTTGCATCAGCCCCGGCCAATTTTGAATGGAAGCACCCATGTAACGGCACATGATGAAGTCGTATTTCTTATTGTCAACCCAAGGGCTCTCAATATCGTCGATTGTGAACTTGACGTTAGGGGGGATCCTGGCATTTTGGGTCAAAAGGATTGGTCTCATGTGACAAGAGAGATGAGAGAATTGGCATACCAGTCGGGTTGAATATTACTTAGATCAATCCCGTTAATCTACATATAGACCTCTTGTTAACATGAGTCTTCCGGTGTGTTGTTGTGGCGAGTGCGTCGATATACCTCAGCATGATCAAACTTATCGCCCATTTCAATCGCCCCTGGACATCGCCTCCTGAGTAACTGTAAGAATGACAGCCAGATGACAGCAGACACTTACATATACCAGTCCCTGTTCCAATGTCTAGAACTCTCTGTATTCGTTCCGGCTGCAATGGAGAACAGTAGAGTTTGTTTCCCATTGCTAGCACCATCATGGCATGAGCGAGGTCTAACCGCTCCATCTCGCGCTGGTTGAGATTGCTAGTGAGTACGGGTGACATACACGCAGCAAGTCTCTCATCAGATGCACACCTACTTCGTCATTTGGGAATTTGTATGCTGAATCAACCGTCAGTCTTTCGCATTCATATCCAAGGCTTTTTTACGCCCCGATGAGGGACCAGACTTACAGCCAGCGCGAAACGCATGATAACGACGGCCGTATTCCACAGGATAGTTGACAATGCTCGAAGTTAATGATTTGGAGTACTGTGACCTAAAGGTTCACTGTTAGCCGTTCTTGCTCAAATCTCGATGAAGGGTGCTGCTTACATCTGCTCATCAATCGAATCGAGATCGTTGCCGAACTAAGAGAACACAGGGGTCAGCGATATCGAACAGCTCATCAACAGAGGTATGAAAATTACATCGTTGTCAGGTTCGACCGTGACATGAGAGTTGACAGCCACCGGAGGGCGTGGTGGGCTCGACCTTGGGTCTACGTCCATCTCGGACACACCCGAGGTGAGCTGGGCATCAGAGGCGGTGATGTCTGCGTCATCGGGAGGATGATGTGACTGCGTATCCTTCATCATTGTCGGGTCTCAATCAACATAAAAGAACGTGATCCCTCTAGACAGCTGGTCGGGGAGAGAGGCTCCAGGGTCTTGAGGGCTGTCTGGTGGGTTTTGTGTGCGAGAATTGATCTTGATTGTTGCGACTTTTGGTTGATACTGCAGTCCACCCTGTCATTCCAGTGGAGTAGGCGAACCGGAGAGGTTTTGGATTGGCCAGCCATACGCACTTCTGCTTCAAGGATGCTGTTGGTTACAAAAGTACCGTTTTAGAGCTGACCGCTTCTGTCTCCCGGCCGGGTCGTTGGATGTCTGTGAGCCTTTGACAGGGTTGCTGGATATGCTCCAGGTCAGAATAGGCTTCTATCCGTTGCGCAGGGTAGGATCGCCTCTGAGCACGGCTCGGCGGGTTGGATCGGCTGGGAGATGGAAGGTCGAGACTGCGCCGCGGCAAATCCCTGTCGACACCATTCTCACTAGAATGAGCTAGGCTAGGCGAGGGACCATTAGCTTTTGAAGCAGGCACTGTTGGTTTAGTTGGGACCGTATCAACAGCGTGGCCTGTCGTGGGCGTGGTAAGTTGCTTACATGGAATTTGACTATCGCTGGGTAGTTAAATGCCAAGGGTTACTCATGGATAGCAAAAGTTCAACGCAAATTGCACGTTAGATTTGTATCTTAAACGCATTTGATCATTTCATTCCACCGGGCATTTGCGGGTGAGAAGTCATTATCCTCCACTTGGGCCTTACATGTAAACTTGGAGCATTCACGTTTCGGTTCATCCGCCGCTCTCATGTTCGGGGGCCCCTTGGTATCGCATTCACCGAGACTGCAGCATCTGCGCCCTTGCAAAAGAAGGCTTCAGTATGCCATGACGACTGGTTCACGCAAACAGAATTCTGAATCAATGTCACGAACTCGTACTCAGTAATGACAAGAGGAGGACGATTTCGACAACGATGATAAGGACAGCAGCGTCAGTACGCATAGTAACCAATGGCATCAGCAATAGCGATGATAAAGCGGCGATTACCGCAAACTGCTATTGATTGGGCCCGAGAGATCAAAAAACATCACCAAAACAAACTTAACCGGCATCGGAGCTTCTATAACGGGGAACCTAAGCGCCCCGATCCGGCGGAAGCACGGGACCGGGAGCGCGGCGCCGGGAACCTACCCCACCAACGGTGCCCCGCGGAGCCCTGCCGCACTGACGCGCATAAAGAAACGCCTGGGAATACCCCGCACTCCCGTCATTCTTCAGCGGCGACCCCCAAAGAGCTCCCGCAACACCCGTGGCTGCTTCTTACTTCAAACAATACGACATTTACTTATTCTCTCTCAACTCATCATCGTACACAGATTTTCCTCATACTACGAAACGAACACTACAATGGCGTCTCAGGGGCTTAGAATTGGCTTCGTGCCGGAGCACTTCTCCACGCCGCTTCACTTCGCCAAGGAGCACTTCGGCCTCGACGCCACCCTGGTCCCCTTCCCCTCTGGGACCGGCCACATGATCACGGCGCTCCGCGGTGGTGAGATTGACATCGGTATCGGTCTGACTGAGGGCTGGATCGCCGGTCTGGGCAAGGAGGACGCACCCGGCGACGGCGGTTACCGTCTCGTGGGAACCTACGTGGAAACGCCTCTCTGTAAGTCACTCTTTCGATGAGATGGCGTCAATCATTCTCACTGATTCTGAAAACCCCAGGCTGGGCCATCTCAACCGGCGCCAAGCGCCCCGAGATCACGTCCGTGGAATCCCTCAAGGGCGGCAAGATCGGCGTCTCGCGCATCGGCTCCGGCAGCCAGATCATGGGCTTCGTCCTCGCCGACCAGCACGGCTGGCTCTCGCCCTCCAACCCGCAGCCCTTCTCCGACACGGTGATCCTGAACAACTTTGAGAACCTGCGCAACGCCGTCAACTCGGGCGACGCCGACTTCTTCATGTGGGAGCACTTCACCTCCAAGCGGTACTACGACTCGGGCGAGATCCGCCGCGTCGGCGAGATCTACACGCCCTGGAGCAGCTGGAAGATCGTGGCCTCGACGGCGCTGGCCAAGGAGGGCGGCAAGCTGGACCCCCGGATCAAGGACTTGTTCGGGAAGCTCGACAAGGGGATCAAGCACTTCAACGAGAACCAGGACGAGGCTGTCAAGTACATCAGCACGCACCTCGACTACTCCGAGGCGGATGCGAGGGAGTGGTTGAAGACCGTCAAGTTCACGGACGGCGTCGAGGGTGTGAAGCCCGAGGTCGTCAACAACTGCGTCGACATTTTGAGGAAGGCTGGGGTTTTGGTAGAGGGCAAGGGAAGGCAGCCGGATGCGATGGTTGCGAGAGACTAAGATCATAACGTAGATAAAAGATATCACATCCGCAAGGAAACTTTGAAGAATGTTGCTGAACTGAACCCAAAAGCATTGATTTCCCATACTCCTGAAGCGTAGTCCTGACAATGATGCTAGGGTATCTACCAATCCCGCCATGCAATTCGTTTGCGAATCATATGCCTACACCTGAACAGCCTGGGCCCATTACGCCTTGTTCTTCTTCCTCTTGCCCTTGCCCTGCAACAGCTCGCGCTTCTCCTGCTTGCGGGTCTCCTTATCCTTACTTCCGATAACCCCAGTCTCCGAGCCGCAGGGCCACTTCGCAAGCGCCGCGGCCTCGTCTTCCTCGCTCCATTCACGAGGCAGAACGGCAAAGACGAGGTAGGAGGTATGCGTCTTCAGCTCGGGCTCGGCGCGGTGGATGACGCGGCCTTGCAACCACGGCTTCACGCTGGTCGCCTCTGCTGACGTGCCGTTCGCTTTCGTGTTTGGCGACTGGTCGACGTCCATGGCGTTGTTAGGCGACGAGCTTTCGGCAGAGTTGGGGTCTGCCGGGTTGTGGAAGTCTCTCGTGCGCTTCTCGATCACCCTAAGCTTGGCGACTGCCTCGCCGACGTCGCGCGCGGTGGGCGGAATGCCTCGTTCAGGCTGGCCAAGGCCGACGCGATCTCGAATGACATTGAACTTCTTGTTAGAGATCTCAATCATGTCGATATCCACCCAGCCAAGGGTTCTCAGCGTAGTGACGGTCCTCGTGACTTGCTCGATACAAGGAGAGAACGTGCAGATGTAGGCGGACTTCTTGGGGTTCAACGGAGACACCCATTTTTGCGCGTTTCCCTCGCCCTCCTCAGCTGTCGCTGGCTTACTTCGCGACAAGTGAGGCAGTGCCTCCCACGGAGCGGGCAGGTCGAGAAACACGGATTCAGCCTCCGGGCTCTCGCCATCGACCAAGAAACCTCCGTTGTAGACGTCGCGGTGCGTAAGCTGAACGATTCCCTCCAAGCCGTGTTCTGTGATCTCCTCTTGCATCTTCTCATAACGGTCCTTATTGAACTCGAAGCTGTAGACCTTGCCCTTCCGCTGGGTATCGTCTTCAGGGTAGCCGTTGTAGACGGCCCGCGCAGAAGCGTGGGAGAAACTTCCACTACCGGCGCCGGCTTCGATCAATCGGGTACCCGGGCGGGCGCGTATGCGCTGGAGGATAAAGCTGTAGTCGGGAGTGTAGACGACTTGTGTGCGGTGCGGCAAGCCTGCGGTCCAAAGCTCGGCGGTGGGCTGGAGAATATGAACGAAGCCGCTGGCGGCAGCGACGGCCTTCTTGACGGGTGCGGACGACTCGGCGTCGTCGGCGGCTGGGGTCGATGCATCGGTCTCCTCCTCCTTCCTCTTGCGCTTGCGGCCTCGGGAGCCGGTATCGACGTTCGACGCACGGATCTGAGAGCCCCAAGGAACGTTGATCAGAGTTGAGTGGGGGAAGGAGCCGAATCGAGTGTTGAGGACAGCTCCTTCGGCGTAGCCATCAACGGCGGCAGTCGAATCTTGGAGGATCAAGGGAACAAGGTTGTCGCGGGAAAGCTGGACGACAGCAATCGAATTGGCTTGTGTCCGAGGACCAGGCTCGAGGAATGGTGATGGTTTCGTCATACTGTCGACTTGTCTGGCGTCGTTCGTCGCCTAAGTTGATTGACGATGTTCCAATTGGTTGGTGTTGAGAAGAAAAGATGACAAGGCAGAAGGGAAGCAGAGGTACTTGCGGAAAACTTAACGCAAGGCTGAGGACCTAGAGAAAAAAAAGTCGAAAATTAGGATGTGGCTTGCCGCGGGGCATGTGTGGCTGGAGGGGCTCTCAACCACTCAGGCGGTGACTCACCGCCCCAGTTTCTGCAAGGCTGAAGATGGTGTCACCCTCTTTTTTGCGAATAGGCGACTTGGCTTTCTTACTCCTCCTCTCCCCGCGGTACCAAAGTGACTCAACCCCAGTCCACCACCTCCCGATCCCTTGACTGCGGCCTCCCTCCTTCCGTACCCCTTCTTGTTTACCTCCCCTCCTTTTGATCCTGGATGAATCGCTTCCTTAGACTCACCAGAATTTCTATTCGTCCCACTCAGATACCCAACTTTCGTTTCTCCAGGTCCTGCGCCACTATCGCGACGATGGAGTCGTTGAAGGTGCACAATTCCCTGAAGCCCGGCCAGCCGGTGCCTTTCACCCCGATCAACCCAGGAAAGGTATCCTGGTACGCTTGCGGACCTACAGTTTACGATAAGAGCCATTTGGGCCATGCGCGCAACTATGTCTCCACCGATATTATCCGTCGCATCATGATGCACTATTTTGGTGCTGATGTGAAGTTTGTAATGAACATTACAGACGTCGATGACAAGGTAAGCCACCACCACGGTCTACCTGTCTTTGTCGCACATGTTTCCTGACGCATTGTTTGTGCAGATCATCATCAAGGCCCGCAGACAGCGACTACTAGAACTCGAGAAGCAAAAGAAGTACTCGGAAGAGGAGCTCCACAACCTCGCCCTTACTGCTTTCCGCGCGTACGCCGACAAGAGCTTGCCTCTTCTCAACACATCCGACGGTCAACTGGACGAGAAGAACTACCTCGAGCGGAGGGATAGTGCATACGGCAAGGTGCTGGCGGGTGGTACGCTGACGGGGGAGGGCAAGCCAGGCGACGACGAGGCCAAGACGAAGATGCACATTAGCAACATGGATGCTGCCGCATTTGCGATCAAAGACAAGAAGTTCTTCCCCGGCATTGACGAGATACTGCTTCCCTACCTCGACTCCTTGTACAAGGAGACGATCGATACCAGCGATCAGACCATTTTCACAGACCTGACCCAGAGCATGGAGAAGCTCTTCTTCGACGACATGGACGCCCTCAACTGCTTGCGCCCCGACGTTATCACGAGAGTCACCGAGTATGTGCCCCAGATTGCGGCCTTTGTCGAGCGCATTGTGGATAAGGGTTTCGCGTACGAGTCTGACGGCTCCGTCTACTTCGACATTACGGCTTTCGAGAAGGCGGGCAACACCTATGCGCGCTTGCGTCCTGGTAACCGGAATGACAAGTCGTTGCAGGAGGACGGCGAGGGTGCCCTCTCAAAGAATTTGGGCGAGAAGCGTAACGAGGGTGATTTCGCGCTGTGGAAGAAGTCGAAGAAGGGAGAGCCCTATTGGCCCAGCCGATGGGGTCAGGGTCGTCCGGGCTGGCACATTGAGTGCTCTGTCATGGCCTCCGACATCCTCGGTGCGCAGATGGACATTCACTCCGGAGGTATCGACCTGGCATTCCCCCACCACGACAACGAACTGGCGCAGAGTGAGGCTTTCTACTGCGAGAAAGAGAAGGGAGAGCACACGTGGGTCAACAACTTCCTGCACATGGGACACCTGTCCATCTCTGGATCCAAGATGTCCAAGTCTTTGAAGAACTTCCAGACCATCCAGGACGCACTTGCGACAACTTATTCGTCGAGGGGCATGCGCATTGTTTTCCTGATGGGCAAGTGGAACGATGGCGTTGAGATTTCTCCTGACATGCGAGCTCAAGCATCAAGTTGGGAGGCGACCGTCAACGTGAGTAATATCTGATTCCAAGTAACGAGGTGATTCTAATTTTCCGCAGAACTTCTTCTCCAATGTCAAGGCGCTCGTTGCCGACGCAAACGCGTCGACAGAGGGTGTCGAGTCCCTCTCTATTGCCGACAAGCCAACTGAGGGCCTGCTGGCTGAGCTTGAGAAGGCCAAGACCGACCTGCATGCCGCCCTCGCCAACTCCTTTGATACCCCTCAGGCGATGCGCATCATCCAGGAATTGGTCAGCGAGGCGAACAAGATCATTGTTGCCCAGGACGCCGAGGCGAAGTTGCCTGAGCTGGTGGCCGTCGGTCACTGGATCACGAAGATTCTCGGGATTTTCGGGCTGGACGAGAACGCCAATGCTCCCTACGATGGCCTTGGCTGGGTATCTGTCGCAAAGAAGGATGTGCAGCCTGAGACGGTCGTGCAGCCGTACGCTGCTGTCTGGCTGAAGGTCAAGTCTGATGTCGAAGCGTTGAAGCTCTCTTCGGAGTCCATCTCCACCTTCCTCAGCCAGAACCCCGATGCCGAGTTCTCGTCAATTTCGCAAAAGGGCGTGTGTGACCCTGAGCAGCTGGCGCTGCCGTACCTGCGAGCTATCTCGAGGTTGCGCGACGAGCTTCGCCACATAGTATCGTCGGTCTCGCCCGACACCAAGAAAGCCATCCTGTCCCTCACCGACCGGATTCGTAACGAGGACCTCACCGTCTTGGGTGTTTCCCTGGACGACAGGCCGGACGGCAAGCCGTCGCTGATCAAGTTCGTCGATGCCAGCGAGCTGATCGCGGCGAGAAACGAGAAGCTAGCCCGAGAGGCCGAGAAGGCACGGGCCAAGGAGGAAGCCAAGCGCGCCCGCGAGCAAGCCGAGAAGGAGAAGTGGGAGAAGGCTAAGCTTTCCCACACGGAGATGTTCAAGGGAGACGAGAGGTACTCGGAGTGGGACGCGGAGGGATTGCCCACCAAGATGAAGGACGGAAGTGATGTGCCCAAAGCGCAGTTGAAGAAGCTGCAAAAGGAATGGCAACGACAGAAGAAGGCTCATGAGGAGTATCAGGTCAAATTCGGAGCGGGAAAAGCATAGATGAGATGGGATTTTACGGCATCGTGTAGCACCACAGAGCAGGCAATCCACGATATCATGAAGACACTTGAAGGGAGACAGCGATCTGGAGAGGTCAGAGGACAGATGCACTCTGAGACTTTCGCGGTCTCACTCGGCGGTGAGGGGAGATGCATACCATCGACACAACATTGGCCGAGCTATGTATCGATGGGCAAGGTGAGATGAGTTTATTTCGCAGTAGTGAACTGGCCAGCCACCACCACCACCACCACCATCATCATAGCCTGCAAGATGCCAAAGCGCGTGGCTGTAGAGCTATCCAGACCGGAGGAAGTGTGTGTGTGTGTGTGGACACCGGGACCCCTGACAGTTGGACCCTGCCAAGACGGGGGGCTTCCGATGATGCACGATCCCGCCAATGCCAAGAAAAGCGATCGTCCTTACCAGCAAGCTGGCAGCTTTCGTTAACCTCGCATCGATCGAGTCTTGAATTGACCTCACCTGGCCTGATGACATCTTCTTACTCTTTTCGCATCATGTCAGAACCCGCAAAACGACCGGCGACATATTGTAAGATCAACAGGTTTGAGAAGCCGAAAGAAGCGGTCAGAGGTGACTGGTCTGGCCGGTCCTGCGCATGGCTGAGGTTAAGCCCGAAAGCTGCAAGTTCCAAGGCAAAATCATGACCTCAAACCTTGGGCGACGAGGCGAGCATGGTTCTGGCATAGCAAGCATCGGAATCTCGTTGGCTCACTCGGATGGAACCGTCAAGGTTGGCCCCCATCGACAAGTCCTCTCGAGCGGTCTGGTCTCGATTCCTGGGACTAATGAGGGGGAATAAAGACCGGTCCCCCAATAGTACGGCATAAATGAAGACACCCACCTCCCGAGGAGCTACCCCTCATCACGAAGCCCGGATGATCCCCTATTCTTCATCGCATCGGTGACTGAGACACTACCCGCTGCACGAGCTATTCTGACACGTCATGGTGCCTATGAGAGACGAAGGACCCGGGCCGCCGTCGTCTCGTATGCAGGTTCGAGCCGTCTGCAAATCCCACAAAGTGCCCGGCTTTACTTGTGGATTGTATGAAGCCATTGAGGGGGGACTTTTGCGGGCTGGAACAGGATCGGATTCGACGAACTTCAAAGAAAAGGGAACTCGGACCAAAGACTGGGGTCGTTTGTTTTCTGTGTAACGCCCACATGGAGCTTTGTTTGCCGGTTTGCCGTACTCGCGACAAGCTTTCTTCGGTCCCCATTTGTTCTTGGGTTCAGCCCAGCAGGGGTGGCTGACGCATGAGAGATGCCGAATTCCCCGGTCTGGCGGAGACGGCGTGCGGCTTAACCGGATTGGCGACAAGCTCGAAGCTGTACGAATACATCTCAAATTCCAGCTTGGTGAGAGAGAGAGGACCTCCTCCGCGTTCATCCAGTGTCTCTCAGTCATGACCGTTGATGACCTCATCCAACTGTATCTCGAGAAATTAGCCCGCATTGACTTGAGTTTTCTTCTTCTGGGCAGTATTCCTTCGAAGTAGGTTTGATCTCTCGGATTATCTCGCGAATCAGAGATCCATCCGATGAAAGCAGGGACAAGTGTCAAGACAGCATGGACCACACGCAGGCTGTGCCGTTCCTCGCTCATCAATGCCGCCTCTCTCTCCACATGAGAAAGAGAGCAAGTTAAGCAGCAGCAGCCGCTGCCGATATCCCGAGCGACCCCGCCAAAAAACAAAGCCCACGGGTTTACGTCAGGCTACGTTCGGGTAGGGCTCGCTCGGCCTCCCGATAATGTCGCGGACGAAGGCCTCAAGATACCTTACCACCAGTGACAGTTTTACAGACCGCCCCTTTCCCCGCAAGGGTTTAGTGCTTCAGCTAAGGCCTCCCGTCTGTTTCTTCCCCCCTTTCGCTGACGCGGGCCGCGCGGGCATCGAATGAAGCCTAGGTCGGACGGGGTTTCCGTTTGGAACCTTGATACCTGCCTGCCTTGTTCTTGCAGCTGGAAGGGCGAGATCGAATCCTGGTTTGAGTGAAGTCATTGGGTGAAAGGCATTGAATGGGGGTGAAGATCAGGGGCGTTAGTGTTGTCTTGCTCGAAATAGAGCAAGCTTGTCTGGACTCATGACGATCACATGAGAGCTTGCTTGGGACGGAGGGGGATAAGAACCCCTCGAGCTGCCCCTCCACAGCTCAGATTCAGAGCCCTCATCAACAACAACTCAATTGACTTTATCACCCTCTTCACAAACACTCAAATCATTCAAAATGTTCGGATTCGGTACGTCTCCTCCTTCAGAAGCCATTATATGTGAGCGGCCACTTACACAACAGCAACAGGCGAAGCCAAGGAGCACCGTGATGCCGTCTACGGCGAGCACGAGGCCAAGCTCTCCCACGAGGTCGTCGCCGGCGGCGCGGCCTTCGAGGCCATGAAGCTCTTCGAGGACCGCCAGCGCAAGAACGGCGAGCCCGTCAAGCATGCCTTCGCCAAGGAGATGCTCGTCGGCATCGCCGGCGCCGAGGTCGACAAGCTGTTCGAGACCAAGGGCCTGGACTACCTCGACCGCGAGAAGGCCAAGAGGCACGCCGAGAAGCAGGCCGAGCACCTGTACGAGGAGCAGTACGGCGACATGGACGAGTACAACCCGTGAGTTGAACACACACATGAACATTCCCACATGAGGATGGCGGTAGCTAACAATTTCATCAGTGAGCGCCGCGAGCGTCACCACCACATGCAATAGATATCGTTAACGGCCGGATTGGATAGTTTAGTATGACGAAATGAAAACTTTTTTTTGCATAACTTTTCTTTCAAACATGTGATCTTTTGTATAAGTGCACTTGAATCGAACCTGTTGGCGTACAAGATCCCTACTGTGGACTCAACCGGTATGGCTTACGGTGTTCTGATAATGAGATATGTAACAGGAATGGATGGCTCACCAGAGCTATTGTCAATGTGTAGGTCATTTCAATATCATTGTTGACTTCTTCCAATTAGGAAATCAAGTTCGAAAGCTAACCGAGCAAATAGGTATCAAAGAATTATTGTCATGCGCAGACTCCTCATCCCGTTCATCATGCCATTCATCACATCGCCCTTAATTGCCCCACGGCTTGGACATTGACCCAGAAGCCGCAGCCATATCCATCTTCGAACTGCTCCCCTCCGCTGCATTACCAGCAATGAGCTCAAACAACCTCTCCCTCTCCTTCTGCAGCGCCTCTCTCGTCTCGTCAAGCCTCCTCTCCTTCTCCTTACCCGCCCTCATCAGACTCGCATGACGATCCCTCGTCTCGTGCAGCAACCGACTCAGCGCCTGCGTGCACCTCTCCACCGACGTCCTCGACTTCTTGATCTCATCGTGGAACGCCATGTCGCTGAAGATGTTGTCGAACAACACATCGCCCATGAGGTTCCCGTGGTTGATGCTCACCGACGGCAGGTCCCCGATGTACGGCGTCATCCGCTGCGCCTGCATGACCAGCATCCGCGCCTCCTGAGCCGCCGACTCGGCCCGCTGCAGCGCGCTCCGCTCCATCATGTCCGACATGGTCCCGCCGCCGAACATGTCCATCCGCGAGTGGCTCAGCGCGTCGTCGATGCTCCTCAGCGCGTCGCCCATGCGCTTCATCGCGTCCGTCAGGAGCCGGACGGCGTGCGACTCCGCCTCGGCCTTGGACCGGACGTCGTGGTACTCGTGCATCGCCCTCGCCGCCTCCTGCTCCCTCGAGTCCTCCTCGGGATACCCCTTGGTCGGGCCCGCGAAGATGGCCTCGTACAGGCTGTCCAGCTCCTTCTGCGCCAGCTCGTGCCTCTCGGCCTCCTTCTCGAGCGGGCCCCTGGCGTCCCGGGCGTCGGACAGCTGCTGCTTCAGGTTCTGGTTGATCTCCTTCTCGCGGTGCTCCTCCTGGAGGACGTCGAAGTACTCGCGCTCCTCGCGGGCGGCCTTGTCGGCGAACTTTTCGCGCTTGCCGACGGCCTTGTGCACGAAGCGGCGCATGACGCTGTTCCTGTACTTCTCGTGGTCCTTGAGCTCCTTCTTGCGGCGGGACTCGAGCTCGTGGACGTGCTTGTCCGAGGCGGCGAGCTGGTGCTCGAGGTCGGCGATCAGGCGGCGCTGCTGGGTCAGGTCCGGGACGGCGTTGTTCGTGTCGGAGAGGATGGAGAGGAGTTCGCGGTTTTTGACGGCCGCTTGGCGGATTTTGGATTCTAGGTCCGTTTTGGACATCATGTTGACGTTATTATTGATGGTGTTTGATGACTGCGATCAAAGTAGGCTAAGAGTATTATTTTTTTCCTTTTGTACGTTGATGACGTTCGCCGCTTCTCAAGGTGTGTGACTATTAGGGTGGTTTGGGGTATCTCAAAAGGTCGAGGGTATCCACAAGATGGATGAGGGTATCGTGAAGTATTAGATAGATGAAGAGTGACGTTTTGAGCACGTTATTCTGCTCAAAGGCAATTGTTCCGATGGGTTGATCAACAGACGTAAAGAATTACTCTCTCAAATGAACCGTCCGGGAGGGGAACGGGCCCTTTTGAGGCTTGGGTGCCCTCATACGTGACAGCCAGCGACCCTTGGCATCCTGCCGTCTGCTTATTTGCCAAGGCCTGACCAAAAGAACGACAGAAACACCAAGAGGCAATAGCATGATGGTAGAGAGTCGGACCATGACATCAGTCCCTGCCAGATCCTTACAGGAATCCAAGGGTCCGGCTGCCTCTGAGGCACGGAACACAAGACTCACCTCCAAATGCGGGGAGAAGTCTAGGTTGGGGGTCCTTTTCCGGTATGGATTCGACCTGATGTACGGGGATCATCGGTGTCTTTAGGGCTGCGCCACGGACCGAGACGGCGGGATATGCACTGAGCCACGGATTGCCGTTCGCCTTATTTCAGCCTGTTTGTCCACTTCGTCCAGGCAGACGGGAAACTCCAATGTTGTCGTTCCTTGTGAGTTCATGAGGATCAACACGGAGGTTTCTTAGTGGGCGATACGAATTGCCAAGGCCGCAGGATTCGCCCGGTTGTGCTTTAGAGGTGCCTAGTCTCGGATTATGATGGCAAGACTGTGGCTGGAGGGACGGCAGATGGAGCAAGGATCTTCGTTCATGACGCCGAAGTTGGCGCCCGGGAGTAACCCGGAGCGAGGGTATCGTGAATCATCCGACGGGGTTTTACTTTGTAGGGCGTGATGATTACTGATGCAACTCTGTCTTCGTCCTTGTTCCCTCCCTAAGATATGTTACTTCGGACGGCAGTTGGAACGGATGACAATTCTCTGCTCATTGGCCGTACAAGCGATGCTGCTATGTCTATTCCCCCACCAAGAACCGGGTTGAATTCCGGCGTCTTCGAGCCCGAAATGCCCAACTTCATGCGCATGGCAGAGGTCATCATGAAGCGAGCCACCAACGCCTGCTAGACTGTCTTAGACAATGAGATGATGGGGACAACGAGATTCAAGTCAGCCCTGTTGTCCCGCCAATAGTGCTGAAGTGATCGCCACGTGGCGAATGACAGCTGGTGTTCGCGATGCCAGCGAAGCTCACGATATCCACCATCGAGAGCGTCACAAGGATCAACCTCGTTGGTTTCATCATGCTATGTGCACCAATCATATATTTCTGCCCTATCCCCCAGGGGTCATGTCAGACAGCGCCAAGTTCTTCGGTGTTATCTCATCCGGGCCTCCAAACTTCAACTGGTGAAAAGACATTGCTTCCAACCTCCTACGCTGTCGCCAGCGTCCAACATTTGATTTTTGTCTATGCGCATATCGCTAATCCCTCTAACCAAGTCCAATCCGGCTTTACTGCTCCCAATCTATATCAAAAACACCGTCGCCTAGTAATACAAAAAACACTTCATTAACAAAGATCACCTCTCACAGCTCATCTTCCGCTTCTGATTCGTAGTCCATCCCCTCGACATCCCCGTCGTGGCTCGCCAAGTGAATCGGGCCCTTCTTCCTCGGTTCGTTCACGAGCATCAACGCCGCCCATACGATCACGGCCAGCATTGAGACGTAGAACCACGGCAACCCCCTCCACCCGCCCTTCTTCTCCAATCCCACCGAAAACGTCCACGCCAGCACCGGCCCGCCCAGCGGCGAGCCCAGGGTGTCGACCATGCTGGTCAGGGCATACAGCCGCGACGTGTGCTCCGGGTCCACGAACTCCGTGATCATGGCGCGCACCAGCGGCGCGCTGGCCGAGCCGAAGGTGCCCACCATGAGACCCAGCACGAAGACGACGATCTCCCAGCTGCAGCCCTCGATGAAGGCGCCGAGCGCGATCATCAGGTACGACCCCTTGGCGAGGAGCGCGTCCTTGCCGAACGCCGTGCAGCGGAAGCGGCCGCGCGGGTCGGTCAGGTTCTTCGCGAGCCAGGGGAGCACGAAGAGGATTCCGAGGTGCAGGAAGCCCAGGGGCGAGAGGAGGTAGGACGTCTGGGCGAGGGTCCAGCCGAAGTGCTTGCTCACGTACTGGGAGAGCGTGCTGGAGTGCGCGGACATGATGGCGCCGTGCAGGAGGGAGGGCGTGAGACAGAAGAGGATGTTGCGGTTCTTGAGGATGCCCACGGACTGCTGCAGCTCGCGCAGGCCGTTGCGGAAGGACTCCCTGACGGCGTCGAGCAGGGGCGGCTGCGGCTTCTGGGGCCCGTCCGCCTTGACGCGGAGGGTCTCGGGGAGGAGGACCATGGTGAGGAAGATGAAGGGCATGAGGAAGAAGACGAGGCGGATCGGGATCCAGGGGCCGTACTTCTCCATCAGGTAGCCGGCCGTGACGGGCCCGATGAGGCCGCCGATGACGGCGCCGGCGGACATGTAGACGAAGTTGGAGGCGCGGTCCTTGTCCGTGCTCACGTCGGCGGCCATGGCGTAGACGTTGTTGAACATGACGACGATGCCGCCGCCGATGAAGCCGAAGATCATGCCGACGAAGAGGAAGTAGATGTTGAGCTCGGGGAAGAATGACAGCATCAGAGGAGCCCAGCTGAAGGAGAGGACGGTGCCCAGGAAGGATAGTATGAGGACTGCTTTACGTCCGATCCTGGTGGGTGTCAGCGTGCCGGTCGCGCCAGCATGTGCACTGAGAACTCACCTGTCTGAGAGAATGCCGTAAGGAAACGCGACGAGCATGTTGACGATTGCACCGAGGAGGGACTGCCAACCGAACAGCCACGCCATGGCTTTCTGCACTTCATCGACCTTACACTTCATCTCGGGGATCTTCTGGTCATGAGGAAGTCTATAATGCTTGTGGCAGATGTCATCCTCGATGAGCCGCAGCATCGGGATCATGAGCAGCGTGCCGCTCGTCGTGATGGAAAACTTGAGAAGTGACAGCAGGAGAATGACAGCCCGGGGCGAGCGGACCTGGAACTGCAGCAGCGCATCGTTGATGCGCACCCCTAGAGCCCAGAGGGCGCCGCCGGCCCGGCCACCGGTCCATCCGCCAAACCGCGGTGGCGACCTGCTCCATTTCGGCCGCGTGTGCTGGAAAGCCCGGAAGGTCCCCGGTGCCGGGGCGGCGTCGGCCGGCAGGCCTTCCAGATCCGGGTACTCGGCCCCCATGAGGTGCGCGGCCTCCACCTCGTCTGATAAACGTGGCATATTCGCCAATCTGGATTTTCCCTCGGACCCCTACGGAGAGGGATCTGGGGCCATTTACGGGAGTTCAAGGAACGAAATCGAAGTGAAGATAGTGTGTACAGAGGAAAAGATGAGCGGGACAGAGAGTGAGGAAAGGGAGGAAAGGAGACGGGGTGACGACGCAGTTGGGTAAAGAATTCCTATCGCCAAGCCCTCCGTTTCAGCTGGGGCCAGCAATGCCCCGAAGCTTACGGGAGCTCATCCTCGTCGAGAGATCTGGCAATGTACAGGGTGATTCCAATTGAACCCCTGACTCGTGATATGCAAGTACATGAGTTCGGCGGAAAATTACGGCAAACTCCACGGGTTCCGTGGTAACCAGCTAACACAGATCCTCACCCCAGTCCATCAACAAGCTCTGCCGATCAGCTATTTCCCGCGTACTCGCCAATGAAACAGCAGCTTATTTTAGCACAAGTCAGCGCAGGTTCAGGGCTGAACCGTGTTGTCGGGCCCCGGAAGTGCCGTAATGAAGACATTCGACGTAGTTAAGAAGCCGACTTGCAGAGTGTTTAAAGCCTGTTCGACTCTTTCCAACGGAAAAAATGATACGCTTTGATAGCTTTCAGTAATACCGGTCCGGCAACCTTTCGGCGGGTTCTTCGTCTGAAGAATTGCTCCGCCGTCAAGTCGCTGCACTAGAGGAGTTTGTTCGGTTGATAACACATGCTCTGGTACAAGTTTATTACTACCTTGGTGTAGAGATAATGATTTATCCGTCAAGTCACCTGTCGACAAGGCAGCTTATCTTGTGCTACCTCTCATGCAGATGTACCCAGACATTTCAAGCACATATACTCTATAGCGGCTTTAAGAAGCACGTTTTAATTGGTGTACAGAGCATGCAATAGAGCATGCAGTTCAATCCAGACACGGAAATGAAGTGCAGTCAAGCGTCAGGCAAGCCAAATTCCGACGCAGCCTGATTTCCGTTTTCGCGAATACAAAAGGCAGGCGTTTTCTTCTCCCATTTAGCCTGTTCATTTTGACCTTCGAGTACCGAACCATTGTGATTTCAGCGATGTCGAGTCCACCGGCACAAGAAGACTGCTATACTTGGCGAGAGAAACTTGCCGACTATAAAGAATTATCAACCGAGGATGAGCGTTCCATCCAAGACCCGCATACCTGCTCTTGGTGCAAAACAATTCAGATCATGGAAGAATCTCCGACTGGAAAGTCTTTCGCGGCGGCAGAACCGGGATTCAGTTTTCAACACGTCTCAAAAGGCGCCCAAGCAGGTTGTCTCTTCTTCAGATGGGCCGCCGCATGTGTGTGGTCAGCTTCGAAGATCCGTAGTGTTAAAGAACGACCGGAGGTTAAAGATGATGAATTGTCTTTCTTGAGCTTGTCACTGCTGGAAGACGATGACCTTAATCCTCAGCTTAGTTCCAAGTCAGAAGCTCTACCACATGTACGATTAACAAAGAAGGTCTGGACACATGAGAGTAAGTTGACTGTGGTAAGCTGAGATCAGCTTCGCAGAGGGACACAAGTACTTGTGTATACAATACTAACGAATCGATAGGCGACCCAGCCGCTGCTTTTGTGATCAATCGACCACCTCAAGCCAAGGCTGACAAGTCAACGCTAGATTTTGGGCGTACCTGTTTGCAGAATTGTTTGACATCTCACGAGAGGTGTCGGCCGGGGTCACCGAATGACATGGAGAGGCCCTCGAAGAATAGTGAGATCTCAAGCCTGAAAGACGCACCAACTCGACTCCTTTATATTCAGGACAAGAGCGGAGAGCTTCATGTTCGCGTCGTGGATACACGCCATTTGAACAAGGAAGACAGCGAACATCTGATACAATCTGGATACGTGACGCTATCGTATTGCTGGGGAAAAGACCAGCCGGTCAAGCTTACCTCAGGGAGTGAGCCAACCCTGAGGAATGGAATTCCGTCGAGCGTTTTGCCGAAAACCCTCCGCGACGCTGTTATGGTCTCTAACTTCTTAGAGCGCCAATTCATTTGGATAGATGCTCTCTGTATTTTGCAAGACAGCAATTCGGACAAGACACTCGAAATCGCGAACATGGCGCGCTATTACAGCAACAGCACTCTTGCTATTTGTGCGGCATCCGCAGCCCATTGCGACGGGGGCTTGTTTCAAACGCAGACAAATCCTCGATTCGAGTTCGGTCCCGTTCAGCTTGAGTTCAAGTCAAAGGCAGGGAAGCTTGGCCACGTCTATCTTACGGGCGAGATTGTGCAAACGCAAGAGCCTTTGGCAACTCGAGGTTGGACATTTCAAGAAACGATGTTATCTCCAAGACTGCTCATTTTTGGCACAAACGAGGTACATTGGTCGTGCAAGTATGAGCATGGCTCTACGTTTGGAGGATATTCCACGCGGATTTCAGGTGGTGTTGATACCCTTGTCAAGGGTATTGACTCGTTAGACCCGATACGATTTCTACCACCTCGGCCCCAATGGAACTTGATGATCGCCAACTACACGAACAGGCTGCTGGGCTTTTCCGCCGACAAGCTTCCCGCAATCTCAGCATTGGCCAGTGTCTTGCAAGATAGTACATCGGCGCCGTATGATTACAGTTGTTACGAACCAATGGTATATGTCGCAGGCCTTTTTGTCATACCAAATGACCGCCAATCCTGGGCCGACGCCTTACTTTGGGCCACAGCCATGCCTTCAACGACCCGACCTCAACCGTACCGAGCACCATCGTGGTCATGGGCAAGCATTGATGGAATAATACGGGACAAAGGTTCAAAAACTTCCGATCCAGCTGACGAGTTTGATGTCGAAAATTACAACGTCACATTGGACAACAACTCAGCGCAGTTTGGAATGGTTAAGGACGCATGGATTTCCATTCGAGCAAGATGCCACACATTGAATAAGCCTATCAACATGGAAACCATCTTTGCGATGAAGGATGAACACGAAAACAAAATAGGGCTGAACATCTACAAGGCGCACGTCTCGAAGCCCGACTTTCTAATATTCTACCCAGATACTCTGGACTACAAGCATATCATTGAAGAAGCTTTGTATGGCAAGGGGAAGGGTGAGGTGCTCATGATAGAGTTGTGGAGGGTTCCTCCTCGTGGTCTGTTTTTGTACCTCCACGCGCAGCAAAGCCAACAAGGGTATGTGACATACGAGCGGATAGGATGTTTTGATTTCAGCACCACCAGATCGAATCGCCGAAGTGAGGACATGAATTCGGAAGAAATGGACGGCGTTTTCGGAGCTGGACAGATTCAGTCGGTGAGAATCGTCTAAGAACATAGCCTCGCCCTTAGGCTGACAGCATAACGATTTTCATTTTCAAGCGGTCATCTTGGTTTCGTGGGATAGTATCTTAACAGTTGGGCCGCTTCTCTGATTGCGACTCAAAGCGTTTTGCGATGGTCCATACTAACAAGCTCCTCGGCTACCGCCGACTGAGAAGGGCTGCGGGCTAAGAGAGACTACGCATCCACAAACTTGAGAGCTTTCGAGCGTATAATCCGGGCCATTCTTGGCTTCAACTACATAATACACTATCTCGAGTATTTGAAAGTAGAATGATTGATCTCGTTTAGTTTGTTATGGCTATCCATGTTGATTGTCTTCGCTGCGGTCAACTAGATGCCGACAGGATGGAATCGATCATGATATCAATATGAAGCCTACGAGAACTTGTGGATTATACCAGTACTATGGGACGTCTTACCACTCGTTGGAACTGAACGAGATCTTTTCTGCTTTAATTGGCCGACCCGGTCGCTTGGTTAAATTGATCGGGTATTCGGCACGATGCCGAGCGTTGGACCTAGTTGAGAACTTAGATATCATATGAGCTAAGTGGCCACAATCCCGAAATCAGCATGTCGGGTTACTCTCGTGATGGTGGGGAGGCCTCTTCGCAAAGCTGGGCGTTGGTTGTCACTCGTTACCTTACGAGCAAGAACCTGTATCCGTACAAGTAAGCCCAGAGCGGCCTCTACAAACCCGTCTTGGCCGGCTTACATCTCAACTGTGCCTTACGAGGCAGACTGGGGCTTGGCCCTATGGGAAATTACCGAGAACATTCATTGATAAAGATTGCCCCATGTAAACTGCCCCAACTATGTCAGCCGTTTCCAACTATTTCAGACTCTCTCGCAGCCACATCACAACAACAATCTCCGCTTAGCCAACTATCAATGTCGAAGCCTACTCCCTCCCAACATACCTACCCCGGCAGCCCCGGCGCCCTCATGGGTCTCCTATCCACTTCAGTCGTAACCTGGCTCTTACTCGGAGCCATGGCCTATAGCGACGCGATCGCGGAGGAGGCACAATTCGTTCTCAACCTCTTCCTCTGCGTCGTCCTGGTGACCACTCTCAGCCTGGCCAGCGCGGAGCTGCCGAGCGCCGGGCAGTCACGCCGCGGCGCGTCCCGCGGCTCTGCGTACTACACCGCCTCGGTCACCGGGTTCGGCGCCAGCATCGTCTACGCGCTCGTCTCGAGCAACTGGGATAGCGGTCACAAGCGGCTTTTCTGGGGCCTGGGGGGATTCTACGGAGGGATACTCCTCGAGGCGGCGACCGGTTTCTATGCGGCTTGCGCTCGACGGCTGCGGGAGTCCATGTACGAGTCGGAAACGGAGACCGGGGTATCGGAGGCTCAGGTATCAGAGCCTCGAGTGTCAGAACCTCCCGTGCCGCAGGCTGTGAAACAGGACTAGAGAATAAAACTGCGAATGAGGTCAAGCCAACGGAGCAGCAAAGCTGTTACCCGCTGGCTTTGGTGCTGCACTGACAGTCAACTTAGTCTGATATCAAATATTGAGCTACCGCGTTATGACGAGCAGAGCAGCTCCAGAGCGCAGATGTCGAGCTTGGTAGCTGTCTATCTGCAACTCTAGCATCCATCCATAGCTACCCAGCGACTAATCACTTCAACTCGCTAAACTCCCTCCTCGGCCACGCGCTATGCGTCGGCGGAACAAGCTCCTTATCCCAAGCCCACTTCCTCGCCAGCTTCTCATCCAGCGACCCCTGAAGCAGCTGCACCACATATTTCCCCAGCACGGGCAGGAACTTCCACCCGTGGAACGACCCAATCGTCGCAACGTAGAGATTCTTGCTCCCCGAGTGCGCCGAGATGATGAAGTCCTCGCTGGGCGAAACCGCCTCCCTGTCGCACGAGATTCTCAGTTAGTCTCCGCGTCTAGTCTGTGTTGAGTTGTGATGGGTAGATAAGAACGAACCAGCAGATACGGTACTTCTCGACCTTGAACTCGTCGCTGAGCTTCCCGTAGATACTCTTCCCCGCAAAGTCCACGTCCTCTTTGAGAGAGGCCGGCACGTCGAGTTGCGCGTAGTCCGGCTCCGAGGGGGGCTTGGAGATGAGACTGCCGTTGGGGTGCGGTTGGGTGTTGCGGAAGATGATCTGGCCCCAGAACTTGAGCGTCCTGTCTTTTGAATGAGGGACGCTTCCGTTGCTCGCGCCTGATGAGCTCAATGTCAGCTTTCCGCATATCCATTCAAGGACTGAAATGCAACTCAGATCGTACCTCGCTCAGGCGGCACCGTCGAGATACCAACCGGCCCGTCATACAACTGCGCCGCCTTCTCCCCGGAGACGGGCGTGAACCCCTCAGTCACAGCCGCAGCGACGAACCTCTCGCCGGCGTGCAGCTCCGTACGGTCCGGCGCGCTGTCGGCCAGCAACTTCGCCGTATACGCGCCCGTGGACAAGATGACCTTATCAGCCCCAATCCTCTCCCCCTCCGTCGTCCTCACCCCCGTCGTCGCGCCCTCCGCGTCAAACTCCAACCTCTCCACCTCCGCCTGTACATACCTCACCCCGCGCCTCACAGCCTCCCGAATCGTCGCCTCCAACGCCTCCTTCGCCTCGCCCCACCCGCTGTTCTTATTCACAAACACCTCCTTCACACCCGTGTAATCCCCGTCCTCGAATATCCCCCCGTACGTCTCCCGCGCCTCCTCGACGCTCAGCGCGAACAATCCCGATTCCACGCCCAGCTTCGCGTAGTTGTCACGCACGACCTGCGAAAAGTCCGTCGCGGAGACCCAGTAGACGCCGCTCTCGTGGTAAAAGGGCTTCCAGAGGGGGTCCGAGGCCCAGAGCGCCTTGGCCTCGAGGGAGAGGCGCATGTACTCGATGTCGGCGTAGTCGGCGCGGACGACCTTGTTCCAGTCCCAGGAGGCGGCGACGCGGACGGGGGCGTCGAAGGCGTTGCGGTCGATGAGGGTTATGCGGGCGCGGGGTTCGGCGCGGATGAGGTGGAGCGCGGTGGAGGCGCCGAAGACGCCGGCGCCGACGATGAGGTAGGAGGGTTGGGGTGTTTCGCTCATGGTTGAGGTGTTGGTTTAGGGCCGGTGATGAGTTTGAGATGAGTGAGTAGCGACTGGGCGATATGAGAAGAAGTTGTCGTTGAGGTGAGTTTCGTCTCTTATCATGCTGTTGATGTTGCCCGCATGAGTCTCCATTTTCTATGTGACGTCATCCTATTGGACGGGCACGCAATCGAACATGTCGATATCCATAATGCCAGTCATGTCTTTGGTAATAGATGGGTTTGAAGCAGAGAAAGCTTGATGTGAAAACGAGTTAATAATTGAGAATGTGATGAACGCTCAGCTATGCCTCGATAAGTTCTCAACAGCCGGTGACCCTCCGAAGACGCGAACCAACCCATGTGCTGCAGGCAGTGTCCTGTGTAGCCCACTCCCAAACACACTGTCGAATTTGTACTGTTTTCTCCATCTCTAGTGTCCCGTCGGACGCACCGTCTTAGAATAAACTGCTGCCGCCACCGCCGCTGACATTCCATTTCTCAATCAGGGCCCAAAGCTCAGTCCCGCTGCCCTCGCTCGGCCCCGCCACACTCTTATCGTCCTCGGCCAGCAGCGCCTTGATCTCGTCTCTGTCCGGCACCGCATAGCTCGGCGGTTTCGTCTCGCTCTCCTGGATCGCCAGCTTCACCCACGGTTCGAGGTACGGCTTGGCGGCCTCGGGAATGTCGCGCTTCATGGCCCACGCCATGGCCTGCGCGGCCTGGAGCAGGTAGATGGACATGCGCACCACGCGGGCGGAGAGCCCGCTCAGCATGCAGAGCCGGGTGAAGAGGGTTTTCGTGGCGGCGTCGCCGTCGTTGAGGAAGGGGATGAGGTTCTGCATCGTCACGAACAGCTCGCGGGTGATGTAGGAGCTGACGGTGAACCTATGCAGGTAGGCCTCGGCCAGGGTCGTGTCGGCTATGCAGTGCTGAAGGGTGAGGGACTTGACTGTTGTCGAGGTGTCGGTGAACGGGGTATCGAATTTTGCTGACGGGTGGAGGGGTTGGAGGATGGCGTATGCTAGTTCGTTTTCGTGCATTCTACGTCGAGTGGTCAGTTCGTCTTCTGGACGGGAGAGAAGTCGTCAGACCGACCTCAAGAAGCAGGTTGAAGGCGTGAAGTTGAATTCCATTCGAAAACGCTTTGGCAGGTCGGCTCTGAACTGTTGGGCCTTGCAGAACAGGCGCTTTCTCCGTTTGATATCTTCAGCGCCGCCTTTCATATGGGTGGTAGTTGCTGAGGTGAGGTAATTCATGATTTCGTATTGCAAACAGGCCAGGTTGCAGTTGACTGTTGCGATCCCAGGTACAATCGTTGCGTAAGTCGTCATCCCACTTAAAGGCCGGCCTAGCACGTCTACGTTGCCGAGGGGTTCAACTGCATCTCGCCCGCTGTTGTCGAATAATATAGGTACTGACGGGGGAGGAATATTTGAGAGTTGGGCGTAGAAATACGACAGGCGGCTGCCGTCCCATGTCAGAATGCGTCCTTGTGTCGCCTCGGCGTGTTCTGGGCCCAGCTCGACTCACCTTTCCATTATGAAAATGGCCCAGACCGCCCTAGAAATGGCCAACCTCTCTTTCGCGTCCTGAGGGTCGTCTTCCTTCAGTAATGCGAATTTGCGTTCCGGCTTTAAGCGCTTATACCGTTCCCATGCCATGTAACGATACATTTTCGCTCGTGGCTCGTCGCCTGCGATGCTCGCAGAATGGTCGATGAGCACCAACCCGATAACGGTCGGGAGCGTCGCGCGACCCTGGCTCTTTTCGACGAGCTGCATCACCTCGTCCCGGAAGCGCTTGGACAAGTCTTGTCCGGTGATGGAGCCGAATTGCTTCGCTCGGTCTAGGAAAGGCTTGTATGTGAGTGGTCAGTCGGGTGACTGAGGGAGGATCGACCGATGGATCAGGTCAGAACTCACACTTCGAAGAGCGCAAATGGCGTTGACGAGGATGGGAGAGCAGTACTTGGCACGCTTGACGCTGCCGGCTCTCATGTTGTCGAGGAAGAGGTCGCGTTCGATGGCGGGGAAGTTGCTGGCGTTCTCCCAGGTGAAGAAATCGGTGATGAGCTCAGATACGAGTCCGTCGTCTGCGATGGCTGTCCAAGGTTTCGCGGGCACGCGGATCAGACTATGTTCCATGGCCTTGTCGTTGAGCTTGGCTAACCTTGAATCATTAACCCGCTCGTTGGAGGCCGGCGAGGGCAGCAGGATCTCGGCCTGCCTGATGGACTCCAAGACCGTCAGGGGGTCACCCGTCTTGCGGATGCGGCGAAAGATTTCCTGGGCTTCGTCTTCTGTCTTGCTGCAGACCATGCGGAAAAGGTCTCTGTACTGGGTGTTCTCCGTCTCCAGGTCGTTGGCCTTGCGTTTGAGAGCGAGACTCACCGTCTCGCCCTGATTTGCCTCGTAATGGCATTCGATACCCCGTTTGGTGCAATGCTGACATTTCGGCCTGTTGCCATCGCACTGGGAGCCGGGTTAAAAAGAGGCCTTCTGGCTCGGAGGAGTACGCGACTCACCTTGGCTTTTCGACGTCGACATTGGTTGCAGGCGACGGCGATGACCTGTCTCTTAGGCCCCGATCGCGGCTTGTTGGCCTCGGCGGACGATTCGCTGCTCGGGCTCCTGGATTCGTTGCTCTCTGATTCCTTTTCAGGCACGTCATTTGGTGATCCGTCTCTTCCGTTTGTGGGTGGCTGCTGTGTGGCAGGCGGCACAGGGCTGGCATGAGCCGCTGTGGCACCTGGAGCGGGCAGGATCGCTCGGCGACGTTTCGAAGGGAGCGACATGAGAACTGATCTTCGTCGCGCAAAGCCTCGCGGTTTCTTCTGAATGGCAATTTGACGTTGGAAACCGTGATTTTCGCCGTGGAATGTGAGATGGCTTCCAAGTGAATGATCTGCTCAGTCAAAGTTGTGAGGAATCTCGATGGCAGGAGCGGTGGACCAGTGGGAAACCTGTAAGTGGGGCTGTCGGAGGTGAGCTCCTATTGGTCACGGCGCTACCTCCGACCAATGGGAGGACGTCGGAGCAGGCTCCTACGGTTTGATGACGCCCCTCTGCTTCCAGGGTATCGATGGAAAGCTGACAGGGGGAAGGCGGCCAGTGAAAGGGATCAAGACGAGGGAGGCAATGAATTTGTAGCAGCAACAGCGATGGTGACGGAAATCCGTACGTAAATGTCGAAGAATGAAAAAAAGGGAAAGGGGGGATGGGATTGATTTTCTCAGCCCAAATTCATCCAGAGTCAAAAAATCATCACCCATGTCTTTCATTGGCCAATATTGGGATTGTGGCGCTGGGCTGTCCGAGGCCGTGATTTTTCCGGGAACCCCCGTGGTGACATCTAGACTGAAAATGGAAGGACCGGTCAATGTTTGACCAGTGCCGTCTCGTCTGTACTATGACGTCCCATATTTCACGGCTGGATTTTGAGACTCCATGTGCTTCCATGCATATTGCAACGGGTCGGAGCTTGCGCCGAAAAAGTTTGACCCTGGCGGTCAAGCCACCTACGTTGCATGCCCTGCTTCTATCCAACAAGGTATCCGTACTCAACGACGCCATGTTGGTGTTTAGCCTTTCATTTGTCAATATTGATGTGGAAAGGCTAGCTCAGGACCCGATTCAGTACCTTGGCGATGTTGTAGTTCATCCTAAGACATTGCCATTCATAGGCAGCTACTTCCCTGTCCCTATCATCTCCTATTTGAGCGTTCACTTACTTCAATATACTTCTGGTTTTCGTTCTGCCTTGTATTAGTGAAAGTTCTCTGTGGGTTTGAAGTTAGGCTCCCGCAAGATTCTACCTTCAAACATGCGCAGTTATGGCATCACAGTTCGCGATACCGACATTCCGGTGTACCTTCTCATGATTTGAGGCGACTCATATCCCCTGACCTTACAACCTCGTCATCAATTTGCTTGAACATCGTCAATAATGGTTTCGTCAGAAGGCTGAAAGAAGCGAGAAACGAAGATGTATCTGGTACAACCTCCAGCTACGGAAAGCAGCGGTGGTGGGTTCGTGTTTGCGCCATTGCCAAGCAGGCCCATGTTGCAAGTGATCTCCATCTACCTAACATGGTCATGTACAAACGACTATAGATGCAAGGCAAAGGATATGTCCGCTTCAAGTAGGTAGCCACATGAGTCCTACTCCCCGAAGAAAACCACCCCCTGCAAGACCGCCGAGACGGGCCACTGCATAAACTACTCCCGTCATGTCTCCGCTTTCGCAGCCAAGTAAGAGGCATATGTTGCTTCTGAGCAAGCGGACAGCCGGGTTACACGGTGTTCCATCCAGAATCACGAATATGAGAATACAACCAGGAGCCTTCTCATTCAATGAACAGGTACTTCGAGTACCGCCACATGATTCACGGGATCTGAGTGTCACATTTTAGAGTGAAGATACAACAATTGATTCCCTGTTTGACAGTGATTATGCGATTGTACATGAAATCAAGAGCAGCTACCTCTCAGTCTCAGCTCGTGTTGGGTCACGGCAATCCGCTGAAGACGAGGGTCGAACTAGCAGGCACAGCGCGCATCGAGGAGGCCTTTAACTCTCTTTCTCATCATCTCCCGGAACTAACATAACTTGATCGTTTAACCTTTTGTCTGGATGCTTTCTATCCCGAAGGCTGGATAAACGTTGCCCTCGGGCTACCACATGTGGCGTTGTTGACCCTGCACACAGGACGAGAGACTTGTATCGCTCCTGAGGCGCATTCCTATTTCCGGTGTCGAAGAGATTTTACACATTTATTACTCTTGTGTGACTTACTCTAAGAGTTAGGTCTATCCGCCCAGTCACAAGCCCTTGGTTAAGAAAGATATGAGAACATCACCTGTTAATGCTCCACTGGTGGCTTCATCGTCCTCTACGTGGAATGACCTGTTCAACAGAGTATGACACCACTAAGACTGGAAAGATAAGAATCAGTCGACTTGAAATGGAAGTTACTAGCCTGTCAGTTGGTGTTGCACGTTGGAAGTTGTCTGACCTCTTCATGACCACAGTTCATCGAGGGGAACCATGCTCTTTCTACTTGACTTTTTACACATTTGACTGCAAAAATATCGATTTCTTACATGAATGAGCATGGAAGGAGGGGCTTTCCACGAGAATCGCTCCACGAATTAGGAGACTCATTGGATCGCTTCATATTTCATTTCACCCACTCACGTCCCGCATTAAATACTCGAAGCTCACTGATTTGATATAACCCTGTCCTCAAATCTTTGTCCTCGGGGTGAACGTAAAGTGAAGATATGTGCCAAAAGCAAGAACGCCTTGATGAAAGTTGTAGACTAGATACAAAACTGACGAATGAGGTAAACGCGATTTGCTGCTTACGCTCACCACGGATATTTATGAACCTCCTCCTCCTTCTCCAAGTCCAAGCCTCTATCGAGTTGCTTCTGATGCTCCTTGTCAAGATATTCCAAAAGGACCTTCTCATACATCTCTCGCCCCTTGTAGTTGGCCACCTTATCATCCCAGCTACGAATAGCGCTCGCCAGCCTACCCGGCACGAAGTCCTCCGCGACCATTTCCGTGATGGGGTGGAAGTACGTCCGGATCGTGAAGACCACCGCGCGCGTCTTGGGCAGGCGGCGGAGCGACTGCCTCTCGGACCGGAAGTAGTGGTTCTCGATGGCCCTGTTCTTCTCGGCGGTGCTCCAGCTGACGACGGGGTCGTCCTCCCCGCCGATGCTCCAGCTCCACGGCAGCGAGTCGTCGACCTGGATGAAGTAGTTGTTGCGCGAGTACATCTGGTCGCTCCGCAGGCGCCGGAAGAAGCTGGCCATGCCCGTGTGCAGCTTCTCCTTGTAGTGCGGCACGTCGCCGGACGTGTGGATCTCCTCGAGCGACTTGCCGTACTTGTCGCCCAGCCGCCAGAAGCCGGCCAGGCAGATGGCGCCCGCGAGGAGGTAGTACTGCCCGTCCGGCCGCTCCATCATCACCGCGAGGTCGTCCTGCACCAGCTTGGCCGCGATGGCCATGGGGTCCTCCGCGAGGGGCTTCTCGACGATGTTGAAGGACTCGCCGGACCAGATGTTGTCGATGCCGACGGCGGTGCGCCTGAACAGCGTCGGGTACCGGTTGGGGAGGTATTGGACTAGTTCTTCTAGGAGCTCCATCGCGGCGGGGTAGGCGTCGGGGTGCGTCCCGACGCATTTCTCCTTTCGATCTTGGATGCGAGCGACTTTGTCCGCGTGGTACTTGGGGAAGTGGTTGTCGAGCTCAATCCACTCGTCGGGCTGGATCGACCGCAGACCCATCGTGACGTAGTACTTGGGGCCATATCGAAAGGCGCGGTACGGGAGCGGTTTTGTCGTCTCAATTGACCAGTTGGGGTACGGTTTTGGGATGGGCATCTTGTAGAGCTCGGGCTCCTGATTTGACTTTCCATGTTTGCTGTTGTTCGACTTGAGGCCATGAGACGAGGGTTTACTCGATCGGAACAGACCGACCGAGCGGGAGATGTAGGCCACGGTCAGGAGAGCGAACAAGCCAAGGGCAAGTTTCCAGGCCTCAGGGCTGACGGAGTCGGGAAGTAGAATCGCCATGATGATGAAACAGAGAAAATCACGCTCGAAGATGATGATGAGAAGCCAAGTGAAGAACTCAAGATAGTCAAACACCGGTCCGTCGAAGGAGGTTACTATGTAGGTTTACGACTGAAGCCCGTGGACTATCAGTTGCCATTATCAGTCCGTCCGACCCCCATCGAGTCAGCCACTAACTAGAAACGGTTCCGTGTCCCGGTCGTACAATGCGCGCCGTATCTTTACTCCAGTCTCGTTTTCCCCCGCCAGATCGGCCACAATGGAGAACCGATTCCCCACAAACACCGTCCCGAGCTGGGCCGGAACGCTTGTCCCCAAGAGGAAATTACAGCCTATCGACCCTGGGCGGTGCCGAACTCTGCTCAACTACCTATTCCATTAGCAACATCCGAAAGTCAAAGGAACCTGAGACGGGAGAGCATGATAAATAGCAGTCGCCGTTGCCAGGACCGTTGTAACGTGACAAACCACACTCACACTCATCTCTCAAGATCATATCTCCTCCTCCTATCACTTTCAACCACGCCGCTCATCCATTTACATCACAAAACGTCATCAAGACCTCAATCATTCACAATGGCCGCCTTTCAACACTTCGCGGGCGCTCAGTCCAAGTTCGACATCCCTCTCCTGGCCGGAGACAACGCCTACCTCGGCGACGTCTTCTCCAGCGACCAAACAAACCCCGAGAAGCCCACATCAGCCGGTCTCTTCCGCCTCAAGAAGGGCGAGCCCCTCACCTACACATACAAGTACGACGAGATGAAGATCATCCTCGAGGGCGACTACACGATAGCCGACTCAACCGGCCAGAAGACCGAGGCCAAGCCCGGCGACGTTTTCTTCTTCCCCGCCGGCTCTACCATCACCTTCACAACCACCGACTACGGCCTGGCGTTCTACGTTGGCCAGCGCAAGAAGAACGATTTCTAAATCATGTCAAGTCTTATGATTAAGGATGGGCCGGCGGTGCCGGTTAAGACGCACCAAAGGTGCTAAAGGAACAGTCCATAGGGTCACTAGATGTGACGAGCTAGATCACATTCAAATCCAAATACCGTTTCCAACTACCAATTTCCAACTACCGTGCTATGCCGTACCTGAACGTGATGCCATTCTCCCCACTCAAGTCGCAGTTTCCAAAACAACATGAGCACCAAGAACCATTTCGTGACAACGCCGCTAGAGTGATTTTGTCATAAATACATGAGCCATTATCCAAACATCGACCGCAAATTGTTGTCTTCCATAACATCGACCCAATGAATCATGGGCGCCCCAATCTCGCTGTCATAAGCCCTCCAAATAGACTGTACCAGGTCTCTTGCCACCACAACGGGCGCCGGAGGGAGGCTGCTTTCCAAGATACCGAGCCGCCTCATGACGAAATGCCGAGCACTGCTGATGTCAACTGACAGGCTATTCGTCGTCTCATCTTGTGGTGGAGCTGAGGCCATTTGGCTGATATACAGCGACAGGTTATGAGAGTCGAAAAGCGGCGGCGGACTGATGACGCTTGATCCCGTGCCTCCCATCAAGTCATGCTGTAGCGAACCGAAAATGTTCATCATGTCGGATGACCCCGAACGATCGTGACGAAGACCGGTGCTGGCCGAGATGTACAGAAGCGGCTGGATAACCCGTGTCCCTGACGTCGTCGGGATGTGCTCCAGTACTTTGACCAACCGAAGGGCCAGGGGAATGATCCACTCGTCCCAAGGCACGGAGCCGGTCTCTGTCACTGGTGATTCGGTCGGCAGGCGGAGAGAGACGAGGTCCGGGAAGGTCTGGTAGAGATGGAGCAGTGAGGAAAGCCGGTACGCTTCAGCCACCCTCGCAAGATGAGAAACCGGCGTCGCGAAGTCGCCCGTGTCCACGTCTGGTGTGTCTGACGGGAATTCCAACTCCAATAACTGCTCCTCGAGGCGTTGAGCCACGATCAGATCCTGCAGCGCCGAAGAGAAATATCGTTGAGGATCCATCCCCTGCCTCATGCGGTGGCGGAAGCTGCGGCAAAGTCGGATGCACTCGGCAAAGAGGCGGGTCGTGACGGTAGACACGCCCGTCCACGGGTGAGGAGACCGTTCTTCGATAGGCTGCAGTTGGTTCGACGTCGCCTCTTCACTCTCTTGGTGCTCAAGAGACTCGTCGTCGCGGACCACCGCCAGCAGCATCTCGCAGTACGCCAAGCTCTTGTTGAAAAACGTCAGCATGTCCGACCCGGCCGTGCTCAGCGTCACCGACTGCGAGTTCAGCCGTTGGATCAAGGACTTGGCCTCTCGCAGGAACGGCAGTCCGAACCCTCGCGAGTCGACCCAGCAGACGGTCGTTCCGAGACAGAAGAGCGAGAACAAGAGACCGGTCGGGATGGAGCGCAGGTCAGGCTGCGTCTTGACGACTTCGAGCTCGGCCTGGATGAAGTCCGTCGCCCGACTCATGAGTCGGAGGGCCGACTGCCGCATGCTCGGCATCCTGGAAGCGAGGAACGCGGCCGACATGCTCTCGAGAGAGCTGCAGACCGTCGAGGACGTCCGCCAGTGGTCGATCGCTATCTTGCGGTTCATGTTCGCGTTCGAGTCGAAGCCTGACCATGCCGGGCAGACCTGTTCAAACCAGTTGACGATGAACGCCGAGGAAGTATCGACGAGGCTGGTTGATAACTGGTAGTCGGGCTGCAGGGTATCGTCCGTTAGTGTTTGTGCCGCTGGAGACGCCTGCATTATTGCGTTCATCGATTGTCGACGGCCGGCCTCTCTCGATGGCAACTTGGACACATCGAAATCTCTCCCCAGAGGTCCCATGTGAACAGCGCTCTCATCGTCCTGGTGATCCTCATTGCTGCGAAATGTAACTGCTGAGCCCCCTGACGAAGAAGAAGAGACTGAGTTGCGGTGGCGCCTGCCAGCGGCGGAAGCACCGGCAATACTCTGTTTCCTCCGGTTCCGAGCATCAGGTGCCGGTGCCGCTGACTTCTCCGGAGACGTCGGCGGCGGCGTCGGGTTGTAGTCTTCGAATGAAAGACTCTGAAGAGCAGGTTGATGTTTGAATGACCATCTCAACCCTTGCGCATAGCCCCCGCACTTGATCCCTTTCCGTGTGCACTGTTGACAAGCAGGCCGGGACTCATCACATTTCAGCTGTACCAATGATTGTTAGCGAACTGCCCGGATAAAGCGTATGTGGGATAAGGCGGATGTGGACCACTGAATGCTTTCGATGTTTTCGATCAATGAGATCCTCTCTAATTGGAATCAACGTACGTGTTTGGATTTGCATGTCACGCACCCCGATCTCGACCGAGGGTTGAGACCAGTCCTAGTTTTGGGTGCTGTTGTTTTGGGGTTTCTCGGCGGAACCATTGGGCTTAAATGAGGGGAACAGCGGGTGTTTAAGTCTGGGCACGGAAATAAACTCTTGATAGAGACTGGGAGGTACAAATCAACGTGATGCTCCTGAGTGTGAACGGGAAGACGAAATAATCAGCTCAGAATTGGCAAAGATAGGACGATGAAGCAGGCAGGATCGTTTAGCGATTCACTCAAGGCGCGCTCGCTGTTGCAGTTAGTTCCTAACGGTTTGTGTGACGGGGACGTCGGAGTCGGGCACATTCTGCATGCTGCCATCTGCGGCTGTGGCCAGAAAACGCGGGGGAGGTATCCATCTGATGACGCATATTTGTATTTCAATCATCCTAGTTTGGCAGATGATAAGCCAACGGCAGCATGATTGGGCGGTTGCACGCGGTTCTCGTGGGTGAAACTGGTCCTGGATAAGTTCCGAAGACAATCCTTGCAGCAGCGTAGCGGCGCAGACGCTGGTCTTGCATATTGTCACTGCAAGCTGGCTTGGGCTTGGAACATCTGGCCGGATAAGAAGCTTACAGGTTGGATTGCCCTTAAGAAGAATACATAGGCTTTATGTTTGACTAAAATTAACTTGCCATTGGTTTGTTCGAGCCAGCTTGCAATCACATCCCATGCCTTCTCAGCAACCACTCAGTTGATATTCTCCGTGTAGATGCTGGGGCGGATAAAGATAACCACGCCCACTACTTCCACTAACAGACGACGAGGTCTCTGGCTTTCTCGGGGCTAAGAAAGGCCGTTTAATGCTCGATAGATCTCACTCACCGTGCAGACCGCCAAGGAGTTAGAAGAGACACGAGACAATGTTTGGCTGGAAACTCCGAGATCCCGCAAACCCGTCGAGGTCCTCCTGTGTTCGGAGTCGCGGCGATAAGGGACGGCCAGGGGCCAAGGACGACCAGGATACCCAGGCATTCCAGACCACGATACGCGGCGATCATCTCGGTTTACCCCGCATTCAGCAAGCCTTTTGGCCAATGATGGTGTTCACATTGTCCTTTTATCTCTGCGAGGTATCCAGCCCCATCCCGGGATCGCAGCCAGGGGGGAACGGCCACCTCACCACGAGATAAGCATGCGTTCGTGATTCCCACCTTGTCCACTATCGATATCCATTCACTATTACGGGAGTTCTCATGAGAGGACTCAGGTAGATTTGAATGTGTATTTGGTTTCCAGTTCTGCCGTTCAAGCAGGCTCTAGCTAGTGAATGTTACTGAGTACACCTCTTATCTGCTGTGACGAAGTACAATTACCCCGCATTATTGAGCTTCTCCTTCGCTCATGCATGAAAACGGACCTAGTTCTTATAAAAATAGGAGTATTATCAGTCTCACGGTTTGAGTCGCGTGTCCAACTGCTGGACCAAGCACATCTCTTGCGTTTTCATCTCATTTAAAATGGAACAGTGAAGCTGATATCTTCATAACAACTTCATTGGAGCGACACCCATCTCTAGGATCGTCAGCATATAGCGACGACGACGACGACGACTACGACAAGGAAGACGATCTCGGCGACAACACCAATAAAACTAACAACAAGAAGAATACCGAGTTATCGGTAGAAAGTGTGATTCTGCGACCCCTTTTCATTTCATTCATTGTCCATTGACTCATCACGCCATGTCAAATTCACGCAGACTTCCACTTCTTCTCCCAACCTCGGAAAAACGGAGCCTCGGCCAGCGTCTGATGCGTCCAATCCTTCTCTATCATCCCGTTCTCGATCTGGAATCGCTCGTACTCTTTAAGTGCCGGCTTTGCCACGTGCTCAACGTGCCATGTTCCCTTGTACTTCAAGATACTTTCTTTACCTTCGTTCAGGACCTTGAGGACTAGAGAAGGGATGTACGGCTCGTTCTTGAACTCGGTGAGCGGGGTGAAGAGAGCCTTGAAATTGAACACGATCGCCCCGGACAGAGGCAGACGTCTCAGGGTCTGCCAGTCGACACGGAGATGGACGTCGTCTGTCTTGAGACTTGGATTCTGAGCCAGTCGATGAGCGAACTCGGGGTCTTCGGCTGGGATGTAGAGGGGCCGGCCCATCTCCAGACCCCACGATCCGCGTTGAATCGGTTTGTTGGTAGGCATTTTTGTGAAGAAACTGCCATGTCACCAAGTGTCAGCCGCATTCAAGCTCCTGCGAAGAAGTATCACATACCGATCCATGCTGAACTCCATCTTCTCCTTGTAGTCTGGAACCTCTTTATGAATGCCTGGCAGGCCTTGTCCGACCTTCTCACTCAACTTCCACCCGACCGATGAGCAGATGATTCCAGCGCGGAGCAAGTATCGACCAGTCTCGTGATCTCTCAGCATGATGCCGAAGTCTTCCGGGACGTTGTTCAACAGCACGATGAGCGGCTTGGTCGTCTCGAGATCGGTTTCAGTATTGAGTATGCGGTTAATCAGGATCTTGCCCTTGATCTCAAACTGAGAGGGGTATCGCGCGCAGACGAACTGCAAGACCATCTCCATGAGCTCTTTGCAGGCAAGCTCTGAGCCAGGAAGGCTGTCGAGAACGTCGTTTCCATGTTTGGCAAACAGGTTCTGGCGCTGAGCGACCCGTTCTCGATACGTATTCTCGAGCTCGATCCAAAAGTCCGTATCCATCTTCGTCAGGGCTTACCCCATGACATGGTTAGTACGAAACGGCGCCACCGTGATACAGCAGACTTACACATAGTCTGATGGTAAGCCCATCTGAAGGGCCGGTATGGCCGTGGTTTCGCCTCATCGATGTTGAAATCCTTTAGCGGTGATGGGAGTGGGACGCCAGACAGTTTCGCGTAATCCGGAAAGTCACCAAGGGAGCGAATGTCGTCAACGCTGAAGCCGCTGAAGTTGAACTCGGAATGGTCTGCGGTGCGATAGTCGGCCCCCATCTTGAGGAGGGGCTTCGGCGTGGCGGCCAGATCCACCTCCGTGATGCCGGCATACTGGGGCCCCAGCTCGGCGAGAGCGGCCCTCTGAGACGGCGGGAACGCGTTCACATAGCTCTGCTTTTCGGCCGTGCTAACGGTGCTTTGCCCGGGCGACGACCCACGTCGGAATTTGTTGGATATCTTGCGGTTGTCAATGAGCAAGCTGAGGAGGTAGATCAGACCGCCGGTAAATGCAGCAACGCCAAGCACGGTGAGGGCAACATGAGGGCTCGTGAAACTCATCGCGGAGAACATGATGAAAAGGCTTTCAGTTACACGCGGCTGTCAAACGACGAAATGCACATCAAATGAACGAGGATCTGGGGTTATTTACGCGTGGCTCGGGAAAACATCCCCCTCTATCAAGCTCGCTGTGTTTATCGTATGCTTCTCAACGTCAGCTGCTCCTGGGACTCACGACCTGCCATTCTCAACTGTTACATCTTCGATGCGCCCGATACGCCATGCGGCACGGCGAGGTGACGGACCGAACGGTGGCTCGCCCTCGTCCTCCAATAGCCGGAATGGGAAAGATTTCACGGCGTGAACTCTAACATTCCGGCGTGTTTCGGTCTAACCCAAAATGTCAAATCTACCCGACAGCCGTCCGTTGGCCATCGATGTAGTCCTGATAAGAACGTGGGTGCCGGGTGCGGGATGACCCCGCTTGATGACGACCGCCCCCGGCTATGTCCGCTGCTTTGGGTGCCCATATGCGGAGGCCGCAGACTCCAGACTCCAAAGACCTTGCAGCTGACAGATGCCGGGGATCCTTGCAGAGCTTTTGATATCAAATGATATCAAGGCATGTTTCCTCTTACCGTTGGAGATAGACCACTCGGATAAAAGAATAGGAGAGCTTATGACGCCGTGCGCTATTCCTTGAATTCTCCCGGTAGTCTGCCTTCAATGATAGACTTCCCGATGACTCCCTTCCTTACACAAGGACTCTCATTGGACGGCATAGGTTCCCTGAATTCCAGCACCACGAAGCACGACAGGTTAAATCGCAGTCTCCCTTTCGTCCCCCCATGAATGCCCAGACTTCTTTACGGACAATAGATAGGCCTTTGCTGGGTTGAAGCAAGGCGTGTCGTGTCCCTGGGGCATACCCAGGGTGTGCCAGGCCAATCACGACGGTCGTCCTTATCTGGTATCAGGTTGGTGATGAGAGCCAAGAACGTGGCTACATGCTTAATTTTGACATGGCTCGGGCTGGGTCTCAACCTTATCTGATTTCGAAGTGATGTTCAGATGATTTGATAGCATAGGTGTAACAGTAAGACCGGGACGCTGGGAAGGTTAAAGTGGTTCCTGCGCGTCTTGAAGTTCGACATATGATGGTTCCGTCGTCCTGGATTTTTGAAGAATTCGGAAGACGCGTGCTTGCTGTTCAATCTTGCAGGCGTATTGTGAGCAACATGGCGGAGATCATTCCCGTGACCGAGTTCCCCGACTACGCCGTCGACCCAACGGGCGGCGACCCTCTTACCCATGACCTCAATGCCCCGTACGACAAGGTGAATAGTTTTCATGAAAATGAAACGGATTCGGCATGGACTAGATCGCATACTAATCCGTTCGTATTGTAGGGCGATCTGTGCTGGGTGTTGGTCTGTACGGTCTTCTGCTGGCAGATCACGCCGGCTATCGGGTTCTTGTACGCGGGAATGCACCGAAGAAAGTCGGCGTTGACGATGATCTTCCAATCGTTGTTCTGTGCATGTGCCTGCGGTCTTCAGTATTGGCTCTATGGCGCGTCTCTGTACCAATCGCGAGTTTCGAATCCGATCTTGGGCGACCTTTCCCTTGGTGTCTTTCACAACCTCCTCGCATCTCCATCTTTCGCCAACTCCGACATTCCAGACATCTTGTGTAAGTTTCGAAAAGTTTTGCCGGGTGTGAGCCAGTCATCCTCTAATAGACGTTCGGTTGTAGATGCGGCCTTTGGGTTCACTTTTGTCACGGCGACTGCCATGATCTTGGCCGGTGCGATGCTTGAGCGCGGCCGTCTCTGGCCCAGCATGCTCTTCATTCTCTGCTGGACAACTTTCGTCTACTATGTGTTAGTTTTGCATATCTCTCTCTTCAAGACGAACACTGACCACCAACAGTTTGGCACATTGGGAGTGGAATCCCAGTGGATGGCTTTACAAGCTCGGCCTCTACGACTTCGCTGGCTCTGGCCCCGTCCATATCGCCAGTGGTTTTGGCGCCCTCGCGTGGTCGATGATGCTTGGCCCCCGCATTAGCGATGATGCTGCGACAAAGAAGAAGTACGCGCCTCACTTCAAACCACATAACCCCTTGTTGATGGTTCTCGGGACCATTCTTATCTGGTTCGGATGGTTCGCTTTCAACGGTGCGAGCACAGCCAACCTCAGCCTGCGGTCCATCTACGTCGTTGTCAACACCAACTTTGCTGCGTGTGGCGGCGGTATAACATGGGTCCTTCTCGATTACTTCTACACTAAGAAGTTCAGCCTGGTCGGTTTCTGCTCCGGAATCATTTCTGGCCTGGTTGGCATCACCCCAGCAGCCGGATTTGGTAAGTCATGACACGACATATAGAAAAACAAGACAATGTGCTGACTCACTACTTCTTAGTCCTTGTATATGTTTCGCCTCTCGTCGGTGTTCTTACAGCCGTTTGCTCCTTCTTCACCGTCCGGTACCAGTACCTCCTCCGCGTCGACGACGGTCTCGACATCTTCGCGATCCACGGGGTCGGTGGATTCGTGGGAGATATCCTGACCGGATTGTTCGCTCACAAGATGGTACCTGCTCTCGATGGAGTCAGCAACACCTACGATGGAGGCTGGTGGAATGGTCACTGGCGTCAACTCGGTTTGCAGCTCGCTGGTGCTACTACTTGCGCCGCCTGGTCTTTTTTCGTCTCCTGCATCTTGCTTTTCGCCATCAACAAGATTCCCGGAATGCACCTCCGCGCTACCGAAGAAGATGAGATTCGCGGGCTCGATTTCGCGTACATCGAAGACGCCATCTCGGATTACGACAGTGGAGATCTGCTTATCCACAACGGGCAAGTCGTTGAAGCGTCTCCTAGGGAGACGAGCGTGTCAAAGAGTGCTTAATAATTAGTCGTTTTTTGGACCTTTGCTTAGAAAATAGAAACGATCACTTCTCCTAGCAAATTATACATTTTCGTGGCTTTTAGCTTTCGGCATGCAGAGACCAGCACGAAGTTCAACTGAGTCGGATCAGGTTTGCACCGATCTAGCGTTGGAGATGCTACAATGAGTCTTCTTGTAATGTCTCTTGCCAAGAGATAATCCGTTATTGCCGGTAAATCTGTTCCGGGTGGCAACACGCAAAGGTTTTATTCTGTGGGTATGTGGGAGACATTCGACACATCAATCCTATCTTCTAGGATATACGTCGGCATCTTCTTAGAAACTATGTTGGGTCAGGCCACTGCCCATGGTACTATCAGAGGATTACAATTCTCTATGATTGCGTTCTCCATGTGAATACTTCTCAAGTGTCGTTAGCACGCCTTTGAAGTTGTGCACTCTGATATGTGATATGCCCCAAGTCTTGCCACCGTTCACTGCCTCCATCACTACCACTACCACCTTGTCACTTGATCACTAATTTTCTGGGATATCTAACCAGGAATAGAAATGAACTCGTGTAGCGGGATGACTTTTACTCTCGGAATGTCCTACCGGTAGAGAAAGTATCTTTTACTGGCCAGTCGGAGTTACTCCGTAACGGTTCCATGTTTTCACGTAGTTGCGACGACTGGCGCTTAACATACCAAAAGCGGGATAGTTGTTCGCTGATGTTTTGCGAGAAACCCGATTAGCCCAGTTCGTTCGTTACAGCTACCGGTCTGTACCCATGACAGCGGAGCCGAAAGCCCACGTCCGAATGCCTATTCCCAGGGGCTTCGGGCATTTAGGGGGCTGATGATCACGATCATGAGTCTACTACGAACTAAAATTTGGTCTGGCATCTCTCTACTCAAAAGCAAAAATGAAATTGAGGTGAAGATCTATGTCGTAGGCATCGTCATAATATGATGGCCTTTGTTGCTGAGAGAGTATTTGTTGCAATGCTTCCAGCATACTCAAAGTCATGCCACAACATTGAATCGTTTCTTCCAGAGGCCGGACCGTAAATTGAGCAATTTAACAATTTAACCGGTTCCCAGTATCATCAGGGATACCTTCGAACGAACGAGACGACCTTGTTGTCAGCCAAGACTCTCTAGATCTTCGGCCGTAATTGCTGCGTAACCATCCTAAGTTCTCCATACTGAACATAGCCGTGTCGAAGTAGAATCGCGAGAGCTTCATTGAAGTTCCTCCAGAGGAAAATCCGGTTCGGCATTTTCATTCGGGCTGGAATTCACCGAGCCCCCATCGCACCACAGGGCTTGGACGTTGGATTCAACGGAAACATCAGCGCAGGAACGAGCCCACGGTTTTCAATGAGAACTATGCGCGTCCGATCAGTAATCATCCTGTACTTAGGGAAAAAGGGATGAAACCTTGAAATTTGTACAGACATATGCAGGGGCTCAGGTGCGTGGGCTTGTATGGGCTTGTCTTGCAGTTACTAGTGGTTGTTACAAGTTTTGTAAGCCAAGCTACGGTAAGTACACATATCGTATCTAACCTAGCGGAAGAGGTTGCGGAAGTCCGCAAGCAGCTCAAGCGTTGGACTTGATCTGAGAATAGTCGAGATACTCCTTTCGAGGTCCTATCGCAAGAGAGCCCCCAAAGAAGTAATGACGTGTACTGCCAATGATGGACAAGATACGACTGGTCTACGTAAGCCATCCATTCATGTTTACCTTTACCTCCACATGAAGAATTGTCAATTCAGCTTCACTCGCAAAAAGAAACCGTTCAATCACACCAAGAGACTAACAGGGCCTACTACGACGTGGTACACACGAAGTAAGGTCTGTGGGTTATGCGTGCTTTAGGAGCCGGTGGGATGGGTTCGAAGTCTGGAGCTTAACTCTCTGCTGTGGGTGTCTCCAACGGAGGCGGCCAATGGCCTCGGACCTTCGCGGAGCTTCCGGTGTCCACAGTCGGTCATTTCTCGACTTCATGCTCCTATTCTCGAGTAAGTCGCCATCCGGCTAAGGCTGAAATGCAGAACGACGGCTGTCTGTCTCCTGCCTCGGTCTCTTCGTGTTCCCCACACAATCCTGAGCTCGCCTGACACCTTTCCAATCCTTTCCCACCGATCTTGTTGGTGGCGCATAGTATTCCCAACTTGGTTCTGCAGACCGGCCCGACGCGAAAGGAATGCACGATGGACAAATCTACTTCTCACAAGCGCAAAAGAACCGGGTGCTTGGGTTGCAGAGTCAGAAGGAAGAAGTGCGACGAAAGACAGCCAGTATGTTCCATGTGCGCAAAGAAGGGCAGTAAGTGCGAGTGGCCGAACAACTGGAGAGAGCCACAGACTGTCAACAGTTTTGCTCGTGAGTTGAATCATCACGTCTTGAGAGGTTAAGATCTTGACTGACGCGTGCTTATGGAATCCTGCTCTGCAGTGGACTCGAGTTCCGAATCCTCAGGTTCGAGCCTCCAAGCCGGGGCTCATAACCGGGGGAAACGGTTGTTGGTTTGCGGATCGACAACTCAGCCAGGCGCTGAAGCCGAGAAGTCTGAGAAGACACTTGACACCAACATTTCGTTTTCTGGACCAGCGCCCCTACAAGCAGCAGACAAGACAACTCCCGAAGACATCAACTGCGGCACAGGACATATTCAAGCATCGCCGACTTTCTCACACGTACCACTTGTCTTTGAGTCCACATTGAACTCTGACAACACGGACTTTCAACTTCTTTTCCAGTACTTCATCGGGCGGTCATTGCCTTCCATGTCTGTGGATAATGTCGACACGCAACTCTACGTCAGCACGTTGGTACCGCTCATACTCACCGACGACCTTGTCCTGCGATCCACCCTAGCGATGAGCAGTCTACAATACATGCTGAGCAATCCCGACAGCAGCCACGCACTCAAACTCGCAAACATGTGCTACTCCAAAGCCTTGTCCGCAATGCGCAGCCGTGTAGCTCTCAGCGTAGATGGGTCGCAGATCGATCGACCCGAGTGCCTCACCGCCGCAAGCCTCGTGCTGGCTCTGACCGAAGCGACGCGTGGCGACTCGAGCAGCAATCACGTCGATTTTGCAAGTCACGTCCTCCAGAACATGCCCGACTCTGCGCGACTGAGCATGGATCAGAAACTGTACAGGAATCTCATCAGAGTCTGCATGTATCTGCGCATCGATAGCTCAGTCGTGGAGCTCCCGACTGCAATGACTGCCACGAAGCTGGTCCGACAGAGGGATATGCCTACACTCTGCTCTCATCTTTGGGAAGCCGAGAACAGAGCCACGGCATCGGAACTGAGCGAGGAGTGCGGGCTCTTCCAGACCCCATTCATCACTGGATTGTTGACGATACCACACCTGGCTCGCCTTCAGGCCACGCCGGAAACCGTGGTCGATAAGGAAGCTCGGATTGCACAGCTTTCGGCGATCGAGATGCAGATCATGTCTTGGGAGCCTGCGCTGCCCAAGACCGGCCAGCGCGTTCGACAGGTGTGGACGTTGTGGCGATTGGCCATGCTGCTGCTGCTCTACGAATCGCCGGTCGACGGGACATTCTGGAAGCCGTCGAGACGAGACGACTGTCTCGAGTCCTTCATGAAAGAGCTGAAACTGGTCCCCAAGGGCCATGAGAGCTTTGGAGTGATGATGTGGCCGATGTTGATGGCGGGATCCTGCGCTCAGTCACCTGAACACAGAGACATGATCCAGGACCTGTTGACGCAGGCGTGCGAACCACTTGCTGCACAGCTGCCGGCTGTGGTTGCAAATGTGATTCAGTCAATATGGGATGCTCACTCAGGGGATGCGCAGTCTGCCGCACACTCTCAGCCGATTGATCCTATGGTGATTGATCCGCGGCTCACTTCACCCGTCTCATCGTCGGAAACAACGAAGAGGAGTGGTGAGTGAGAATGAGATGAGATGAGATGAGTAGCGACTCCACTGGCCTCTTTTCATTGGCTCAAGCGTGGAACAACCGACAAGCGAAAAATGGGGAGAGGAGGACATGAACCTGCGACACAACTCCGCCAAAACATGAATCGCCTCGTCGATTCGCAGCACTTCAATGCTCACCATGAAAGCTAAAGGCCGCCCTAAAAATGATCTGGAGGCTCAAAAAGAGCGGCTTGTGAGCGCGTTCAATCAAGGACGTTCGATCAACCATATTCACTCCTCCCTCCAAAAGCGGACGGGAAAAACAATCGCCAAAAGGACACTCGAACGGAGATTCCAGGAATGGGGGCTCATCCGCCAAATCAGAGGGTCCCACGGCCCCGATGAACGCAAGCCGAAGCGGGTCAAGGTACGTAGCCATTCTCGGTGCCCTTCTCTCACTTTGAGTCAACGCCGTTGCTCTTCCATCACCACAATTTGGTGAGACCAGCTCAACGTACCCTCATCACATTGGGTCTTCCTCATCCTCATCTCACAATCACAACAATCACTCATCATGGACTCACAGCCAAAGGCTCTGCCAAAGCAAAAGAGCTTCCTCCCTCTCATCAACAAGGTCGATAAGTGAGTCAAGTACCCCGCCTCATTCAAGAGAGACCACCTCATCAAGCTAACAATCTTCTCAGCGTCCCTCTCAACTTCAACTTCGACTCTCTGTACAAACTACTGCTCCCGAAAGATCCCCGCCCGCATGGCTTCATGCTCCCGAGTACTGTCGAGCGTCTGCCTTGGACCTCAGACTTCGACATCGACCACGTTGAGCGCAAGGTGCGCCTCCTCGACACCACGGCCAAGGACAGCAAGGACCCGGGCAAGGCAGCTACCGCTGCGATACAACGCGTAGTAGACGCCGCCATCGACCTCTCAGACAAATTTCCGACGCTGAGCGGCAAACACAGCGAGCCCTTCCGGGTTCTCGGCGCGAACCACTTCGTCTCTATCGAACGCTTCACGGCTCCGCTGTTTGGTATATCCTCACGGGGCGCGCACATGACCGCCTACGTCAACACTGCCGAGGGCATGAAGATCTGGGTCCCCCGGCGCAGCGCTCACTTGTTCACGTTCCCGGACCTGCTGGACACGACAGTCGCGGGAGGAGTCAAGGCCGAGGACTCGCCGTTCGATTGCATCGTCGCCGAGGCCACCGAGGAGGCCTCACTTCCCGTCGAATTCGTCAACAAGAATGCGCGCGCAGTCGGGGCCGTGACGTATGTCAGCATGAACGAGACAAAGGGCACCTTCTTCCCGACGGTGCTGTACTGTTATGACCTCGAGCTGCCCGAAACGATAGAGCCCGAGCCGGGAGACGACGAGGTGTCCGGCTTCAAGCTCATGACAATTGCGCAGATCAACAAGGCAATGCTGGAAGGACAGTTCAAGCCCAACTGTGTGCTGGTTATGCTCGACTTTTTCATCCGACACAACATCATCACGTCGGAGAATGAAGAAGATTATGTGGAAATTGTGTCGAGGTTAAGAAGGCATCTGCCAATCCCTACATCTCCAGAGCGAAACACAGCCTAGATACGAACATGGGCTTTGGTCACATACTTTATGATAGAATAACGTCGGCGAATTCATATTTTTGAGAGGATATCTCAGAGCTTCTTGCAGAGTCTCGAGCCGAACTCCAGTTGTTCCCACCTCTGCGCCCGGAGTCGCGTCGTCATAAAACACGCCTTGAGGATCCCATTTATCACGAATGTCAAGTAGGATCGGATACAAGAGAACCAAAGGTGGTCTTGCCAGTTATCCTGATAAGGGTCGGCCTGCAATGTTCACGTCAGTCCTTGGAACCTTTCCAAAGGTCACACATCTACTCACCTCATTGGCATACGCGGCACTATTGGGGCCGGCCTCCCGCAGGGCATCATCCTGAATGTTTGTCAAGAAAGTGTATGCCAAACCCTCCAGGTCTTCTCTCGGACTGGTTCCCCGTCCTGAAGGCATCCGGAATCTGGCCATTCTGCATCTTAGCATTCGTGTGAGCAAACAGTCATCCGCCAGTAAGGGTGTGCTCGCCATTCCCCTCGTCCCGGAAGAGATCGATATACAACCTGAAGGAAGCAGATGTACAATACGTTGTCAAGAAGGTAATTGGAGCACCTATGGAACACGCATACCACCTCTCAGAACACGTATTCGTCTTCCACCAACGCGCTGTTGCTGTACAATGCAGCTCCTGCCACTTGCTCCTCGAGATACAGATGGAACGTGACATAGGTGACGATGCCGTAGGACAACGGGACAGCCCCCTTCAAGCCGGACAAGAGGTATGAATTCTGTTCGGCGCTGGACCCCGCGTGCTCCCCGTTTTTTGTGATCGTGTCGAGTTTGAGTGTCTTATCGGCTACAACTTCGAAATAAACCACTTGCAACACTGTGTTGCGGCAACTTCTCTTTCTCTCGGCCGCAGTTACGGGGCCCGCCTACTGAGCTCCGACCGAAGACGCCGCTGGCATGTCGCATCTGCATCGGAAGCTGCGGGGGCACGATTCACAAAGAACCTAAAACTCCCACCCAAATCGCGAATCCGTGACAAAACTTCGATGAAGTAAGAAACCATGGCCGTTAGCGACATATGTACATAACAAGACGATTCAGAGTGATAGCGGCATTTACTACAGCGAGTTGGAGACTTGGAGACTTGGAGACGCCTGGACCCGTTCGACTTGGAGACTCGGGATATCTCAATAAGATCCACAACCTCGATCCACGATCATAAATAGTATTTGATAGAACTATGCAGCCGCTTGAATTTGTCAGCTAACTGTCAAAACATAGAAATCAGGCGAGTTGAGGGATAGGTCGACCTGCCCTGGCAGATGGCCTGAATCGTGGGCCATGGCCTTACGCGCCGAGTCTCTAGTCGTCCGAGAAGATGATAAAGCAGGATGTAAAGGCCACCGAGGCATAAACACTTCTCGTATAAAACACACAGTAGCTTCAGCCCGGTTCAAGTCGATCCTCATCTCTAGCTTTGTCAACACTCGCTCACCATGAAGACTCAAGATCTATTCGCACCACTTTCACTGAAGCGCGGTCCGGCCTTGAAAAGTCGCATTCTCCTCGCACCGCTCACGAACTGGCAGTGCCATGACGATGGAACAGTCTCAGAAGACGAGGTCAACTGGCTCGAACGATGCGCCGCCGGTGGCTTCTCCATGGTGATGACTTGTGCCGCCAACATCCATCCCTCCGGCAAGGCGTTCCCAGGACAGATGGGCATCTACCACGATCGCCACCTCGAAGGCCTTCGACGAGTAGCCGACGTCATCCGGAGCCACGGCGCTGTATCGTCTGTTCAAATTCACCACGGAGGTCACCGGGCCAATCCCGAGTTCGTCCGCGACCGCGTCGGGCCATCAGACGACTCGACCGCCGGCGTGCGCGGACTCTCGCTCGAGGAAGTCGAAGCCGTTCGCGACGACTTCATCGCCGCAGCTCAGAGAGCGGAAGAGGCTGGTTTCGATGGCGTCGAGGTACACTCGGCCTTTGGCTGGATGCCCATGCAGTTCCTCTCGTCGATGTTCAACCGCCGAACCGACAAGTACGGGGGTTCGCTGGGGAACCGCTCCCGGTTTCTCTTCGAAGTCATCAGCGGCATCCGCGAGAAGTGCAAGCCGGACTTTCAGATCGGCCTTCGCGTATCACTCGAGCGCTATGGCGTGCCCCTGACCGAGATGTGGGAGGTTCTCGCCAGAGCGGTCAGGGAGGAAGAGATCGATTACGTGGACTTGGCTGTCTGGGACTGGAAGAAGGTGACTCAGGAGGATCCGTTCAAGGGACTCACTTTTCTGAGCGTGTTCATGGATCTACCACGCTCGTCGGTCCGCATCGGGGCTTCGGGGAAGATCATGAATGCTGAAGAAGCTGTTGCGGTTCTGGAGGGGGGTTGTGATTTCGTGATGTTTGGTAGGGCTGCTACTCTGGAGCCTGACTTTCCGAAGCGTTTGATGCAGAACACAGAACATCAGTCACCCCCGTTGCCGGTTCCGGAGTCTTACCTCAAGAGCCAAGGGCTGAGCAACAACTTTATCAACTACATGAGAACTTGGGAAGGGTTCGTAGCCGACAACTAGAGAGAAAATCGTGTTATAACTTAGAAGTTTATTGCTTCATATTTACTCTAGACATACAGAGTATCGCAGAGTATCACAGAATGGTAACTTTCGGTGGCGAAGCTCGTGAGTTCCATTGACGTCGTTTCAATACTACTGTGCTTTCTCAATGACTCGTCCATTGATTGGGTTCTTCATTGCATGATATAATTCATCATTGAGAAGTGCTAAATAAATGGTAATTATAAACGACAGTGCATGTCTGCCGAAAAAGTTCGCCAGCGACCACGCCGCCCTTTGCAGATTTCCCGAAACGGCTAGCGTCATCATCACGATAGCTTCATCATCCGTCATCTAGCTGCACCACTTCTGCGTTTATCACAATCCTCGCGTTATGCCGTGACCCACATCGTAAAACCTCCAGCAACAAACAATGCCAGCATCAGCCCAGGCGATCTCCTCGCGCCAAGACTCACCTCCTCCTGCACTGCTTCCTCGAATTGGCCAACCACATTTCCTCTCGGCCAGTACTCGCACACAAGATACCACGCATTGTCGCCGCACAATTTCCGCCCGCACCCGACGTCCGTCGTGTTCTTCCACACGAGCTGCGTGAAGTGGCCCGTCTCCTCGCTGAACTCGGCGTCGTCGAAGTCATAATCGTCGCGCTCCTCGCCCCAGGCCTCGACGCTGAGCGTCACGTCGGCGTACCCCTTTGCGAGGTTCTCGCCGTAGGGGCCGCCCGAGTGCTCCCAGTCGCAGTCGCCCATGCCGTCGAGGTAGTCGTTTGCGAAGTCGGCGAGGGTGTCGTTCCAGGAGACGTCCGAGGCGTTGTGCTGCTCCCGGTAGTGGTTCGTGCTGTTGAGCACGGCGGAGGTGAAGGTGTCGTCCGAGTTCCATTCCGGCTCGGCGGTCGGCCTCGGCGGGGCCTGGGTGATTGTTGTTACTACCGTTTGTGCGGCGGCGAGACGGAGGAAGATGAGCGCCGGTGTCAATGTTGAGAGATGCATCGCGTCGGGTTTGAGAATTGGCTGATTACTGTGGTCAACTACGGCACATTGATTGATGGGACAAGGACTGGTGAGTTGAAGCAAGGCATCTATTGATCGTCTGAGATTGAGCTGCTTCGCATATTATGAGAATTGCTCATGGGCTGTAAGCTCGTCCAAAACCATCGCGACTGGGCAAAGAAGCCGGTAAACCAGGTTTTTGCCCCCATGCTTTGTCTCGTCCAGTCAATCGGGTCGCGAGCGCGCAAGATGACGCATTCGAGGCTTCCTGGAGGCATTCCAAGGCCGTGAAGGGGCCTACACGGTGACGACGACCCCTTCTTAGGCCAATTGGCCTTGGACTTGGCGGCCAATTCAGGTTTACTCGGCGGTTCATCCGGGCTTGGGGCCTGTTGGCTGCTGACCTCCATAATCTTGCACTGCCATTCCCGGTGACGATCAGGGTCGAATCAGCATCCTTTGCAAGCTCTTGGAGCTTACGACTTCCGACGAACATGTACCGAGAACCCGTTGCATCGCCAGAATTGGATGAACTTCTAAGTGAAATCAAACTCTTAGGCAGAGTTCCTGGGCTTGGTGTGTTTCTCTCCGGGGCTGACTTACACGCCTCCGAGATTCGGGAACTGGTTGCGGTATTCGTCGGCGAAGTCGTCCGCCTGAGCGAGTTCTGGACACGGTGGTAAGGATTCATGCCACAAACATCTGATTGAAAAAATTGAAGGCTGAGTCGTATAGGTAGACAGGATCACGTACATCTCATCACTTGGGGTTGCGCAGTCTCTGTGAATGATGAAAGTGAAGTGTCTTCACTTTGTACAGAACACCAGCCACTGGACTGAGGCACTAAGAACACGCGATCGGGGCGAACTGGGCGGCCTAGAGCAAACATGTAAGCACTCTAAATGTTAGTTATGTGGAACACTAGTCCATCATCCAGACTTCACTCAATGTTCAATGTTGCGCATGGAAAAACAGCTTCAAATCTCAGTGTTTTTGCTCTGCTGAGAGTATTTTGATGCCCTTTGAGGCTTGGTGGAAATTAATGAGATGCTCAGGCGATCGGATCTGCCTAGTCACACCGGTACTGACGCTCAATAACAAATATGATGCGAACTAATGCAAGAGATGAGAGATCTATGAATGCAATCTAATAATCGCTCCCCGCTGTCCAATGCCAAATCAAACAAGAGTGAGAAAAAGACCCAAGTTAAAGAGCCCGGTTCTTTGTAATGTTGTTCAGCAGCGGATGCAGCCACTTGAACGTCCCCGGCTCAAACGGCTCCGAGGACCCAATGAAGTCGAACACCTTCGCCTTCTGGATTGCCGGCGACACCACGTACGTGAGCAGGATCCTCTGGATGAATCCCCACGACAAGATGTATCTCGCCATGATCCAGTCGAACGTCGTCTCCCAAGCATGCAGCCTCGTGAGGCGCGCAGACTGTTCCAGGTCCTTCTGCAACAGCTCCGTTCTGTCGTTCTGGTACTCTCCGAAGAATTTGTCGAGAGCTTCGAAGCTGGGCGAGCCTTCCGAGTCGGAGATGATCTTCCGAAGGCCGTTGCAAACCGTGACAACATCCTGGACGCCGTTGTTGAACCCCAGGCCGGCGTTAGGCGTGAACTTGTGCGCCGCGTCGCCGACGAGGATGATCTTGCCGGCCCAGCTCCAGTGCTTGCAGATGCCCTCCTCGAGGCCAGCTCCGCCGGCGTTGAACCGCTCTTTCCAGACATCCTTGACCTTCAAGCTGCCGGTGATGGGCCACTCCGCAAACCGCGCCGCATACTGCTCGAGCTCCTCCTCCGTGAACGAGATCCTCTCCTTCGTCGGCTTGTCCAGCTTCTCGTAGCAGAAAATCCACCCCCTCTCCCTTCCGGTGATGTACATCACCGACTTGTCCGTCGCCTGCGTCTCGTAGCTCTGGCCGGCCGCGGTCGGCCGCGGGAACGACGCCCACATGCAGCGGTAGTTCGTCTCGTACGGCTTCTCGGGGTCCCACTCGCGGGTCTGGTCTTCCTCGAGGGCCAGCCGGCGCATCTGCCGACGAGTGGCGGAGTGCACGCCGTCGGCGCCGACGACGATCGATCCTTGGTAGGACGAGCCGTCGTCGCAGGAGACGATGACACCCGTCTCGGTGGGCGTGATGTCGGCGAGCTTCTTGCCGGTGTGGTAACGCTCTTTGGCGGCTTCCGGCAGGGTGTCGTAGAGGGCCTGAATCAGATGCGCTCTGTGGAACGCCAATGGCGTTGAGCCGTGGCTGCGGGCGCCGTTTTAGTATGCATTCTGAGGAGGAAACACTGAATCGGTGTACTCACTGCTCTTTCAGTAAATCAAACGCGGAAGACTTCTTGAAATTGGTCCCGTCGACGGTGAATCCACGGTTGTCGTCTAAGAACATGCCAATCTCCGTGAGTTTGTCGAGGATACCGAGTTGGTGGAAGACGCGCATGCTCGTGGGACCCAGAACGAGACTTGCGCCGAGGTCCTCGACGATGTTTTCCCGCCTCTCGAGCACGACAAAATCGATGCCGGCGTGGTGCAAAGCGTGCGCTGCTGTGATGCCGCTAGGGCCGCCGCCGACGATGACCACTTTGAACGGGTCGTTGGCCATACTGAATATGTTGCTGTTGTTGAAAAAGTGTGTTTGGTTTGCTGGTGAGTTGTACCCCTGAGCAACTAAATCTTCACATCGATGGCGACATTGTCGCCGGCGGAGGGTTTTATACAAAACCACGATCTACCATCTCCACCGGGCTCGGCATCAAATTACCACTTTCAAGGTTCTGTGCTAGTGTTAGAGCTAGCTCTTGGCCGGGTACAACAACAGAAGGGACCCGTCTTCCGGGGTGCGTCCGTTGCCGTCAATCGAGACTGTCATGGGATATCGGGATGGTCCGTACTGCTGTATGCAGCATGCGGCTGTGCATCGGGAAACTACGTGTATCAGTATTGACGTCTTTGCAGTTCACTTTGGCATGATGAGTTGCCTATCCGGATATCCACAGCTCTCTGGGAGCCACGACATGGGAGAAACCGGGCTGTGGCTGACACGAGTCTAAGCCCGGGAATCCATGTGTCAGATTGTCGGTCTTTGAAAGTGCGTGATATCCGTGGATCTGTCAAAGGTGGAACGGAGTCGGGAGGATTAATATTCTGAAGTTCATCGATGATAACATCGCATTGAGATCGCGGTTACAGGCATCAAACGCTGGAAGGGTACAGCAGAAATTCCCGAGTCGGGAGAAACCCACCCCTAACCACCGTGTGGGTTATTAGCGATGGGACGCTGAGAGGCCTGTTCAATACGATGATTCGCAAGGTGCTTTAATTAAGTGAATGAAGGTTCGGCACTTCCTTGTTTTACTACGTGATAGAGCATACCGTTGACGTTACCAGAGCCGCGTAGACTCCAATGTGCTTATTGATACACTCTTTCTGGGTCTGCTCGGCGAGATATCTGCGAAGCTGCAGAGATCGGACACTTCCGCCCCCGAGACCCCGATCCGACGATCAGCGCGGCCAGGAGAAGCGCCGACCCGCTTCCACGGGCTCAATCTTGCGATCCGTCCCGTATTGCGCCGCAACTAGCCTGTACTCGGGATTAGCAATTGTCGAGAGGGCGTTGCGACTCATTCCCGAGCTGACTGAAGCAGGAGTTTTTCGATATCCGATTTCTATCTATATTCACACATCTGCAGTATTCGTGCGTTCCGAGGCGTACTGTTTTACAGCGTTCGGGCCGCTTTGGCATCCCTTGTACCAATCGACAGTTTTCTGAATGCTAAAAGAGCCGGGGAAAACACTTGAAAGATGGACAACGCACTCATCATACTTTACCTGTGTCGCATATCTGTCCACCGGTGAACAGCTTCGCGTTGGGCCACAGAATATGTTCTTCTGGCTTCCCGCGTGTTCCATCCATACAGATGAATGCCATATGGTGTTTGGATTCAAGTGTTCTCGGCGAGCTGGGCCTCGGATAGAAGACTCGAGCTCGATCTAGCAGCAATTCGTAAGCCTAGGCGCTGTGAACTCACTTACATCATCAACGCGAAGAAGCGATCACGTTTTACAATCTTGGCACGTGAGTTGTTGGCTATTATTTAAGTACTTTGGGAACATTGCGCGATTTCACTACTTCATGGCGAGCCTGTTGCGACTTTTGTTCAGCTGTGACATCTTATGATGTATCAACCGCTGTAGCACGCCGGAAGATGGCGAAAATCTCACATCAGCCAACCTCGATCGCGCACAAATGATCCCAGACCTGCAGCATCGCTTCATCCTTAGATCAGCAAATCATTCAATACCAAGACCAAGGCGGCTGAAACTTATACCCCAGAAAAGTCCAACCTTCCATTTTGGGCCATAGTGTACGACGATGTGTGGTCTGGATGGTTCAATTATTCAGGGATCTAATGAGCGTACCGTCGCTAAGCACTTTGAGTCTGCGTCTTAGACATTTAGCGTAAGCATTCGTTCATGACTAGCATCAGTTCACTCTTAGGCAACAGTTTATTATAAAATAGACGCACATTATGTTGAAGAAATGGAGTCCGAGATAACTGCTAGATGACTTCCACAAGCACAAGTCGTCTCGAAAACCAGCACTTCGCAGAACAACCATGAAGCTTCTTCTCCCTCTCTTTGGAGTCATCGCTCCTGCAATCGCAGCAGTCGACATCCTGCTGCCGCTCTACGTCTACCCGCTCGCAGGTGCCTATGACGGAACAGCAGACTGGAATGCCGCGATTGCTGCCATAGACGCCCACCCGGATCTCACCTTCAACGTCATCATCAACCCCAACAGCGGCCCGCCCTTTGCCAGCGAAGAAGGCATCAAGAAAGACTGGGCGAAATGGATCGGCCAGATCAATGGCCGACCCAACGCCGTGACCTTGGGGTACATCTCAACCCTCGGCACCGTGCAGCCCCAACCTCGCGACATCGCAATCGTCAACCAGGGCATCGACACCTACTCGTCATGGACCACGGCCGAGGACTGGGACGGAGTCGTCAGAGACATCTCCATCAGCGGCATCTTCTTCGACGAGGTCAACACGGCTCCGGCTCACGTCCAGTACTACACGCAAGTTTCCAACTACGCCAAGTCCAAGACGGGCTTCGTCGTGCTGAACCCCGGCGTCCCGGTCAACACGGATAGCTACGCGCTCTACAACGTCGCCGACGCCATCCTGTCAATCGAGACTTGCTACACGGCTGATCCGGATGCCCCTCAGGACCGATGCCCCAGGAACACTTACACGCCCTTCACGCCCGCTGTACTTGATAGCCTGCCGTCGGATGCGGCCCTGAAGGCCAAGTCGGCTGTCGTGGTTCATGACTTCTATGATGATTGGGAGCCGTACCAGCCTGCTTCTCTCGCCACATTGCAGGCAGACATCAATGCTATCGTGGCTCAAGGGGTACATAGCTTATACATCACCCAGTGGGGTTACAATGAGAGCTTTACCCGAGAGCCTGCGAGTGTAGGAACTGTTTCCAACCTCTTGGCTCTTGCTCAAGGTCTGTCGTCGGGCCAGCCTTTGTGAAGGTCCGCTGTGACATTCTCTGAGGAATAGTTAAGACGAGTCTCAGGAAGTTCAGTCTAGGAACTTCATGAGACAAATAGAAGAAGTATTCTTGATCACAATTAGTTTCATCTACTGGCTTGTTCTCATGAAACCAACCACTCATCTTGATATTAGCGCTTGGCAACTCGATTTACTCTAAATTTATCGAGTTTTAATATATCTAACCCAAAATCATCATTTACCTCAAATTCTTGATGTTTTCCAACACTCTCATGTAGTCCTCCGGGGCTTTTCCTCCTCTCAACATGAAGTCCTGGCTGATAGTACCTCCACTCGGAGTCTGGATTTCCATGTAGTCCACGGTCTCGAACCCGTACTTCTCATAGACCGCCTTGGCCTTCGGCATGGACTCCAAGAACGCAATCGATCCCTCCTTATCCGCTTGCTCCAACCCCCAGCGAAGCAGAGGCGTCGCAGCTCCCTTCCCCTGGTGCTCCTTGCGGCAGACGATGAGTTCCAGATACCAATGTCTAACATCGCCCACGATCGCCGCATGCTTCCTCCCTATCCTGCCAAAGAATTCGCTCGCGAATTCCGGGTTTCCCTCTTTCGGCCAGACCTCCTTCGGCGGTGGCGACTCGACGTTCACCTCTCCCTCCTTAGCCGGGCGCACCCACTTCGCCCAGGCAATGACCAAATCCGGGTCTTCCCTGTGATCCGGGTCCGTGACGACGAAGACGTGAGCGCGCGGATCGCTCACTTCCTCGGCGAACGCCTTGGAGAGGAACTCGCGGCATTCGGACGAGCTGGACGGGAAGCACGTCGTTGCGACGGGGTTGTCGCTGAAGGCGGAGAGGTAGACGGCGCCTAGGGCCGGCCCGTCGGCCAGCGTGGCGGGGCGCATCTTCAGGGGCATTCTGGGATTCGGTAGGTGTGGGCGAGCCGGGGTTTGCGGTGAGGATGAGAAGCGTCGAATGCTCGGACCAGAAGTTCGACTGAGAAAGGCGTGAAAGGGTCGAAACATGAGTGGACGAAGTCAGGGAATGAATCAAGGTTTGAATTCTCTCAACGGCTCTCAAGGTAAAGAAAGTCTCGAGCGGTAATCTCTGTCGAAGCTGATGGCGCAAACAACTGCTCCTTTTGGGTTGGGCGCTGGCGGGTACTGAAGCCGTTTCGGAAACTCTCACAGGCTTTCTCGGCCTCCGGAATTCAGGTACCACATGGATTGATGGGTATGAGTCAATCAAGCTGAGGCTCGCCGCCAGACTCACTCATATCAGCAAAATCACTATAAAAATTAGGCTATCCTCAGTTGCCAGATGGCTGCTGGGTGGGGAGGGTGTCAAGTGGCTATCCCAGGACAGCAAAAATGCAAAAGATATCCGCTGGACGACAGAGATGAGATTTGAACTCATGCGGCCGAAGCCATATGATTGCGAAGAATTGATAAATCAAAGTCAATTCGAGTCATACCCGTTAGACCACTCCGGCACTCTGCCCTGTGGATGCCAAGATGACGAGCTAGACGCGTTTGTGTAGGGTTGTGGGCGTTCTCGCTTGGTTGCAGGTGCGGAGAAAGTTGAGGTTTTGGGTGGGGGAGACGAACCTTCGTGCTCCGCCGAAAGTCAACTCATCACTGTGTTCTGATGCCAGCTGGGTGAGATCAGCAAGGTGCTTTGCTGGACAGCAGGAAATAGATTCGATTGCAGTATGAATATAGGGATGATCTAGTATAGAAACTGTACTCATTCTCCATGGTCTGAATTGATCGAATGCCGTGGAACACTCTAAAGTCTACCCACATCTAATATTGAAGTGATCGAAGTTGACCTGTGCCACGGCACCGACGTTGTGACATGATAGTTGTCCCACAGAGGTACGATTACAGTCTCCACCCGAGAAGAAGTTGACCGTGCAATTGCAACCGGCCTCCTGATCAGCGACTATTCCACAAGCACCGTTCATGGCTGTGAAACACTGGCTCGTTCCTGAGCGTGTCTGATTTGCTCTCTTCAAGTGTTGCCCTGTGCATCTGTCGACTTGTCCTTTTCCGAGATAGGCAGATGCCTCGCAGTAGACTGCTTCTGATGTGCGAACGAGGAGAGTGATTGGTAGAATGATTGAGTATTTCATTGTGGAGTCTGATGCAAAGGGCGACTTTTCAGCTGGAAGGTTGCGTTAATAAGACGTTTCCTAGACTGCGAGCTTATTACTTACTTTTTACCCGTGTATTGAAGGAGCAGGTCCGCCTAAGAATAAGGAGAAGGGGTAGAGACAACAGCGATATTTGAAAGCAACGTAATTGCATCCGCATCATCTCAATAAGAAACTCATTGCCTTTTATGCCGTGAGGTGTTTTCACGAGTCCTCCCCTCGTCCGTACACATGGCAACGGAGTTCCCGACGTTGAGTCACATCACGTCCGACTGTGTCTGCAAGCAGCCTCGGAACACCTTCTGATCATGCCTTGTGACCTGGAATCAACGGTTCTGTGACACCCGCTTGGTATAGTTAATCAGTGGCCTGTCTCTTGCATTATTCCAACATAGAGACACTGCGATATAATAGTCAGTAGAATCTCCGAACGAACTATTGAATAGCTCTGATGGCAATAGCCTAGCCACCAAAGTCGTTGAGAACTTTGCGGCGTCAGACACGCTGAACGAGGGTTTTGTAACACTTCCACATCACTACTTCCAGATTTCGGATTATGCCGGAACGTTCATCTCTTCGTCGGGTTTTGTTCCGATGTGTAATGAAGCACTCTGGGCAACTACAGCGTTGGCGTGTCTGAGTGGATGAGTACCACACAACGATATCACAATCCAACTCTCAAAACAGCCCATATCTGTTTTGTTGCCCTGGCGTGGAACTGGGATCGAAGCTTCTGCGCGTGGTGTCTATCGGATGACGGCAACATCGCAAGGCACCTGTGTAACAGGCTGCCTTGCCAACATCCGTTCTTCGCGTGTGAGGATAGACGTAAGCTTTCTGTACTACGGTTGTCACGTTGCAAGTTTGTCCAAGACCTCGGCTGAATTATTCAGAACTGAAAACCCTAGTAATACCCGTTGCCCCCGAGAAAACATGTCGGCTGTCACTTCGTAAAGTTATACCCAAGTACATCTTGTGAGATCAATTGTATGATTGTGGCTAAAAGTTGGTACTTCATAGTCTACGATATGCTCTTGACCGTACAATAATCCCAGGAAGCTACCAGAACCCAATCTTCTTTCTATCATGACTTCACCTGGCCGGGCCTGGCTCTGGCATGACGGGCCAACCTGGCGGAGGAGTCTTCATCATCTGAAAAACTTCTGGACTCATCGCATGGTCATTAACCCAGTCCAACAAGGCGTCAAAGTCCCTGCAGACCTTGTTGTTCATAAAGTCTGGGAACGGCTGCTCCCAGTTCTCCACCCAATTGAAGGTGATCATGTCCACACTTCCCGTGCACTTGATGGCCTGAGCCAAGATGTCGAAGCAATGGCCGATGTGTGCTTGATGCTGCGCTCCTCCGGGCCTTGGCCCTTCCTTTGACTCGTAGTAATGCTCGTAGGATACCTCCTTTCGAAGCATGTCCAGGCAGTGCAGGTGGTGGAACACCTCGGTCTGGGCTATGTACGCGTCGGATCCGTGGCCGAGGGCCTCTGGAATCTTGACTGCGACCTTTGGGTCTTTCCCCAAACGCCTCACGTCTTCTTCCCCGATGACCAAGGGCCATACATGGTCTCCGATGCGGTGCCACTCATCGTCGGCCTCTTTGCCGATACGTTGGCGGAGGATGGATGGCGGGTTCGTGTCGTAGAGTGTGCCGTTGGTGAGACGAGTGATTTTGGGGATGTCGAAACGCTCTAGTATCGGGGCTAGGAAGTTGTGAGCAACGGCCTTCAGACATACATCGTGATCATTCCACACTTACAGTAAAAAGAAGTTGATCTCCATTGATCCTGAACGCCAGGTGATTTCCTCGACTGAAGCCACAGAAAACAAGAACCAATGAAGAGGCCAATGTTGAGTGTCGTCCACCAGAACAAAGGCTTTTTCACTTGTGACGAGTAAGACTGATCATTGCCACTAAAATGGCGCGCTCTTACTCCTTGACTCGGTGTCAGAAGAGCTTTTTCCAAATCTTCAGCGCCGTCTCTACTGCTTGAGGTACCATCAAGGTCATCGTCACGAACAAACGTCCCTGACTCCATTGATGGTTCATGGCTCTCCAACATCATGAATAGTTTGATAGAATTGAGTGAAGAGAATGGACGAGGCGAGGGATCTGACGAAACATCAGGAGGGGAACGCTTCGTGTCCGAGAAAGAGGTGGCCACTGCAGGCGTGGCCGTCGGCTGCACATTTACGCCAGTATTGAGTCATCCCAGCTCCATACGACGCACTCTAAAGAGGGATATTCTCACACTGAAATACCCACCTGCCTTGATGATACATGTGTACTCGTTAGGTATGGCGAGGTATTGACCAGAACAATCAGGGTGGCTGCATTGTATTACGCGGCATATCGCATTTGCTGCCTTGATGATACTAAGTGGTGATCAGGTTGACCGTTCAACTCTCGCTACTGCACCACATATTCCTTCGCACCCGCTCTGGAAACTTGGCGCATTGGATATGCCCTCGCAACCTCGGACTCCATGTACGTTGTCAGATCTCACGCCAATCACTGCTTGATTATTACCACCTTCTTTTTCTGGTATGTCCTCGGACTCTCACACTTTTGGGCCAAGCGAAGCCAATTTTGTAGTAGTACAAGGCGCAAAAGTGCGTGATGGCGACGTGCTTCTGAGCAAATCCTCCGTGATTCCGATTGCTCTCGGTTATTGGCGGAGGGTGTTGATTCATCTTAACGCCGCTCTAGGTATCGGCTGCATGTGCTGCGCGAGCAATTGTGTGAACTTACAAAACCAGAACCTTCGTCGTCGAGACGGAGAAGCATCTCTTACCCATCAGTCTCAGTCTTACCCAAGCAACACTTTTTTGACTTTACACAGCAATCAAAGCCTTAACTGCCAGAATGCGCGCCCAGCACCTCGTCCTTGCCATTGTCGGCCTTGCTGCAGCTGCTCCTCTCGGTATATGCTTCTCGGGCTTGTGAAGAATTTACTTCCCATGTTGGCTAACAGAATATTCTTACAGACATGAGAGGCGCCGACGCTGAGGCCGAGGCTATTCCTTTCTACCCGAAGAGGGGCGCTGATGCCGAAGCTGAAGCCATCCCGTTCTATCCCAAGAGGGGCGCCGATGCTGAGGCTGAAGCCATTCCTTTCTACCCGAAGCGAGGAGCGGACGCCGAAGCCGAGGCTATTCCGTTTTACCCCAAGAGAGGAGCAGACGCAGAGGCAGAGGCGATCCCCTTTTACCCTAAGAGGGATGCTTCTGAGGCTGAAGCTATCCCGTTCTACCCCAAGAGAGGAGCTGACGCCGAAGCTGAAGCCATTCCTTTCTACCCCAAGCGTGGTGCGGATGCCGAAGCCGAAGCCATCCCTTTCTACCCCAAGAGGGATTCTGCTGAAGCCGAAGCTATCCCTTTCTACCCTAAGCGAGGCGCTGATGCCGAGGCCGAGGCTATTCCCTTTTACCCCAAGAGGGACGCTGCAGAGGCTGAGGCCATCCCCTTCTACCCGTAAATGAAGCAAGTTATGGGTCTCTTAGCTTGAGCTCTAGAACACCAGAGTTGGATTGAAGGGTGCATGTAGTCATAGGCTCGGTCAACTTTGACTTGTCAATGGTTGGCGATGGTTGGCGCTGTATTGACTTGTTGAGAGAGATTTCGGATATTTCAGACATGACTGAAAGGCGAAGATACGTCTTGGGGGCTCGGTATGCACTTGTTAAGTTACCTGGTCAATGGTAACAGTCACCACGCTCGTTACTGCTTCGAATATCAAATTCAAGTGTCACTCGTTAAGATAATCTGCATTCGTCTCCGTCATCCATGTCGTCTGTATTCCTTCAGTTACCTCTCGTTATCTCCGGTGTATCAGGCATAAATGATAGATGTGCGCTGTTTCTCCCACATCATGGTGTTACGCCAACTAAAGCGATTCGACATCATTGCTCTCAGCTTTGCATAATCGCTGTCAAGTCCGAAGACTTCCTTTGGTCGCGTCGTCATTCGTCAAGCAAGAGGGTAAGTCTACGCAAGTCGGCTCGGAAGGAAGCTTGGCAACTCAGATGTGTACTCGTTGGGTATGGCGAGATATTGACCAGAATAATGAGGCTGGCTGCATTGTACTGCGCGGCATACTGCATTTGTTGAAGTTTGACAACTCAACAGCGTCGTATTGAGGCGTTCATAGCCGAGCCATTGCCTCTTGTGAAATGCAATGCGGGCACCCTTGTAAGGGACGACGTCTTTTCGAAACCGCAAGAACTGATAGCAAAAGTGCCCGTGCAACCATGCGATGTCATCTCAGCCCATAGCCGCAAATCGGATACCAGATCCGGGCCGCACGGCGGGCCGAAGTCCTGCATGTCAGATTAAAGTACTTCTTACTGAAGCTTAGGGTGCGGGGGTTTGGCCGCCGTTTCGTACGTACACGGCATGCTGGTTGCCAGATTCGTAAAGTGATGAGGTGCCCGCTTCACCTCGGATCCTTCAGCTGTACGTCAGTTCTTGGCGGAATCCTTCAATCGCGCGATACGGCAGGAGCTTATCTGGGTGCGAATGACGCGAGGGCTGGGGGGATCGGTGTAAGCGAGATAGTGTTAGGTCTGAGTCCTGAACGATTTGGAAGTTATGCTGGTTTGCAAAGCCAAGGAAAAAATCCCACTTCCTGTTTCAGTTTTGCTGTCGAAAAGCGGGAGAGCATCTTGACAGTCAGTTTGATATTATCTGCTCGCGGGTGGGTTAAGTCAAGTTGTCAAGTGAAAGATTGAGAGACGTCGACGACATGTCGAGAGTGTAAGTCCAATAGCAACCTCGAAATCTCGACAGAGTCTCTGTCCCCTACTCTAACGCATAGCAGTTCGAAGTTCCTGCCGTTGTCTTGGGCTGCCCAAGACAACGTGTCGTATAGCAGAGTTTCCAAAGACGAAGAAAGTGATTCGAACTCTAGGGACAATCATGCGCCGCCCATTCCATCAACATCGTTTCCGAAACGAGTTGCTCTGTTCGCAACTCGCCTTGCCATCATTCTTCTAGCCGTCTACGGGCTTCTCTCACTTCTAACACCTCACCTCTTGTCGACGTCAAACCCCCCTTCCTTGTCTTGCAACTGCGGCGACACAATTCAAGAAGCGCGCAAGAACGGCTGCGTCTACGACTCCCTCGCTGCAGCATGGCTCCCGCCACACTGCCGCTCACCCAAGCTCACGGCGGAGTTCGAGTCCCTTGGTCCAAACGAACCGGACGCGACGGGCAACACTTGGGGATACTGGCACGACCAGAACCAGACACACCCCATGACCCTCGCCGAGGTCAGCCAGCTGCCCGAGGCGGCGAGACGCGGACAACACGCTCGCTTCTTCACCACGCACGAATGGCACCTCGTCCACTGCGTATTCTACTGGCGCAAGATGTGGGAGGCGGCGCGGTGCGCGAGGGAGGAGACGGGAGCTGCGTGCGGGAAGGACGGGGTGTTGGTGATTGAGAAGCGGTATGATACGCTCATGCACATCAATCATTGCATGACGATGATGCTGATGCGGGATCCTCTGGATGCCATTGCTGCCGAGGCCGGTGTTGCGCTGCATTCTGACGAGTTGCATGTCGCTAAGCCTCACAAGCACCACGAGCAACAGAAGCATAATGGCGAGAGTACTCACCATGGAACGTCAAGTGGAGATGAGGAATCGAAAGATCCATATGACAAGACGGGCAAGGATTCTACACAGGGCAAAGATCCTTACGACGACTGAGTCCGGAAGTTGTCGAGCTAGGTTGATGGTTTTGCCGTGTAACACATCAACAAAAGTTATATTGAGATTTCGGTGTCTCCATCAAGCCCTTCAACGCATTCTAGCTTACATACGGGACGCCTGATACGGCAGCTCAGACTGTCAACAAATTAATCACATCATCCACGCTCTCCACCTCCCGAGACCAACATTTTTGAATAACACTAGCAAGTGGTACGTCCGTCAAATCAGGGAAGTCGCGGGCGCGGAATCTTGCGATGACTTCGTCATCCTCAAGCTCTGCGAACGGGTGTTTACCAGCCATGATAAAATACATCGTCGACCCTAAACTGAAGATATCCAGCTTGAATGATGGGCCCCTAGATAACTCGTCGTGGTAGCGGAAGCCAGGCTCGATCCCGGTGGGAGAACCGTCGGTCGAGGACCCGGAGAAGTCGATGATTTTGAGGCCTAGGCGATCGTCCAGGAGGAAATTCTGCGGCCCGATGTCGCAGTGGTAAATAAGGGCGAGGTGCAGAAGCTGAACGCATCCAGCGGCTTCCACCGCCCACTGCTTTCGCCGTTCTAGAGACACGTCGGGGTGGGCGGCCAGGTAGTCTGCGAGCGTGCCATTCGGCATGTATTCCAAGGTCAGAGAGCAGGTTTCTGGATCCCACTTCTTCTTCTGCAAAAGATAGCGATGCGGCCCGAGCCGATCGTACACGTACGCCTCGGTAGTGATCTCGCGGCGTCGGTCGTTGCCGTGAATATTGCTGGGAAATGGCCTCTTGAGGATGTCGCCGTCCGGCAGCAGCTCGACGAACGAGGTTGCGCCGACTGCGACCAGTTCGCCTTTTTGTTTTATCGTCGCGGTTTCTACCTTGTTGACGGGTGGTGCCGGGTCAACCGGGTCTGGCTGTGGTGTCCCAGGCATTTGGAGGCACTGAGACATGCAAGTGGGCGTTCGATGGAAACTGTAAGTAACAAGACATCAAGTTGGTGGTTGAAGCCAAGAATTGTTGGTCATATTATACTCACAACACGACCCCTGAATGTTTATATACACAAAAGCCTCTCCCTTACCCCAGCCTATGAAATAATCCAGGATATAGAGACGTTGTTTGCTGCAGCACCATCTCCCGCCTAATGCACTTACAGGGCTGGGGGAGTCACGCGCTTGAGGACGCACGCCTTTCGCATGTCGCTAGCGTCGGCCTTTTCCCCTCGCAGAAAAAGAGTCATCACAATAACATCATCTTGGGTAAGTCTTATTATAAAGGCCTTTTTCAGTATCCAATCACGGTTTCTGTGCTTGAGTGTCAATTTCACGAGCCAACATGGCGAATACCCTTGCTCGAGAGCTGAAAGAGCTACACACTCCTTCAAAACCCATCATTCTCTCCAACGTCTGGGACTTGGCGTCCCTCAGCGCCATCCTATCCCTCAACACCGCTGAAGATAAACCCGTGAAGGCGATTGCGACGGCATCATGGGCCATCGCCGCGACCCTGGGCGTCAAGGACGAAGACCTCACGCTCGAGCAGAACCTAGCTGCGATCGGGCAGATCGCGCCCGGTGTCCGGGCCGCCGGCTTGCCGCTTACGGTCGACATACAGGACGGTTACGGCGAGAACATCGAAGAGGTCGTGAAGCAAGTCATCAGGCTCGGGGCCGTGGGCGCGAACATCGAGGACAGCATCCCGTCCGCTGGGTTTGACAAGGGCGTCGAGGGGTCGCTGTATGATCCCGATGAGCAGGTTAATCGGCTGAAGAGGGCACTTGCGGCGGCGAAGGAGGTCGGATGTCCTGATTTTGTCATCAACGCGAGATGCGACGTCTTCCGGCTGGAGCAGCCCGCTGTTGACGACGACGAGAAGGCACTTGAAGAGGGTATCAATCGGGGCCGAGAGTATCTCGAAGCAGGCGCCAAGACGGTTTTCTATTGGGGAGGCGGAAATCGAGGCCTGCGGACATCTGAGGTCAAGGTCCTCGTTCGGGAGCTGGGAGGTCGGGTTGCTGTGAAGCTGGGTGATCAGCCGGACGCCCTGTCAACCGAAGAGCTGGGTAACATTGGCGTTGCGAGGATCAGTGTTGGGCCGAGCTTGTACCATGTCGCGATGAATGCGATGAAGCAGGCAGCGAAGAGGATCCTTTCAGGTGGGAAGCTAGCCGGGTGAGGGTACGGATTTCTTCACAGACAAGACGCGTATCAGTCGGTTGAGGGGATCAGCAATGTTCGTGACATATATGTATTCAAGCCAGACTCAAAGTAGTCGTAAGCCTTCAAATATTTACAGTACAATTTTTGTTATGCTTCCGCCCATCATTCTCTACCGAAGATTGGAAACTTCTGTTTAGTTGACAGCAGCAGGAGGCTCCTGGCCGGGAAGGGGAATGCTCTGGGGGTGGGCGGTAAACATGCCCTCGGGGTCGTAGACGGTCTTCAGCTGCTGCAGCTTGGCGTAGTTCTTGCCGTACAGACGCTCGCTCCACTGGTCAACAGTCAAGGCGGTGTCGCGGTAGTTGACGAAGCCGCGGAGCGGCACGCCCTCGGTCCTCAGCTGCTGACGGAAGGGCTCGAAGCCGTTCTGCATGTAGGCGAGACCGTCGGCGGGGAACTGCGTCAGGCCGGTGGCCAGACGGCCCTCCCAGCGGATGAGCCACAAGCTGTTGGCGTGGGCGAACGAGGTATCCTCGTCCTTGAGGGCCTGGGTGGGCTTGCCGCCCCACAGGTCGATGAAGCCGAACTTGGTCAGGTCGGTGCGGTTGAAGGCGAAGGTGGTGTGCTCGTAGAGCGCGGTCGCGGACTCCTTGGTGAAGGGCTGGTCGGCGCGGAGGACCAGGGCCTGGAGGTAGAAGCTGCGGGGAGGGAAGGTGTCGACGGGGATGTCGACGGAGGGGGTGGCGACGTTCTCGGTGGCCCAGAAGTCGTTGATGTTGCGGGTGAGGTTGGTGTTGGCGGGGAGCTTGGCCATGAGAGGCTCCATCAGCTTGTCGAAGTCGTCCGGGTTGCCCCAGTAGAAGCCGGAGCCGGTGAAGGGAGGGGCAGTGAGGGACCAGCGGAGAGTGAGTTCATCGGGCCACTGGCCGGTCAGGACGTGATCCTGGATCGTCAAGAGGGCATCGACACCAGCGGCGAGGGAAGTGTCGTTCAGGGTGATGGTGTAGTCGATGGCCTTGGCGTAGGTGGGCTTCCAGGTCTTGGTCGTCAGGTCAAGAATGATACCGTAGGAGCTACCGGCACCCTGAAGAGCCCAGAAGAGGTCGGGGTTCTCGGTGCGGGAGCACTTGGCGATCGTGCCGTTGTACAGCATGTACGTGGCGCCGTCGAGGTAGTCCATGGGGGTTCCGAGGATACGGGACAGAGAGCCGAAGCCACCACCGATGGATGAACCAGCAAGGCCGACCATATTGGCGCGGACGTGTGGGAAACGAGCGCCATGCTCCTTCCAGAGCCAGCTGACAACAGGGCTCACGAGAGCTCCGCCACCGTAGGTGAGGAGGCCGGTGGCATCGTCGTAGCTGACGTTCTGGAAGTTGGTCATGTTGAGGGTAAGTCCGCCATTCGGCAAGCTGTAGGAGCCGTAGCAGTGGCCTCCGTCACGAGCGGCGACGAGGACCTTGGCCTCACGGGCGCAAGCCAGGGCGGCGGCGACCTCGGGGGTGCTGCGGGGCCAGGCGACTGCGGCCGGGGTCGGGGTGATGCGGCGCTGCCACGAGCGGACATCGTTGGGGAACGAGGCGTTGGTCTCGGGGAAGGAAGTGATGAGGCCCGCCGTCTCGAGGCAGGTCTCCAGGTCCTGAGCCTGGGTGAAAGGAGCGAGGGACGCCGCGGCGAAAGCGACGAAGTTGGAAAGACGGACCATGATGCCGTAGGTCAGTTGAATGAGAGACTGAAGTTGGAAGATCAAGCTTGAGAGAAAAGCTCTAAGGGGATCTGACGATGCCAGAGCATCAAGCTACTCTTTATACGCACCTCGCGTTACCCCCTAACTTATAATTTCGATGTTGATTTCTTGGCAACGCTCATAATCGCCAAATTGATCCCGCCGGGACATCTGCACCGCGCGGAGCCAACCCGGCGGTCGATTTGGATCACCGGCACTGCCGGACACTGGATGAACCATCATTAGGTTGTAATAGAAAAGGGGAGCTTGGCCGCCGCAAAGCCCACCGTCCCAACCACAATAAAGATGCAGAAAGCTTCTTAGATTGTTTCCCGGTTCTGTCCAGATGGAGTTCATGATCAGCCAGGATTGGCCAGGATGTCCCAAGCGGGCGGGCTTTCTGGTCACTCCGCAAAAGAGGCACTCGAGTCATTGTCGGCCGAGAACCAGGGGCTCACAACGTGTATTAAAGCTTCGCGGAGGCTCTTTCGAGTCGGCGCACTGCCACTGCTGAGCATCAAAATGCCAAGACCGACCATCCCCTGAGAGATATTACGGATGGTATTGTAGGTTTCTGGACGGATTGAAATCGCACCAAACAGAGCGCGACGAGTGTTTCCGGCTACTTGGGTCTTGAGGGCGCAGCTTCTCTTGGAAAAGTTCCAGCGTCCGTCAGGGTGATTGCCAAGCCAACTCAATGAGATGAGGTAGGTTTCACGATCGCATGCTGCTAAAATTTGGGAGGCTCAAAATGATGTCTGGATGAACCTGCGGAGACGATCCCCGCTGAGCAGAATTTTGGCGAGCGTTCCTGCGCGTCGATCCGCTCGAGCTTCTTGGTCTGCGTTAGAGCAATGGAGAGCGTACACGGTTGTATAGTGTAGTGGTTATCACTCCAGATTTTGATTCTGTCATCACTTCTGGTAACCCCGGTTCGAACCCGGGTACGACCTTAACCTTTTGTCTTTTTAACCATCGGATTGCTGCATTGCATTTTTTTTGTAGTTAAATTGCAAGCTATATATTCATTTTCAGTGATTTCAATTGGTGCGTGGCGAGTAGTGCGTTGCTGGACTGAGCGTTTTGAGTACTTTATTAACTTCTAACTAAAAGACGCAGGTCCCTGTTACGCTACTAGACTTCAAGAAAAGTCTATAGACTATTGAGAAACTCTTCTAGAGTCGTATTGGTTTGTAATCAATCAGATTGAGTTTGCTAAGTATGCTTTTATCTACTCATCAGTTATTTGTGTTGTTGAGACTTGTCTCTATTGTTGTAACTATTGCCGTCGTCGCCATCCTTGATGTCGCTGTTGCTGCTCCTCTCATTATCGTCGTCGCTGTCGTCCTTGGAGTATTCATGTAACCATGCCCAATGTTTTCAACTGTGTTTGATTTCTACTCTCAAGATGCACTCTGGCAACAATGTGACTAAGCCGTCAAGAGTCGGTACCCTTTTTCTTACTCACACCAGGTTGCTGAACCAAGTGTAGTGCAGGCACATGCTGAGCATCATCATTCCCAACAAGAGCAAGGCTTGCTCTGATCCAACTGTGAATACCCACCCGTGATTCTGGAGCCATGCCGGCCAATCATTACCAGGCTTATATCCAGCACTTGTATCCCCGCCATGGCCACCGTGGCCCTCATTGCCCGAACCGAAACCAGAACCAGAACCCGAGTCTGCTCCAGGGCCACCTTCGCAATCACCAGTCGGCGGCACCGCGTCGGGGTTGTTGAGCATGACGTTGGGCCCCGGGTTCGGGATCATCACGTCCCTCGAGTCCACCGTCCTGCACCCGTTGGTGTTCGCGCGGAAGATGCCGGGTCTGCTGTTGAAGTCCGAACCGTCGCCGCCGTTCTCGATCCTGACCACGGCGCAGTTCATGTACATCTCTCTGTTCCCCAGGTTGTTGAACCACGACCACGCCACGATGCCCTCGTCCGTCGAGGGCGTGTCGGACGGGATCTGGAAGCTGAGCCGGTGTCCGTCGCCGGCGGGGCAGCCGCCTATGTAGGTGTGAAGGGTCTTGAAGGTGTTCCCGCCGTCGACTGAGAGACTGACTTGGCACGACCCGCCGCCGTGGATTGTGTGGCCTGAGATGACGACCTCGCGGGTGTCGCCGGCGCTCCAGGTGTCCACCGGTGTCGCTTCGGAAGTGCCGAGTGCACTCAGGTAGCCTTTGCAAGGGTAGTCTGAGCCGCTGAGCGAGAGGGGGTTGCTGTAACTGTAGTCGATATTGATGCTATTCGGATTGTTCTTCGCCTTCAGAGGCGCCGGTTCCGACATGACCATGTGAGCCGAGGCCATTCCCGCAAAGGCAGGAAGCGCAAGAAGGATGTTCCACATTGAGATATGCATTTTTGCCGTAGGTATTAGAAGCCAAGTCCTGGTGATCTTTCGTAAGCGGGATAGTTGTTTGAAGGCGTTGAAAAGGCTCCACGGGTTTGTTGAATATTTGAAATAGCCAGAGGCCCTTTTTGACTTGGTTCGCGTTTGCAGGCCGACTAGAAGTATTTATGATGGTGTTGATCGGAGATGCCCACATCAGTGAATCACACTTATCTCCAGTGAGCCACTCATCTAGTTAACCATCACCTGAAAGGCGGAAAGTTTCAAAAGATCCCCTTCCCATTCTTTTATTCAGTCTACCCAATTGTCTAAACCGTCTTTAGTGATTAACTTGCAATGCTTGCCGAGGTGTCCAATAAGAAATCGGCATATCACGATTGATTTACTTGACTTTCCGAAGCGGCGAATTTGATTGCTTACCTGCGATTTCTCTCCTATTCTGGATTTCAGCAGGCTATCATATTCCAAATTCGGTCTTTCTGTTGGAAATTCTAGTCAAGGGATCAGAGTCAGTCGACTGAGAGTGAGTATGAACTTATGTGTTTAGTCTCACCAAGGACAACGAAGTTGCCCGCAGTCTGACGTGATTCCCAGAATTTCTCATGATTGCTCAGGTGAATAGTGCAGTCACTGTCATGAAGTGCAATGATGCTATGCTATTTGGCCATCTGACATTCACTTGTATTATTCCCTTGCCGACCAAGCAATCAGCGCAGCTCCAACACCACTGCCATCGCTTGCCATCCCAATCTTGATACATTTTTCTCCACTGTCACCAATCTCCGGAACTTCCCTTAAAGCTTCTCTGATATTCGTCTCAAAGTTTGGGAAGTGTTCAATCAATGATCCATCAACGCCGATGTCGATGACTCCATCGTCCACATCTCCGGAGTCCTCTCCGTGGTCAGATTGATCATCTGCCGGTATCCAAGACGCGCCTTTCCCAGGTATCGTGATTCGAACTTTGACATGCAACCACTTAGCCACGATATTCCATAGACTTCTCAGCCCGTATACAATCGGAGATAGCATGCTGAGATTCGTGGTCCACGAGACCCGGGCTGGTTTTGCCACAGCTGTTGAGTGTAATCTCCCTGACTGGAGAGCGACCCCTGCGATGGCGACCGAAGACAGCCTGGCAGCCCGGCGTCCGATGGCGCTGGAGAGGATCTTCAAGGCTTCCATATCTGTCTTTGCAATGTCCGTGGCGCCGAGAAGCTTGGAAACTTCCAATCGAGCAATATCCAGATTCGGGGTTGTGTCCTTCACGATCGAGGACAACAGTGAGCTGTCGATGCTATCAGGGATGTGAAGTACAGAGTCTTTTGGGATCTTCATGTTAAAGATCCCACGCCTCGAATCCAGCAGATGGACGATGATCCGCCTCAGGAGCTCACCAAGGTACATGCCAGATATCCGCTTCTCAAAGTGCTGGTCATCCGGGTTGACGGAGTCTTGGTCCAACTCACGATCGAATCGCGTCGTGGGCAGCACCTCGAGTTTGCTATCGAACCCACCCCACTCCGTGTTCAGCGCCATCATTGCGCCGGGCTCGTAGTCTGCGTAGCCCGCGCGCGAACGCAACTTGGTGATCCGCGAGATGCGTTCCATGTAGGCGCCATTGGTCCCCGTGCCGAAGATGGCGCCGACGACCGTACTCGATCGGCCCGGGGAGGTGTAGGCCCGCGCCGCCAGCGTGCCCACCGTGTCGTTGGCGAGGGCGGTCACCAATAGCGGCAGGTCCTGCTCGTCGAGTGCTTCTTGGAGCATGGCGCAGGGGTCGCGGCCGACGGCGTCGGGAATGTCGAAGGACTTGGTCCAATAAAGAAGCTCGCCCCTGTTGAGGGCGTGTTGATCGAAGGTGAAGCTGAAGGTGAATCCCAAGCTCTTGGAATGCCTCTTTCGAAGCTCGTCAGTGACACCTGCCTCTGATAAGACAGTCCACTTGTCGAGGTCTGACGCATGGTGCTTCTCCATGAAGTGTCTCGTTTGAAGGGCTATGAATCTGAAAAGGTCTTTATATGTCGGTGCCAACATGAGATGTCGTGGGATGGTGACTTTTGACTGGGTTAAAGAGTATGTGGAGTCCCCGTGTAACTCAACAGAGCATACTCTCAAGTTGGTGCCGCCGAGGTCAATGGCCAAGCAGACGCCTTTTTCAGAGCCATTAGGGAGCTTGGTAACATAGGATGGAATCTGACACATGGAAGTTCCATCTTCCTGGAGGCCCTCGTCTGAGAAGATTACATGTCAGTGTATGCACGATGGTGAATGTGGTGTAAGTGAATCACTTACTAAGCTGTTTCAGGAAATGGGCCGTCGCACGGCGAACATCGTCCGCCGAGAACTCGAATTCCCGAGCGATTCGTACCGCTTCGAGTATCAGATCAGATTGACCATTCTCGTCGACCTCAACGGAAGACATTGGGGCACTGGCGAGTACCTGAGAGCTTCGATAATGGACGTGTTGGGGAAGCCAGGTTCATGGGCCGTCGACACCATAACACCCAGCAGACTGCCCGATCAAGTATCTGATGTTCTGCTTTTTGGCACACTGACTGGCACAGTTGTCAGATGGTCATTCAACCTACTTTCATGCAGATGCGGTTTTCCGCTCACCTTCCATAACAGACAGCCAGCTTCCCCGGCTAGGTCTTTCAGGGATTCCTGTCCGGCAAACCCGGGCCGGGTGGATCGGGAGGACCGGTCGAATGTGCTCCAAATTCCCTCCAATGACAATTATGAGGGGCAGACTGGATCACTTATCCCCGGGAAAGTCGACACCCCGCCATAACTAGCTCCTGGATTCAATTTCACAACGAATTGACACTATCACGAAGACGAGGATAATAATAAGAGCCACAACGGAGACAGATGACGACGATTACAGTACCAATAGAAGCAATAAGAAAAATGACAACAACAAGGATAATGAGAATGATAGCGAACCCAGCGAAACCGGCGATGATAACGACATGGGGTGTCGAGCTGCCCGGGCGTGGGTATGATTTAGTCTGCCCCCATAAATGTCGCCTATCTGGCGCCGGGACTAGGCTCTTTGGATTTCGCTTGCGGCCAGATTCCTCATAAAGACCGGTCACCCCGGCTGAACCGGCGAACCAACCTCTCAACTCCGATCCCAACCTGTTTCGCCGGTCTTTTGATTGCAACCGGCCGGGACAATTCGCAGCTGCCAGCGGGATTGCGACACTTCCAAGTGGATCTCCTAAACCACATCGACTGCTGCGAGAGTCAGCCATGTCGTCCCTTCAGCAGGCAAGGGACGCCGGAGCTTCGGTAGATGGACCGGACGATGCGGGCCCGTCCAAGGCCCGGAAGGCATGCGGTAAGCCCCGACGGACATGCTCAATTGCCATGTGGCTCTGTAGGCTGACTCCTGTCATTGAATGTAGTCAATTGCAGAAGGCAGAAGATGAAATGCAGACTCGACAATGGGTCCGTCTGTCGAAGATGCCTACGAGCCGGTGTTCCTTGCGTGTTCGTGCCCAGGGCAAATGTATGTTCTTTTGCTTCTCACGCCGCCCCCACTAGTTTTGACATGTTTGTTGGTAGTCGGCAACACATCGTGAAAGTATCTCGCTTGCTTCGATCCTACAAGCCAACGAGCAGACGTCTTCGTACAATAAATCAGTCATTCTTCGTCTGAGGCGACTCGAAGAGCACTGCGGACTGCCGCCTCTTGACAGTCTAGAGGAAGCCGAGTCTCCTCACTCGCCTACTATACCAGATCATGAACCCGCGACCCCAGGCGATGCCGCGCTGAGTGCTCTCTGGACTGCTGTCGCGGTTCTTCGAAGAACATGCTCATCGCGGGTTAGCCTAAATATTTGGGAAAAGCCAATGATTAAAAGGCTTTGGCTTTCGTACGCGCACTTCCCCAACTGCTACAATGAACACTTAGTAACTCTTGAAGATTCCATGAAACTATGCCCGGGCTGCACTTCCTGCCCACAAAACAGACATTCTCGTCCCCGAGGCCGCTGATGTTGGCTTCAATGTTATACTGTTCTAGCATTCGAGGGCCGCCAGAAGTTGCTGTCCTGGCGCCGGATTACTTTACCGTCTTGTGCAGTGCCATTGCACAACTTTGTATCCCTGATAGTGAAATCGGCCAGACCCCAGACGACGCAGAATCGGCGGAGGAATGGGCTTTTCAGACGGTACTAGCCATCATCCTAGCAGGGCTTCTGCGAGAGGCGGTCGTGAAGGAGACCGGCTTGTGGATTTCGGTCGGCTACCGGCTGATCTTGGAACACTGCCCCTCCCATGTTGATGAGAGGTCCCGCGAGTGGCGACGTCTCTTCTCTGGTCTGCAGGTATGGTCTCTTTCCCGTGTACGGCATCAGAAGCCTTACTTACATGTTACCAGATCGTAGATCTCGAGCATGCCTCGATTCACCTCTCATGTCCGATCATTCCCATAGAGGCACCTCTACCTCGGCTGAAGATAGCCATGCAGGATCAACTCTACAGGCTATCACGCATGATGCACACCGGCTTGACGCACTTCACAGGCAGAGGTCTGCCAACTATTTGGTCTTGTTTTGCAAGCGTGCCATCTACCGCGCCAGATTCGACCGTGTCTTTCAGTGGCGTGGACGGGGCCGTCATTCGTGACTGGGCACGTCAGCTGGACGACTGGCTGGTAGAGTTCAGCGATAAGGACTTCGAGTCTGAGCATGAGAAGAAGCTGGTCTTCAGGCAGTATATACTCCACCGGCTGCTGGTTCTGTCAATCTACCACCCAGCCAGGGGTTGCAACTTGTTCTCCAACACGACACCCAAAGAGCAACACGAGCTGCTGGTGTCTGCGAGAGCCGCCGTGAAGCTGCAGATACTCGATGCGGCTATATGGTCCAACTGGGATCTGGTTATGATCACATGGGCTGCGCTCATTGTACTGCAAGGTGTTGATGGTGGTGTAGGCGAGCCCGATGGTAAAGTCTGCCCCATTCCCTGTTTGGAATTAACATGCTAATTCTTTGTGTGAAGATCTGGAGAACGTTGGTGTGCACTTGCAGAAGTTGAAAGAGATGCACGAGCCTAAACCAAGTCTCAGAGCCATCTTAGCTTCACGACTTGAAGAAAAGCTACAGGGCTTGCATACCCCAGCTTCGGGAGACGCGGAGGTTTTTGAGCAGGAGATACGGAACCTTGACAACTCTTGGTACATATTTGACCAAGCTAGCTTACAGGCAGGTTACGATTTATGGTCATATGAGAATCAGGGAGGATAGTCTTAGGAGTTTCCAATTGAGTTATTTACGTATTGCAATCCAAAGCCAGTTTGTAGAAACATCAAAGATTTGTTACCAGGGGCTGTCTGCTATCCATGGTAACTAAACTTCGCCTGAATAACTTGCCGACGCCGACGACGAATAAGTCAGACGGAGTGGACGACAATGAGGATAAGGTCGAGGTCGAGGAAGAAGACGATGACGACGATAACAACAAAGAGGACAATAGCAACAAATGCAACGTTCATACCTGCGCTGCTTGCACTAGACTTATGAGAAAGTGTGTTTTTATTCATAATATCTCGTAACTACCACCCGAATAGCAGTCCTGTAATCCCAATCGCGAGGAGTTCCCCTCATGCCAAAACCGAACTGAACCGTCCCAAAGACTCGGACTTAGATGACCGGCCACGGCGAGATACGTGAAGACATGCTGTCTGGGGTCAACTCGACCAAGTGATCCTCGTCCAAGAAAGGCTTGGAGTCCGCCGGCGTTTGGGGAGGACTAGCAAGCGACACAGTCCTCAATCGCAACGGGAGCTTCTGCTCGAATCCCTTTCCGAGTCCGACTTTTTCGATGCTCTTGAAGTACTACGGGCGAAATTAGCAAACAATGGACCATATCTCATCGATACAGGAAGCTCTTACCTTAACAGTCTTCACCTGCAACTCCAATGTGGCGTCTTCGTCTGCGACAATCATTGAATAAGGATGGAGCTGCAAGCAAGACAGAGTCCACATGTGGTTGACTCCGCCTTCTATCGCCTTCTGAAGCGCGATGGCTTTGGTTGCGCCATTGACGATGATGACAACTTCTCTCGCCTACAATAAGATACGACTGTCAGCAACTATCCAATCTAATACGCTGTATAATGAAAACATACCTCCATCACGGTTTGAACTCCCACGGTCAACGCCATCTGCGGTACCTTCTTCAAATCACCTCCAAAGAAGCGAGCATTCGCACGTATCGTATCCATGGCCAAGGTCTTCACCCTTGTCCTGGAAGCGAGACTGGATCCGGGCTCGTTGAACGCGATGTGGCCGTCGGGGCCGACACCACCCAGGAACAGGTCGATGCCGCCTGCTGCTTTGATCTTTTCTTCGTAGGCGGCGCATTCGGCATCCAAGTCTGCCACGTTACCGTCCAGGATGTGGACGTTCTCTGGTTTAATGTCTACGTGGGAGAAGAAGTGGCGGAACATGAAGCTGTGATACGATTCGGGGTGTGTCTGGGGTAGCCCGACGTATTCATCCTGGTGACTAGCTGTGAGCGTCTGCTTGTGTAGGCGGAACGGAATTTTTGGTGACCACATACCATGTTGAACGTGATGACATTCTCGAAAGAGATGCGGCCAGCTTTGTATTCGGTGACGAGTATTTCGTAGATCTGGATGGGACTGCTGCCCGTTGGGAGACCAAGGACGAAGGGCTTCTCGGAGGTTGGTTGAAAGGTTCTGATACGGTCTAGTTCGGTCAATAAGTAAACTTCTGGAGTTAATGACGTATGACCTGACGCACCTAGAATGTAGTGGGCAACATGGGCAGATGCTGATCTGCTATCAGGTCTGATGATGAGTCTCATTGTGTAAGTGGATAGTTGCTGAAGCAAATGAAAGCTTCTGTAGAAATGACGTAGGGTATCAAATGATTCTAGCGTAAAAGATATGTCGAGGGAGATAAAAATGCAAGTTAGGGATCAGCGAGATTGGAAAGCCAAAGCCTTGATGGCACATCTCCTTCCAGGCGACTTGTAATTCTATTGAACTCTGAACAGTAACTATCACCGGTGCATGTGTTCGGCGATTTGCCCGGTGCCGGCTTTGTCCCTCCGACAATACCGGTGTCTCATTTCGAGGAGGACCACGTTAGGCCCATCGTGGCCCCCACGTGGATAGAACCCAAAGATCGGGATGGCAGGTAACCATGACCGGGCAGAGTACCGGCGATCTGGGAACCCCCCGGGGGCCAGTTGACAACGTTTCATGCCTGTCATCCAGTCCACAGGCTGCGGGAGTGTGGAGGAGTGGGATCGTTACATGTGTCATGGGTGCATGGCATCTTGGCAAGTTGATCTGATTGGAACATGTGTTTAGTTCTAAATTAACAACGCATGTCCAATTGCGTGCCGGGTCGGACTCCAGTCTTCCGGGCAACAACAACTTTGGCAATTATACTTTTAGTCTATCTAGCGAGTTGACCTCGAAGGCATCCATATCGTTAGAACGCCGCTGATTTCAATGAGAAATCCGATTCTGCTATCTTCATGTAGGGACTACTCCTCCTTGGCTTGAAGCATCTTCTCGCTGTAGCTCGAACCAGCCTTGAACCACCACGCGCCCACCAAAACGGTCAATCCGCCAACGACGACGCACGTGTAGTTCATGTTCGCGGGCTCGACGGGCATGACGTAGGGAAACGAGAAGAATACAATGGCAAAAGTCAGCCAGCACACCGTGATACCGTTGACGATGGGACCCCAGGTAGACCCCATGTGGAACACGCCGCGGTGCATGTTCTTCCGTCTCGTGAGCAGGTTGGTCACGATGGGGAACATGTACGAGATGTTGTTGATGGTCACGGCGGTTCCCAGGAGGGAGTTGAAGGCTGTCGAAGAGCCGAGGTAGAGGCAGCCCAGGGCCGCGACGATGGCGGTGACGGCCATCTGCGAGTTCAGGGGGATCTGCCACTTGGGGTGGACCCTCGACCAGCTTTCTTGAAGTCAGCTCTGATTCTTTCTTCCATTTGCAAGACGAAAACTTACAGCCTTGAGAACGGCATGGCTCCGTCACGAGAGAAGGCCCAGAAGACGCGACCGGTGCTCAGCTGGGAGCTAACGACGCAAGGCCCGAGGGCAACGAAGAGAATGAAAGTGAGGCCGAAGGCTCCGCCAGCCCGCTGGGTGACTTGGCGGAAAAGCTCGGCCAGGGGCAGGCCGGTGTTGGTCGTCGACAGGGCGTCAAAGTCCTGTACGGAGAACATGAGAGTGACGAGATAGGTGATGCCGGTAACAAAGGCAATGGAGAGGGTGATGGCAATAGCCAGGGGAGCGTTCCTGGACGGCTTGTTGATTGTTAGCAATCATGCACTCCGCACCCGGCATGGCGTCTCAACTCACGTTGGGCATCTCCTCGGTGATGTGCGTAACGCCGTCAAGTCCACCGAGACTGTACAGCGGGTTCACCAGGCCCGTGATGAAGCAGATCACCTGGTTCTCCCAGCCCGTGTTGTTGATCCAAGTCTTGAACACGAACTCGGCGTTGCGGTGGGTTGGCGCGCACGCGGCGACTGTGACCATGACCACGAACCAACCGATCTGCAAGTAGAAGAGCGAGAACTTGTTCAGGCCGGGGATTATCTTGTTTCCAAACATGACAATGCCGGCGGTGATGAGGTTGAGGCCCTGGTAGACGATGAAAGTCTGCCAGGTCTGGATCTCGAGGTCCTCGTGGTACAGCGCGACCAGGGCCATCATGACCTGGGCGTAGATCAGATTTGTTGAGGCAGTCGTGAAAATCCCTAGCAATTAAGTCAGCGAATGATTTCGGGGTTGTCCTGCGTCGCAGCTCAACTCACACCCAAGCACGCTGAACCAGCCCGTGAAGAAGCTCAAGACACCCGTCAACCTCCTGGGCGCCACCGCGGCGATCCAGTGATACATGCCGCCCTCGGTCGGATACGAAGACACGAACTCGGCGAGCGACGCGCCGAGAAAGCATTGGAGTAGGGTGACGAGAATGAAGCCGTAGATAACCGCGCCGGGCCCACCGGCGTTGATCTCGGTGATGAGTCCGAGACCCAAGCCCGTCCAGGAGATGGTCGTTGTCGATGCAAGACCGATGAGACTGAGCGTGCTGAAATGACGCTTCAGCTCTTGTGTGTGGCCTAAGTTGATTGTGTCAGTTTATTGACGCCATCAATGATGCTAAAGGTCATTGAACTCACCCATCTGCGCCAGACGGATTTCGTCCGCATCGAGGCTTTTCTCCGCAGAGCCATCCACGCTCCTCTTGGGACTTGACGAGACGTCAATTGGGTCTTTTACTTCGGCCATGATGAGTTTCGCGGACTGAAGTTGACGATCTTCATACGACGATTCTGGTCGCGTGCCATTGATGTAGACCACCGTCCGCGCGTGTGGGTGCGGCTACAAACATATATCCATAAACACATGGTGCCCCATCCCACGTTCTGGCCCTTGAATCCCGCATGTCCACAATTGATAGCGGTCATAAGACGAACATTAGCTCCTCGTCTCATTACCCCAGTCGAGGCGAGAACGGGCGAGGTTTGCCGTGTTCCGATTGTTACCGTTTACGGGGCCGATAAACCAGGAGGGAAAAACATACACACACACACACTAAAGATACGAGAGAGGAGCCGCGGTTGATAGAGGGCAAGATACATGAGAACCGGTCAAGTCCGGCCCGGACATCTAATCCGTCTATCGGCCCCCAAACCGCACCACTCCTGCAGCCGAACTGCGGAGAAGAACAGACAATTCCAGGGGTACTCGAGTCATCACTGGTGACGTTCATGGGGATCCTTGTTCCCTTAGCTTCCCCCGACTTTTGCTCTCCCCCCGGTCCTTACCAGCATCGCTATCGCATTTTGCTTGTTCGCTCGGGGATGCCCCGAAGTTGGCTTCTTCAGTCTCGTCAATTGCAACGTCTCTCGTGGTCAGTCCATGTCATCCCGCTAGTTATTTCCAACGTGCCCACCATGTCGAAGGGTCCCCTCGTCCCCATGCCGCTATCACCTCCGCATTCTTACCTAACCTGGTCAACAACACCGACCAGCCACCGGTACAAGGGCTTCTACCGGTTGGTAGAAGTCTTGGAAGCGCGTCCACTGCTGTTGGGGTTGAGGTCACGCGGGTGTCCGGCTCTTGATTGCTGCAATCTGCAATGACGACGATCTGGTCCTTGGCCCTGGGGCAGCAGCTCTTGGCCGCGGGAAATTTCAGCATGGCATGAGTGCGAGCTGCGTATATTAAGCAGAGCGCCCTCCTGCGGTTCGTAGAGAGGTGGTGTTCGTGATCTACCCCTCCAGAAGCTCGAGATCACATCAATTGGGTCTTCCACGTGCTCTTTCAAGATGGTCTCTAGCGTGTCCAAGGCCGCGGCTCTCATTGCCCTCGCCAGCACGGCCACGGCGTCCTCGTACGTCGCGTCCATGTCGTCCAATGCCCAGGGTCTCTTGAATGAGTCCATGGCGTGGATGGACCAGTACTACGACCGCTCGGCAGGATACCTTTACGACTTCGGCTCTGCCTCCGCCCTCCGTCACGAGACGCGCAGCTCTGTCTGGTATGCCTTGGGTCTCTTGGCACGCAACGACGGCGACGATGCTGCGCAGGCGGAGAGAATCATCACCAACACCATTGAGGCGCAGTTCAAGATCGTCCCGGAGCAATGGTACATTCCCCCGCCCTCGTACTCCGCAATTGAGCGTGCAGACTGACAGCATCAGGTACGGCGACTACCAAAAGTATCCCGAGGAGCCTTACGTCGGATCGGAGCACTACCCAGGCAGCATCTACAACTCATGGGACCCCAATTGGCGAGGCTTCGTCGGCACGACCCTCGTCATGGCCCTCGAGGAGTTCCCCCACCTGCTGAGCAACGACACGCAGGACCTCATCCTCGAATCGCTGCACAACACCACCAAGGGCGACGAGTACCGCGTCGGCGGCGTCGACGACGACAACCTCTACCCCGCGTACAGCAACCCGGCCATCATGCGCGCCTTCGTGTCCGGCTACACCGGCCGTCGCCTCCAAGACGCCAACATGACCCAGTCCGGCGAGAACTACGCGCAGGAGATTATCGACCTGTTCGACCGCGCCAACACCCTCTCCGAGTTCAACTCGGGCACCTACACCGGCGTCTCTCTCTTCGGGTTGATCTTGTGGACGAAGTATCTCCCGGAGGACTCCGTCATGACGCAGAAGGGCCCGCAGATGCTCATCGACACGTGGAAGGCCGTCGCGCAGCTGTGGCATCCCGGCATGAAGAACATGGCCGGGCCTTGGGACCGCGCCTACGGCTATGACATGAACCGCTACGTCAGTTTGATGGCGCTGTGGTTCTGGACGTTGATCGGAAAGGAGAACTCCTCCATGATCTCTGCAGTGAGCTCACATCTTTAATCAAGCCCCCCGCCCAGATGGGATGCTAACAAAAGACAGCCTCAAGTCATGTCCCACGCGGCAGACTACGCCTGGGCGCCCCTCTTCGCCGTCCTCGCCGACTATCACCAGAGTCTCCTCCCGGAAGACCTCGTCTCCAACCTGACCACCTTCAGCGGCGAGCACGTCTTCACGGCCTCGACGTACTACCCTCCCTACGACAACGTCCCGCGCAACATCACCAGTTGGCTCTCCGAGAACCTCACCATCGGAGCCGAGTCCTTCGACGAGAACGTCATCGGCGGGCCCTCCGAGAACCAGGCCTCCTTCAACCCGGCCGTGGTCCAATGGAACACCGGCAACGAGATCTCCTTCATCTCGCTGTACCCCACGGAAATGGCCCTCGACGTCGAGGTCTCCCCTAACAAGCTGAGCCTGACGTATCCCAACGGCACCGCCGACTCCATCTTCACCTTCGTCGTCGGCACCTTCATCAAGAAGCCCACCATCGCGGGTTGGGCCGACGTGCAGGGACTGAACGTAAGCGTCTCGGGCAACGTCAACGAGACGTACGCGCTTTCTTTTGCGGGTGCTATGGGAGGTTCCGGGTCGCCTATCCGCGACTTTGAGTTCTGGAACTTCACGTACTCGATGCCTGCTGGCTTTGAGGGCAAGCCCAGCGTTGTCCTGGATCTAAACCTTCTGTGAGTTAGTGGAATGACGGAACTTGGAGAAAATAATGTAATGATAGAGAGGTAGAAACATTAACGAATGATGATCGACGGTGAAATCACAATACACGACATACCATGTCCTAGCACATGGAAATTTGACTGAAGAACCTGTGAGGTCATCCAGTAGCATTCCTCCTTCCCTGCAATATCGTAGTACGATCGGAAATCAGATGTAAGTCAACCGCATGGCACAGCTCTAAGTCCAGCACGAACCACGCTTGTCCGGGCCGTTGCAGTGTTAGTCCCAGCCTCAGATACGTAATACCTCGCTCGGGTGCTTACTGTCCTCCCTATGACGAAATTCGGCGCTTGGCGAGCCGAAGCCTCGACTAAGAGTCAAAACACATTCCGTATGCTCTTACTCACCAGTCCAGCTGCCCGTTTTCGAACCGCGAGAGCGTCGCCTCGGCTGGAATTCTCGTACGTTCCAGGGGATCACCGGACCACGGTTCGGCGTTGCTTCCGGGCGGTCTCGCTCGCTTAAACAGAATGATGTCGGTCCCGTCAGCTCGAACTCGAACGCGAACGTCGTAATACGGCAATCTGGCTCTTCTCTCCCCCCCCCTCGTGTTTGTGAATATCGCCGCCTTGCGTAATCACGTCCGGTCGCCAAGGTGGCTTTCTGTGATTTGAGCTGTGATAATTAGGGGTTCGATGATCTCTTCGCACTCGCAGTCGGCACTCGACCTCTTCGTGGCTGAGACACTTTTCAACGCCGAACGCCGACCCTTGGTGACCGATTCCCACTTGGTGTCTAGCAACAGAGCTAAGATCTTAAAAGGGTCCCATTCTGTCTCGTTGTCGACATCTCAGAAACCCCATCGGCACTCTCACCCGCATCTCCCCGAGCGAACCACATCCAATAGCTTCAGAGCCGCAACAGCCCTCTTTTAAACCAAAGCCACCCTTCAACTCCACTTCTTCACTTACACCAAACCCTCAAACAACCTTTTTTTTTCCAAAATGCCCTTCTCATTCAACGGCAACCAGGTCGAGCTCGACACGGCCATCAACTTCGCCGACGAGGCCGACAGCAACTTCATCTTCCTCGAGACGCACGAGCCGCTGACGAACTCGCAAGAGGCGGAGCTCCAGAACTACGGCGTCAAGTTCCTCGAGTACCTCTCCGACAACACGTGGCTGTGCAAGTACGAGCCGGCGGACCTGGTCATCATCCGCGGGCAGGCGTACGTGGCCAACGCGGCCGTCGTGGACCCGCGCTTCAAGATCCACCCGCCGCTGATGCCGTACGTCCGCAGGGGCAGCCAGGAGAAGCACACGGTCGACATCACGCTGCACCAGGAGGCCATCATGTCCGCGGAGGAGGTCGCGGCCAGCATCCGGAAGCTCTCGGGCGCGTCGGCCGAGGAGGTGGGGTTGAGGCGCAACTCGGTGCGCTTGGAGGTCGACCAGGAGGCCCTGTTGAAGATTGCCAAGATCGACGATGTTGCGTCCATCGAGAGGGTTCGGGAAATGGAGGCACAGGAGACTGCGCAGGAGATTGAAAGTTACTGATGGTGCTTTCGTGTGGATTAGATTGTAGCGTTGGGCAATGGAGTCAAAGTCATTTCTATAGTCGTAGTCCAACTACGTATTAATCAAGTTAAACTATCATCTTAAACAAGAGGCAGGCTATATCATGCCTATCCGAATACACTAGGGACGACAAGGGATGACAGAGATAGCAGAAACAACCGGTATAAAAAGGATAGCAAGGGACATAAAGTGCAAGAGGGAAAGTAGGTCTTAATGACTATCTCTAACCTTGAGTCGTGGCGTGGGATAATGAGCTATTCTGGGATATACGTGTAAACAACATATTCTACTAAATTATGAAGTTGAGGGAATTATTCCAATCATTATAAACAATGCCCCGGCTGAAACTAAGAAGTCACATCCTGCAGCACAACACCGCAGTCCGGATACTTAATCCTCACTTCCGTAGTAAACACCTCTCCCAGGTCACTCTCATTATACCTCGTCAACAACATCTCCTCGCAGTGCCGCGTGTGGTGATAACTCCAGATATAACTATCCACCCTCCCCAACCCGCCGCCCCCCTCCATGATCGCCCGATGCATCCGCCTCCACATCGCGGTGCAGTGCCGCAAGTGGTACCCCAGAGACACGTAGACCCCCGAATACTCCCCCGTCATGATCTGCGCCCTGCCGAGCGGCCGCGTGCGCTCCATATCTTCGTACCACGACAGCATCCCCGCGGCCTCCAGCTCGGCCTCGAAGTCCGCGGCGAGGGCGGCGTCGTGGCATGCCGGCGGGAGCCAGTTGAAGCTGATGAGGTCGAAGATGCAGCCCGCCGCGCGGGCTTCGGAGGGTGTGGAGCCGCAGGGGGCGGTCGAGAGGAAGGTTGTGGTCGTGGAGTCGTGGGAGGGAGAGGCGAGGGTGTTGGCGTTGCGGTTGGTGGTGGGTTTGGTGTGGGTGAGGAGGGAGATGATGGCGAAGGTTGAGAGGGCGCCGAGGAGGGCTGAGAGGAGGATTGTGAGGATGAAGGTCGGGCGGGTTGTTGTGCATTCGCGGCGTCTCTTGTGGGGATGTGGTTTGGTGTTGGTGGAGGTGAGGAGGGATTTCGATGCGTCTTCGTTGGGGGTGTGAGAGGCCGTATCTCCGGCCTCGAGATTCAAGTCGTCGTCGGAGTAGGAATCGTCATCATGTTCATCATGCCTCGGGCGGTTCTTCTCCCAGTCACCGTCGGTCAAGGCTTGCCTTGCCATGCTGCCTTTTTTCCCGAAATATTCTAATGGAAATTGAAAGGCATCATCAGTATCGAGGGGTCGTGGCGATGTCAGATTTAAGTTGTACGGTGGGTTTCTCGAAGGATTCGAGGCCCCATACATAGCGGGCTGTATCGATCAATGAGAGACCGTGATGCGACGGTGGGCTTTCTGACGACCTTCCTCTCTTGGCAGGCTTCTTGATCCTTCGCGGGGCGACGCTGCAACGTCACGCTCTCGCATTGGTTTGGTCGGAAGATTACGCCTTAACTGACGTTATTCGCCATTGTATACCCAGGATTCCTCTGGGAGAAGCTGCACAGCACGACTCCAGCACGACAGACGTGATCTTTTCAGCTGTAGAAGAACCCCAAGGCTCCTATGGGGAGAAATAACAAACGTTGTAGCCAAGCAGTGCCATCAAATCAAGGCTTGCTGCCACAGGGCATTAAGATTGTTACAGTAAGGCCAGAGAAGATGTACTCGATTAGCCGCCGGAAAACAGATCTAGATAGAGCTTGGATATCGTGGTGGAACCATACTTGATTCGGATGTCTGTATTGCCTGGGCTGAGAGCCAGAGAAAAAGAGTTACGTTATGATCAATCACATGGTAGTAATGCGCAGCGCAATAGTATGGATTCTTAGGGTCTTAGTGTGAGATTACTCGAGGCTTTCTATTTAAATTGAGGGTTATGTGTGCGCGAGCATCTAGCAGCTTTGGTAAGTGATCATTCATGCCAGCAATGTCCCGCAGATGTCTTTGCGTCTCAGGAAACGAGGTGACCGGAGAACTATATCCAAGGAAATCGTGTTTTCCCAGACTGCAAATGGCCTTGGACGTTGCGAAGACCGCTTTCGCCCCTATCCAGCGACCTCAAATTCGACGTCCTGACATTCGCATTCAAAGTAAGGTATCAAACCATCCTCACTCACCCTCCACCCCCCGATCCCCAATCCAACTCTGCAGACTCCTCTCCTTCTCAACCTTCCTCTCCCCACGACTCTTCACCCTCCCCTTCCCAGCCCCCTCCCCCTTCGGCTTCGCCAACAACATACACGAAAAAGGTATCCAACAAAAAAGCGGCCCGACCTGGCCCCCCTCCAACTCCCTCCCCTCCTCCTCGATCACCCCCCTCAACCTCTTCGCCGCCTCCCAGTTCCCCGTGATCGTCGTCACCCCGGCCTTCCACCCGTACAGGAACGACGGCACGTTCATCGCGTTCAGCCCGGACCCCGACCTCCCCACCGCCAGCGCGGCCCCCGGCAGCGCCCCCTCCTCCACCATCCGCCGCGCGTCGTCCCACGACACGCTCCCCACGACCTCCACGGGAAGCCGCAGGTCCTCCGGTACCGGGTACGTCGAGAGCGCCTGCAGCGCCGCGACTCTTCTACTCCGCTCCGCCTCGGGATCGGCTCCCGCCTCGACCGGATCGAACACGATTCCCGTCCGCGCTTTCTCCGTCTCCGTCCCGATCCCGTACACGATCTTCAGAAACGTATCCGCCGCCTCGCGCGTGCACACCAGGTTCCTCCCCCTCATGGCGGGGTACAGCGTGGTGAGCAGCCGCGGCCCGTTCTCCACCTCGTCCGTCGCGTCGATCCGGTGCTGGTTGCACCGCAGCAGCTCCGAGTCCGGCCCGATGCGCATGTGACTAAAGTCCGACGCCAGCGCCATGAAGACGGAGCAATCCACGTTCAAGGTGTCCGAGAAGTCGCGGAAGTAGTCCGTGTTGACGAGCCTCCTCACGGCCTCGTCGAACGGCGGCGTCGGGTGCGTGAGGATCCCGCCCGGCGAGTTCGCCGTCTCGACGACCAGCTCGACCCTGTCGTCCCCCATCCGGCGCACGAGGCCGAGCAGGCGGTCGACCTGCTCGTTGCGCCCCTCCTCGATCCGCGACATGAGGATGCGTACCCGGGGACGTCTGTAGTCCTGGTAGCTCGTGCGCGCCGCGGCGACCATGTGTCTCGCGACCTTGGCGACCTCGATACTATCCTCCGTCTCGTCCTTCAAAACCTCCATCATGGCCTCCTCCGCGTCCTTCTCCCCGTCCTCCCCGTCCCAGTCCCACCCGGCGTCGGCCATCTCGTAAAACAGCCTGCGCTCGGTGGTCGTGACGACTTTGATCCAGTCCGCGCCGCCGTTAACCACGAGGTCAATAACAGCGTTGACGCCCTTGCCCTTGGGACCCGTTTTGTACGTGAGTTCCCTGCGCATGCCCGTGAGGTCCTCGCAGCGCTTGGTGATCTCCCACACGGTCTCGTAGAACTTGTAGTTGCTGGCGTCGAGCCGTAACCTCACTCTGCTGTCCAGCTCCTCGACGTCGTCGTCTTCGTCGTACGCCGCCACCATCTTCTCGAGGTGTTTGCGCTCCGAGATGATGAGGCGCTCGAAGAAGCCGAGCCCGGGCACGGCCTGGTTCCACGAGAGCGGCTTGTGGCCCGACGCGGGACGGCGCTCTATCGCTGCTTTGAGCTGGTCCAGTTCGGAGAGGAGGATTGTGATGCGGTCGATGATCTGGTTGCACTGGGCCAGGAGGGGGGTGGAGGGGTCCGGGCCGAAAGAGGGGAAGACGGCCATTTTGGGCGTGTGAGTTCCGCCTCCTGATGAGAGTTACGTGTGCCCTTGCCTGGCGTTCATCAGAGGGGGAGAGGACGGATGTTGCTGACTCTCAGGTACTAGGCGCGGGGTGGTGATGTCAGGTGGAGGGCGCTGAGTAAATGAAGACGGGTGATGCCGTCAAGTCCAGTTCTGTAAGTCGGTGACAAGTAACATTACAGGATCAAATTGAGAACGGGACTTCGTACAATATAGAATCGAGATCCCCTAGTCGTTAGTAAATATGCGGCGTGAAGAAATCCAGCAGACAATGTTGTTCGTGGTTCAGACGTGGGATGGATGGATCACTCCTGAAATTTTGGATCAGTGGTTGCTTATCGATAAGAGACTCGACGGACTTACCTCCGGTGTGTGTGCCTTCTGTGCGTTGGCACTCTCAGCCAATTCCAAGGATGATTTCAAGGCCCTTCCTAGAAGTCTGATGCTGCTCTCACCTGCAATCAATTTCTTTGAAGCAGAAAAAGATGACCATTATGGGTAAAATAGGTAGAGCCACCTGTCCACGTGAGCCGTCTCTCCATTAAGTGGGGTTTGTAGACGCGGGGCCGAAACCCGGACGGTTCGGGGACGAGGACCGGAGGGATCGTTGGCTTGCGCCGCAAAGTCCTTGGCCGACCGTTGAGCGCAAGAAACCAAATCTCAGCAATCGTAGGAACGAGAAAGTGTGTGTGCAATTGACGACGACGTCTGGGTCTCAACCCGTTTTGTTCCATTCAACTTCCTCGCCGACGTTGACCCAAGTCATGTTCATTAAGGCGATAGCCGCCACCTAGACCCATCATCCAAGATGCCTTTCATCCACTGTTTTGCCCATCCCCCTAATGTAATATCCCTCAAAAGGGACTTCGTCTAATCAAAGTTGCAGAAAAGGTATAGTGCCCTGAATCCAATGCTTCCCTCCCAATAACGAAAAAATTAAAGCATTGCTGGTTTAGAAAACAGTCCCGTCACTGTCGATCAGGATGGGTGGCTCTTTCGTGTTGGGTCGGCTGAACTCGGCCATTTCGCGGCCGCCCTGTCTTATGTTAGTCACCTGATCCAGCAGGTTGAGAATAGGGTCTGCATACCTTCCAGCTTCCAGCCTCGAGCAATTGGGCCAAAGTCAACTCGTTCCCGTTCAGCTCGTTCTTCAACGCCCTGTTGACTTCCACGCAAAGTCTGTCCAAAAAGCCCACAGTAACGCCTCGCCACTCGACAATAACATCGTCGCTTGGCTCAAACATGGGCGCAACTTCCACCGGCTTGACGTTCGTTCTCCGGCAGTACTCATCGTAGTGTTGGAGGCCCCTCTCTGTCTCCTCGGACCTCAACGTAAGAACGCCCAAGTCGATAAATAGGCCGCCATTGCGGTACTCCGGGAGGCCGGTAAGCAGCTCAACACCGGCGAAGTGAATGCGCAGCAGCGACTGCATAGGCTGCATGAGACTGTAGCAGAGCCATTGAGTGAGTTTGTGAAAAGGCAGAATCGACTCCCAAGCGGCTGTCGAGTTCTGGGCTGATGGGGGAAACGGCGAGAATTGCGAAGTCGTCGGGCTTTGAGGAGGCTGCGGCATGGATTGACAGGGCCACGCGTCACCTAGCGACACGCCGCTGAGCGCGGTTCTGGACTGGGGCCAGATGGGTGCGAGGCCGTTCATGAGAACGTTCCACAAGGTGGGGAGGATGACGATCGGCGTTGATGATGCTTGGGTTGAGGGGTGCGCGAGCAAATAGTCTGCCGAGGGTCAGTTGATGTCAAAGATATGTCTCGGATCTGAGGGTGCCACATACCAACCATGTTGCCCGGTCGGCCGTTGTCTCCAAAATACTCGCGTTTCTCAGTGAGAGCGTTGCCCAGGCGCAGAAGAAGGTTCGTCCTGCCCTCGATGCCCGCCATCTCATTGCCTGGCTTAGACTGCAGTCCAGCGGCCATCTTTTCTATCGTCAAATTTTGCAGGCCGCCCTTGTCCACCTGGAATTTGTTTTTAGGGTCGCTGGAGAAAAGTCCCTGGAGGATGTTAGTACCTTCACAGATGAGAAAGCATGCTCTCTCTCATAAACATACCGTCTTGAACAATTCCAAACTCGCCACTGCAATACCCTCTGACCGGCGATAGATGCGACCGTTTTCTGTGCTCTTGTAGCTCCATTTCGTACCTGCGCCGGCATCCAACAGTACACTGACAACAAACAGGTCGATCATCCTGCGACACTTCTCGCTATTGTCGACATCTTCGGGGAAAGTGGAAAGCAACTGGGCAATACGGTCTCGGCCGCCCACACAGAAATGCTGGTGTCGTCCATGGCCCGGAATCGTGTTGAAGGGTGCATCGTAATCTCTCTGTAGTGGATCGTCTGGTCAGTAAAATCCAGGTGCCATTCGCTGTCGATTACAGGGGACGGGAGTGTTGCCGGCGAGCCGCTCGATCACGCGAGCACGAGCAGCTGCGGGAGCAGGGACGGATTCTCTCCCTACCTTGATAATCTGGGACACAAAGGTTACCACATCGGGAAACTTTCGCATGTCCACGTCAAAGTGCTTCAACTCGTTTCGCAACGCCTTCTCGGTCACGATCTTGCTCCTCTCTCTGACTGCGCCTAAACTTCGCAGGTAGCCTGCAGGGTCGAGTTGCGGGTCGGGAGGGCGCGGCAGGTCGACCTTGGGTATGGGAGCGGGCGAGAAAGGCGTCAACGGGGTGCCGGGAGTAGTGCTTGTTCCCGAGGTTCTGTTCATAGTGATGCTGCGCGGTGGAGGCGATCTGACGCTGGAGTTCCCCGAGGCGACGCTAACGCTCGAAGTATTGATTGAAGGCTTGCTGGTGGCCTTGGGGGCCTTTTCCTTCCGGGAGAAGAGACCCATTTTTGGCGATGTTTGGGGAGCTCGACTCGCAAGACAGCGATACGACGGTGAGATTCAGGCGACTCGAAGCCCTATATCGAGACCAACACGCGCAACTTTTCAGCTTCCGAGTCAGCAAAGCTGTAGCGTAGCGGTAGTCGTCGTGGCCGGGGTGATAATGGTGGGTGAGGGGCCCAGTGCAGGCGAGATAGACTTCCCAACCTTCGAGACGTCGACGGGGTGGTGGTTGGAGATGGCGATTGGTAGGTCGACAATGCAGGAGGGCGATCAGCAGGACGCAGAGGAGGGAAGAGAGGACCAAAGAGACAAGAAAGAAGACGAGGTTTGCCGAAGGTGGTTTTAATAAGAGAAAAAGAGGGAGAGAGAGAAAGAGGAGGATATGAAAGACCCGGCGGACGGTTAGGTTGGTTCGACTTGCGGGGAATAGCACCAGGGTAGCTGTAATGGACCACCTGCACCTCAGCAACACCAGGTAAGGTACAAACTACGCTAGGAGCGATGCAGCTGCTGGATACGCAGCCTTCCAGTGCCTCAGTGAGCTAAAAGATACGGATATATCTGCCCTGGGCTTGCGAGGTAAGGTACTTTGCAATGTACTCCGTAATGTCTAGACTCTCCACCCGGGGTGGACTTAGGTCGCCTTGTCCAGACTTCGGCTGGCCTGTCGGGAGTGCACTGTGTAATGGACCGATTCCAAGGGGGGGCGTGCCGGGTAGGGAACGGGGGGGAGACCTGTTCAGGCCCAGGAACAAGTTCCCTTATTGGTGTTAGAGTTCTGGTCGACGTCGATCTGGATCAAGGATGACCGCTGGAAAGGAGCGAACTGCTTCTGGCCTGGTTAGCTTTTAGTCCATGGGAAAATATCGAGCCACTTTGAGCCATTCCCCTCTGCGCCCACGCCGCACACAGACAATGGGCAAAAGACACCCAACACCGGAAAGACGAAGGATGGAATAGAGAAGAATGAGGGGGGCGTTTTTGTGCTTGTGAATGCGCCGCCCGTACTGACGACGCCCAGCTCCATCGGGGGTCATCCTTCTAGCCCTCTGTCGCCGCCGTCTCGCATGGTGAGGCGTCCTCGCGCCGTACTGGAGCTGGGAGCTGGCAGCCTCGAGGTCGGCGCTATTCATGCAGGTCCTCTGTATATTTCTGGCAGAATCTGCACAGATGCAGAACGCCGATCGATCTCTGAAGGTCTGAGGCAGGGGATAGCTAGAGTGTCTGGAAAACTGGTAACTCACCCTCACACGCGAACAGAACTGTCCCAACCTTCGCTCCTACGCTGTTGCCGTTATCTCGCCCAGTGGCGGCGATGGGGCTAATGACCGCAGTTGGGCAGTAGACACGATTAACGTGGGCGGGTTGAGTATAGACACCGTAGTCTTCCAGCTGCCAGCAGGAATGACGCCGATAGAATGCGTATCAGGGTCGACCGGATCGGATCTGAGCTAAGACCGGAGCTAGGAGGGCGGGATCTCAGAGGCGTCCAATGTTTGCAGCGGTGGAAATGACGATCAATATGCGGCCCTTGGGCTGGGGGACACCAGGTGCGGTAAAAAAGCAACCCCAAGCCAGCGACACGCCCGACGACGGCCAATTGGGGGCGATTCGACTCGCTGGCGGCCTTGAGCTTGGCCGTGGATGGCTTAACCGCCGTGTCCTCTGTGTATCGACGACGTCGCAGCGCAGCTGAGGGAGTCTGATGTTGAGACAGACGGCGCGAGTGATATGTGATCTCGTAGGATGCGCTTGATGGGCCGGTGGTCTGGCGATGAGACGATGACTTGATGAGCCAGGCGGAGGCCACGGATAATGGCGGAGGACAAAAGAATAAAAGTCTCAGTCTCGGGTCCGGGAGTTGGAAGAGGTACCCGTTGGCCTGCCGAGTGAGGTGGAGGATAAGATGAAAAGAATGCAGGAAGAAAAGAAACGAGCAACGGTCAGTCTGAAAGCAGAGACCACAGCCAAAAAAGCAAAAGTCGAGAAAGCTTTGTTGCACACGGGTCGAGGCGAGGTGAGGTGAGGCGAGGCCAGGAACGTGGAGACAGACGTCCGTCCAGTCGTTCCGGTTCAAAATTGGATCAGGATGAATGGAAGAGGTCGGAGGAAAGACACGGATTGAAGAGAGCCGAACCCAGCAGAAGAAGAAGCAAGGACCAAGAGGGACCGCGGATCATAAATTAAAGTAAAAATAAAATAAAATAAAATAAAATCGACTGGGACGCGAAGTCGAAAGCAGTCTGGATGGCAGGCACGGAGACGGGAAGGAGACAGAAGGTGGTACGCTGCATTCCCGACTCACCTCACTTACCTCAACCGTCACTACGAAGGATTGGTACGTACAGATACACACAGACCGGATACTTTGGCTAAATATATTACTTGACTGCCTCAGAAGCGTCCAATCGTTCATATTGATTATAATTATTCAATGAACAATGGCCAAGAAGGATTGCCGCTTCTCGTTCTACATTACTACGCCGCTTCTTTTCTCCGTCCATCAGCCATCCATCCATCACGGACGGCACGGGAAGGAAGGGACGAGCCAGGCCATGGATGATGGAACCCAGAGCAGTTGTTACCATTGGGGGGACGGCAGGGCATCCTAGTCGTGCAGACGGACCAACATTGCTTACGGCTCCCAGCTGTAAAGGATCAAAATTCGTGGAGCGAGGGACTTTGTCGACAGATGGATGGCCGTGCCGGAATCGCGAGGTGCAAGGCTGCTCGGATATGGCGCTTCCCAAAACGGGATCTCGTCTCCACCTCACCACTGTACTGAAAACCTCACAGTGCCTCGTCAGCGAGGAGACTCCCGCTGGACTGGATTAAGCGAGGTCGTCCAATGTCTGCGGGATCCAGAGTGCCGCTACCCACAGTGGCACAGGGCAATCCACATGGCAGCCAGGTGGGTCGCGATGGCCCCGGCTCAAGCTCGGATTTTGGCATCCACCGCAGCCTGCACCTGCACCTGCATCAGCACCTGTAACTTACGGATACATCCAATGGAAAACCCCCCATGGAAACGAATAGACATCACATTGGACAATAAACGACTTTCAAGTCTGATCTGAGGTTCGTGTGCGACATCGACAATGACAGGGAAGGCTCAAAGCACGATGGCAAGGCAGGCACCCAAAGGTGCGGACCCTGAGTCTTTTCCGACTGCCTGCCCACAGTGTCGAAATCTTCCCCAGATCACCAACACCAACACACCCAAAAAGCTCCAACACCATCACGCAAACACATCCACCGCAAACCACCTCCCCCTCGCCGATCTGGCCCACCATCGCAAATCACCAACTGATTCAGTTCCGTCACTTCCTTCCTCACGGCCCTGACCTGTCCCGGACCGCGCCTCAGGTTGCACTGGGCCCCTCCGGAATCAGTCCCGGCGGGCTGTGACGTTCCTCGCGTCCACTCCTCTGGGCGCCTCATCTCTTCAATCGACATTACAGTGCTGAACCTCCCGACCTGATCCATGGATTCTGCTGATGACTGCATGGGCATCACGCTGCTCAAAGTTTGGCCCCCATACAGTGTCCACCACTGACAGATGCATCGTCTGTCAGTTTGTCAATTCTCGAGGCCCCGGCAGAGATTTTTTACGGGCAAGACTCCAGTCGACCTGTAATCATGGTACGATCGTCCCATCTCGCGAGCCAGGAACAGTTTTCTCTCCCCGGTACCCTCTGACGAAGCCTGTCACTCTCCCAGGCTAACAATCATCGACACGAGTGAAAGAAAAACGTGGTGCCAAAGGACCGTCGCGCGCTTTGCTCGAACGAGTTAGCAAATACTCGCAACCGCCAGGGACGGGGGTCCTTCAACGGGTCAACCTCATCCTTTCTTGCCGTTCCCAAGGCCGAGTAATTGGGACTTCCAATTGGACCCTGCCGTCACGGTACCATGGACCGTCGATGATTTTCTCCAAGGCTCATCTTCATCTCCCTGCCGCGGCAACACATAATTTACACGGCAATTCGGGATTACAACAAGCCGTAACCAGACGCCCGAGCACCACTGGGGACGTATGTCGCAGCCTCTCATCGCCGTCGTTTGTGAGAACCTCCAGGATCTTGGAACAGCTTCCTTCGCTTCGCCGCCTACTCTGCTTGGCTGGGTCGACTTGTTGCGGCGGTTTGCTCGGCACCCGCGTCTCGTCTCGTCTAGTCTCGCCTGTCTCCAAGGCCGTACGAATTACGAAGCGAAACCATTGTACGCATATCTAGGCGCGCCGAGATCAGTCTGCTGCCTCCTGTCGACCGTCGTTAAATTCGTCTCCAGTTCTCGAGTTGTTTCTGAGAGGGGCCAAGAATGTGTTTGCTTCCAGATGCAACGTCGGCCGCCGCTCGCATTCACGCCCAGAAAGCATATCACTTCGACTCCGCGGCCCTGCGCTTGCAACCTTCGCAACTGGCGAAAAGAGGCCGGCCGCGCAAACAGGCAGAATCCAGAATGCAGACAGGCAAGCGAAAGACTCAGCAAGGGTCCCCTTGAGTTCCAAAGAACCCCTTTCCAGATGGAAAAAACCTCGAACGCTCGTCAAGGCGCTGTACCAGGGACCTGGGCTCTGTGGGATGGGAGGATGGCCGGTCTGCGTTGCAGTGCAGCAGACACCTGCAAGGTACGGGACACGGTGCACGTTTCTGGAATGGCCCGGGCTTGGAACCACATGCCACGATGCGTGATGCCTCCGTTGGGCTCGTTGTCCTCGCGTGGCCGAGGACTCGCAACCACCTACTAGGCGATGATGGTGCCTCGCGTCGTCTCTGCATTGGACAATGCGCAGTGGGCTAGCTGCGTCCGGAAATGTGAAGGTGTGCAACCAGATCGGATGAACGCCTCCACGGCCCTACCCACCATCTGGTATGGCTTGCGAGCATGCGAAAATGCACCAGCCATCGACAGCTGCCACTGGCAGAATACTCTTGGTCAATGCCATGGAAGCAAACAAGACTTCCAAAGTCCGAGAAACATTTGGCAAACACCCACCGTCCAGCGCGCTAGGTGCTGGATTGGGACGATTCTCTCAACAAACACGCAAACCGCCGGCCAACCGCCACCCGCAAACTGTTGCGCCACGAACCTCTAAAGGCCGAACTGACAGCACAAAAACGTGTGGAGAGACCGGGATGAAAGGAGCCTCGGGCACGGTTTGCCTCGTGTCGAATTGAGGCACGGACGCCTCCAGGGTCTTGTCTGTCTTGACCGTGAGCCACATTTATCTCAAAACTCATTTTTTTCAGGCTTCAGACCGAGGTGAAAGGGTCAGGAGGTTTGCTTCTCCGCTCTTCAGTCTCCTGGGCAAGCTCGTTCAGAACACTAGCTGGACTTCTCCCAAGCCATGACTCTCACATGTACGATCCAGGACAGAGGCCTATTTACGGTGGGAACTCGTCGATCGACAGCTTGGCGGCAGAGTGACAGCGCAACCTATTGGCGCCAAATCCAACGACAACTCTCTTGTAAGATAAGTGCGGTGCACCGTGGCTTCACTTCGTGCCGAAGTCGAGCATCATCATCTCTCAGCTCAGTACGGGCCGGTGGACGCCATTCTGAGGGTCATCAGCCGGCTCGTGCCACTTTCTTCACCGAGCCGGGGTGTGCAGACCATCCCCTCTTCATCCCCGGCGCTGCTCTTAGCCCCGGCCAGAGAGCTAAGATGCCATTGTGCCCTGTGTCTCCCATGCCCAGGAAACCCGGTCTTCTCGAATTTCAGGAATCGCCAAGGGTCATCTGTCGACTAACTCCATACGGCAGCTACTCTACCAGACGTCCCGCGCAATTCTCCCATTGGGTTCGCAATGTCCTTTGTTGCTTGCGCTTTTTTCGCTCCTGACTCCGCTCCCGGCGTTGTCCTCCGTCAACAACATTCTTGCCGTCGCCCCTCCTCCATGCTTTGAGGCTTGCTGAGGCTGGGCGAGGCGGACGTCCTAGTACAACTGCGGCGACGATCCCGATGTTGCGCAATGGTGCGCGATGATGCCACGAGGTGGCCATGCTCAGCGCCGGCGTTCTGGGTCGTGCGGTGCCATTGGGCGCTTACGCTACACAAGAGCAAGATCGTCTCTGGTCAACGCCGATACTTGGCAGCTGACTTGTTCGTTGTTCAGGGACGGATTTGCGGGATAGTTCCAGTTGCTAATTGCCATGATCCCAACGATCAAGGGGGAGAAGATCTGCCGTCCGCGCGAGTCTATCAGATGCCTAAAGACGTCGGCGGAAGCTTCAGCGCGCTTTTTTCACGTCATCAGATTGTTCATCACACCAGAATGAAGGCAGGAATGTCTCACTAAGACTTCGGAAATCGTCGCGTCCGGAATGATTCCCAACCACACGACGCCCGAGGGTAATACCGCCTTGTCGATTCGGCATCACAGCGAAGTCGAACGAAAGACAACCAGTTATTCGTATTAGCGCTCTCATGTCTTCCGCAAACCGGGCGCCGCCAGTAGACACTCCACAACCTCCACAAGGTTTCTCTCGAGGCAAATACGCAAAACACAAGACGACCATGCCAAACCTTCGATGCGGGAACGTTGAAAGGCAAAAAGATTGGACGAACAGGGAATCGAACCCTGGACCACTCACAGGTTTTTGAGCACGTTGCCCATGCTAAGCGAGTATTATACCACTAAACCATTCGCCCAAGGACATGATTTCGCCCGGACTTGAACCGGAGACCTTCAGTGTGTTAGACTGACGTGATAACCAACTACACCACGAAACCATTTGGATTGTTGAAAAGGCAGGTGTTTTATGAGTCTAAGAAGGTCTGCGCAGAGATTTTCGTGGGCCGGGTGTGGAGGTGCGGGCCGCTGCGGGCATCGGGGCCGAAGAAGTGGGGACCGAGTCTGGCCGGGCCAAGGCTCACCCTGTCTCCGGCCTTGAGAATCTCGGTGACTGAGTTATATGCAGGAGAGATTATGTTGGGCGTCCGAGTCGATGGGCTTCTTCAGATGGCGAAGTACTGTGGGATTATACTCCATGCCTGCTTTACAGCTGTTTCAACCGAAATCATGATGTATTTCAAACGTATTGATAAAACCATTCAAGAAATTCATTGTGAGGTCTGAGTTAGTTTCACGAGATAAATATAGCCTTCAGAGATATTGCGCTTCCCAGAGAACCTGCTCCTTCTATCAAAAATATAGTATGGCGCCGCTACCCTTTTGACAATTTCCAGGATCACATTTACATACAGTTTAACCTGGTTACCTTTGACCACCGCACCGCTCGAGACGAAGGGCCAAGTCAGGAGGAAGTCACAAGGCACTCTCGACCCCTACTCTCGCGTATGTGTTCTCCTCCGGTGGTGATTCTTATGGTGTAGGGTGAGATATGATTTGAGTCTACTCTCGTGGAGAGCCTTCATGGACTTCTAGGACCACCTGACTTACGAGACAAGAACGTGTTCAGGGGGGCTGTGGTGGGGAGTTGGAAGGTACGTAGGTGAAAGGTGGATAGTTAATTGTGTTGTGAGGAGAAGCGTGTGCTGGATTGCAAGTTCGATGGGCGGAGGGGAGGGAGCTTTCTTCTTTAGGTGTCACGAAGGCGGCGAAGGTGATTAACAATTGACGAGTTCTGTTGATGATATCGAATTCTGGCTTCAGTCTACTAGTCTCGAATATGCCAGCTCGACTCGGATTACAGCCATGATTGCGCAGTCCGCAGAACCAAGGAGAATAAGAAGAACTCTATCCGTTCTGCCTGGTCATCCGCCACGGCCGACTTCTTCATATAGGGATCCGTGTATTATTTATGCGGTGAAGTAGAGTCGGCCGGGAGCGGGATGGATGTCGGAATCGAAACTATTGCGTCGTTCTACTCGTTGAAAGTCTGATAAGAGTGGTTGGTAGATAAGAATTGCTTTTTGAGAATACTTCCGAGGCAGGACGGTAGAGGAGGTGCTTGTTTATGGGTTGAGGATGAAGGCCAGGCCAGATCCTTAAAGATTCCTCGGCGGCGAGAGGTGATGGTGCACTACACTAGACATGTCCCTCACCTCGGATGGGCCGCCTTGGTCATCTCTTCGCGCGAAACCTTTGAAGGGTGTCCTTTTTTAAGTTAAGTGCGTTAAGGCTACCGCTTCTGTAGATCGTGTATTGGTGCCTTACTTATTAGTTGAGCTAAGTCACTTTACTCTGGGAACAGACGCCGCGATGGCTTGCAGCGTGGTACTGCAAGAAAGTAATTCTAATAGTTCCGTTTGAAGGTGGGTTCGGTCAAAGGTTGATCTCAGAAGTCTCCATAAACTGCAGAGACGTATTGCGGTACTGTCTTAGTAGGCGCAGGATATGCGATAGAATCTACGCTGGCTGTGAATGCCGCAAGAAAGCAATGTGAGATGATTTCAGGAGCGTGATGTTCTATTATCCTGCTGTACAGGTATGCAGTATCCCTACGATGTAGCCATTTCAGCTCCCGCTCTCATATGGTACAGTGTTTTTTTACTCTTCCATCGCTGAGCTTTCGGGGCTCTCCTCACGTCCCCCCTCCCCACCTTCATCTAGATGTACACTGTGAGCCGCTCCTCACTCTCACAGAAAGGCAGAAAACCGAAGTCCTCTCCCATCTACCTCTTCATGCTCTTCAGCTTCTGCTCGCGACGCTTCTTGTACTCCGCCAGCTCCAGGGCCTCCTGCTTCTTCCTGGCCGCCTCCACGTAGCTGCCCGCGCCGCCCTTGGCGTCGTGGACCGTCTGCTGCATCGCGGACTTCGCGCTGCGGATGACGCCCTTGATGCTGCCGTCCTGGGACGGGTCCGGGGACAGGGCGCCGCGCGGGGCCTGGTAGGAGCCCGTCGTGGAGATGGCGCTGCTCAGGTGGGGCGCCGCCACGGGGCTCGGCGTGACCATGGGGGGCAGGCCGACGGCGCGGCGGACGGCCGGCATCTTGAGGGCGTAGTTCTGGGCGATGCCGATGGCTCCGGTCACGACGAAGTAGACTTGCACCGCGGCGGGCAGGTAGAGCGTCACGATGCCGGATAGGGGGCCGAGGATCCATATCATGAGTCTTTGCTGGGCTTTTTGCTGGGGCGTGGCGTTCGCGCCGGCGGTCTGCGCGGGTCGGGGTGTTAGTGGTGTGGAAGAATTGGGGGGGAAGGGGAGAAACGTACCCTCATCATGGCGAACATGGTGATGGGACCGATGATGGGCAGGATGTACAGGGGATCAGGCACCGTCAGGTCCGTGACCCAGAGGAAGCCGCCCGTCTCCATGCCGGGGACGGGGATGCTGGCGGCGCCGTTCAGGACGCGGAACATGCCGTACCCGAAGGGGATCTGGATGAAGCCCCAGAGGGCGTTGGCGGGGTTGACGCCGGCGGCCTTGTTCAGCGTGGCCAGGTCGCGGCGGTGCTCCATCATGGCCTGCGTGTCGCCCGCGGAGGTGGCCTCGAGGGAGGCGCGCTTGATCTCCTCGTACTTGGGATCGGCCTGGAGGGCCTGCAGCTTGGTGGAGGTCTCCTGGGACTTCAGGATGGGCTTGAGCAGGATCAGACGCAGGAGGACGGCGGTGGCGGCGATGGAGCCCCACCAGGGCAGGCCGGAGTAGACGTGGACGTGCTCGAGGAACCACTGCATGACGCTGGAGGGACCCCAGCCGAAGTCGAGGCCGAGGGCCTTGAGGTAGCCGATCTGTTCGGGGAGGTCGAGGAGGGAGGCGGCGTCGATGTCGGCGAGGTTAGAGGTAGCCTGGGGAGCAGCGTCGGAGAAGGTCGTGATGGGCTCGGCGGGGGTGACGGGGGCGGGAGCGGTAGCGGCGGGGGTGACGGGTTCTGACGGTGCTGGTGGTGCTTGAGCTGCGGCTGGTGCTTCTTCGGTGGTGGGTTTGGACCTGTTCCAGAGCGAGAGGGCTCTTCGTGACTCGAGGGCGCCACCGACGGCTACGGTGCCGGCGATCTTGGAGTTTGCGGAGCGGAGGGCGGTCCACGGGGCAGCGCCACCCGTGCTGCGCAGGGAGCTGAAGTTGCGTCCATCGCCGAGTCGTCTCGATGACCTGGAGATCTGGCCATTGGGTTAGCTCTGAGGACGTGGGCCGCGGCTGTATCTGACGGTCGGTTGCGGGGAGAAAGAACGTACGGCCTGATTTGATATACTGTTGGCCGCCCTCGCGGAGGAGAGGGAGCGGAGAACACCTCTGCTGGGCAGCATGGTGGGCTGAATTGAGGGGGGAGGGTGTTGATGGTGAGGGATTCGATTGAAGAATGTCGCTATCCACAACGGCGTGGTCGCTGGAAATTTTTGGGGACCGCGGACGCGCCGGGAAAATGTCGGGTGGGACGGTTTGTGGTCCAAGCTTCCGGCGCCGTGCCCCGTCCCCGGTCTCATCCATGTGGATGAAGGTCAGCATTTGATATCCGGGAGGCCAGGACGCTGATTTGTGGACGACAGTGAGGTATCTCATTGCTCGAGTATCCCTCGGACGGAAACAGAAACGGCTTATTTTGTGTGATTCATACCCTCGCATACCTATGTACGATTTTCGAGTCTTGGACTCATCCCATCACCATAACCACAACACCTGTCTAAGAGTCTTATCTGTACGTCCTCGATCTTGATCATCCGTACTCCGATGCATGACTTTGTGTGTTTATCCTCCATACACCATGTTCGCAAGTGCTGGATCTCTTTCTCTGCCCACTGTATCTTTGGACAGTCACGTCTTCTATTGTGTAGGAAGACGGGCTGGCAACGCCGACGACCTCTCGGCCGCTTGGAAGCTTTTGATAGATATTCTCCTTCATTCCCACCCACCCAGTCATTCCAGGCTCGTGAGGTCCTCGAGGCCCACCGGCTTGCGCTGCTTCTCGCGAACCTCCAGGCCGGGGCCAATGGGGTGTGCTCTCCTCCTGGAGAGAGGGAAGACCTGTAAATCGTCAGTCACAGCCGTGCATGGCCGACACCAGCATCGCATGGAAGCGCCGGATTCCGTCACAACTGAGGAGAGAGCGCGCATGTTGGCTCCGTACCTTGGTGCCGCCCCATCCTAACCGGAACGCCGCCTCATGGGCGAACAACTCTCCAAATCCCAGCATCATACCGTTGATGAACGGAAGCAACAGGTTGATTGCAACGCCGCGAACTACACCCCAGAGCGTGGGCGGCTTGTAGAGGATGATCGGCGAGTTCGATGAGGGGGGTGATTCGTCGCCCTGCGAGTACTGCTCGCTGTCGGACCGGATCGTGACGCCAGACTCGGCCAAGGGGTGGAGGGAGTCGTCGTGGGAAGCCATCGTCGACGGCGGTGTCGGATCGGAGGGTAATGGGTGACGGTGTTGCTGGGGAGCTACTTGGTGACCGAGTAGATCCAATGACGGGCGGCGGGCGAGGCGAGCAGGTTTACCGAATCTCGGCGCTTGGGAGATCGAACTGGGAGCTCCGGCTTCACCTCGGGAAATCATCACAGCTGGGCTGTTGCGAGCTTGGGCCACAGCTCCCATCAAGATTAGATAAGCTCGGCCACCGGCAGATATCTGATCCGACTGACGAATGAGTGTCTGGCTTACTAAGGCGGAAAAGGCAAGGTTGGAAAGTGCTGTGGTGGGGTTCTGGAAGGGTGGCTCCTTCCCGGGCTTCCAAACGTCACAGGGAACGTGCTAGAGAGGTACGGAGATACCAAGCTCTCACTGTACCTTACTTACGACCACTGAAGCTGCCTGCTTAGCACCTTTCCGCCTACCTTACCTGCCAGGGCAATCAATCATCTTCACAACTCACAAAGGCGCAACCTTGAAAGACAACAAAACCTAGGTTTTTTTTACTTGGAGATACCCAGCCGACCTTTCTTTCCATTTGCTCTGATCTCAAAACATTGAGTAGCCACAGTAGCTATACTCTCTCTCCCTCCTCCTCCGCCAGACATCCCACCTCTTTCTTCCCCCACCACAACAACCGCCATCATGTCCGGTAGCAACAGCGCCTCGCGCAACAACATCCTGCGCGACTTCACCAGCCTGACCGGCCTTCCCCAAGCTCGGGTAAGCTTGATGTGCTCTCCCATGCTGTTTGCGCTTTCTGACCCTTTATAGTGCACAGAATACCTCGAGGCTGCCAACTGGGACATTGGCCTTGCTGCCCAGGCATACTACGCCGACCAAGACTCTGACAATGATGTTGAGCCTGTTGCTCAATCATCTGCTCAACCCGCCGCTCCTGCTCCCGAAGCCTACACCGGCCCCCGAACCCTCGATGGTCGCCCCGCGCCCGGCGCTGCCACTGCCAGAGCTTCTGCCCCCAAGTCGGCTCCCAAGAAGAAGGGTCTTGCCACACTGAGCTCTCTCGGCGGCGGTGGTCATGCGCACGACGATGACGATGACGAGGACGACGAGGATGACGACGATAGAGGCCGTGGTGATCTGTTTGCCGGAGGCGAGAAGTCTGGACTGGCTGTGCAAGATCCCTCACAGGAGGGCGGTGGTGCGAAGAAGATCATCAGCGACATTCTCGCCAAGGCCAAGGCGTAAGTGCTCGACACCGAATTGACGATGAGACACAACTGACAATACCAGTAACGCGTCTCGGCCGGAGAGTGCGTCGCCAGCTGGACCGTCTCGCGCCACCTTCAGAGGTACCGGCCAGACCCTCGGCGGCGAGGGCGTCGAGAGTCGCAGCATCCCCGACCCCAACGCTTTCCAAGAGGGCTCCGACGGCCCGCCCGCTCAGACTGGCGAGCCCCAGGAACGCACCCTTCACCTCTGGCAGGATGGCTTCAGTATTGATGACGGCGAGCTCCACCGCTTCGATGACCCCGAGAACGCGATGGACCTGAACATGATCCGCGCCGGCAGAGCACCCCTGCACCTCATGAACGTTCGCTATGACCAGCCGGTAGACGTCAAGCTCCACCAGCACGCGGAGAACTACCACCCTCTGCCCAAGAAGTACAAGCCCTTCGGCGGCGAGGGTCGTCGCCTCGGCAGCCCCGTCCCTGGCGAGGGCAGCTCCTCTGCCTCTGCCTCTGCCGCGACCGCTTCCACCACCACGGCGTCTGCTTCTGCGTCCTCCGCCGCGGGCCCCCAGAGCACTGTCGACGAGTCGCAGCCTACTCTGACCCTGCGCATCCAGCTCCCCAACGGCACGAGACTGCCTGCGCGCTTCAACACCACCAACACCGTGAACGATGTCTACGAGTTCATCCAGAACGCCTCCCCCGACACTCGCTCCAGATCGTGGGTCCTTGCCACGACCTTCCCCAACAAGGACCACACCGATCGCAGCTTGGTGCTGGGCGAGATGCCCGAGTTCAAGAAGGGCGGTACTGCTGTCGTCAAGTGGGCTTAAGCGATGGATTGTCAAAAATGGCGGGGAACGGCGTTTGGAACTTATTTGGCCCGGCTTTTACGAACAGGAGACACTTGGCTCGAGCATTCAGGCCGGTAGTGCCTCTTAGTGGAATGTAGACATGGCTCGAGAAATAGACAGCCCCACGAGCATCAATGAAAACCTGATATGCAAGTAATTTTGGTGTGTACTATGATGTTACAAATCTTGTGCTCCGTCAACGCCCTCCTGAAATGGTATCATTAATCATTTTTGCCATGCGCCGCCGCGGCAAGCTACTCTCACGTGTAGTCAACGTAAAACAAATCTTACAAGCCTTTCTCCCCCAGCCACTCCCTCTTACGCGGGCCCAGCCCCGCCTTGGGGTATCATGGTAGCCGGCCCGTCGAGGAATTTGAAGTGCTCGATCGCGATCTGGCAGTTGAGCATGGCCGCGTTGAACCGCGCCTCGCCGGGCGGGAGGATCACCATCAGATACGTATTCGTCGTGAACTTGAGGATGAACAAGTTGAAGCGCGTGCCGGCCTTGTGCTCCATCCTGACGAACTGCTCCGCGTTGCGCGGGGTCCCCGTGAACCGGCTGATGGTCTGCTTGAAGTGCTTCATGATGTTCGACATGCGCTCCAGCCTGTCCTCGGTCGGGTTCCGCTGGCCCTCCTCCGACGTCCACGAGGAGACGGCCAGGAACGACGTGCGCTCGAAGAGGAGCAGCTCCTCGGCCTCGATGGCCACGCCCAGGTTCGCCAGGTTGCGCTCTATCGTCGACAGGTTCGGGACGAGGTCGTGGATGATGCTCGCCCAGGCCTTGTACAGGCTCTGGTCCCAGATGCTGGTCGCGAAGGGTGTGATGTCGAAGCCGCCGCCGCCGCCGCCGGAGTGTTGGGCGCCGGGACTGGCGGGGTCGTTGTCGTCGGAGGGGGGGTGCGCCTGGTGGGGCAGGCCGATGCTGTTGGCGTACTCGGCCGTCTTCTGGCGGACGACGCGGACGCGGTCGTCGTAGACGGACTCGCGGTGGGCGGGGACGACGAGGTCCATCTTGTGGATGAGGACGTAGATCTTGGCGGCGGGGGAGAACTGCAGCAGGGCGGAGATGATGGAGACGTAGGTGGCGAGGTCGCGGTCGATGTCGCGGGACTCGATGTCGAAGACGTAGATGAGGACGCCGACGTTGGAGAAGACGTGGACGCGCTGCTGGGAGAGGTAGTTCTCCATGAAGGCCTCCTGGCCGCCGCAGTCCCAGAGGTTGAGGGTCAGGTTGCCGAGGAACTTGACGTGGGAGAGGTCGATGTCTATCGTCGCGCCTCTGGAGGAGGGGTCAGTGAGGTGCGCGCGTTTTGGGAGGCGAGGGCGACGGAGGGAGGGGGGACGTACAGGCGGCGGGTGTCGCGGGCGATGTAGTTGCTGAAGATGATGCTTCGCATGCTTGATTTGCCGGAGCCGCTCTTGCCCATCAGCAGGACCTTCTTCTTCTTGGGTTTCTTGACCTCCGCTAGCGGCGCGGGAGGGCCTTCTGTGTAGTTGGAATCAGCCATCGTGGGCTAGGTGTCGGGAGGTGCTCGTCGGGCCTAAAGTCGAAGGGAATTCGAGGGTGATCGAGAGGTTTAGGAGCTGAAGGAGAGCTTCAGGCGACGCGGGTGTTCGGGCCGTGCGCAGTGGCTCTTGGCTGGGTGCGCTGAAGCCTTTCGAACAATGCGTTTCTAGATGGGAGAATTGGCGTTTCGACGGGATCGTTCAATCAGGCGCCGCTCAGCTTTGTTTGAGGTTGATGCCGTAAAGCTGAATGATGAACTGGATGCTGCGACCTGATTTCCAGGAAATGAGGTACGTATCTGAACAGGGGCCGTGCTAGCTGAGCCGATAAGATAAGCCGGCCAGGTGGGGCCGAACCACAGAGGTTCGGGTGATGGTCTCGATGGGAGGCCGAGAAGGCCATCTCCAACTCTCGGTATCCATCATCTGCAAAGGTCTTGGCCGACACCCAGGACAAGACTTGCTTCGCTATGAATATCAGCAATCGGCGGCAGAAAATGCGGACGTGAGACGGCATACCTCATCAACCTTCTCCGAAGAGGCTGGGACACACCACAACAGCCAATACTACATCGACCAACATCATCACGATGTGCAAAGAGAAAGAAAGGTGGTCTTTCAGCCAGACTGGTGGTCTTTCAGCCAGACTGGTGGTCTTGAAATCCTCACATGACATGGCGATCATGTGTATGCTATCGAGATCTTTCGGGTCACCCATGAGGAGCCAACGGCCTTATTTGAGTCAATCGACAGCCACCAGTGACTGACATGGGACTGCTTTCTGCAGGGCCATGTCTAGTTGAGGCCGGTCAACGATAAATCGACGCAAGATCTCGCTAACTCTCGCCGATCACTCACTGAAGACTTCAATTGCGCTATATGCATCTTTGAGTCAAACCTTGTCATCGTCGGCTGTTTTGACGGGCACATCTCAGCCCTTCGGCCCCCCCTCCTCACCCTGCTCAGCTCACATCACCACACACCAGCCATCCAGGGAGCCCAGCCTCCGGAATTGTGTCCATCTGCGCCGAAGGGATATCGAACTTCACCCAATAGTACGTCCGGAGGCTGTCAAAAACGGCGCCCCGCCGCCTGCTGGAGCGTGAGACTCTGTCTCATCTTCCGTGACCCTTGAACTCCAACTTCGCTTCTCCCTTCGATGTCGGCCAATGACGACGGCGCTGTCATCAGGTTTCGGGATGCCCTCTCGAACACAAGGGAACGGGATGATACCGGGCTAGCGAATGACTAGCGACTGCTCTACGAGTTGGATGGGCACCATCTTCGGTGTTGGTCCATCCCTACCGACCAAGATGTTGCGAAGGTGGGACTCGGGCCGGTCACTTATCAACGGCTAACTCCCCCATAGATTTGGATGAAGGATTTGAAGAAAATTCATCGACATTCAGTCGAGACGGAATCCGGTCAACGAGCTTTGTTGAACCCGGTTGCGATCTCGTTGGCTCGTGGCATACTGCTCGAGTCTCCGTTCAGACTGGATCGGCTCCAGTGCCCAGAAGGAACAACATGACTTCACCGTTCTGGCACACACAACATGGGGTGAGCTCTCCGCTCTGGCAAACCCAACCGACGGCTCCTCGTCGTCCTGAGCGGCCCGATCGCCCCGACGCTCCGAGCAGTCTTACTACATCACGAAGCAACACGCCGAGTCGCAGAACCAGAATCGAGACCCAGTACCGGCCTCCAGCTCCTAGTCCAACCAGCAGACCTCCCATTCGTTCTCGTTACACTTCGCCAGCAGATGAGCTCAAGACGAAGACGAGCGCTCCCTCCAAGTTACCCCGTCATTCTAGTGGTTCGCCGGAGCGCGTGTACAGCTCTTCCAGCCAGCCTTACGAATGCCGCAGCCCCGTCATGACTTTGAGGATCCTGTCACCAAGTCGACATGGCGTGCGGGACGAGAAGGAACACAATGTGCAGGGAAACCAGCCTGTCAAGGAATCACCCGAGCCTCCCCTTCCTACTCAGGGCCTGAGCAGGTCGACAAACACCAAGTTGACCTCACCCAAGCGTCGAAGGTTTCCATTGAGAGATTCCATCCTGTTGAAGCGAAAAGACTCGCCTGAAGCATCCAAGCCTCCCACACCAACGTCAGCTACCGCACCCAAGGAAGCCCCAGAGACACCGGAGCATCGGACCGGAGCGTTTGGCCGTGCCAGTCTACCTCCGACACCGACGACGCCGTCCAAATCACGTCTGAAAGGATTTTCCAGGTGAGCCCGAATATCGAGGCATAGTGTCCATCATTGTAAGCTAACGGTATCATCAGGCTCGGGGCTTTCTCTCGCGATTCCAAGCTTGCGAGACCACCCGAATATCGCCAATCAGAACAGCTTCCACGCCGAGATGACCCGAAGAGCCAGGCCAACGGCCCATCGGATGCTGCTTCTTCGGCCCAGCTTGTCTCCCGTATCTGCACCATCATCTTGGACGAGGGACTTGGTGCAAGGCTCGGAGCCGACAGATCCACCACCGCACTCAAGGTCTGGGATGCAGTGGTGAAGTGTTTGGATGATGTATCCAAGACCTCGAATGACACTGCCAGCAAACCAAAACACGGCCTTGCGACGATTGCCAAGGTCTCAGAGTCGGTCGTTACAGCAGCAGCTAATTCCAAGAATCCATGGCCGCTGGAAGCATGGGGATTCCGCCATGGCCGCAAGAAGGATGTCGGGGTTCAAGATCGACTTGCTACCGAACTTGCCAGGCATGGGGATATGAGCTTGGATGCCAAAGACGTGCCTCAAGTTTCAACCAATGCTGAGAACAAGCAGGAAGCGGTTCCTCGATTGCCTCATCTACAGCTCCCTTGTCCTTTCAGAGCACGCAATCCCTCGCGTTTCAATGTCACGGACAGCTGGCATTGCGCTCAGGGTTATTGGAAGAGCCTCACAGAATTGCAGTATGGTTGACCCTTCAATCTTGAGTGTTCCAGGACTAACCTTTCACAGGAAGCATATCGCACGACATCATCGTCATCAGAGCGATGCTCACTTATTCCAGTGTCCCAGGTGCGAAAAGGGTTTCTCGGAGCCCAATGCCTTTAAGGAACACCTGATGCTTCCCAGGGAGCAGATGTGCGACCCTCGATCGGAGGTGCCCCCTATCAGCTGTGATCCAGAGGATGGAATCACTGCCGGTAGAGCGAGAGCTTTATCTGAAGGTGTCGAGCACGGAAAGATTGGGTCCTGGGACGACATGTGGAAGTGCTTGTTTCCAGCAGACAGGGTCGTTCCTCGGCCGGGTGAGACTTCAATTTCCTTAACAAGCCGGATTTTACTAACGCATCTCAGTTTTCCTCCCTGCCATTGAGCTTCCTCAGGTGGAACAAGAGGTGTTTGCCAGCGACAACATGGCTGACCTCAAGACAAGTCTGGAGGAGCGTCTCCGATTCCTTGCTGCTCAATCAGCCAACAGCGACCTATTCTCAGCCCAGATACCCGTGATCACTGGGTCGATATCGCTCGTCGTGGAAGCCCATCTCAGAAGCGTATTCATCGGTTGCCGCGCTGGACCTCCTACGCGACCCAACCGTTCGCGATCAGCATCTCAGACCCAGGAAACGATCAACAACAGGCCTCGGAAACTGTCTTCAGCATCCTCTGTAGGAATGAGACACTCTGAATTACCCGACCAGCGCCGTCCAGTCTTAGCCGAGGCCAAGAGCTTCACACGGGAAGCCCCTCGCCCGCAAATGCACAACCACCGAAGCCGCAGCGAAGGATCGCAGAGCAAGCTCCCGCGAGCCGCCAAGCTGCCAGTGCCCTCTACGCTCACTATTCCTTTTCCCAGGATATCGGCTTTGACAGAGCACTCCGACGCAGCACCCTCGCACGTCTCAGAAGAAGCAATCGCCTCGCCGAAAGGCTCAGACGGGGAGTACTCCTCGGGCGTGGAATCGAACCCGACAAGCGCCGGCGGACTGCGTGACTCGAACAACACCGATATCCGATGCAGCAAATGCAACATGCGTCCAAGTCTCCGGCCTGACGAAGACATGTTTTCGGATCCTCGCATCAGCGCGTCCACGACACACTTGACGCACAACTCGAGTTGCAGGTTTTCGGACTCTGGGATCGGAATCTTGTGTCGCAATTGCAGGATGCTCGAGGAGCTCATCAACTCCTACTCGCGGGCGTCGACGCAGTCCGCCAAATCCGGGCGACAGGTTGAGGGAACAGGTCCGGCGCCGGGGCCAGGGCCGGGGCTCGAGTCGAAGGAGGTGACCTCGGCCAGACTGGTCGCGCCGTTCTCGCCGGATCCATCGGTCTCTATGGACGAGAATGACGAGGAGACTCTGTTCGACATCCTGGAGTCTGCGCCGTACGTCGTGGAGGACGGGCAGTGGAAATCGCGGGTGGTCTCTCCCAAATTCCCGCCGCCGACACAGAGCCTGCCGCCGTCGCCCGTGGGGCGATTTGATCGGTACCGGCACGATGGGAATTTCTTTTGAGATTGGGTGGGAGTTTCTGGCGTTTTTGGTGATACTGATGGGACTCTTGAGTTTTCCTGAGGTGAAGCAGTCCGCTTCTGGGTTTGTTACGCTATATGAATATTGATATCCATTTTATTTTGACATCTATTCTTACTTGAACGTGTATTCGAGTTGGACTCACAGCAGCATCACAAGCTATCGCAGTAATTTCCATTCATGTGGCTCACCAGCAGAACAGAGGTAGGCTCCCTTCTCGTCATCAGCCCACCCTGAACTAACGCAAGAATGAGACCGAACACCAAGCCTCCTTCACGTCCGAGCCAAGCTGATGAGCCGATGGCGCGCCGCATCGAGGAATGTCAAGGGCGCTCGTTCCGTGCCACGGTGCCTCCCCCGCCTTTGGGATCGACACCCGACGGCCCCGCACCATTAGTTCGCAGCTGTGCCCTGTAGCTGCTGTAAGTCGGATGCAAGGGCTTCATCATGAACACCTGGACAGCTGATTTGATGCTAATCCCGAAGACACAATCAAACCAATTATGGTCAAACAAGCAACTATATCAACGTTCTACAGAAGAACATACTACACGTGCAACTACGCTCAGCCAAACGTGTCCCGGCCCCAAGAACCGTAGACTAACAAAAACACCCAGCATGCCCGTCTCGGAAGCTTGTGACGTCGAGCTGCAAGGGTGCTGTGGATCGCCCCAAACGCCCTACCGCGTATGTACGTCATCCTTACAGCAACGAGCTCCAGCTGCTCGAAGCTGTGCTCGGACGAGGGAACATGCCACCGAGAGCTTCCGTCAGCTGCTTTTCATTCCAATAAGTACTACTAGTCTCCTTCTCCCTCCTCTCGAGCTTCCCCTCATCACATTCAATCGAATTTGAAAGAAAAGAAACACCATCCATTGAGCCCCGCGGAAGCACAATGGCAGAACAAGACCGCTACCAATCCCACCTGGGAGTCAATACAGACAAGATTCCCACCCCAAGCATGCCCGCGACGTCGGGTGCCGAGCAGGACCGCTTCGGTGGCTGGTTCGGAGGCAAGGCAGACAAGGCCACCGACGCCGTCAAGCAGAACTTCCCTCAAGGACCAGGCGGCGCCGAGCAGGAGCGCTACGGCGGCTGGTTCGGCGGCGACAAGCTCCCTTCCATGGAGAAGCTCGGCGAGCGCCTGCCTCATGTCTCCGGAGCCGAGCAGGACAGGTACAACGCCCACTTTGGCGGCCACGAGCTCCCGTCCATGGAGAAGCTGGGCGAGAGGCTTCCCAAGGTCTCTGGTGCCGAGCAGGACCGGTATAACCGCTGGTTCGGCGGCGACAAGGGCCCAAACGCTCAATGGTTCAAGGAACACCTCCCTCAGACCTCCGGAGCCGAGCAGGATCGTTATGAGAGGTGGCTAGGAGGCAAGGCCGAGAACGTTGCTGAGAAGGTTGAGAGGAATATCCCCAAGACCTCCGGCGCCGAGCAGGACCGCTTCGGTGGTTGGTTCGGAGGTGACAAGCTCCCCTCCGCCAGCGATGTGAAGAACGCCATCCCTCAAGCCTCCGGAGCTGAACAAGACCGCTACGCATCCCGCTTCGGCGGCAAGGCTCCGGATGTCTCCAGTAGACTCCCCCGAGTCTCCGGCGCCGAGCAGGACCGCTACGGCACGCACTTCAACCTGCACCCCAGCAACCCCGTCAACAGCGCCACGACCACAACCGTCGGCCTCCTCCAAAACGCCCTCCTCCCCTCCTTCGCCCTCCACGCCGGCCTCAGCACCGTCGCATATGGCGTCGCCCGGTACACCAACCGCGCCGAGGCCAAGGACTGGCTCTGGCCGACGGGCCAGGTCGCCAACGCCTGGTGGACCGCCGTCGGCACCCGCGTCGTCTACGACGGTCTCTCCGTCCCCTCCGCCTGGAACTCGCTCGGATACACCCAGAAGCTCCTCCTGACGGGCGTCAGCGCCTGGGGCGCGCGTCTGTTCTACCGCATCGCGACGCGCAGCGTCAAGCGCGGCAAGGACGACGCCCGCTACGTCACGGCCAAGCAGAAGGACCCCAAGTTCTGGGACAAGGCCTTCTTCACCATGTTCCTGCCCGAGGCCGCTTTCCAGGCCATCATTGCCCTGCCGTTCACGCTTCCCTTCCAGGCTCCATTGACGAGTGCCCGCGCGTCCGGATTCACCGCTTTCCCTGAGACGTTCCACAGCTTGGCCGTGTTCCTGTTCACGACCGGTTTCGCCCTGGAGACCCTTGCGGACTCCCAGCTCGAGACGCACTCCAGAAAGAGCGTCGACCTGAACCGCGAGGGAGTGTGGAGCATCGTCCGCCACCCTAAGTAAGTCCACAACCCCCCCTCCCCCGGGTATTCCAACACGCAAGATGACTGACGGGAAGCCAGCTACCTCGGCGACGCCCTCTGCCACCTCTCCTTCCCCGTCCTCCTCTACAGCGCCGGCATGCTGCACCCGCTCGCCGCCCTCGGCCCCATCTTCAACTACGTCCTCCTCCGCTACCTCGGCGGCGACAAGGAGAACGAGGCGAGCCAGGAGGAGCGCTACGCCAAGGAGAACCCCGGCAAGCTGCAGCAGCTGAAGGCGTACAAGCGCGAGAAGAACAGCTTCTGGCCGAGCGTCAAGGAGCTGAACAACAACTGGCTGTGGATCGTGGCCGGCGCCGGCGTCGTGGGCGCCGTCGTCGAGAGGAGCCTGCTGGCGTACTTCAACTGAGTTTGTAGGACGGCCGGTGGGGTGAACTTTTGTGTTAAATTAATGTAATGATTGTGTATGGGTAGTAAAACGGGATCGAAGAAAAATTCAGATTGATCAAACAACCTCTTGCGTTTTTCATACCTCGTGAATTGAGTTTGACTTGCGTTGTCTCACGAGACGTGATGGATTTGTAACCTTGATATACGCTTCTCGTCAGTCGGAAGACACTGTGAACCCGGTCGGGTCAGAGGAAGCCTCCCACAGGATGAATCATGGGATTTGCATATTGCATCCAACTCAAATGCACCCGGTTCAGTTAGATCCGGCCCCTTGTGTCCTCAACTTGGAACCTGGCTGAGCCGTAGTCGCATTTTCTGCTTCGTTCTTCTACACATGCCAGGCTCGAGGCTTGTATACTAAGATATCAGAAACGAAGCCTCCAAAAAGAACCACCAATATCCCAGATCATCAAGGCCGCCGTGCCACACCGACTCCGTTCCCATCATCCCGCCCACGCAAACACTTCACACTCAAACGACCTCAGCCTCGTCGACCTCGGCCGAAGCGAATCCCGATCCCTCGTCCTTCCCGACGGGGCACGCGACGACCGTCGTGCTGTTCACTATCGTACCGCAGCAAGCACCGTCGCCGCCTCCTGGCCCGACCTGGGTAGATGTATGTCTTGATCAGGTTATCCTTTCCTTCGTTGTAACGATTTATGGGAAGCGGATGAAATAAAAGACTTACGCATGAGCCGACGTTGCATGGATGATTAACCCACATGGTATATAAGCCTGTACGCATTTTGCACGAGTATCCGTTGCAAATCTGCGAAGACATTTTGATACCGCGTCAGCCACGTCTTTCTTTTTTCCCGTCAGAGTGGGAGAAAGGGGTTGATGTGAAACGTACGCCTTTATCTACTTTTCTGGCGGAGAATGAGATGCCATCGGGACACCCCTTGTTATCAGGAAAAGGAGAAACCGGAGAAGCAGCAGCAGCAGCAGAGGGAACCGCGGGAACGGCCGAGGCGAGGGAGAAGGCCGAGGCGGCTGTGAGGAGGACGGCGGTGGGCTTCATTGTTGTCTTTCTGTGTAGGGTAGTATGAGAAGTGGTCGTTCTCCGAAGAGGAAAAGGAGAAGAAGTGAAACGACGACTTATCTTTGGCCGTCTTTCATATGGGTTATGGAAAAAGTGTAATAATTGTGTACTGGCCCCCCAAAAAGGGAGAGAGAAAAAAACATGCAAAAGATAGACCGGGAAAAAAAGGTCGTCTCAAGCAACACCTTGAGGAATAACTCTCCACAAAACACACATAACCGGGACTAAGCATAAGAGGCGGATGCATGTATCTGTTGTATTTAAAAAGTCCTACAGATAGTGACGGTCAAAGGTCGTGGTCTGATAGCATGTTCAGATACAGCTTGATGGGCTGGATTAGAGTGGTAGGCGTTTGAAGTCTCGATAATTTAGTAAATGCTTTTGTGTGGTACACGTGCGAATACGATATTGCTCCCCTGCAAGCTCTTGGTAATTTGCCTCCCTGTTGCTTTTCTTACCTGGCCGCGAGAACTATGACGTTGTTAGATGGTTTGCCTATCAAGACGAACGTTAGGTTAGAATACATCCAGCCGATTCTGAGGAGGTAGATACCAGGAACAAGATCATAGACGGGGAGAAGAGACATATGGGGCCAGCTTCCTGTTGGCCTCTAGGACAAGCATTAGTACATGCCTCAAATCACACATGGCCAAAGTCATGAGAACTGTTTCGGCGCCATCAGGTTCATATCGGAAGAACGAGAACCATTAAAAGCCATTCCACCGTGAAATTTACATAAAATCGACACTAGCGATATGCAGCAGCCTGCTCAGAAACCCACCCAGGCTTCAAATCGCCGAAAAAAAAAATAAGTAATTTGTGCAATGGCACAATGGCGTGAAGTAATCAACTCCCCTAAACCCAAAATCTACCGCTGATGCAGATACGGCGTGTCCATCGGCCCTCCATGTCCGTTGTTCTCAGGAATCGGTGAGTCGCGTCCCGGCTGAGAAAAGTGCGTCTGGTCGTACGGCGTAGGCGACCCCATCTCGCTCCTGGCCGTCGCGACCGAAGCATCCAGCTCCGAGTACCTGTGGATGTTCCCGTGGTGGAACTCCGACTCTCGGGGTGACGTGCTGTACGGCGGCTTGTAGAGGCCCGGCGAGGAGGCGGCGTACGAGCCCCGGATGTCGGACCCGGTCGTCTGCGGCTCGACGAGCGTCTGGGCGGGCGTGTGGGGCTCCGCCGGCGGGCTCGGCTCCGGCTTCTCGGACAGCTGCCGCTTGAGCGACTTGTTCTGCTTCCAGAGCCAGAACGTGGAGAGGAGGCCGGCGAGGAGGCAGACGCCGGCGACGACGGCGAGGCCGATGGTGGCGCCCTTGAAGGCGTCGCCGCCGCCGCCGCTGGCGTCATCTGTCATGTTCGCGGTGCAGACCGATTCCTGCGTCTGGATCTTGATCGCGTGGTCTGTCCCGCAGCAGGTCGTGTTCGAAGCCCCGCAGCAATATGTCGCCGTGCCGTCGTTGCAGGCGGTCATGATGGTCGAGTTGGATGCGGATCCGCCCGACTGCTGCTTTGTTAGCACATCCGGAAAACCGTGTGTTAATTACGTCCTCGGCTCGTGGCACAGTACCTGTTCATCCATGCAAACACTGATGCAAGCCTTGCTCTTCCATGTTGGATCCGTGCAGAAACCTCGCTGGGGCTGCTGCTGGCGATTGATACACAGGCCGGAAGACGAGCAAATGTCTCGCTGATCCGGTTCTCCGTCCAGAGCACAGCAACTCGAGAACACGCCTCTCTGATTTATCCCAAGCTTGTTGCAAGGAACGTACGTCTCGTTGTCGGCGATATTCCCATTCGGCGCGTAGCACGTCGCCTCTTGCGCCAGGGAGTGGGCGACGAGGGCCAGAGTTGCTGTTAATACCGATACCCGCATTGTGACGGCAAAGATTGACGAAATATCAGCCCTTCTAAGTCGTGATCGCACGAAGCAATCGACAATTTGTGGTACAGAAAGGAGGCAACGGAAGAAGAAAAACCGAGCCAAACCACAAATAAGCAACCGCACCGGGGGACCCGTCCGCATTTATGAGAAGCGGCGAGCCAGCATCAGCAGCGGGCTGTACGCCGCCAGCCTGCATACCCGGTGCATCCATTCCTCCTCCTTCCTGCACTGCTCTTCCATCTCGCCTTCAAGCCTCGCCGCATCTCACCTCAGATGACAAGGGAGGGGAGGGGAGGGGGGAGCCACAAGTCTTACACGCAGAAAAAGCGCGTGCAGCGCAACGTACGATATCAGCACCCGCAGCCAACTGAGCCTGCGAGCTATCTTGAAGAGGCAAGCGAGATGCAAGTGGCTTCGAACCCCTGTACCAACACAGCCAGTGAGGAGGGATGCTGGAAGCAGGCTGCAGGACTCGGCCAGCTCGAGAGACCAACCCAACAGATTGTAGAGACGACCAACACGACGGATTATCAACCAAAATCGGCGGCCGAGTCCGAAGAGGGGGGATGGAAAGTGAGGGGGCCGGGCGAAGCCGACTCTGCGAGTGGTGGGTGACTGGTGCAATGGTACGCTGGGTTGGGCCGATTGGCACCGTTGGATTGAGACTCGAAAGAGGGGTTCACTGAATGGATCTCAGCAAACATTTCACGGATCTCATGCCGTTTCCCGTCCGCGGCAGGGTTGTCGTCATTCCATATAGTGACCCCTAGAACATATTCCTTTCCAGCCCTATGAGTATGAATGCTAGGAATGCGAAGAATGAACGTCCATCGTACAGATCTCGGCGTGCTTCCCACGTAAAAAGTAAGCAAGTCATATAAATCCTCCAATCAAGTACGAAAAAGTCGTAACGTTCCATCGAAGCCCGCCCCCATGTTGATCATTGAAAAGCCACATGCCTTGGCGGTCTTCATGCAAGGATTCGCCAACATGTCTCCAGTTTGGTCGCACCTCCGGTCAGCTTACGGATACTTGTCTTTCTGGCAACCAATTCACATTTTGCATTAGTTGTGTCTCACTGATTGATATATGAGTTCGAACTGATGCCCGGCTCTGAATGAGGTTCACAACGGTTTATCAATACGAGCTCCACGGCTCTTTAACATAATACTATCACTTTAGCGCGTGCTGTCTCTGAATGCAACAAATAGATACAAATAACAGTCACTGATTAGTAAATAAATACTTACGCCATGATAAGGCGTTCTCATAAATAGTAGGCTAGTTACCAGCAGGAATTAGTAGTCAACACTTTATATAAACGTCAGATTCGGACTTGTTAAAGACGGGACGGACCAAAGACCCCTGAGCGGCTGCCTGCCCCGGGGATTAGAGTTTGAAACTGCGCATGGCCCGGACCGGCAAACGATGCGGTTTCAACCAACCGGCTTAACTCTCGCGACTTTTCTCTTCGCTTCAGATGTTCTAGTTGTTCTAAATGCGGTCAAGAAGCCTATAGTGCTCGTATTATATCAATTGAAATTCACCCCTTAAGCCAATCCTGGGCTGCTGCCTTCTCAGGATAGATATTGTGCGTCGGAGGATATGACTTTGCACGAAACAACACGGGAAAGACACATCATGACGTGAAAATCGCAACTGAGGCAGCTCGCGAACATCGTGGAGTCGGCAGTCGACACCGCCCCCTACGATACTAGATCCTTTGGCAATGCCCAGCTGTTTCATTCATAATCCTCACCAAGCCTTTACTTTAACGATCAATACACACCCTTCGACACTTTCATGTCCAACACCCCAACGATTGCACCCTACCATGTCTTCTATAACCGACTTAACAGAGCGTCTTCTGGAGAAGATCGTCAAGCTTCTCTGCTCGCACTGCCATCCTCCGCCTCCATCACAAACCTACTGGGGCATGTACTGCAACGACAGCTGCCCGATCGGAAAGCCCGAGCATGGGAGACGCATGGCTCTCGCCAACCTCTGCCTGACGAATAAACGGCTCAACTCCGCCGCCACGCCGATCTTGTATCATCGATTCCACCGGAGGGACGAGATCGCGTTTGCGAAAACCCTCTTCAAATGGCGCCCCGATCTCGCACAGCATGTCAGGTCGCTCCACCTCGGCGCGGACGACGAGCTCACCTTTGGACAGTCCAAAGACGGGGAACTAGTACTCAGAGAAATAACGAACCAACTCCATCATTTGCGCATATCACAAAACGACGAAGGCAAGGAGGAGGATGGACCGATGCTACTGAGCCTGCTCATCGGCAGGTGCACGAACATCGAGGATCTCTGTCTCACCGTCAGCTGGGACGGCAACCCGGTCCCGTTCTGTCCCCCGGGATCGCTCCCGAAGTTGGAGACGCTGTCCCTCTCGCACTGGGACGACGAGGGCGGTTTCGATCTCGCGTTCGCGACGGAGATCTTCCTCGCCGCACCAAACATCACATCGATATTTGCCTACGCCGTGACTGAAGTCGGCGGAGGCTTGAAGATGGCAAACGTCACGGAAGTTACCCTCCGCAACAGCTTCCTCCAAGCCGACGCCTTCAACCGTCTTCTCAGACAGCTGCCGAGCTTGGAGAAACTGACGTATTATGTTGGAGACGCCATCATGGACGGGGAGGCACCTCCAAGGGCGCGCGATATGCAGGACGCCATTCTGGAGCATGCTCCGAGGTTGAAGTTCCTGAAGCTCTTGATGCTCGAAGACGACAATGAGTACCGTCGAAGCGATGGTATTGTCGACGAAGACATGATGAGGTCGCTGAGGGGGTTGAAGCAGCTGCAAGAGCTGCGGCTGGACGCGCAGTATCTTGTGGTCCCCCGTTACGAGGAAGACGAGACGGACATGGGACCTCGGACGTTGGTGGACATATTGCCGCATTCGATCCAGCTCGTAGGAATCGAGTGCGGTGACTACACTTGTAGCACGAGGACTCTGCTGCCCGCAATACTGGGACTTGGGAAGGTTTGTAAAGTTGAGTTCCCGCACTTGAGATCGTTTCGCGTGTCAGGTCTAGACGGGTTGGAAGAGGCAAGGGAGATATTTGAGAGCAGTGGAGTTGAGTTCATTACTGAGTATGTCTAAGGACTGAAGGAGCATCCTATGCCGCGCCCTGTCATAGCCACTTATACGGATGGACGTGGGATGAATCCAACGGGTTCGAAGTTGGTACCGTCGGCGAGTGCCCTCAACGAGGTCAGCGGATGATGGAGAAGCTGTATACATGTAGTTATTCACTCAACTACCCTGATAGACGACGCATGGATGAAGCCAAAAGGGGGGTGATGGGGAAGAAAGAACCGGCTGTAGGAAAAGCTAAGACCTCTCACTTTGGGAGACTCTTTAAGGGATAGAATTGATTATGTTCGCCGAGAGACTTTGTTCCCGACGTTCCTGCTGTCTCTGATGCACTTTTTGCCCCTCTTCGTATCGCTATTATCAATAGAAACTTTGATGATAGTCACTGTGCAAATTAATTACTTGAAGTCATACTAACGGAAAAAGAGCCTCGAGATATCACATTTATCTTGGGAAAGGGGTTTGTATGATCATTCACTAATTTGCTATCACGTATGACTACTCAAAAACATGTTTAACCAAAACTGATGGGTATTGATTGCACTATGTTCGTGTGCCTCCTGGACTTTCTTGTTCGGGATTCTTCAGACTCATCCTCCTCACCGTCTCCTTCTTCGTCGTGAGTACTTCATGCAGATCCCTGATCATGACCGGAACTGGCCGTTTAGTGATGAAGAGATCGTCAAATTGCGAAACAACCTCGGGGTAGTTTTCGAGACATTTCCTCGCTTCCCACAACAACCTTTCCGCAAACGCCGTATCTGCCGTGTTATTGAGCATCTCCGCCATGAGGGTGTTGTATCTGCGCTGATTTGTCTCGTCAACGTGCCTCTGGATTATGTGTTAGCGCCACTAACGTATCGTGCGGCGGCATCGAGACGTTTCGCGAAAGAGACCGGCTGGATTGGTGGAAATCAACGCATACCTGGATGTCAAATGATAAGTTAACGCTCGGCTCGATGACGGCGCCTTTGAAGTCTACCGACGGAAACTGCTTCTGGACGTCTTCCCCGTTCTTCACCGACTCAGCGATCATGTCTTCCCGGTTTCTGCCGAGTATCTGCACTTCCGGCTGCTCCGACGAGGACGGGGGCTCTGAAGACGTCGAACTGCTCATGATTGGAGATTGAATTGAAAGGCTAGATAGACAAATTTCGGTGTTAACAGCAAACAGTCGAGAAACTCGGTTTTGTTAAAGCAGCGATCCTTTGATTTGGCGCAAATGGGTTCCGGGCGCACGTGAAAAATGCATGACCACATGGAAATTAGACGGTTAGTGATGTTGGGGCGAACCCCAACCCTTTTTGTATTTCCCGCTCCAGTGACACATGGCAGATCGGCGAAAACGGTGGCGCTCGCCGATGAAGTCAGACATGCGCGTGTCATTGGCAACTGAGGGTAAATGGCTGTATGCATTGTCAGCTCCTTCAGCAACAATCGACCGGTTAGCGGCTTGGCGAATTGAGCCGGAGCTGATCCCGAGACCAACGGCGGAGTGAAATTGGTGATCTCGTCGCGCCTCGGCTTGTGAGCCGTTGTCCGTTGGCCTAAGTCAAGGACAATTTCCCCTCAGAAGCTACTCGGTGGCTGTTTGGAGGGGTGTCTCAGGAACCAAAGAAAATTGCATTCATTCGTCAGTTATAAAAATATACAAGAATTGGCTCAAGCTGGCGATTGCGCAGCTTCCCCGAATGACGGTTCTTCCGGTCGATTGAACAACGCTCTCCAACGGAGATACACCTCCATCAGGCCATTTCCTTCAACGCCGGCAAAAAAAAAAAATCACCAGCCGGGGACTTCGCGATGACTAGCTGTCGAGTTCAGCCGGCTAGCTCGACTTGGGTAGCGCGGTGAGTTGCTTCTCGATGGCCCTGCCCTTTAGCAGTTGGAGGGCCGAGATGGGCGGGACGGGCGCTTGGCTCCGTTCTTGCGCTCTGCTTCGCTGGGCTCTTCGGGTTCGGCTGGTTCTTCGCACTCTCTCGCCTTGACTACCGGGTTCAAGATGTCTTCCGGGGCGACGGCCGGCTGTGCGTCTTCGGCTGCTCGGAGATGGAGGCTCTTGAGGATGCTGGTGTCGATGCTCAGGGCCAGCCCGCTGGACACGAGGGTGGTGAAGAAGAGGATGGATGAGGCCTTCATGATGATGTTACCGGCAGATACTCTGGGGTGTGTGGTTGGTGTTGTTTGATGTTGGGAAGCTTTTGAAGACTGGTACTTTGAATTGTGATTTTGTATGTAGTGACCAACACCAGCAACCAGACGGCGTCACGACCGGTTTATATAACCAAGCACGGAATCGAGAAGCAAGCCATGATGCTGTCACTGCCAAACTCATGGCCATGTAAGGGGCCTCGGCGTCATCCGAGATCGCCGGCCTGACTCGCGAGGGCAATGCACAGCCCTACAGAGATTAATGCGGCGGATGTCGTTCGCGAGTCGGGTTCGGTTGATTGCCCTGCCATCGTGCACTTTTTATAGTTCGGCTGAAGTTTCATCTTTGTAGCTATGGACACCTCAGCTCCTAATATTGCAGTTTACGGTTGTGCAGCTTATTTGACGGACTATAACTCGACCCACTGACACTTCGAGAGGCTCATCAGTTGAAGAAGCTTCTCCAGAGTCCGTGTAAGTTCGTTCTCGGATCGGTTCTGGATCGTTGCCAAGTTTGTAACATCACGCTCCATGGTTCACGTCAGCAGAGCGTCCACTTATCATCGGGTCTCTGTCGAACGTCTTCGGGCATTCGGTGGCACCAATATGAACGCGTTGTCTGCGCCGTATAACCACCCATCCATGGCATATGTTGACTCATTCAATATGTCCAGTCTCAACAGCTGCATCTCTTGTTTAAATATGTACCTCTATGATTACCATCGTTCCTATGTTTTGATGTATTAGTTACACAACTACTCAGTAAAGACCTTGAACTCCACAAGACGGACTCTCTTGCCCTCCTGCGGCGTAACAAGAATACGCAGAGATTCGGTCGAGGCGCCCGTCCACTTGGCGTTGGTAATGCCATTGGCCAACGGCTCGTCGTATGTTGCACCGGCAACATCAACCCACTCGCCATCTAGAACCTGAACACGGTAACTGGCAGGAACATCGAAACCCTTCTCCTCGTTGGCGAAGAAGGCAATCTCGGCCCGGGCAGCCTGGATGGCCGAACCAAACTCGATGCTAACCCAATCCTCCGCGGTGCTGCCCTCGGGCGTGTCAAAGCCGTTCGCGATTGTGTCTTGGGTCCAGAACCAGATACGACCATCAAAGACATCGTGAAGACGGTTGATGTCGAAGTTTGAGACTGAGGTGTTGACGATGGGCGGCGTGGTATCGGCTTGAAGCTGGATGGACTGTGCCAGGGGCCGGGTGACGGAGACGGTGGAGCTGGTAATCTCGGCCGTCAGACGCTCGAGCTTGTCGGAGGATGCGACGACCTCGCCGTCAACCTCGACGCGGAGACCGGCTTCGCCGTAATGGTCACCGGTGGCATCCCACTGGACCGCAACCTCCCGGCCGTGGTACAAGATACGCTCGGCGCGGAAGTAGGAGATGGATGAGGGGTCTGCAAGGGGGTTGACCTCGAGAACGTTGTCCTCGCGGGGTCGAAGACCAACAAAACCGGACAGGATCAAGTCGACGTAGCCGGAGTGGAAGTAGTGATGGGAGCGGCCCAAGCCCACAATCGGCTCGCCCGTGTCGGGGTCGTAGTTCTCTTCAATGTCGAGGATGTTGTCGTAGTGTTTGTTGTAGTGCTGGTTGGCGTACTGCTTGAGAAGACGAGTATAGTCTCCCACGTTGACAAGTGAAGCCGAGTTCGGGTAGTGATCGAGGACATTGGCCAGCGAAGTCAGGACCTGCGTCGTCTGGTAGGGCCACGAGGGACCGTTCCAGTGGCATTCGGTCTGGGTGCCCTCGTAACGCCACACTCGCATGTAGTACTCGTACGAGGGCTCGACAGTCCGCAGTCCGAAGGGACCGCCGAGCTCATCGGAGCTGAGGGCGTGCTTCCAGGCCTCGCCGAACTTGGCATCGTCGTCGGGCAAGTCGTGCGCCCAAGGGACCAGTCCAGCAAGCTCACGTCCCCGGATGAAGTCCCAGTACGTGACGTTCTCATTGTTGACAAAGTATCGGTCAACGAAGTGCTCGAAGGTCGAGTTCCACATGTCCCTCTGGAAAGCTTCCTTGATCGCCTCGGCGCGGTTGTTGTACTCCTCAACCACGTCGTCAAGGCCGCCCTTCAAGGAGGCGATCTTGGCAATGGCCTTCGCATTGGCGAACTGGTACGCGTTGATCGTGGGGCGGAAAGCCTGGCCTCCGAAGAAGCCGTCATAGCCACCAGAAGCATCGATGCTGGAGATGGTGTACTCCGTGGCGTCGGCAATGGGCTCGATCCAGAAGAGACCCTTGGACTCGTCGTAGTGGTCGCCGACCCAGAGGTTGTAGACCCTCTGCATGTCATCGAGGAGGGAGAATCCGAGCTCGGGATCGCCGTCGACGAGGTAGTTGCGCCATACGCCGTCGGCCAGGCTCTCGGAGTACTGACGCGGGTTGCTGTCGGGGCTGTACATGAAGGTGGCGTAGTCCTGCTTGAAGCGCGGGTCGCGGCACCAGCGGCCCTCGGAGAGGTGGAAGATGGCGGCGCAGTTGTTGGAGGCCCAGGGCTGGGTCTGCCAGCCGACGTTGTCGATGAACTCGGTCGTGATGAAGCCGTACTTGGAGCCGACGTCTCGCTGGTGGGTCCGGAAGAGGTTCCAGCGGTAGTAGTAGACGTCGGTGATCTCCGTGTCGCTGGACTCGAAGAGAGGAATGCGGTCGCGGTACCACGGCGCGTCATTGCCGAAGTACTTCTCGGTCACGGCATCCGCATCGAGGGCGGCTTGGGCCAGACGCGCGCCCAAAGGGACGACGGCTAGAGTTGTCGAGAGCCTCATTGTCGCTTCGAGAATGGAGAATGGGCAAGCTCAGTAGCACGCTGATCCGAGTGAACTAGAAACCCTGGGGCGGCAACGCTCCGCCACTTTATACCGATGAAAGCTCGCATCACGGAATATTGATTAGTAGAGATGCTCGTTCTCGGGATCTCTGCAAGCCCAAGTCGCTTGACGTCCTCGTGAGCGCCATCGACTGACCCGGCCCCTTGGCTTCAACCACATTCCGTCGCTAGCGGACCCGCGGTTCTTGGAACCTGCATACCGCCCTGGATTAGCTACATGCGTGCCAATCGTACCGAACCGCTTCCGCCGGGATGACCCAGAACTACCGTGACCCTAACGGGTAGGACGGGTGACGATGACGATTGCGCGGGGGAGAACCGGGGTCACATCGGGGGGGCCGGGGTCCCCGCATCTCGGTCGATTGGCGCGCGAATGGAACGCCGGCGACTCAAGTCTTGCTTCTTGTTTGCGGGGACTGTAATTAAGCAGTATCTGAAGAGAACCATTAACAGGAACCGATGAACACGAGGGAAGTTGGGGTTGTGCCATTTGATCGGTTCGCGTATGTCGTACGACATGACCCAGGCACGGATTGTCTTCTATGTTCATTAGGCTTGGCATTCTTTGACGACGTAAAGTCGACTTAGCCGCGAATATGGTCGGAATCTCCCGCGTGTTGACTCAAGAGCCGTAAAGCAGGAGTAGGCAGCTTGAAATGGACTTGAGTCGTTTGCCGGTGGCCACAGCCGAACTGAAGTGATGAACTTCGAACACGTAGTGACCGACTTGAGGAGTCAGATTACCTCGACGTTCTCTTCACTGCCCGCATGATCTATGAAAGCTCTGGTACTTAAACGGTATTGCTGCATTCTCGAAAAGTTTGCGTGTGCCGATTGAAGACCTAACGAATGATAAGTTTAGAGTGTCAATGCCTCAAACCCAATTTCGAAATGACCTGGTAAACTCTTGTCGAGCATCATCTCGAGCATCGATCATACTTCAGGCCTTCTGCGGTGCATCGTACTCTGTGTCAGCATAATGGTCAGGAGGATACAATCGTGCGTTGTATCATAGTGATCGGCAGGATTACCATAGACTGAAGCTAGGAGGCAAGTAAGTAGAAACAAGTAGCTCCGGGTGCTCGATTTGACATGAGGTATCGCTTTCTTTACACAAAGATAGGTGGCGTTTCCCGATTCCACCACATAAACATCCCTAGTGTTCTCGTTTTCATCTGTAATATTTACGCATAGCAACGAGTGACTCCCAGAGCTGCTGGTCTTCTTCACTCCGATTATCACATCCGGCCGGGTTCACGCACCCAATCCACGCGCGATGCTCGGGCTCACAGACGGTTCCGATCTTCGGAAGAGTCCCGTCTTGAAAATACGCTCGAACGGCCCTGCCGGTGCAAATGGACGGGGCGGCATGCAAGCCATGCCCCTCCGTGTTCTGCTGCAGGACGACTGATCCGGGGAACAGGGTGGATGCACGATGAGCACTTGAGCACAACTATGTCAGCATTTTTACATGTCTGGGGGCTTCAAAAAGCGTCTTACTTTCTAAGAGGTGTAACGGGATCATAAGTGTTTCCGATGATGAGGAGCGGGTTCGAGGTGTTCGCCGTCCATGGCCCTGAGATGCAGTCAGAAGTGCCTTCAGTTGAAAGAGGAGGGAGTCGTGGCTTCTGATTCTCACCTTCTACTCTCCAAGCTGGCCTTGCTTGCCAGTTCATACAGATCATGTGAAGGCCGCCCCAAGTCGCTCCCAGAACGTCGCTTTGGTTACGGAGCACTTTGAAGTACTCCCGGAAATCCGCCTTGGTGGTGTTGCGTAGATCCGGACCGTCAGTGCAAGCAATAGCGTATTGGTAGCTTGGGGTCGACTGATCTCTGACGCATGCTTCGGAGTACAGTCCATCCCTTTGACATTCGTCGTTGATCGAGACCGGGGACAAGTCTCCGCCTGCCTTGAGAGCGGCGATGCTCGTCGCATTTCGATCCTGTAGGTCCTTCAGAATCTCAAAGTATGGCTCCACGAGCGCCTGGTTGTACATGGCATCACCCAGAAGATCCATTACATCCTCGTAGCCGATGACCATCGGCCCATGTTCGTGGGTGCCGGCCACTGGTATGGGATCCGTAAGCAGCGACTGTGTTAGACGCGCGATGCGGGCCGTGATGATCGATGGTGGCTTGTCCGGGAGGGCTAGAGGACACGCTCCCGGTGCTTGCTGGCAGTAGATTGCCCATTGCAACATGATCTGGTCGGTATCCTGGAGGTTCTTCAGCCAATCGGCGGCGTAATAATCGTCGACGTCCGCGATGCCGTCGATCAGAACACGAGATACGCGGTCGGGGTGCATCGCCGCGAAAGTCTGGCCGAGGATGCTTCCGTAAGAGACGCCCCAGTAGTTCAGTTTCTCGTGGCCCTTTTGCCAGCGTGTTCTCTGCAGAGCCTCTTGTCGTTCGGTGTGGGGGAGTTTGGTGCTTTCGCGCGAGGTTAGGATCTTGTGAGCCTCGATTTCTCTCCACTGAGCGTGACGTTCGATGATGGCGACGATGTCCTCCACGACTTGCGCGGTGTTCACAAACTCGGCCATATTCGGCTCGTCTCCATGGTGGTTGGCACAGCTCTCGCTGAACGCTCGATACTGTGCCCACGCAAGGTCGATGTAGGTATCCGAGATTCCAAAGTGGAAGCTACTGGCCTGGCTAGCCAGAAAATTCACTTCGGACTGCTTGTTGGGAAAACACTTGAGATGGGGCGTCGTGTTGTTCACGCCCCGCGAATCGAAGCCGATGATGTCAAAGTATTTCCCGTCTGAAAGGCCATCCAGAGACAGGTCGGAATGCGGCGCGTCCACGATTGTTTGCATGTAGCGGCCTTTGCGGACCACCTGGCCGACGCCGGAATTCCCGGGCCCGCCGGGGTTCAGGACGACGGCGCCGCCGTACCGGGGATCCGTCACGGGGACCTTGGCCGGGACTTTGATGACGGCGACGGCGGCCCTCGCAGGATTCGAGGTGTCGTTCCAGTTGATGGGCACCGAGACGCGGGCGCATTGCAGGCCCCCGAAACATGGGTGATAGGCTAATTGCTCCTGGGGCTGGATCTACGGAGCGATTGGATGTCAACCTCCAGGTCGGACTCGTTGAATGAGTCCACTCTCTCCAAGGGCAGCACAAGCACTCAATGTCAGACGCACCTCGAGCCAATCAAAGCCTCCTTCAACCGAAGCCGTGTTATCCTCGTGGTGTGACGGTTTGCCTCCTAGCGAAATGAACGATGACCTGGAGGCGTAGTACAGAAGTAATCCAAGAGTGACGGTGAAAATCTTGACCGCGGTTCTCTTGTCGATGTTGCTACCGTGAGGCCGATAGGCGTGTCTGGGCCCGCTGGGCAGGCTTTCACTGACAGGGGCGGACTTCTCCATTGCTCACTCTTCTTCGCGGATCGAAATGAGCGTGGTGCAGAGTCGGACGGACGGAGCGTCGGAGAGTCGACTGCTTGTTCAGGCTGAAGCCAAGAGAGTGGCCAAATCCAAAGTTCCACGGAGTTCGCAGGCTTCGAGCGGAATTTAACAAGCTCTACGAAAGAAATCTATGGTGCGTTAACGAGTGCCAGATCAGGCAGCTCTCAACGCTTCAACGCTGATTCGTGGTCAGCTACTCCGTACGCAGGCAACCTGCTGACATCTCTGCAGCCAGGTCGATGGCGCGAGTGGTTGACTTTACAATGGCTGTCGGAGAATTGTGCTGATGGATCGCAAAGTGAAGCAGCTTGATCTAACAGGGCATCTACGGAACCCGAAGTGTTCGGCGCACAGCATGCAGTGATTCACGGTCATGATACCTACCTACTGCGAACGCCGGCATCTAAGAGTTCCGGAAAGCTGGGTTCACCTGACGACGGAAATAAGACGGAGAGAATCGACGTGTCTGTAAGCATGAGGAATAAGCCCAGTTCAAATCAATATTACCAGACAAACAATAGTAATATGGTGATGGGTAGCCCCGATGATAGGTGTGATAGACGCTGTACCTCATAAGCGATATTGCTGACGTTACTCCACGCTGCCCACAATGCAGCTTGCCACATTTCAAGCTTACCGGAAGACTCCAGGCCATCAATCATGGTAAGATAAATCAACACGCAGCAGTCCTAGACCTAATGAAACGATAGGCGCTCTTGGCAGTCAGCTATGAGATTAGGCATTGCGACGTCTGCTCATAAAGATGCAAAAATGTTCTTGCGTGCATACTTGATAGATTCTTAGTACCGAGAATCCAGCTCTACTTCTTCTATGCCCCTAATGAGACTGATGTACCATATTTCAACATGATTCTGAATCGGTGAAGCTGTCGATGAATGAGTGTGTCCAATATGAACCCCGAGAGTGAGGAGACCTCGTTGACGAACCCTTTTCTTCAGGTAGAGCCAAGAACGTTCATCGGATAGCAAGTCCGAGCAGACGGATCAGCGTCCAAGCAAGCGGCCGACGCCCCCGCTCTGCTCCGAGAGCGAACAGTGTGATGAACGTGACGAATAAGATGCGATCCCCCCTTTAGCTCGACTGGCATCTCACTTCGACGACAGAGTTGCGGCCCCCAAAAAAGAACAGGGCTGAGTTCCTAGCGCTTACATTGCCGCGCCCGCTAACCAAGCTCGCGTAGCTGCTGTTTGGCTCTCGGCCTGTGGTGCTCCCGTTTCTAATTTCCAAGTGGCGGCTGCTCTTTTTTGGTGGCTTTTTTCTTCTTTCTTTTCGGGACTCTGTAATTACTTCGTGGCTGGGTTACTCACCAACGAACGTTATGGGACCAGGAAACATTCAAGCAGCAACGCGAAGGATTCAGAGTTTAGCATGGCCCTTGGGGATGTGCGGACGGCCCCCCTCAGAAGCCAGAAGTCTTCTTCAGCTTTCCCACCAGCAGTCGCTACCATCACGTCAATCCTTGCTTCTTCGAGGTTCAGCCCAACCCATTCAAACTGCGGGATGACGCCCAGATCTGCCAAGCAAAAGCCGGTAGACAAACCAGGGTGGGTCGAAGGATTCCGTGAAATGGAGACCTTTCTCGACTCTTACGTCCCGATCTGGTCTCACTCCACCGGGGACTTTGGTTGAGTCTGATATGCCTGATGCTTCTTTGGCGTGCTCGTCCTCTTCCTCTTGTGGTTCACGCAGGCTGCGACGACGTTGTACCCGGCCAATGATGAGGCTTCGCGCTGCTGCGAAGCCACCTCACTTGGCGACGATCCTTCAGAACAGAGAGCGGGAGGCGTCAAGGGGCGGAGTGTCAAACAGCCAGTCTGAGTTCGCGACGGTGAAGCTAAGCTCTGCTTGTCCCATCCACGTTCAAGCCCGTCCCGCTCCTCCCAGTCTGAGGTGGTGTACGGTCATCTCACCCCTTGCTGCGTGGCTGTCGTCTTTTAGATTGGGGTCGGCACTCACCTCCAGGCCCCCTGTCGTTGTGCTTACAGGTCCTTCAACCATTTCATCCTTATTACTCCCTTCCACATTCCACGTTTTCTAGGTCTTAGTGGTCGTTCCGGGTTTTCCTACGTGAATCGACGTCTCGTGCCCCAAAGACTTGACGACGAATATTGCACTCCCGGCACCCGAGTTCCGATACCAGACGACGAAGACACAACCTCTCGACGACACATCCCTCGGGATTCAAGACAAGCAACGGTCAGAAAGATCCGAGTCTAGCGGAAAGCGTCATAACATAACCGCCAAGATGACCGCGGCGAAGTTGGACTCGAACGCGTGGTATTTGGTCTCCGAGACCCGAGTCACCAACGTATCCGCTACGTTCAGAAACAACCTGCAGACCACGAACCAGGGTCTTCGAGTCTTTTCCTTGACGGCACAAGCATGGCAGTTCCAACCAGTGGGCAACGTCGACGGGCGTTACCTGGCGAGGTTGAACACGTCCGGAGTGAGGGAACAACTTTCGGTATGCTGGCGCTCAGACGAGGTACACCCGAGCAAGACGATCGGCTGCCTCAGGAATACGCAGTCGGACGAGTCTCAGCAATGGGACATCACTGAATGGGGTAGGTCTGAAGCAAGACTGGAGGAGGTGAATACTGGGAATCATAACTGACATGGCTAGGCGACGGCTCCTTCAAGTTCACCAACGTCGGGAACGGCAGCAACTACGTTTTGGACGTTCACCCGGGATCCAATCTCTTCATGTCCAGCGAGATCGAGGGCACCGAAGGCGTTTCCGACAAGCAGGTAGCGCAGCATTGGGTATTGTCGAGTGAACGCGCCGTCAACGATGGCGCATACTCGACTATCTACAGCGCGGGGGTAAGCTGATCTCAGTCGAACAAGGTGATGCCATGATGCTAACGTTTCGAAGACAACTCCCGTTACCTCAGCTACCTCGACCGGCACCGGAACTGCCGCGACAGGCTCATCCACACCCACCACCACCACTGGTTCTGGCGCGGCCGCCACGACCCCAACCTCCTCCTCCGAGTCAGACTCCTCAGCAGGCGGCCTCTCCTCCGGCGCCGCCGCCGGCATCGGTGTGGGCGTCTCCCTCGCCGCCGTCGCTCTCATCGGCGCCGCGGTCTTCTTCTGGTGGCGTCGCAGGAGGGCCGCAAAGGGCGCGGCAGCATCTTCAACCGAACATGGTCCAGACGGTCCTGGCATGGCCAAGCTCAGCCCCGGCACCAACCACGCCTCCACCGTTGCCTCTTCTCCTTCGCCCAACACGCCTCATAACGACTACTACGGCAACCAGGCCCAGGAGGCCAAGACGCTGGGTCACCTGCAGCCTCACTCACACGCCGCCGAGGCTGGCAACACTCCCATCTACGAGGCGCCTACCGAGACTCGCTACGAGTTGGACTCGGGCCTCGGCCACAACCATGGCGGACAGGCCCCTGCACAACTGGACGACACTACGAGACGATGAGAAACTCGTGAGGCAGCCGGGTGGGAGAGAATCGTGTGGTTATGCTCGAGAGAGAGTGCGCGGTACAAAACTTACGTATACCCTGTTCATGCCAGCCTTCCATCGGGGCTAGGTGGCCGTTCTGAATCTTCCGGTAGCTGGCGTTGGAAAATTTGGCAGTGCGTGGAAATAATGGTCGAAGATTATTCTAATGTACATAACCTTTACTTTGTACAATGGAGAGCGTTGCTGTGATCCTGCGAGATTTCTCTTTGATGTAGGGCACTCTGATGAATTTGGTTCTAACGCCGACTACGCACAGCTTCAGCCGTTGTGTAAAGGCTCCTCGCCGCCCAGGACATTTCAATGATTCATTACATGCAATCTGTCAAGTTACTCTGTCTCCCATCTACATATGACCCATTAGACCCTGCACTTAGAGACCGAAAGCTCCTTTGCCGCCGTCAAAATGTGACAGCCGCCATCTTCATGGTAGTATCTCAACTTTTTCCAATCGACTCCTCTACATGGATTGTCCTCACATTCTCAAACTCGATTCCCTGGGCATCCTCCGGGCTTGGCATTCTCTTGCCGCGTCTCTGGGTCATCTGGTCTTGGCCCATGGCAGATTGAATGTGGTTGGTCATGTAAACCGATGGGTCCTCAACAAACAGCGAGCAAATCAACGCAAACACACTGAAAGGAATGGTCACATAGAACACGATCTTGAAGGCGTGTCCGGCAGCAGCGCGAACAGCGACCCGCAGCGCAGTCTGGATCTCCGGAGTGATGCCCGGGACGTTGACCAACGCTCGGGGGTTGCCCAGGTTGTATTCGATCGCGGCCGGGATGATGAGCCCGAGGTCTGAGGGGTTGAGGCCGTTGCCAATGGCAGCGGCGGCCACTTCCTCGCCCGCGAACTCCCGGAACTTCTCTTGGAAGATGGTGTTGAAGATGGCGTTGCCGACGGCACCACCGCCCGATCTGAACGTACCCAACAGACCCATCGCAACGCCCAGGTTCGAGTGCGGGACGTGTAGACTGGCGATGGCATAGGATAGGATCGTCACCCACACAAACATAGGCACGCCGATGGCCGGGACGAATGCGTAGGCAAGCTTCTCGTTGGGGTAGACTGTTCCCGCGCTGGCACCGATGAAGATAGCCTGCAAAGCCATGCCGATGACGAGCTGCCACTTGATATATCCAACCTTGTGAGCGATCAGAGGCGCGAGCACACCGGTGAAGCCGATCATCAAGGTGTTCGGGAGTGAGAGTACCCCGATCTTGATGCCGTCTGTGGTGAACATGTACAGAGTGCCCTGCGGCAGCAGCGCGGACATGGCGTGGAAATTCATCCCCGAGACGAAGAGAACGACCAGCAAGACGGAGTACCGGCGGAACATGACGAACAGCTTCAAGGGGAACATTGGGTGCGCAGCAATCTTGAAGTCGTAGACAAAACCGCAAGCCAAGACGATGAAACCGACAACGATGGGGGCGATAGCGCCGGCGCTGTCCCATGGGTACGCCGGCGTGCCACCCCACGTGAGGCCGATGAGGGCCGTCGCCAAGCCGGCAGTGAAGAGGACCAGGCCAACCCAATCGACATCCCGAAGCTGTTGCAAACGAGACTTGTCATAGTCGCCGCGAGGCCGTGCGGTCGGGTGGTATGAGAACGCCGTGCCGATGAAGCCGATGACCTCGATGATGATGCCCAGGTTGAAGATCCAACGCCAGGAGGCATACTTGAACAGAGCATTGCCGAGGAGGACGGAGAGGATGCCCCTGGACGAGTCCCGAAATGGTCAGCGTACGTCCATCTTGGCTTCGCCTCGGCAGACGAACTGGCAGTAGTGCCGTGCGGGGATTCTCCAAGTTAACGAGGAGAGAGAGGGTGTGGTGGTGTTCGGTCGGCACAACGCCTGTTCAGGTCGGCCGCCAAATCTGACTGCCGAAGAAAGAACCCCCAACACCAAACTCCAAAACAGAGTTTCTGACTCGGGGAAAACGTTCGAACTATGCGACGCGGAAGACGGGAGCGAAAAGAGGAAAAGGGTCAGATGGTTCGGACTCACCAGGGAACCGCGATGCCAGACTCTAATATGCCCAGGCCAAGGGATCGCCACTTGTTTGGAAGCATCTCGGGAACGCCGGCGTACGAGACGAAGACGAAGCCGGTGCCTAGGCCGATGAGAGTTTCGGCCGCGATGAGCATGGAGATGTCCTTCGCCGTCGTTGCGACGATGCAGCCGATGGCCACGGTGGCCTGGCCGCCGAGGACCAAGATGCGCCGGCCGAAGATGTCGCTGAGCGGTCCCGCGAGGGAGAAGGAGCATGCCGTCGAGAGAGACCATGAACCGACGACCCAGGCTAGTGATTCCTGTCCGCCCAGCTCATTTGTGATTTGGACGACGATGGACGCGACTGCGAGGAACGCGAGTCCGACCGACGGCCCGAACGAAAGAGCCATAGACTGCGATCAGTTAGCCACAACTGCAATTTCGTGGGGCTAGAAGTTCTTACAAAAATTGCGATCCATGTCTTGATACTGACACGTGCCTCCGTTGGGTTATCCTCCAACGCGGCGCGATGGGGGTCTTCTTCGAACTCGATGGCGGCCTTGGCCTCCTGGGCCATTCGCATCTTCAACTCCCGCTCGCGACCCATTCTAGAGGACTCGTTGTAAGACATATTGGCGGTGCGAGACGACAGAAGACGAGAGGTTGCTGTCAAAGACTGCAGAAACGTGTCTCATTCCATTGTGCCCATCTGCAAAAACCCACGGACATGGCTCGAGCCTTATTATAACATCGAAGTGATCCAGAAGTGATGATCCGAGCTCTGTTCCTGCGGGGAACGCCCAAAAGCTTAATGATGAGCAATGGCACTTTGCAGTATGTGCCGTGTGATCGGGAGTGTGACCAGGACAGGCGCGAGCCGGGGTTGATCGACCTTCTCCTGATGCAACCTGGCGGGGATTGAGCTGCCATCGACTAGCGCGACGACGTCGTCGCTGGAGAGGAGGGGGTCGGCAGATACAACTACTGCAAAACCACGACTGTTACATGAAAACCTTCGCGAATAAGCTTTCGTGTCGTGGACGGCAGCCGCGCTCGAGAATGGATGGAGGGATTGCTCTGGGTTTGGGTGCCAGCACTTGGAGTTGGAACCGCATGGCACGTCAGGGGTGTCCATTGGTCGATGCTGCGGTGACAGTCGTTCTGGCCTCTGTGACGGTAACCGTGGTCTTCGAAGCGAGCGTTCTTCTTGGTTACGCCATCCCGTCTTTCCCGAGCGAAGGGTTGGCCGTGGTTGTGGACAGGATTTGAGCAAAGGGCATCGTGTTACTGAGTTTGGGAAATCGGATTTTCCTATTTCGGAGTGTAGAGTTACCGATTTGGCTTGAGAAACTGAGTCAGCCTGATACAGAGGATCAGTCGGCAGTGATACATATAGAGTTGACATGATTGAACACTCGTAACAGAACCAAGCCTTCTCTCTCTGCGACCTCGTGTCATCGTTACGGGAAATGCTACAGAAGCGCTATGCGCGTTTGAGATAGTGGCCTAAGACCGGCACAGCTATCGAGGATTGAATCAAGAGTGTGAGCATAAGCGTGACTGTAAACTTCTACTGATGATCGAAAGCTTCAAATTCAAGTACTTCAGTCATAGCCGAGAGAATGAGAAGGAATGAGTCGACAGACAACAAGTATAATATTATACAATTACTGCGTATCAGCGGTGTGTCAAACACTGCATGATACTAATAATCCAAATACAAAATCCAAAAAGAAAACCATATACCTCTAGAAACCCCAATGTTGATGCCAGCAACTATTAGTACTATTCCTCCTTTTCAATCTAGCTCCTACTCTCCAAACGCCGATGCTATTCTGAAAGCGCTGAAATTGCTGAATTAGGCGGTGAAAGCAACTGCCTTGGGAGCGGCAGGCTTAGGGGCGGGAGCCGCAGGAGCAGGCGCCGGGGCCTTGGGAGCGGGCGCGGCGGGAGCAGCCGGCGCAGCGGGCTTCGGGGCGGGAGCCTTGGGAGCGGCGGGAGCAGCCGCGTTCGGAGCGGCTCCGGGCGCGGCGGCGATGGGAGCGGGGGCCCCCGCAGCCGGAGCAGGTGGGGCGACGGCGTCGGGTTCGGGCTTCTCGCCCTGGGGCTTCTTGCCCTTCTTGCCCTTCTTACCCTTCTTGCCCTTCTTTCCCTTCTTGCCCTTCTTCTTCTTCTTCTTGCCCTGAGCGTCGACCTCGCCGTCATCCTCCTCGTCTTCCTCGATCTCGAAGGCGTCCTCTTCCCATTCCTCGACTTCGTTCTCGGCCTCGGGCTGAGGAGCCGGAGTCAATGCCGTAGGGACTTGGCGGCCGGCAAGATCCGAGATCGCCATGTCACTGTATGTGTTAGTCAAGTGGAATCCAGAGAAGATGATGCTACTGCTTACGTGATAGTGGAGTCTTCATCCTTTGAGACGGAGACGGGAAGAGCGTTGATGCTGACCGCCAGGGCCGACAGGGCGATGATGGAGTTGAGGAACTTCATGTTGAAGATGGAAGAAAGTCGAAGTAGACTAGAGAAGAGATGAATAAGGCTGGAAGTTGTTGTTGAAGAGATGAGAGCTGGATGAGTAGATGAGTGAAGAGATGAGTGTGTGATGATGAGAAAAAAGAAACACCTTCATCGGGATATTGGCCACGTCTTTATACGGATTCATCTCACATAGAAACCTCCAACAGCCCACGCGATCTTTAGCCGTTTGCTGTCAACAAACATGCCTTCAACCGGCCGGTGACGTGAATGTAGGTCGTCTCAACTCGTCCACGAAAAGGCTCTCGGCAGTCCGCGATGGTACCGTAACTCAATCAGGGCGTGCAAACCGAGACCCGGGTGCTCCGTGTGGTGGTGGTTCGTGACTTACCGCGAACCCGACCCTGCCGTAATGATCACGAACCACATGGTCCCAGCTCCTCCGTGAGGCTCTTTCTGAGTTGGGAAACTCTTTTCGAAGTGACCCCAGCTTCAGCGTTTGGACCAAAGCGTGGCATCTCACCGGCCGCGAAGGTGATTGGCGCCGGGGCTGTGGGTTGTCTGCTCTGGATTTCACCTACACGGACATGTCCAGGGCGAAGAAAAAGCCGTTCGTCCAGTCTCACAAACCCGCCTGACATTGACAAGCCGGTTTTCTTTCAAAGTTGCGTGGGCCGGTTGCTCTCCCGAGAAGCTTTTTCTTCGTCGTTGGTCCGAAATTCGACGGTCACGTATGGCGAGTACGAACACAGCGCACTGTGAACCTTATGGTCTAGATCACGATGGGCCAGGATGAGTTGTAGGTGACGTCTTGCTTCCCAGTCGGCCTCTTTTGTTCCATGCAGCATTCTACGTCTTCTCTTGCATGCTGTTTGAGACGCGCACAGTCACTCGCAAGCCGCCTTAGTGGCCAGTACTCGTACAACTGCTCCGTCTGAATTCTCTCTTCGCCGTTCCTAGGCAGAGCGCACGATTTGCAAATATGAGAAACGATTGATTATCCTTCCGGATCGGATGTACCGCGCTGTCTAAGCCACATTGAATCGAATCAACCTTTTGCTCGTCGTGATGGTGAAGCCTAGGCCTCCAAACCTGAGCGTGAGTTTACCCTCATCACGACTCTGAACGGACAACTAGAGGATTGAATGTGCTCCGGCGAACAGAAGAAAGCTTCATCACAGAGAGGATTAATCGGCCGGAATAAGGTACGAAGGTTGTGAATGTTGAGTCAACTGCCCATGGTCTCTTCAGACACCTTCGTTGATAGGGGACTCCATCATGTTGACGACATACCTCCATGTCCGCACTTATCCCACCGGGAAGATCCAAAGATGGGCTAAAATAGCATCAATGACAGATGCAGTCAAACCAGCAGCTCACTGCATAATGGCACATCTGTCACGGAAACGTTGGCCAGTTCACCAGCATAATTCCCCAGCATCTTGATGATGGTGGGCGGTCCAAGTCACAGTGACAGCAAACCGCCCGTTGGAACGCCTGCTCGCCGAAGTCATTGAGTTCTGCTCGAGCCAACAACGCACGCTCACGGCCCGTTTCACAGCAATCACCCAAAAGAAACAACGACATCGTCCGCGCTCGGCTCCGCCGGGAAACGTCCAGCAGAGTCGGCAGGAAGCCGAAGAGCGGTTCGCATCCCCTATCATCAGGTCAGACGAACTTGACGTTGAGCAGCAAAATGGAGCCCTCCGTTTGCTCTGAGGCTAAAAGATAGTCGCTGTCAAAGTCGAGTCATTCCCGCATGACGCTATGTCGTTGTGAGATTTCGTCCCCGAAATGGCCCCCTGCTCCTCGGTTTTGTCAATATGCACGGTCCGGCCCGAGATCATGTTTAAGCCGCCTCACAACGTGGCCGTAAGCCTGGGGAGCATCGACAACCCTATGCAGGTACGATGCTTAAAGCAATCTCCCAAAGCCTCAGTCTTGATAAACCCAGAAAAAGGTCACGCGCCGGTTGGAAAACTTCTTATTTCATCTCGTCTGTTGAATTCTAGAAAAAAACGGCTCGCAGGCGTTTCCGCGCTGCGCGTCCTGCTTGGTGGAATCGGCCCGCTGCTCCTGCTCGTATATCGGATCGACCTGGGACTTGACAGATACAGTTGAAAGTAGGCTTTCAAAGTTGTCCTAGGTTTCGGTCCATGGAGGCAGCCGATCATATAACCTACCCAGCTGCGCTTTGCGTCCTTCGGCCTGCTCGCGTCGATGACGTCCCCGACTGAATACTCTTCTGCCAGCGCAACTGCTCCCCGATGCCATTATGCATCGCCGTTGCACTTTCAAATTCCGATGAGACTGGTATGCATTTGATGAATGGCATGTAGATAGCTCGAGCCTTCATCGTGGCTTGAGGCACCGACATCAAGGTGGTCGGCGCACCGGTAGCCCCGTTATCGGACAAGACTTTGTTTCTGACAAGCTTATTTGGTCAACTGCCGAACAATGCTCGGCGTTTGCCTAATCCGCAAACTTCTATGTAAGCTTTAATCTGAAGAGAAATGATTTCGGAGACTATTCAGTGCCTGAGCCCAGGGGCAATGGTCAAGTGAGGACTCATGGGAGTCTTTTTAGGTCCCTCGATCATGGACCAGTGCCACGACCATCATGGTTCATCATTGTGATTCCACCTCATCATATACTTCTCAATCTCCTTGGTACCACCAAACTTGCCAACTAGACCCTCATTACCTGCAATGCCCAGTTGCTTCTCATGTTCTACGATCTCCTTTGCCCAGTACCCATTATCAATCTCCCACGTCCCAAGATCCTCGAAACCAAGCCTCTTGTAGAGGCCATAACCTTCCGCCGAAGCCACCAAGAAAGTCGGGACCCTCTCAGCGTCGCTGATGTCGACAACGCTCCGCAAAAGCTTGGCCCCGATACCCTTTCGCTGATGTTCCGGATCGACCATGATATGCTTAATATCTAAGGATTAAATCATCAGCAACTTTTTTTTTTCGGAAGCTCGCACCTCGGAGAGAGGGCAGTTCGTGATCAAGGCTCATCAAGGGTTCCCACAATTGTGTTTCCGCCCGCCCACAGCCTTCTCGTAGCACTCGTCCATCTCGTCCTCCCTCGGATGACCAAAGCGCTCCCATAGCTCCTTCATATGGCCCTTGATCGCGAACAGATTTTTCGCGGGAGGCGGAACTTGGACGGAACTTTCTTGCGCCTCCACTGGTGCTGTCGTAGAGTCTGGCTTTGTTTCATCCACGACGTGGTATCTGATGAAGCCGACGACGGCGTCCGATTCCGCGAGGACCGCGACCAGAAAGTGGTTCTTGGGGTCCTGCAGCACGGCGTGTGTATTGAGGGGTATGATTTCTTCCAGCTTACGTTCGAAGAAGGCTTCGTAAAAGTCGTCGAACTGGTTGAGGGCGGCGTGGTGGACTCGCCCGATGGCGCCGGCGTCTGCTTGCGTAGCGCTGCGAATGCGGATTTTTGAGGTTGAAGCCATGATTGGCGAATGAGTAGATCTCACTGCGTTGACCGTCAGCTTCTCAATTGACGATTTCATTTGTTGCGGGATGGGCACGTATTTATGTGCGAAATGCGTAAGATTCGGGAATTATTTTAAAGCCGGCTATTGGCTTCGGAGGGTCGGGGGATGCTAAGCTCGTGGCTAGTCCGTCCCCGGGCCGGCGAAGTGGGGGTCATCGGCTGACTCACCCGGCGTGCGCCGCTGGAAAATGCGGAACGTTCCCAAAAGGGCTGAAATTTGACGTCCCAGTATGGTCATCATAGCACCCCAAGCCAAGTGGGTGGCCATTGGTTGTTTGCAACTCAAAGTCTGTTGGAGAATTGATGATACAGGTAATTGATGATTATGGCAGCGAGAATTTTAATTAGATTCATGATCATCAGGATCTGAGAGTTGCAAGCAGTCCTCTGGGATACTGCACTTGGTAGACGACACCGAGTGTTATCGCATGAAGTGCCCTATGCCCAACTCATTCGGACTTTGACTGTATGAGCATGGTTGACGGGCGGATACTCCGCAGTCACTGTTTTTTCCAGCTGCTTTTCAGTATCGGTTAGGCATGCTGTTACTACATGATTTCACTGCTTTCTACCACTGGGTAGATATCAGAGCCGCAGCCCACGCAATAAATCAAATGGATAGGATAGAGTAGGCGGGAAACTGCGAGGAGGAAAAACTGTTGCGTTTGGATGGGTCCCATGGATAACCACAACCTTGGTGGCACACCACAGCTAACTCCGGTGAGCAGACGCGTCTCCTATCTAAGGCGAGTCGCGCAGATCAAAGTTCGCGATAATTCAGAGACTGACAGATGTAAATGGAATCTTCTACCTCCTCTGACTCTACCTTGAGTCTTCGCAACCTTGTGAAGCCATGATCTATCTCCGTTGATGTCAAATATCTGTACATAGAGAACCCCCCATTCCCGTCTTTGGATTCCTCTCTTCATGGAAAACTCATCACTCACCCCCTTATAAGTACCAACAAGATCAAGTTTTCCATAAGACAATTCATTATTCAAGATGGCAGTCAAAAATCTCTCAAACCCAGACTCAGCCTGGCAGAAGGCCATCGACCTCACAGCCTCAGTCGACACACGCCGATCGAAAGGCGAAGGATCAAAGAACATCCTCAAAAACTACCTCAGCCTGCAAGCGTTCATCACTCCAAAATCCGCCGTATCCATCTGCCGCCAGTCGCACGCCATGACCAAACGCGACCACCTCGAACTCATCGGCGAGGGCAGCACTGCCCGGATCTGGGACCTCGCCAGCCGCAGCCAGGTCGTCAAGCAGTCCAAGCCGGGCCGCACCTACAAGGACCTCGTGCGCGATTTCTGTTCTCACGCCGGCGTCTACGAGGACTTCGACCAGCTTAAGGCGGCAGTGTGCGTCCCGCGGCCGGTCGAGATCATGGACGCCAAGATCGTCGGGGACTGGTGCGCCCATCGCCTCAAGAGGCGCGAGATCCCCGACGACGCCGCGCTCGTGCAGGCCGGGACGGGTCTCATGGTCACCGAGAGGATCCTCCCCGTGCCCAGGGAGATCCGCGCCGCGCTGATCATGATGTTCTGTCCGCAGCCCCAACGTCTCGCGGCGCTCATGGACCCTAAGAACAACAACTGCCTCATCCGCCTCTACCTCGGCCGCTACGACGAGACCCCGCGTACCAACGACGACCGCGGCTTCAGCCTGCGGGACTTCGAGCTGACGCTCGACAAGATGGAGCAGCTCGGGATCGACCCCGTGCAGTTCGCGCACCCGATGGCCGAGGCGCTGGCCGTGATGCACTGGAAGTCGAGATGCGACGCCGCGGGGGTGGAGTTCGTCCTCGGCACGTCGCCCGACGTGCAGGCCAACAAGATGTGGATGAACACGCCCGGCGAATCGACGCAGCGCCGCGTGGCCGGCGGGAACCCCCCGGGCCTGCACTGGGCGGTTCGGGTGTGGGCGTTGGATTTCGACAAGGTCAGAGACGTCAGGCCCACGGAAAGGGGCGTGGATAAGGCCGCCAGGGCGTATCTGGACAACAAGCCGTTCTTCCCCGAGCCCGTGGCCGTGCCGCGCGAGATGGGATGCAAGAGGTACCATCTCTGGCAGTGTTTTAAGAACACGTATCGACGGACTAGTGCGATGTTGTTGGGGGAGAGGTTTTGGCTGGCAGGGATGTTTTTACAACATATCAAATAGTTATGAATGTTTGAATATCGCCCATGTCAACAGTGTTAGACATGAGAGACATTTTCTTCTCAGCATACGTAATTTGTCAGTCATCCTCTGAGTAGGACCTGCCTTGTCATGATCAGAAAAGCTCAGCTTTCTTCTGCAGAATGTGCTGCAACAAGCGAGCCTCTTTCCATCAAACATCTCTTCCTCCACCAAGACTCAAGAAACTCTCAAACGATGAAGACACTGGAGGTTTCATATACTTGAATGATGAATTTAAGATCCTATTATAATAAGAGAATAGTGATCTAAAAGAAATTAAAATCATGACAAAACCTTTTCTCTTCCATCATGACGATGTACTTGCGTCAAATATTGATGAGAGTATACTGCTTTTTCTTTCTTCACGACACTAGAAAACCGCAACATATACTCAAACTCCTAGGGTCTGTCTTAAGTTTGTTGTCATCGTACTGCTTCTCGCCCTTGGCATCGTCTTTGAGGCAAAACGCGTCCGCGCCGGCAGGCTACTAAGTTTAGGCATCTGTTCATAATGGTACAATGCTATCAAGGTATTAAATTTTACCATTATTTCGAACCTAGCTTTGGCCAGTCTAGAAACCACCCTTTCCAGTCCATATACCCCCTACTGCTTTCCACTGATCACCACTCCAAGACTTCAGAATCCTCGGGTATCACCGCGAGCACACAACTCCGGGCCACCTGCTGACTCGATCTATTGATCGCGTGTTCATTCTCGACCCGCTCGAGGTTCAAGGAAAGGGAGAAGACTTTAAAATCACCACACCTTGGAGAGCAAAGGTTCACTTGAAACGTAAAAACGTAGCCTCTGAGGACTGAATATGGCAAAGACAGGAATCGAGTTAAAATAATGGGCTGCTCCATGGTATTGCGGCAATATGTGGCTGCATCTGGAAAGTATATATCAGCATGTATAGCTTTCTGGAGGAAGCAGTTACCTAATCAGATACCAGGTAAGCATAGTGTTGCGCATCAAATTGCTGTCATTAGTCCCCAAGGAGCAACCCCTTTGGCCGTCCAGTGCCTAGTCACTGACTGCTTCGTACAGGCGACACGAAGTTGCCAGCGATGAAAAACGGTCGGTAGGAGGCATTCAGCCTGAACTCTTCGCACCCAGCAACAAATCAATGTCGCAGGATGAGCTAACCGCATCCCGAACGCCGCCAGAGACTGGTGATTGGCCAGGGTGGCTCAAGTCGGCAAGTGCCCCTGCAGGACCTGATGAAGCTGCCGCCGTGGCGCCGATGCAGCCGAAGTGGATGTAACGTTGGTCGGCAGTGGGGTCCGAAGCCGTTGATGGGAGATCCCGGAACCGATAGCTTTCAACCGGCGCGCCGATTGCCAGCGGGCGGGAGAGAAATGCATTAGAATCGCATTGACGAGTCGATGGACAAACACGATTGGAGCGCAAAAGCGGCTCGACCTGACGGCGTTTGAGCCTAGAAGTCTGATTTATGGGTGCCTGATCTTCAGTTTCGCCCCACGCCATGTGAAAGGAGGGATGACAAGACGCTTGACAAGACCGGATCCTGGGACGAATGCCAAGTGCCGAGCGGGTAGACTCTTGGAGTCCTGCATTGTTGGACCGTGTTTGGTCGGCTTTTGGCGCGCGCGGCGGCGGTTCATCAGTTCGCTTGTGGCCTGGTTTCTGGAGAGAATCCGGGGATCCATGGTATCGGAAACGAGCACAGGTGCCCCGATTTCCCCAGGATTGGCACGAAGTCAAGCATCGCCGGCGCCATGTCCGCTGCTTCGACGGCGCGACGTGTCATCGGATGGAAGCAGTGTGAGCAGCAACCGGCAGTCTGGTCAGGCGTGCCAATACGTGCCAGTCGCTTGTCTGCAGCGGTGATGCATGGTGTTGATCGGAAGATGTCGAGTTCGGATTTAGCCAGCATCCGAACCAACACGAGGAGAGAGACTTCGGCCGAGTGCCGCCTTGAAGTAGGAAGGAGCAACACTAACCGGAATCAACCGGAATAGCCATCGAACACTGCACTCGCAATGAAAGTATCTAGCAAACAAACTCGAGAAACCACGACGAAAATGACGCTGGCTGGAGTGAAATGGTGCAAGTTTACCGCTCCAGTCTCGTTTTCTCAGTGGCCTCCTTCCACACGAGCCCCGGCGCTCTTTCCGGGGAGCTACAGGTGGATTCTACGGGTGCGGGTCAGCAAACGCGCCTTTCCTCTTTGGGCCAAAGATGACGACGATCTTCTTTGAGCCCCAGAAAACTGCCCGAGGCACCCACTGCCGACCCGCTAATCGGTACGTACCGCGATGTTGGTGCCGTCACCAGAAAAGAGAACAATTTGATGGCAGGAGCGATACGATAATGGATGGGTGGTGACTTCCAGAGTTCGTCCGTGATTTTCGAGAATTGCTTAGATAAACACGGCTAAAACTTTTCTCAATTGATGCCTTCTCTCTCTCAAGATATGACTGGTACGGGTGAATAATAAGGTACTCACAAACATTCTTCGATGTCAAACAACTGCCCCCAATTTTCCCCAAGCGGTTCCCCTCTTCTCCTCTTCTTCCCCCAAGTAATCCCCTTCTTTTCCCCTCACTCCAACACTCGCAATCCCGTCGGCGGTTGTCCCCGTGTTCTGACCGGGACTGACCCTCTCTCCGGCCGGCCTCTCACCACTTCGACACAGTCAAACCAGCACTAACATGACTCCACACGTTAAATCCCCCGGACCGCACCCAAGACGACAAGACCATGTCCTTGGCCCTCGCCCGTACATGACGTCGTCACGCACCAGGACCGTCGACATTCTCGCCCTCTGATACGTGCGCTTATCAAAAGTCGATGATTAAGCCGTTCTGCCACCTTAGAATGGCTTCAGCCCGCACGCGACAAACCATGCTTTGCTCTGCTCTGCTCGCTCTCGCGCGACGGGCCACGCCTTTCCCGTCTCTTATTCTTGCATCCGCAGCAAAAGGCCCTGCCGCTGGATCCACTGTCCGCCCAACCTGCCTCTGCCGCGGTGAACGACTAACGACCTAACGGCCTCCCATTGGCGAGCAAGGGGCCGACGCGGACTGAGAAATATGGCACCTCCGGTTGTTACGTCTTTGGACCAATTCCTTTAACAGCCGCACTTCGGTGATATACGTCGGTCGACCGCGGCGTTGCGTTCTCTATAAAATCAGCCGACCTGCCGCGTCTCCTTGGTACTCTCTCTGCTCTCTCGTGGATCTAGGTCTCAGCATCGCAGCGTATCATTCTCGTCTGCTTCACCCCCAGTACACTCGCCCATCATGTATCGTATATGGAACATCTACGGTATGTACCCCGGCCTTGGCCTGACCCCATTCCCACGTTCTCGCATGCTGATCAGTCATCTCCAGCACTCGCCGCCTTTGGCACCATCGGCGGCATGCTCTTCGGCTTCGACATCAGCTCCATGAGTGCCTGGATCGGAGCCGATGCCTACATGGAGTTCTTCGGCCACCCGTCATCCACCCTGCAGGGTGGCATCACCGCCTCCATGTCCGGAGGCTCCCTCGTCGGCGCCCTCGTCGCCGGTTTCCTCGCTGATCTGTGGGGCCGCCGCGGCGCCCTGAAGCTCGCCTCCGTCATCTGGATTATCGGTGCCGTCCTTCAATGCTCGTCCCAGAACGTTGCCCATCTCATCGTCGGTCGTGTCGTCAGCGGTCTCGCCATCGGTATCACCAGTTCCCAGTGCTGCGTTTACCTTGCCGAGCTCGCCCCCTCCCGTATCCGGGGCCGCATCGTCGGTATCCAGCAGTGGTCCATCGAATGGGGTATCCTCATCATGTACCTCATCTCATACGGCTGCGTCGTCTCTATTCCCGACGACCCCAAGGCCTTCCGCATCGCCTGGGGCGTCCAGGGCATCCCCGGTCTCATCCTCGGTGTTGCTCTCTTCTTCTTCCCCGAGTCTCCTCGTTGGCTGGCCCAGAAGGACCGTTGGGAGGAGTGCCATGAGGTCCTTGCCCACCTGCACGGCGGTGGCGATCGGGATTCCCCCGTGGTACTCGCTGAGCTGGACGAGGTTAAGGAGGCTGCCCGCGTCGCTGCTGAGTCCAAGAACGTCAGCTTTTTGGGTCTATTCGGCCCCAAGATCTGGAAGCGCACCCTCGCCGGCTGCAGTGTCCAGGTCTGGCAACAACTCCTCGGAGGCAACGTCATGCTCTACTACCTTGTCTACATCTTCAACATGGCCGGCATGGTCAGTTTCAACACCCGCTTTCTAATGGTATCCGAACCACAGCTAACCCTTCACAGAGCGGAAACACCGCCCTCACCTCGTCCATCATTCAGTACGTCATCTTCCTCGTCACGACCGGCGCGATCCTCCCCATCATCGACCGCCTCGGCCGCCGCCCTCTCCTCATCGGAGGTGCCATCATCTGCTGCATCATCCACTTCACCACCGGCGCCGTCATGGCCGTGCACGGACACGCCGTCGACTCGGTGGACGGCAACGAGATCCTCAAGTGGTCCATCCAGGGCCCTCCCGCCAAGGCCGTCATCTCCCTCTGCTACATCTTCGTCGGCGTCTACGGCCTCACCTGGGCCCCCATCGGCTGGATCTACGCCTCCGAGGTCTTCCCCCTCAAATACCGCGCCACTGGTGTCGGCCTGGCCGCCGCATCCAACTGGGCCTTCAACCTCGCCCTCGCCTTCTTCGTGCCGCCCGCCTTCACCAACATCCAGTGGAAGACATATATGATCTTCGGCACCTTCTGCTTCGTCATGACCTTCCACATCTTCTTCACGTACCCCGAGACCTCCGGCAAGACACTCGAGGAGATTGACGAGCTCTTCGACTCCAACATCCCGGCCTGGCGCAGCCGCAGCGCCGGCATCCGCTTTGAGGATCGTGTCGCGGCCGCCGAGGATAAGAAGGATAACTTCAGGGAGGCAACCCACTCCGAGAAGGTTTAGAGAGAGATACCCCGTCATTTATCGAACAATGCACATGCGCAGACTTCAGCGAAAGTTAGACATTTAATACCACATGAATTTGAGTTACCTGACGTCCTCTTCTCGAATGCTTGAAGATTTGACGGCGACCGGACGAACACGTTCAACCGTCAATTCAAATGGCAGCGTGTTCCTCCCTTACCAACATTTGGCTAACATGACAATGCGTGGCCGACTCCAGTATGTACAACTTTCCAGAAGAGTTACAAATTCGATTTACACGAGTGTTCCTCCTTCTAATCCGCAGTGGCTGTCATCGTTGTGTAACCATCATGTGATCGCAGCCTCCGAATAAATGACGTCGACGTCTTGACGTCATTGGGCGAAGCGGACGCCGCCGCCTCCTTTGTACCCATGTATATCACCATCACAACACCCCTTTTAAACGGTTCATCCAAACAATCGTTACCTTCTTCCAGAACAACTACTCGTCTAAAGACACAGTCTTAGTTGAAATTCAATCTTTAAGAGAAATCCAAACCAAGACATCGGTAAAAATGGCCTCCCAGCAGAACACCAACACCACCAACAACCAACCCGGCCTCGTCGCTGGCCACGCCGAGTACATCAAGGGCGCCGCCGAGGTAACTTCATTTTCCTTCCTCTACCCTTCACTATCAACTTTTGACTCAGAAGAATGACTGACACGACCTCCCAAGGCCGCCATCGGCTCCGTCACGGGCTCGCAGGCGTGGACGGCGTCCGGGAAGCAGGACAAGGCGCACGCGACGTCGGCGATGAAGGCGGCGGGCGAGCAGCGGGACGCGGCGGCGCAGGGGTACGGCAAGGCGGAGGAGACGGCGGGGAGGGTGTTCGGGTGTGACGGGATGAAGAGCGAGGGGGCTGCTAGTTCGGGGAAGGAGGATGATGGGGAGATTCGTCAGGCGTGAGTGTTCTGGGAATATGATTGTGTGTTCTGAATTCAGTCTCTGTCTGAGGCATCTTTGGTGTGAGATTCCTGTATGTGCGTGTATGTGGCCAGGGTATATTGTGAGCATTGTTTCCTGAGATGTCTTCGGTTCACCTCCAGATCCTGAGCTGCGGCTGCTGTATACTTCAAGCTTGTTTTCCGGCTGCCGATGTCCTGTCCTTCCGGATGTCCAAGAACTCCTGCGATTCCCAATGAGACCTTGAAAAAGAAAGTTGAGATAGCGTGTACTTTTTGATTTTCTACATGGCGGAACGAAACCTTCAGAAACGCATCTCAAACGAGGTCTTGGAGGCCAGCAGGTGTTTTGCTCTGCTTATCCTCCGACGCGACGCCACATAAAAGTAGATGTTGATCGCAAGATGAAGGTAACAATCGGAACGAGTATTTACAGTCTAAATAGGTATATACGGTTGGAATAAGTATGTGCAATCAAGACGAATAGATACAATCGAAATAAAGTGCGTCAAGCAGTGCTGAACCCGCATAAGCACTGCAACCGCGCGACGATTCATCCTCTACCCTGCCGCCGTCTCTGCCCATCTCCTAGATGAGCTGAGCGAAGAGAAAATCCCGTCTTAGTAGACGACCGGCCAGCCGCTGCTGTAGCGGATGAGGTTGATACCCAGCTGCGCGGTGCCGGCGTCGTTGTAGTAGTGGTACACCAACACATCGGCATCGTTGTCGGTGAAGACGGCGTTGTGCCCGGGCCCGTGGACGGAGCCGTGGCTGGACATGACGCGCGTGCCGCCGCCCTGCATCATCTGCTTGCCGCTCTTGTCGACGTACGGCCCCGTGACGCTCGTCGAGCGGCCGACCATGATGCGGTACGTGCTGTCGGCGCCCTTGCAGCAGCGGTCGAACGAGACCCAGAGGTAGTAGTAGTTGCCGCTGCGGGTGATGAAGGGCGCCTCGACGGCGTTCTCGGCGTTGTCCGGGCGGGTGGCGATGGAGATGATGTTGGTGTTCTTGGGCTTGCCCGTGTTGGGGGCCAGCTCGACCATCTTGATGCCGGAGAAGAAGGAGCCGAAGGACATCCACCAGCGGCCGTCGGCGTCGACGATGAGGTTCGGGTCGATGGCGTTGTAGCCGCTGCTCTCGGTGGACTCGATGACGAGGCCCTGGTTGGTCCAGGAGCCGGAGGCGCCGGTGGTGGAGGTCGCGAGGAAGATGGCGGAGCGGCTGGAGCCGAAGCTCGAGGCGGAGTAGTAGAGGAAGTACTTGCCGTCGTGGTAGGACAGGTCGGGCGCCCAGAGGTTCTTGAGGCCGCCCGTGTACTTTGTCGTCCACGGCGCGCCGTTGGGGAAGGCGGAGCCGGCGTCCTTCCAGGTGGTGCGGTCGGTGGACGTCTTCAGACCGACGTTGTCGGCCGTGAAGGCCGCCAGGTAGGTGCCGCCCGGGGTCTTGGTGATGGTCGGGTCGTGGATGAAGGTGTCGCCGGAGACGGGGCCCGGGGCGACGTTCTGTCTCGGCTCGAGGGTCAGGACCGAGCCGGCGGCGACGGTCAGTAGGCCGGCTACTGCGGCGAGTTGGCGCGAGAAGAACATTGTGTGAAGATCTTCGGGGTTGTGGATGGTGGTGAAGATCCTTGGCAGGGGGTAGGAGAGGTCGCGGTGCAGATCAACAATCGCTCCACGGAATCGCGGGTTATCACACTTTTATACGGCTGCTTTCAGTCTGTCCCTTTTCTCTCCCTTATTTCGCGAGGTTACGCTCGTTTCTGACCCATAGCAGGCGGACAGTCAGTCGAACAACTGAACCTACCTGCAATTACGGACTCAGGACCCTCGTTTCAGCCATCGCAAGACTGGCGCGGCGGGTACCATGCGGGTTCTGGGTTCGGAAAACGCTCCGAATGGGTCCAGGAACACAGTTAACCTCGCAAGGCTCCCAGATCTCACAAACGACTGGTGGGACAACTCTGGGAGGCCGGCCGGTGATAGGCGCGGTAGCAACAGCGTCGCCTGCTCGCCGAGACACCCTGCATCAGGAGCCAGGGTTATGGGCACGCAGGCCTAGCCGTATTCGTGAGACTTGGTGATTTCCGCTCCGGATTTAAATACTCCATGTTGCCAAGGAAGACCCGCTGGCCGCACCTGCCGGACGGGAATTCGGGAAAAGGAAAGGAGACCAAGCTGAGGACGCATCAGTCCCGGGCAGTAGGTGATTCACTAGTGAGTGCCGACATGATGCTATTTCGTGAACTTCGGAGCTTGCTCTCTACTGACTTAAAGATGGCAAGGTTTCTTGAGAATAACTGCCTCGATATGTGACCAGATATCAGATTGGAGACCGCATCGGCAAGCTCGGGAAGGCCTGAGAAAGCACGTTGAAACTACCTTATTTACCTTAAAACCGCAGGGCGCATTCAATCCACCGTTCACCTCGGAACACCAGATAAACCTCATCGCAACGAATTCTCACGTTTGTCTCTCCTAGAGTGCCCAGGTCTCGGCCTTAATCTAGATGGGGCGTTCACGTGGCCAGGATCGTAATAAGCGTGCAGGAAGGTGACCGAGAATCCAGCGCGGCTCCACTGAACAGGAGTAAGAATCCACCGCCAGGGGGTAACACTCCGCGGCGAACCCCTGTCCAAGACCAGACCGATCTGGGAATCAGTGCCGGGAATCCATGCTAGGGTTATTCTGGCTCAAGTCATCAGGAGTCCAGGACAAATCTTCAATGCAACATTAATATCACGACGGGGACGGTTGTGATCAGACGGAAGATTTCCACCAGTGAGTTTCCTACACGCAGGAGGCATCCGATGGGGCTGTGGATATCAACTTGGTTTGGAAGAGCCACATGGGAAGAATGTTCTTGGAATGATTGGAGACGCTGAGAAGGAACGCATATCCCCAGAGTAGATGCAAGAGGACGCTGTGCAAGGTCATGATGTTTTCTCAAATGTGTACTCGTTGGGTATGGCGAGATATCTATGACCAGATTATAATGGTGGCTGCATTGTATTGCGCGGCGTATTGCATTTGATGATGTTTTCTCAACTACCAGGCTACTGATTACAGATTTTGGATGCCTTTGTAGTATCAGAGTTGATTCATCTAGTGCAACCTATTGTATTCTGTGCTGCGCGGCAAAATGCAACTGTGATTCCTAGGTAACGTCTCTCCAGAAATCCATTTCCCAATCCTCGAAAGCCATTGAGCCAAAGAGATATCCTAAGTGCCTCGTTGCACATTCCAGTAAAAGTCGGAGAGCTTCTTCTTCTCCTCGCTCTCCATGACCCGCAAAAAGTAGTATGCTTCCTGTCTGCCAATTGCCTTGATGAGGGACCATATGACGCATCTACTCATTCTCATGATGCCCAAACTCAGTATACCAAATTCTCCAAATTTTAGTACGATGGCGCCGTGTTCCAAATTCATGTGCCGCGCCCCAGCGGCACCGTGGCGACCTGATCATTGCCATTCTTTCTCCCCGTCAGACATCGAAGAGAAATTGCGACAGCTTCGCGTCCTTGCTCACAGCATCTCGGATAGCAAAGGCGGCAGAATGACACAAGGGATAGTTCGCAATGGCTTCTCTCCCCTTCTTCGTGTCGCACTGCCTGGTAATCTGCTCCAGAATAGGCTCAACCATGCCGGCACCCCTGAGACCGTGACAACCGAAATCGCGCGAGAAGCGAATGAGGTTCCAGTCGGTGGCGAGCTGGCTAAACGTCTCCATGATCCGGGAACACAGCATGAAGACGCGGAAGAAGTCGACTCGTGCGATGGGCAGAGCGCCCTGGAACTCCGTCACAATTAAAGACTTGGCTCTCTCGATAAAGGCCGTGGGAGATTCTTCCGACTTTCTCTTTCTGAGCTTCTCCTTCTCCTTGGGGGTCAAGGGTGTTCTGCATGTCTCCCCGAATACCATGGCCATGAAGTCGAAGCCAATGATGTGCTCGTTGACGTGCTGGAAACCAAATACCGATTCGATAAACTTGAGGTTGCATACTGGGACGCAAGCGACGTCGAATCCAGAGTCTAGCGTGTCGGGGTGATAGAAGGCGCTCTTGGAGATCTCCTTGACAGTTTGAAAGCCACGGACCGATCTGCGGAAGTGAGATGCAAAGTTGTCATCGGGTCGGTTGCCGAGAAAGGCTGTGGGTTTGAATAGTTCGCAAAGCTCTTCCATGAGAGGGATTTCAGAGAGGCCAAAAGAGGACTTGCGCAGAGCATTGTATAGATGTAGAGTCGATGGGACAATTGGGACTTTTGCGCAGATTGCCTGGCCTATAATCGAGGCCTTGTAGAGGATTTCTGTCATATGACTTCCTGCGGTCCAAGGGGCTCGATGGTAGAAGTCGAATCTGTTCTCGCAGAGGTATGCGCCCAAGAAGTCGTGAAACTCTTGATGGGAATCGGCCCATTCCGAAAAGCCCCCGGCGACTTGGCTCATCATTCGCAGCTGCTTGATGGTTGGTCGGACGCTGTCTTGGACTTGCTTTGCCAGACGAAGGGACTGGAGACGGCAATTCTGGTTGTTGTGTATGCCATTTGGCCAAAGAAAGGCCTCGTAGCTAGAAAGAAAGAGGTCAAGACCAAATGTCAAGTCCACCGAGTGATGGGAGTCTGTCGTCTTGACCGCGTCCAATGCAAGAGCTAAAATGGGCTCGCAGGGCTCACCGCGCATCATTGGGAACTTCATATTCTCCAAACCTGCAATTGCGCGATTCTTTTCGCCGTCTTTGTTGATGTTCTTGAAGATCTCCATGACAGCCCAGATCTCGGGCTGTTCCTCCTCGTCGTCGATATCAGGAAGACGGGTGGGAAGCTCTCTCAGAGGAAGCAACTCTTCTTGGGTATCCATCCCCATCACAAAGATTTGGGAAAAGCTAAAGCCTGCAATTGAAGGGTTATGGAGCCAAGCGGCGAGGTTTTGTTGGTCATTTATAGCGTGAGCCAAGATGCAGAATCGAACGGCGCCTGAGAGGTCTGAAATCTGGAAAGCGGAGGCTAGCTTAGGACGCTTGGCGAAGAATTTGTGAGTGCGCCGGCACTGGCACTCAAAGACGTTGCTGGAAACCGGGAAATGCTTCAAGCTCATCCGCTTGCAGTGCCAGAAGACAAGACTGGTGAGCCACGACGCCACTGGTATAGGAATCAATCCCTGTGCTGCTTCGGTCCAGTACTTTTTGAGGAGGGCTTTCATATCTTCAATTGCCTAGAAACAACGTCAACCACGTTATAGTCTGTATGGTAAATTGGATTCATCCTTACCTTGAGAAGAAATGCAGTCTCGACTCGTTCCTGAAGCTCGTCGTCCTCAAGCCCATTGTAGTGTTTTCTCTTTGTGGACACAGATTGAGTTTGTGTGTTTGCTGACTCCTGGCTCACGGGCTCTGCCTGGGCCAAGGTTTCCACACTGTCATCATCTTCCACGTCCTCAACAGTGACCAGAGAGGCAAAGAAGTTTGCAGTCCTTTTCTTTTCATGGATGGGCTGCTTCGCATTGTGATTCTTGGACTCAGCCATCAACGGAGTCAAGATGTGCAGGGTCTGGGATAGTCTAGTTTGAAAGGTCAGAATCTAGTATGAGAGCAATTTCGATAGAAATACACTTGCCTGTGGATGAAGATTCTGTGCTTAGCGTCATCAGCGCCAAGCTCTCGGTAGAAAGTCACAGCCTCCTGTCGCTTTGCAATGGCGTTTCGTAGCAAGCTAATAATGTAGGCTGGTACGGTCTGCTCTGTCTTCTGGAAAGCTTCTGAGAGAGTTTCAGCAGCTGCTAGAATGCCCTTCGTAGTCCTGGTGATGCTGGCTGGCTTCGGGTTCAGGCTCTCGTGTTGGCACCAAAGCCAGTCCAGGAAGCCATTCGTGGAAACCTTGTACGACCAGTAGGTCTCCGCAAAGGCGTCGATCTCTTCAGAAGCCATGGTGATTGTGGGTGGAAGTAGGGAGTGGAATCATGTGAAAAGAATCACAAGGACGTGAGAGGCCGTCAGTGCAAAAAAGCTCAGCGGCTGGGTGCGCGCAAGGAGAAGAGAAGAGTGGCAATCACAGATGGGACGGGCTGCAATGGTAAAGATGTGAAGTATGGCGATTTTTGAGGATGGAGGTTGTGTAGGAGGAAAGGTTTTCAGTGGGATCTGAACAATGTGCGACAAAAGGTGAGGTGGAATCTTTGCCAGTCTGCTCAAAGGGGAAGGAAGGAGTGAGGACGCAACTGCCTCGGTGGGACTTTTTCAAAATCAGCAGCCCATGATCTTCATAAGAGAAGTACAAAAATGCAAGATCTTTTTGTCTTATTCAAAAAGGTCCCGTGGCATGAGGATAATCTATCAAAAAGACTACTCCCCTAAAGCATGCCTAGGCAGATAGTATTATCGATTGCGCCACTCTGATATCTTAGTACATGGTTCCCAGACTTTGAAAGAACCATACCAAGCCAACGCAGATTACTACATCTTCCACTTCATCTGATCAAGAGACAACTTCTTGTCAAGCTTCGAAAAAGCCCGCGCCGGAATACAATCTTTGCCAGCCGTGCTCACTAACCCACGATAATTCTTGTCCGCGCACAACTTCATGATGATCTCGATACTGTCATCAACAAACTTACTCGAAAGAAATAAATCACTCTTGAAAGCTGTCATATCGAAATCGGGCTCCTCCTTCTCCATGTCGGGCTTTCTCAATCTGACCAGCTCACACATGACCTCTGCGCAGAGGTTGAAGATGGCAAAGTAGTCGACTGCCATCACAGGGCGTGGACCCCTGAATTCCTTGACAATCTCCTCCTTGGCCCTCTTCGTGTGCTCGGCGCAAGGAGTGGAATAGTAGAGGCAGTCAAGTCGCCTACGGACTTCTGGCTTGATGTCGCCCCTGGGAGGAATCGTAATGCCGTGCATGCGTGCTATCAATCGTCCGATAGGACCATGATTGCGGATATGACTCTCCTTGAAGTCTGATTCGACCCACAGCAGCCGCGGGCCCTGCTTCGGGTCCAGCTCCAGTCGTGATATGAGCTTCCCGTCATGTTGGACGCCCTTGTCTTTGGATATCTTGCACCCGTGGACTGCGCGGCGAAAGTGAGACAGAAAGTTGGCGTCGGGTAGACGTCCGAGGAACATGCTGTCGAGGAACATCTCGCAGAGCTCATCCATGACCGGAATTCTGTGCATCTTGACCCGACTCTGGACCAGAGTATTGTAGAGATGGAGGGTACCAGGGACCACGGAATTGTGCAGGATCAGCAAATTTCCGTACAGCTTGGCCTGATAAAGCATCTCCGTCATGTGGCATCCAGCTGTCCAAGGCATCATGTGATAGAGATCGAAACGTTTCTCGCGGGTGTAAGCGTTCATTTCATCGTAGAAGGAACGGGCCCCCTCAAGCCATGGGACTTTTCCATCCGGGTTGACTGGGAGATCGCGGAATCTGTCGATGACGGGCGCAACACTGGCCTTCATCTGCTGAGCCAGCCGCAGTGCCTCTAGACGACAGTTGGTCGTGTTCAATGCGCCGTTGTCGGGCCAGAAAAATGCCTCAGATGTGGACAACAGAATTCTCAACCCGATAACGAGGGTACTGGGCGGCTTAGGATGACCATCTTTCAGAAACTCGCAGGCCTCGGCGAAGAAAGGCTCACAAGAGCCCTTGCGAGGCCTCAGGTACGACGTGATCTGCTCGACGCCCGTGATAGCGCGCGTCCCACTCATGTCTTTCTTCAAGCTGGCAAAGATCTCGCGGATGACATAGCAGGAGACAAAGCCGATTGACCACTTCTCCTGTGGCGGGAGCTTCGGCTTGCCGTTTTTGTCCATTGTCTCGTTGCCACTCTTGCCCCCGAATTTTGTCGACGATTCGTAAATTCTAGCCAGTACATCGAATCTTGCAGAGTCGATGCCTTCTTCCATGATCGTTTTCATGGCATGATGGTGATGGAAGAGGACGTCGGCGTCTTGGAACATAGGGTTCTCGAGAAAGGAGTCCCGACCTTTGCCGTAAAGCTTCCCAGAAAGACTGCCGCCAACGAGTATGTTGATCGTCTCGTCAAGGTCCGAGGGAATGGTCGCTTGGATCTTGTGGAAAGCATCACTGGTGAGCCACGCTGCCACGGGGATTGGGAGATCCCCTTTGGCCGCATCCTTCCAGCATTGTTGGAGCTCTTGATGCATATCGTGAAGTTCCTGAGCTTTCAGTGAGTTTGAGAGGCGAATATGAACATCGCGGTGGGGTATTACCAGAATGAAGTCCGCGCCTTCGCAGAGCGCAGTGATCTTGTCGTCTTCCAGGTAGGTGTTGCGTCCCCTGACAATCGAGCCATCGGGAATGGCCTCCTTCTTTGAAGAGCTCTTTGGTGCTGAGGCATTGGTCGAGACAGCTTCGGGCTCTGTGTCTTCATCGAGGATGGATATCGACGAGTAGGGGTTCGGTGCGATGAAGGTCGTCTCGGGAGTGATGCCTGGCTTGAGGGAATCCGATGCTCCCATCATGGGGATCAGAATCTGCAGCGACATCTCGAGCCTGTTGAGGGGTCAGCACAGGAGCAATCGCAAGCAATACCTGATTATCTGACCTTTGGAGGAAAATCTCATGCTCGACGTCATCGGTGCTGCGCGACTGGTAGATTGCAAGAGCAACACGTCTTTTGAGGATGGCCTGTTGAAGAGAGGCGATGACTGAGGGCGGCGCGGCAATTTTGGCCTTCCTGAGAATCTTCACTGCGACGAGGATCTCGGCGCCCGACTTGAAGGTATGGCTGCTCGTGTGTCCAGGCGCGACGAGTCGATAATGGCACCACAACCATTCCAAGAAGTAGTTGGTCGCGGCCTTGTACGACTGGTAGGCCGTCTTGATGGAGTCGTCAAGCTCCTCAGGTGAAGCCATCGTCGATGCCGCGGATGGTGTGATCCCAGGTTGTGATTGAGCAAGTGAGGCGGAAGAAATGGGAGGGGAGAAGTGAGATAGGTAAGATGAGACGGGGAGGGGAGAGATCTCGACTTTAGCTAAGCTAATGTGGTGAACTTTTGTTTGTGAAGTGAAAATTGGCCATGTCTTGCAAGGCAGGAGCTCGGGTAGCTGCTTCTGCCATTTTCCGCCTCAGGCTCATTATCAAACGGACAAACCCACATCAATTGGATTGCAAACAAAGAGATTGTCCTTCTGCCATGTTATGAGAAAGGACAAACAGCATAAATGATTTCATATGGATGCAAATCCCGCCCTTCAAGAGCTTGCTTATTTACAAAGATCAAAGGTCGCTTTGATACGGCCAGGCAAGCGGGGAAATTGCGAGGTCTAGTAAAGGTTCAGTCCTTTTGCTATCAATCAATCTTACTTTATCTTCAATCCATAGAGTCCTTCCTCAGTCTCCTAAGTTCGAAAGTCGTCTTCCCAATGTTCGTCAACGCAAATCCTCAACGCCCCCAGGCCTAGCATGTCATAGGAGCCAGCAAGCCCCATTCAAGCACGGCATCCACTGTTCTGCTTCCTGCGAATCTCCTCATCTAGTTGAGCCTTGATATCCTGGCGGCGATTAATCTCGGCATCGAGGCGGTCCTTCATTTGCTGCCTGTTGCGGATCTCGCTGTCGAGACGGCTCTTGTCGCCGTAGTCACAATCGTTGTTGCCAGATCGGCTTCCAGCGACATCCCGAATCTCGATGGAGGATTCAGTATCGACGTCGACGGCGCGATCCTTGAGAGGTGTCGCGATGACAGTTGAGAGGAGTGCGGCGACGAGAATGGTCTTGAAGGAATGCATGTTGATTGTTTGTGTAGGATTCTTCGGATAGTAGGTTTAGTTGACTCGGTGGGATTGATACGAGAAACTTGAGTCGGGGTTTGTGATGAGTTTTGTAGAAACCGAGATGTTTGACTGATGGGTGAGGTGCAAAGAAGGATGTGCTTGAGGAGATATTTCCATCTCTTTAAATAATCGATGAGGTTGAGTCCAGACCTCACGCCAAGACCACAACATCGCAACCTCCACGATTTAGTCTTTCGATCTCGCAAACATCGTTGCCGCTACTATGCATAGCCAGCTAGGCCGGGGGACAGTCTTCGGCTTGGTGGGCGGCGTTCTCCTCCTCCATCTCGGCCGCGTCCTCATCGCCGGCACCTGGATCTCTCCGCCGGCTGCGAACAAACTTGCGATAGCGACAACGAAAGTTTCCATGTCCGCCTCGCCATTTGCTCGTTGGGCGTCGGGACGCTCGGTCACGGCGACCCCTCCGCTCGGGCTTGGTTGTCGTTCACAACGTCCATCTGCCACTCAAAAGTTCGGATGAGGCTCTCTCCAATCCTCACCAGCGGAGGTCCGCGGGAGGGGTTAAGCTTTTACACTGCCAAAGACTCGGCCAGAATAAGGTAAGAGGGTGACGAATACCTCGGCGTTTCTCACGACTCAGGCACTATGCCGGTCGATAACCGTGCATGACTCCCGCCGAGTCGTCGGAAACGAAACTTGGCGAGACACGCACACCTCTGGCGGCTATGTGGGAGGGTAACAAGCAAAATGAGGCGGGAACTTCGGGCTCATGGACGAAACGGACAGCTCCTGCTCAGGGCGCAAAAGAGTACGCGGCAGACAATTCTAGAAACAGGCGCTATTCCTCCCATAGTCGATGTTCCCGACATTTGCATAGCCCCTGAGCTTAAGAATAACACTGCTCGTCTCGAGTCTGGTCCATTGGGTGCCGACGGCGGGCGTTAATTCGGCAATCGTAGCTTTCCATGCCACAAACCGATTCCAAGAGATACCTACCGGCGATTCCGACGGGCTGGTAGTGAGGGCGGGAAGCCGTCGATCATCGAGCCCGGTCCGCCTTGGGGCCCAACGTGCAGTCCTGTCTTGCGCGGCCGGCCACCCTAATCGAACCCCAGATTTGGCATTGCTCTCGTTATCACTGACGACGCGTTGTTCTTCCCGTTTCGTTAATTCTAAGCTTGTTTTTAAACAATTGGAATAGCGCGGCGCTCTTCAAACTAGCCGTCTCACTGCGTATGTTCCTTGAGCATTGCCGAGATGAATGAGTTCACACAACGACGATCTTCTCCGATGGTCACAATAGCAGACCTTCTCATCGGCGGCTCGATCATCCCCGCAAAGGGTCTTTCTGTCAGTCTCCCCAAAGTTCTGCCAGTTATGCACATTATGCCTTACGGTCATTTGACTCCCGCGGAGAGGAGCAGAGTTCCAGATTCCACGTACGCCCAAGCTATTTGACGAACATGCCCTCCCGGCACTCTCCATGTCATCGGAATAAGCTCAAGAGGCATCCCTGCCCCAATCTATTTGTCTTCGTTAGCCCGCAGCGTGGGCCTCGAAAATCTCCGTCGTTTCCATCTCCGCTCCGGCCACACTTTGTCTACGCCCGACTGAAGCGACTTTGACTTCGCCCATCCGGGGTCCGGGTCCGCACCATGCCAACTCAGAGCTTCCGATAGTGTGGTCGACCAATCAGCCGCTGAGGTAGACATAGCTCGCGCGGGAAGGATAGCCACTACCAGCTGGTCTAGTACAGTCTTCGGCTTGGATCGCTTTAATGGCGTGAAAGACTGTTCGTTAGCCAAAGGCTCCTCGTGCGATCAGCCGTTGAAGAGTAGTTCTTTAAATCTAGATGCTTCGTGGTGGCGAACACAAACTTCTTACCGAGCTTTTCCCGCTCTCCGTTGATAATTTTAGCATACTCAGAGGCATGCATGTTCAAAACTGGCGTGGTTCAAGCCAACTGAATGGAAAGACGACACTTGCTAAGTTACGAGCTCCATTGAAACTCTGAACTGTTGCGTCCGGTTGAGAATGGAAGGTGCTCGAAATGCGGCTCAGATCTAATGTATGGTGCAGTTGCTTCTCCGTCGTTTAGTTGTAGTAGAATCACCCGAGCCACTGTCAAAGTCTTCAGCATAGCATTCCTACCATTTAAATCTTAGGATTTTAATCTTAGCCTTCAAGCTACAACTAATTTCCTCAGACCGTTGCCCGAACCCTGACCGGCGTTCGGATCCGTCCCGGAACTCTGGCCGGCATCTGCATCATTGCCGTTGAGCGAGTTCCCTCCTTGCTCCCAGGGATACCTCAGATACGGGACCGATTCTTGCATCCGATCCAACTCGTCAAGCACTCCGTCTCGATACGGCAAAGTCGTGCTTTCGAAACTGGCCCTCAGCTCGCTGATCCGGCGGTTCATGAGGGCTCTAGCGTGTGCAGAGACCTGCTCGAAATAGTGAGAATCTACAAGCGGGCGCACATTGTTCGTTAGCAAACGGCAACGAGAAAGCTCGCCGACGGGAACACACTTACGGGCTTCTCTCCAAATATCGGCTAGTCTGTGAGGTGCTCAGATCAGTAACTTGTTCAAGTCTCGTGGCAATCAGCTCGCCGGGCGCGGAGCTTACCCTGCAGCCTCGGGGAACTCCCGTCCCACTTCGCCCAACGCGTTGGCGACGTTTTTCACAATGTCCTGCATGTGTGCCGCGATTGTTTGGTCCTGGAGATACTCAAAGACTCCAATGGTCTATCGGTTGAGATGTCAGTTCTTCTTCGCCTAAGACTGAACCAACTTGGGATTCATAGACGTGGCTTACCTGTCGTAATGGGGCGAAGAATGAATCCACGGCCGCCTGCTCACCCCCGACGGCCCTAGCCACGTACTTTTTGAAATTCGCGTCGGAAATGGGCTGCATATACCTCTCCAGGCGGTCTTTGATCGTGTGGATAGGGGCTTCCAAGAGGACGAGAGACTTCGGTTGGCTGGTGGACCCGAGGTGCCTGCTCACGTATTGCTCGGGCGACTGTCCGCCGAGCCCCGCGTTCTCGCTCTGCCATGCGTTCGTCCAGAAGGCGTTCGGTATTCCGAGCAGCGAAGTTTTCGGCCCTGTTGGGGATACGTGGCTGCTGGACATAGCGCGCGGTTCAAAATGCCTCCCCCAGTTCGCAACCATGGGAAACCGGGAGTGGAAAAAGTTGAGCTTTTAGAACCAGACGGTGGATGTCAGTCTATGCTGTGATATCATGTCTTTGGAGGGTGTGCTTGGGGGAATGACCTCACCGGGATAATGTGCTCTGTCTGGGATGCGGAGACGGCACCTTGAGAAGGTACCTGGACAGGCCGGACGGATGGATTACTGCATCTAGCGCCTCTTCTTTTCCAATATCTATCGGCAGATTGTTCGCCTTGGCGGATCATCGTGAGAAGCGTCCCGCTGGACGGGTAGGGCATCCGTCTGCCGTAAAGTTGGGCTCCGTTCGCAGTCAACCACGGGTACTGTTTCCTCTTGTCACCACCATTCGGCCCCAACTCCTGAAGCTTGTCCAAGCCCTCCAAGGCGGGATCGCAGCTGGATGGGTCCAAGTCGCATGTTGTGACCGAGCAAGTGAGCTTCGGTGGCCGAGGGTCTTTGACTTTACAGCAACGCAGACTCTCGTCTTTGACTGTATTTCACGACAATGCAACATGGTGAGCAAATATTTGCGGTGACGAACGTTTCTGAACTGGCACTCAAGCATAACACACCTCTGAAGTCCAAGACCTGCGCCCCCTGGGAGGAGAGCCTATCGTTGCCACTTGGGATTTCGACCTCGTCCGCATCGCATCTCCCTTTCACAGAGGGCGTCGGCGTTGGCGTTTGCCGCGGGGCAATTGCGGCGGGAGTAGTTCCTCTAGTCCTACAGTCGTATAGAGGTGAGTCCTTGGGGCAGCAGTAGCGTTCTGTGGCTTGTGTTAGCCATGGAGGTCTTGATGTTGTCACGCCAGACCTGGACTGCGTTTACTCACTGTAGGACTTCGGGCATTTGACCTGGGATAGCTCTTTCTCATTGCCGGCGTCGCATGTTCCACCACTTCAACACGGAACGGGTCAGTAACTTTGTCAAAGAGCCGTCATGAGCTTCACTCACCAGGATGTCAAACGACAACCAGAGAGAGTAGTCTTTCGAGTCGGCGCCTCACAGCACAGTACCTTAAGACCTATGATACACCTCTCTTCATCCCTTCCGGCCAAACTACTGCCGAATCCGCCCCTATTCGCGGTGAGTCATGTCAAAAGTCTGAAAGCTATGAAGAGCTGGATCGGCCACTCACCAGTCAGATCGAGCAATCATGACCTCGTTAGAACGGCATTGTCCATTACAGTTGGGCTCTGATCCTCGCCCTGAGAATGAATGGAGTCAGCTTCGCAGGACCAAATGGAAGTTGAATGCGGGGGTTAGAAGTAAGTCGAGCGAGAAAGACATGCTGCCACTTACAACTACATTTCTTGAGCGGCGAATCCTGTGGGCAACAAACTGGTTTACCTGTACCCGACTGCAAGTCATGACAAGTCATGTCAGCTTATTATAGCAACAAGGATTCAAAATCACAGAAGGGCCTGGTACTTACTGGACAGCCATCTCTGTCATTGCCAACCAAACGGTAATTGTTGGGACCGGATGGGCAGGCCAGACGTCCTTGACACGGCAGGGACGTGAAGACCTTGCATGACTTGCCGCTCTCCTCATTCAGCAACCCGGCAACATTGATTTCCGTAAAAGATAGAGAACGATCCGCGATACTGAGATCGGCGTGCGCCACTGACTTCCCTAGGAGCCCGCTGATGGCCGAGAATCGGTCATCGTCGGTATCCACGGCCCAGATCAGGGAGCCGCTGAAGCCAACCGAATTCGCCCACGCCAGCTTCACCTGGAACGTGTCCTTGTCGTCATACGAAACCCACTGGTTCTTGTCCCAGACAATATACTTGACGGCAGCTGCTGTGTCGTGTACGGGCTTGACTCCCGGTACCTGCTTGAGAATGGCCTGTATCTCGTAATGCATAAGAACACCACTCGTATCAGAACAGGGGCCAGGTCTCGCCCCTCCACGGAAAGGGCACCCGGGCTTAGTACATGATGGATCTGTCAGCTCGAAAGACCTGCCGTAGAAGCCGAAGCCGATGGCCACCTGGTCCGGCCTGACGCCCACACGCCATAGTAGCTCGGCAGCCAGCTTGATCTCGGTCAAATTCGTGTGAGCCTGAGCGATAGCGCCGATGGGGTTGTTGCGATCCCTCGTTTCTTGTCAGTATTCAAGACTTCTCCAAGGACAGCCAGCTCACCAGGTGCCATGCAGATCGTAGCTCATCAGGTTGGTCCAGTCTGCGTACTTGAGAAGCCCTGGCATATCGAACCATCTCAAGTACCAGTAGGAAGACGGTATAGTGAAGGTAATACCAAGGTATCGAGGAGATGCGTTAAATGTCTGACGGAGAGTCTTCATCAGCTTGGTGAAGTTCTCGGTGTCCTGAGGTTTCCCTCCGCGGTCGGGGGCGCCTGGATACTCCCAGTCGATATCAATGCTGCGAACGCATTAGAAACCCTCTCGAGCAGGACTTGTAGGCAAAGATATCTAGCTTGAAACTGAACGTACCCGTCAAAGCCGTGTCGGTCCAAGAAGCGCACGACGTTGTCAGAAAACTTCTGGCGGTTTGCCTCTGTAGATGAAATCTCTCCGAGAAGTGGCTGCGTAACGGTTCCGTTGTCGGAAAATGTCCATCCTCCAACCGCAATGTAGACTTTGAGGCTGGGGTTATGTTTCTTGACATTGGTTGTTAGCCTAAAAAGACTCTCGGGCGTCTTGTCGTCCATGGGGATAAGCTCGTAGGAGCCAGGGGATATAAAGGCGAATGCGTAGTTTAGGTGAGTAAGCTCGCTGAGCGGCATGTCACTTGGCTTCTTGTTGTTGCACTTAGATCGATAGCTCCACGACTCATAGTATCCGATGACTAGCAAAGATGCTTAGCGAATGTTCTGTCGCGCGCGAATCCTGGCAAGAAGTCTGGGTGTTGCACGCAGGACTTCGCACCGAAAGAAGGTCCAAATGCTTACCTCTTCTGAGAGCCTGGCCTTTGGCCGAGCCGCCTGGTGGCGCTGGGTTGACGACACAGTTGGACTGGCATTTTCCTGTACAGAAGTCCTGGGGAGAAGAATACACAGATCAGCGGCGATGTTATCGTCAAGCGTACTGGATGTATAATCGGCAAGGAACTCACCTTGGTTGTTCCGCAAAACCCAAACTCACTGCAGCATGTGTTCAAGGGGCACTTTTTACCAGCCGGTTTTGCATTCTGCCCGCATTCGGCGACGGCATTGCAGTTCGACACGCAGCCGCTGCCGCAGTAAGTCGCCCCGTATCCGCAGAAGCCACTCTTGCCGCAGCAGGCCCCGTTGGAACATGGTCGGCCAGGACCGCAGCTGTAATCCTGTCGGCGTACAAGCGGGGAAGAGATGTTGAGGAGAGAGATGGAGTCGGGATCATGGGGGACTTCTACTGAGTCGCGGCGATGGAAGGCCTTCAGCTTTTCGATATCGTGACCTGAACCTCTGGGTCCGGTGCAGATGCCGATGAGCAGGATACTGATGAGAGCCAACAGAAATACACAGGTGCGCACATCGTGCATTCGTGGTAAGAACATGATGGTCCTAATGCTGGAGGGAAATACTGAGACGATTGTGTGTTTGTAGGACGTGAGTAGGCTGCGTGATGAAGCTTGCAGAAGGATAACATGAGCATCTGCAACGGGCTATTTCTTTGCAACAAAACAAAGCCCTTACCATCTATTTGAACTTAGACTGAGCAGCAGTTGGGGAATGAAAGTAAGGTTATCAACCATCATGTTCTGAGCAGGCTGTAACTCATTCGTCGTGTGTTCTTCTGCGCCCCTAAGATGAACCTCATTGCAACTCAGAGACTTGTGTCTCGTATGAAACACATGATCACGACGTTTGAATTGGGTAATTCGGGGCTGCTCCAGGAGTGCCACACATTTCACGAAGGGAGCAATGGCATTTCAGCGGTATACAAAACTGTTGTAAGAATCTTTGCCTGACTCTACATGTAGGGGTGACGCACTGATGTAAAACAGAAGCCGTTCAATACGTATCAATACCTATTGTACACAGATATGGTGCCAGACCGATATCACTATTGTTACAGACCGGTCAGTCTCAATTTGAAGGCGAGGCTGGTGCCAGGCCCTTGCATTCAGATGTACTTGAACAGTGGCACCAGGCTTCGTGATAAAGACAGTGGGCTGGACCTGAGTCTAAGTCTGAGTCTGAGCCGTGTGCCTCGACATCCAGATCTGTTCTGTACTTAACATTTCCTATTACGGAAGATACGATATTCTACTCTAGATCAAGAAACAGTTGTCGTCCAATGAGAGCCGCGATAACATGACTCAAATGATTGGAATCACGTGTAGTCTCAGATGAGTACCTCATGTTTTTGTCCACAATGTCAGTAATACAAGACACGGCATCAAGAAATCTAGACGTCGTCGCTTCCCATCTGGTAAGATGTTAAGCATCTCAAGTCATGAGGGCCTCGAGTGGTGGGACTTGACGAGGCTAGACAAGTGTAAGACAAGTACATTATGTTCTTTGCAGGACATATCCAATACAACATTACCACAACATGGGCGAGAATTCTAGCCATCTCAGCAAAGAAATGGGCTTCAGCATGCTTGTGTTTCCTTGCATCACAACGAGGTAATGCTCTCCCTGAAAGTGTTCACAATGGGAAATAAACTGAGACGAGTCTTGGCCGACCTACGATCGTTAGCCAACGAGGTCCTTCCAAGAGCGTGATTTGTCTTGAACTTATCAGACTTGAACAAAACGGTGTGTGTGCTGGGTGAATCGTAACGTGGACATTCACTTTCGACCGTACTGACATACACGACAAGTGTCGCTGGGCTTTACATTCTAGACACACGTTTTGCCAACGACGGCAGTCATGATCACCAACTTAACCACGTGAGGCCGTTGGAATCGTTGTACTTTTACTGAAAATGGCAAGGTCGCCTCAGTGGCAATTCGGACAATCTGATTATCGAAACATGTCTCCTGCTTACCCACCCTCAGGTGTAAAAACATGGTCTTACCGTTTGGCCAAACGTATCAGGTGTCGTGTAAGCAAGGGAGTAACGTAGCGCAGAGGATTGTCCCTCTCTTCAGAATGAAATGGCGGCACGGAAAAGGTTATGGACTAGCTATGCGAGTTCTATATGGCGACACTTCAAGGACGATAGCTGTGCCAAGAAATGACAGATAGTCAGTTCCCTAAGAAACATGCCTGTGCTCTTATATATCTCGTCAGTCTCCAAGACGATAAACTTTACGCTGAAATATACTGACAAATTCGACAGTGAACTGGAGAGCCAGTGCACCCTTCAATTTTCGCAATGATCATGGTCGGCCTCAAATATCTTCTCCTAACGGCTGCTGCCTGCAGACACATTGCGGCTCAGCAATTCGAGGATACGCTCCTGGACATCAGCTATCCCGGTATTAGTGACAAATGCGTGAGCGCGTTGAACACTACCGTTGCCAAGTGTCCGGGATTTCTGATCACCGCGTCTCTCGACAATGGCCGATTGCAGCCTGAAGAACTTTCTGACCTTTGCACGACTGCTTGTCGCTCTGGTCTCAACAATGTTCGCCAGACCATTGCCACAGCATGCAATTCGGCGAAGGATGTCATGGAGTTCAGGGGTATGGTGTGGCCGGGTAAGAGCCGAGTCCTGCTGGTGTAGCCTTTTTGCTAATCTTGGAAAAACCCAGCAACCGTGTTGATTGATCGGTTCATTTACAAGTATAATGTCTCCTGCAGGACGGACTCGTAAGCAGCAAGCCAGCTATGCACCTTACATCCCTTATGCATCATATTAACGGCAATAATGGCTAGCTCCACGGGCAAGTTCTGTCATGAAATCTTTCTCTCTTGGCTACCCTCCGGCAACGCTTCTACGTCGAGCCAGAACTGCTCCGATTGCATGTTGGGCGTTTCTCAAAGTCAACTAAACTCCCCCTTTGGATACCAAGCCGACTTCGCGGCCAGCTTCCGCAACTTGACGAAGAGCTGCAGCGCAACCCGGTACACTTTTACGACACCTACACCTTACGCTATAAGCACCATCGCGCCACCTCCGACACCGGAACGTCCGACATGCGGTAGTCCATACGTCGTCAAGTCCAACGACACATGCGACTCAATCGCGGTAGCTAACGGTGTAGCCACGTGGTCCGTCCTACGAGCAGGTGGTCTCGACTGGCGGTGCAAGAACTTGGCCGCCGGCGATCTGCTATGTCTCCCTAAGCCTTGCAATCTCTACCGTGTACAGTATGACGACACCTGCGAAGCCATTGTCTCAAAGCGGTCTGGCTTGAACATGGCCAGCTTCATGTCCTGGAACCCGGTGATCAACTCCTTATGCACCAATATGGATGAGCTCGTCGGGCACATGCTCTGCGTGACTGCCCCTGGAGGGGTACCCGGCGACGAAAACATGACCGTGCCGCCGCCAACACCAACAGCAGATCCTGGGACTGCCGTGCCCAAGCCGACTAATGGAAAAGATGAGACGAAAGGGCCCTGTGCAAAGTGGTACACCATCCAGGACGGCGACAAGTGCGAGAGCGTGTCGGTGAGGGATGGCATCGCGCTGCGGGATTTCTATTTCCTGAACCCGTCTCTCGACAGTCAGTGTACGAACCTGTTGTTGGGTATAGCTTATTGCGTACAGGCTGTGGGCAACATTGCGACATATCCAGGATACCCGTACTCTTCAACCCAGTCGCAATACACGCTTGCCTCTCCGACATACTCTACTACGACCAGGACCACTGTTCCAAGTCAAGCACCGAGCTCGACGACTCGGCCAGTGTTACCACTGGCTTCCGGATCGTTGAGTGGTTGCGAACGAAACGTGGAGCATATCCCGGTTCCCAAGCGGGCCGACCAGGAAGTGCAGCCGGATGAGCCAGTGCTTACCGAAGATGTCAACAGTTGCATATATGTGTCCAGCTTGTATGATGTCTCAATAGACGACTTCCTTCAGTGGAACCCGAGTCTTAAGGCCATCAAGCCCTGCCAGTTGCAAGTCGGCTTCAGATATTGCGCAGTCAAGGTTGCGCCATCAGACACACGTAAGAGAATTGGCAAGAACACTACGCGATAGTCGAACCGATGCTAAACAGCACAAATTTAGCAACCCCCAAACCAAAGCGATGCTTGGATGATATATCTGCCCATCCGGGGACGATATCGACGTGTTCCTGTTTATCCGTGATCTTGGGATCCAACGCCAGAAGTAGGTCCCGAGCTTATTCTCACCCTAATCGGTTTACCAGCTCCGGGAGACGACACTGACGGTCAGTCTACAGCATGGACTTGTTTCGACATTGCTGAAGATGAGAGGATCACCCTCCAACAGCTGAAGGCGTGGAACCCCTGGGCGGGCGATGACTGCGACAAGGGGCTCTACACTAACCTCACGGGCAACAAGACTCGCGCAATTTGTGTGGGGATCAACGGTGCTAGCACATCCTCCGCATCACGAAAGCCATCTTCGATAACATCCAGAATCACATCCTCCTCATCTCGCACCTCCTCCACGTTGCGTGTTAGTACAACATTCTCTTCGTCACGGTCGTCGACGACTTCCACGCTGAGACCGATGTCGACAACATCTACTCGGACTTCGCAATCATCTTCTTCCGCTCCTATACAGACTGGAATCTCGAAAAGCTGCAACAAGTTTCACACGGCGGTTGAAGGAGACGGGTGCTGGGCAATCGCTAACCAGTACCACATCACTCTCGACCAGTTTTATGCTTGGAACCCTGCTGGTGAGTCATCCGCAAGAATGCACATTCAATGAGGCCTATCAGTCTATCATACGATGCTGACCTTCTCAAAGTCGGTACCAACTGTGAGAATCTGTGGAAGGGGTATGCATACTGCGTTGGGGTTAATTCGTCATAGGTAGTGAGAGATTGATGTTACGTGACTGGCCGTGGCATATCATCAAGTTGCTTAACAAGCGGAAACTACTTCTGAAGGGCCGCAGATGGGTATGATTTCCACGTTTCGTTGGGTTCTCCTGTTACATGTAGCATGATATCATGGTGAAACTTGCAAAATTCTTTTCGGCCCGTACTTGCCTTTTACACGGCTCAGATTTGATGTTCGGTATAGTCGCCGGGCTATGAAAACTGAAGTACAGGTCATCATACGTGGTCCGTATCACTTGGTTTACTTGTTTTCTACACATCTCTCAAGTAAACGTTCTACGTAAGATAAACGAGTCGTTTAAAGAGATCCAAGCGAAGGATCTAGTAGGCTACTTCTTTTTGAAGGTTCAGCCAAACACGAGTCCATACGTAAACTCATCAAAGAAGGCTCTCCCCTCCCAAGTCTGCTCACTGCCCTCAATACCACCTTTGACAGAGCCTGTTGCCCGCGTATACACCTCACGGTCATAAGTAACCCTCTCCTTCGTGACGTTGACCAAGAGCGTCTCGTTGCCAAGATCAAATCGAGAAACGACGCCCGCGACCGAGTTCAGTCCTCCTGTCGGCGGCCAAGTGACGTTTGTGCCCCAAGGCCGCGTGACGACCGCCCCCTCGTCGCAGCTGATGCTGACAATCTTTCCGTCCTTGGCAACATAGCTCCGATGATACTCCGTGTCGTTCCGGTCGAGGAGGTCATACCATACGACGGAATAGGGGCCAAATCTCGTGTGGCCCCAGTCCCAGAACTTGGGGCTCTGGAGGATCGTCTTGTCACCCCAGTTCTTGTCGTGGTACCCGATGCCCTCAAATACCACCTTCGTGCCGTTGATGTTCAAGTTGGCGACGACGTCGGCGTCGGGGACGGCGTTCGACCAGAAGAAGCGCGGTAGGTGAAGCTGCGTGACTCCGGGGACGTTGGGATCGCAGGGGTAGTGGGCCGGCGCGCGCTACGGAGGCTCGGATCAGCAATCTACTCTTCAGATTTTGGGTCATATGGGGTTTCAACTCACCGAGTTTAGCTTCAGAGTCCCGTATACTCCAAGCTCCGGCGAATCAAAGGTGATCTCGTATTCAACGTTGGGCTTCTCCAAGTTCGTCCCACGGAAGCTTGCCCCGGTGCCTTTCCATTGCCCTGAAATCCCTTCCGGCCCGTTGCTGATGACGGCGCCGTCCGGAGCCAAGACCTGATTGAAGAATCGGGTGCCATTTCCGAAAGTGCCCGAAATCTCGACTGCCAGCGGCTGCGGGTTTCCGATGTCGCCAGCGTTGTAGAACACAATGTTGAGAGCCGCGTCGTCTGAGTTGGACACCGCGTCAAACCACCAGTAGTCATAAGATGACGAATTGGCGGAGGTGCTCATCTTGAAGCCGTCGAGGTTGCCAGGCGTAGATAACTCTTCGATGGTAATGCTGCCATCATGCATGGCAGGGGGAAAGTATACGGTCTTCGCCCTGGCTTGAGCGAGGAGAAGCGAGACCGCAATCGCCGTCAACGATATCTTCATGTTGAGGATTTTATGTTGTATAGAGAACGTAGGTGAAGAATGAGTGACGGTTGACGTGCTGGATACGGACCTTGATTGAGAGAATTTACACCAGTTCTTATATCTTTTCCATTCTAGTCTCATCCCGTACTTGAAGCCATGTTGACATTCTTTCGTTAGCTCATTGCATCCCCACGATATTTCTTTACGAACACGCGTATTTCTAGGTCGTTGAGTGTTCTTGGATAATGTGGCTGAGATTTGTTTTGTTTACACTGGCGATCAGTCATTGTCATTCTACTAGCCTTATGGAACAAACAAATTCCTCCACACTACCGGCGGGACTAGATCTCGATATGTTTTCCGTGATCAAGCAGCGCGTCCGGACCCGCCGCCAGCAGAGTGAATTTCCGCGTGTTCGTATCAAGCCCCCTTCGGTCTCGCTTCGGTATCGGACCGCGTTTGTGCCTGTGCGGTCGCCGCGACTGTGTCGTTTGGAATCCCTCGAATTCACATTCGAATCTTTTTCCATTGTTTTCTTTTTTAATTTGGTTAAAGCTTTTGCTGCGATTTCACTAGATAAGCCGACGTTCGCTATCAGCCCTGAGACGGCGGTCATGCATTACTAGATGGGCTGCGGGAAAGCACGATGCACCTGCCAACTGCTGTTTAGGAGATGCATACATATATACAGTCCTCCCGGTCCCTCTTATCGACGTATATGTGTGCGGTAAGTACGGTTAGAGACCTCTAGGGTACAAGGAAACAAGAGGATTATTGTGTCGTGCTTCACCATCGTCGTTGTCTCTGCCAGTATCTCTGCCATTGTCCCTGATCGTCTTCATCCCCGGTGTATACATCAGAGTATCTCAGGTGCCAAAGTACCGCCCTAGTTACTGCCAGCTTGGCTATTTATATGTGGGAGGGATATGGCTCTCGCGAACTCACGTGCGCCCGAAGACCTTGGCCAGGCTGAATCTTATCAGTCAATACCAGTTCAACTGTTGTTTATATCCATTTGTTATATTGAGAGATAGCACGGGCTGAAGTGCTAGAATTATGTTAAAGAACTAAGAAACTCGCACTGGTAAACTGCTATAAAGCTCCCTCAGAGCCGGGCAATACTCCCACCCCCATGTGGGAGGGATAGCTAAGTTATTCTAGTTATACTAAGATTATTAAAGTTATTAAACTTATTAGGGAACTGATTAGGGAACTTATAATCAACCGGATCCGCGCCTCCGATCATAGACCATGTTGTAATAAGGTACCATTGAAGTTGGAGGATCTCCCAATCTGGCAAATCACACCTTTCGTTCGCAAAGATCTCGACGATGTGCCCATTTTCTATGGGACGAGCAGTCTTCACATTGTAGTGGTCGTAACAAACGTTCCCGGTTTCTTTCCAGTGCTTCCTAGGGTCGGTGTCGAAATCCATTTCCTCTTGGGCATTGGCCAAGTCCGTCTGCCTCATCCACTCGAATCGCAACTTCAGATACCACCGCTTCTGCGGCCGTCTTTTCTGTCTCTTTGACGCTCGGGTTTCGTCCTTCTCGGGGTCTTCTTCGTTTTCGTAATCTGGGTGATCCTCCGGGAGCTCTTCCAACGTCGGTGCGCCGAGCGGTTCCAGCGCAAAGCGCCCGTCGACCCAATACTTGTGCAACTGGGCATTCAAAGACAGGACGTTGGCGAGGCTGTCGATCTCGTTGTTGGGAATGCCGAGCTTATGGACGAGACTTCTAAAGACTTGAGGTCCCAGGAATAGTTTGATGGCTCGCAGCTGAGTGCGGACGGATTCGTAGTGCTTTTTGGCCGCGAAGGGGAAGATGTGGCAGATCCGGGGGTCCGCCGTGCCTAGAATCACGCAACGGTTGCCGTCTCGCCGTTTTGCCTAGGTGAGGATGGGAAATTAGCCAACGGAACTCGTGGGTTGCTGGACTGCGGAGGTAAAAAGATTTATTACGCGCTGAGGCACCGTCGGATCCCGTCGGTCCTGGGAAGATTTCCTCGCACCGCTCGAACCACCCGTGTCCGGAATGTTTCCCTGCGGATCATTCAAGTCATCGATGTGGCCTCCCCGAACTTGTGAATAGCGTTAAAACCCAACATCTCAATATTTCATGGTACGAAAGTCTTACAGATACGGAGCAACTTGGGGAAACCATCTACGGCAGTCATGAGTTCGCGCTCCATCAAGTCGAACCTCGTAGCCGGGTTCTCCAGTCTGCGGATGATGTCCTTGAGAAATCCGGCGTCTTGGGTCCATAGCATGGACCAGAAGACGCCCTGCCACAGGTCTGCGTACATGTATTCGGGTGGTCCATCGCAGAGTTTGCGGATCTCTTTGATCAGCTCGATTTTCTGTGAAAAGACGTCGTCCGCGGAGGTATGTGGACGCATGGTCACGGAGGCGGAATCCTTCCTGGTTTTGGAAGAAAGCATCCATGCGTAGGTAGAGCGGATACAGGCCATGAACGGCATCGGAAAACTAGGAGCAGTATGTAGTCAGGAAGAATACTTTGCACACAGTTGATCTTTGAAATTGCACGTGTGTGCGAGTAGTAAATACCTTGCCGAGTCTCTCAAGGTCCCATCCCAGCCCACTTGGAGGAGTGAGGCGAGTCACAGCTGCCTAAAAGCCTATTACGCAGCTTTTCTTCTTTTCATCTCTGCTATTCTTGGTCAATTCATAGAGCGGAGTAAGAGAGAGATCATATCATGACCTTGTATTGATGGACTCAATGTAGTAGTAGGCAGAGTGCCTCGGGGACAAATCATCTAACGGCTACATCGTGGCCAGAAGCCCGGTCTTGCCACCCCAGGTGATACTAGCACTGAACTTAGCACCCACATATATACAATCATCACTTCTTTACGACTCCTCCTCACTACCCCTATGATTACCCTTGCCGTTGGTAGCTATAGCATCGTCCTTGGTGCTGGCGTCTCTAGTGCTGCGCTTGTTATCCGTTATTGTTATCGCTACCTGAGTATTCGACAAGGAATAATAACAGCGGAGTAGTGTACATTCATGCGAAGCACCAAGAGGCCAACGGGTACATCATAGAATGGGTATGCTCCAAGGGTTGAGTCACTGTGGTCTACTCTCAGCCCCCTCCGTCTTTTTCCCCTTGCTTCCCTCATTCGTCCAGCCGGTAGTCTCTGTGCGACCCAGGCTTGATTGGTAGTCCCATTCTTCAGCAAGCGATCCGATGCGATCGAGAAAGCCTCTCATGGCCTCCGGCTGGTGGTCGTCCCGGAAGAACTTGTACAAGGCCGGGTCGGCGCCTCCCTGCAAAGACCACACCGAGAGAAGACAGAACTGGATACTGAAGATATCGGGGTCGGGGAGGCTCTCGGGGTCTTTGGCAAATATTCTGATGATCTGACCGTTGCCCACGTGACTGGACGTGTTGACGTTGTAGTGGTCAAATTCTTCGCCCGAGGGCTCGTAGTGTCTCGAATCGAAGGGATCAGTACCGAAGTCCATGGGCGCCACCATCTTGGCGAGCTTGTTCTTCTTCATCCAGTGGAATCTGAGCTCGAGGCACCATTGGCGATTGAAGCCCAACGTCGGCGTCGACGTCGGCGTGGCGGCCCCGGAGCCTCGAGCGACGTGAACTGATCCTTCCTTCGGATCGACCCGGCCAATTCCCTCCTCACCCGATTGAATATACTCGTGGTGATACTGCGGCAGATCCTCGATAGTCGGTGGTCCAAGTGGTTCCAGCGCGAACCGTCCATCGGCCCAATACTTGTGCAGTCGGCCGTCCAGCGCGATCACGTTCCTGACGTCGTCGAGGAGCGAACCGTCGCTCCCAGCGAGCTTCTCCCCCAACCGCCGAGCGAGGTCCTCGCCTAAGAACGGGGCCAGAAAGTCAAGATAGCGGCTCAGTGATTCCCGGTGGTGGATCGCCGCGAGAGGGAAGACGTGGTAGATCTGCGGATCAGCCGTCCCCAGAATCGCGCAACGATTCCCCTCGCACGCTCTCGCCTGAAGAAGTACAAAGTTAATCACCTCATGATACGCCAGACAAAAAAGGGCTCCGTGGCGCCGACGACACCGTGAAGATCGGATTCAACAGTAAAGACGGTTTATGTACTTACTTGCGCGGTCACCTTGGCGTCTCTCTTCCCGTCCGTCGTCTCCGTGTTCGCATCGACGTAGCCCATCATATTTCCGCCCCGAACTGTTCCACATCGTCAGCGGAAAAACTCGGTGTTGCGAGGAACTGGTAGTAGTACAAAGACGGAGCAGCAGCGGAAGATACTCTTCAAGATTCGCCAGAGACCACCGCATTGCCCGAAACGCTGCGTCTGTGTCCGCGTTCTCCAACTCGTTGTGAAGTTCTTTCAAGAAAGGAACATCCTTTGATAGAAGCGCCGCCCATATGGAGCCATGCTCTAATCCGTTGTCGAGGAGAACGTAAGGCTCGAGCAGGCTGCGGATGTCGACAACCAGGGGGAGCTTTATGTCTAGATCGCCGAGGTATTCGGCCCCCTTGGGAGGACGTGTCGTAAGTGTCATTTGATGCTTCAAGAAGCGTGTAATTGGGGCGTAGGTTGTTAATAGTAGAGAGGGAACTTCGAAGATGAGTTGAGTGACGAAGAGGTTATAGGGTCGGCAGCCTGCAAACCCCCCAGCCAAATGGTAAAAGTTGTTACAAATTTACCTACCTTTTTGACCCGTAGCTACTTCTCTCCACCACTATCACCGTTGTCCATATCGAAGTCTTCCGTCCCCTCTGTTCTCGTTGGTCATCACCTTCGTCCTTGCTATATTCATCCCCAAATACCGTACCAAAAGCCCAAGAAACCATAGCTCCCGACTACCTCAACACCCTAGACCCTCAAGCGTCCTCCCGTCGCCGGAATCCGCGAGTTCCGCGATGAGATCAACGCCAACCCCCCCTCCGGACCGCCGACATAGAAGCTTCTGGGCCGCGGGCAACGCCTACGGTGGCCCCCGAATTTCGAAGCACCGTACAATTAACCCAAAGACTTCTGCTTTACTACGGAATCTTCATTTCACAGATGAAGAGATGGCAAGTTCTCATAGAATAGACATGTAGGAATGGATAGAAGTTGATCATTAAGTACATCCTATTAAAGCGACAAGACAACTAAACTCTTCCCAATCCCCATCATGCAAATGCGTAATTCCTCCCATGCAAAAGGCCTCCAAGGCCGTACCTTACCCATCCACTTTCCGACCTCGGCCTGCCTGCCTGCTTCCTTCTTCATCAGCCGTTCAAAATCGTGGATCCAGCTTCTAGGATTCCTTAAGCTCTCTCATGCAAACGAATCAACATTCGTGATAGTGGTATCATGTACTCTGTGGTTTTTCGCACAAAAATGTCAAAATTTGACATGTAACGACAAATGCAAATTTCTCAAACAAAATCAAACGGGCCTCAGACCTTGTCCTCGGCGCTGGTGTTGGGAGAACCCTCGCCGGTGCGGGTGTCGCCGGACAGGTTGGTGTTGGTGCGGTGCTGGGAGCGGCTGCGGCGGCCGGTGGACTCGCCGGTGTCCTTGCGACCGAAGGAGGCCCAGCTCTTGAAGCTGGACATGGTCATCGTCTTCTTGAAGTCGCGGCCCTCCTCCTCGCCACCCTGGCTGAAAGCGCCGCGGACCACCTTATGATCCTCCAAGAGATGGAAGGTACGCTTGGTGAATTTCCATGCCTCGACGCCGACGACGTAAAGGAGGGTGAAACCGACGGAAATGCCCCACTCCCAGGTGATGCCGACGTGCTTGAACAGCTTGGTGTTGAGCTCGGGGATGTAGACGACGGGGAAGACGGACAGGGCGCCGATGACGACGGCCCAGAACAGGAACTTGTTGCGGTAGAGGTCCTTGAAGAGGGGGAACTTGCTCGGGTCTTCGGGGTTCAGGCGGAACATGGAGCGGCGCAGGTCCTTGAACTCCCAAGCAGAGATGAGAATAATCCAGGTGAGCTCGGCAAATACTGCGGCACGGGCGCGGAAGACCGGTCTGCACTGCTCGCTGAACTCCTTGTTGCATGCAGAGCCCAGATTGCCGCCATTGGCACCCCAGACGATGATGACGAAAGTGACCATAGTCAAGGCACCCATGATAATACCGTAGACGACCATGTCAACGAGGATCTGGTTCGTGAAGACACCGCGCTTCTTGTTCTGAGGGGGCTTGCGCATGACACCTGCGGCGGCTTCCTCGCGACCGAGACCGAAGGCAGGGAAAGACGAGGTAACCATGTTGATCCAAAGAATCTCGAGAGGTGAGATGGGGAAGACCGAAAGCTGGTCGCTATCGCGGAAGGCAAGACCACAAACAAGGAGAATGACTTCACCAACGTTGGAGCTGAGAAGGTGGAGAATGAACTTCTGAATGTTGTCAAACATGCGGCGACCCTGGCGAATAGCAGCGACGATGGAGTTAAACTTGTCATCCGTGAGCACAATCTTCGAGGCAGACTTGGCGACATCAGATCCAGAACCCATAGCAATACCGACATCGGCACGGGCGAGGGAAGGAGCATCGTTGACACCATCACCAGTCATGGCCATGAAAGCATTGCGACGGCGGAGGGCGTCGATCATACGGGTCTTGGTCTCGGGAGCACAACGGGCGATAACAAGGGGCAGCTCCTCGAGGGCGTCGATCTCTGCATCGGTCATCTTGTCGAAGTCGGTGGCCTTCTGAACAACAGCCTTGGCGATGCTATCGGGCAAGATACCGAGGTTCTTGGGGATGATGCCGACTTCCTTCGCGATGGCCTTGGCGGTCTCGGGGTGATCACCAGTGAGCATGTGAACCTTGATTCCAGCGGTAGAGCACTCTGCGATTGATGCCTTGGTTTCGCGGCGAGGGGGGTCATAGATACCGGCAAGACCGAGAAGAGTAAGTCCTTGCTCGACTTCACCACGGACCTGTTCTTCCTTGTCGGAGGGAATGCTGGCCTGGTTGGTAGTGAACTTTCCTTCCCATTCGCGGTAGCTGATGGCGAGCACACGCTGTCCTTGAGAGGCGAGGTTGTTCATTTGCTCAAGAACATGTCCCTTCAGCTCCTCGGTAAGCTCCTGCTTAGCGTCGCCAAAACCAATGTGTGTGCAGAGATCCAGGATGCGCTCAACGGCTCCCTTGGTGAAGACCAGGCTGTTCTCGGAACCCCAGATGTCGGCGGATTCATCGCCGTTGGGGACATCGTAGATGACGGACATGCGCTTGATGGAACTGTCGAAGGGAAACTCGGCAAGCTGGTGCCAGCCCTTGCCCTCAAGAGCCTTCTTTCCAAGCTTGAAACGGTGGGAAAAGACCTGAAGAGCAATCTCGGTAGGCTCACCAGTGGTCTGCCACTTGGCCTCTTCGTCGTCATATCGCACGGTGGCCAGGTTGCAAAGAGCGGAGGACAGAAGGAAAGCCTTGAGAGGCGGAATCATTTCAGCGTCAACCTCGGGCTCGGGTGCCTTGGCGGGTTGCTTGTTCTGAAGCTTCTCCTCGGGAACATCGAACTTAAGGACGGCAGCGGATCGCTCTTGGTCGTAGTCGCGCTTGGGAGCTTCCTCGACCTTCTCTTCTTCCTTGGATTCGGTGTAGGTAACCTTGCCCTTGGTAGGGTCTGAAGGGTTCTGGGAGTCTCGGACGGTGTAGGTGTGGGACATCGGGAGCCAGGCCTTGCGAACGATCATGGCGCCCTGGGTCAGGGTGCCAGTCTTGTCAGAGCAAATGTTGGTGACTCCGCCAAGAGCCTCAAGGGCCGAAAGATCACGGACGACGACGTTGGCCTTTCTCATGACAGTCACGGCAACAACCATGGTGATGGTGAGGACACTGTGAATCTGTTAGCTGTGATAGGCCAAGGATCAAAAGCATGCTACTTACGCAACAAGAGACTCGGGAATGATGGCGATACCAAGCGAGACAGCGTAGATGATAACTTCGCCAGTAACATCGAACTTGTGGGCGCCAAAGACAATCATGGCCAGGATGATGGCACAGCCGAAAAGCAGGTAAGCCAGAGCTGCGAGCTTGCGCTGCAGAGGAGTACCCTCGGTGAGACCCAAGAACTTGCCGACAGCATCGTAGACGCGCTTTGTGAGACCGACGACGGGCTGGCGCTTGCCGTACTTCTTGTAGTTCATGGAGCGGCCAGGCTTGCGGACCTTCTTCTGGGTAGAAGCGGCAATCTTGCCGACTTCGGTCTGCATACCGGTAGCGATGACAATACCGCGACCACGACCCTTGCGAACGATGGTGGTGGCATAGCAAAGGTTGAACCGGTCACCAATGCCGACTTCGCCCTCCTCGGTGGCAGGCTTCTCGGTACCGGGAACGACGATGTTGGCCTCGGTGGTCTTGTCGACGGGGGCGGCTTCACCGGTCAGGGACTGCTCGTCGCAGGACAGGTTCATAGCCTCGAACATGCGCATATCGGCAGGCACGGTATCGCCCATCTTCAGTAGGATGATGTCACCGGGAACGACTTGAGCACTGCGAGACGAATTAGCTGTGTGCCAAGCAGAATCGCGCAAGTTGACTGGGCGCGAGGCGGGTAATTGCGCGCACGCAGGTGTGTACTTACTTGGGGATGACCTGAGTCTTGCCGTCGCGCAAAACATTGGCCGAAGGGGCAGACAGAGATCGCAGCGCATCCATGCGCTTCTCAGCGCGATACTCCTGCCAGAAACCGATTGTGACGTTGGCGACAATGACGAAGGCGAGAACACCGCCCTCAATGTAGTCGTTGATGGCGAAACTGAGAATCATGGCAAAGATGAGGACGAGGACCATGGCATTGAAGATCTGCTTGCTGAGAATGGTGTACCATGGCACCGACTCGCCGACCTCGAACTCATTTTCGGGGTATTTTTGTTGAGCCTCCTGGACCTGCTGAGATGACAATCCCTTGTCGATGTCGACTCCCAGGGCCTTGGCCGTGTCTTCGACCGACAGGAGGAAGGGGTGCTTCGGGTAGTCACCAGACATGATGTCGAGTCTGTACTGGTGACGACGGGTAGGTGATTCAGGTGGCTTCCATCAACGTGGAGGCTGGCGCGTGGAGGGACCTTCTGGTTCAACGAGCGATTGATGAGAGACGTCGCGATGTTTGGGGTCTCTTGTGGTGATGAGGTCAGATCAAAGATTGGCTTCGCGAACCGAAAGCTTCTTCTTCTTCTTGGTGGTGGAGAAGAGAATGATGAGTTGAAGTCTAGACCTTGAGAGATGTAAATTCCCGGGGGGACAAGGCTATCTTTATAGATTGACAGCTGACGGACGGGTAGCCTTGGCCTGGACGACAGAGAAAATGTTTGGAAGCTTGAGTGTCTGGTGGCTTGCAAAGTTGCTGAACCTTGAAAAAAATGTACAAGACGCCAAGGGCTGGGCAGATGATAACACGCCCCCCCCTTTGTACCGGCCTCTGAAGGCGTGAAGGTAGGTGAGTTGCAAGGCATTCGGTCATTGTGCCGACTGAAATGTTGTGATTGGGCATCAAAGCTGCTTCCAAGACGGTAGACAAGGGATATTCAACTTGGCGAGGGACTGGGTGAGCAAAGAAAGACGCAAGGGTGGTGAGCATTCTTGGCTTTTCTTGGGATCAAGAATTTGGAGAAGGAAGCAGAAAACACAGAGGAGACGGTCCGGCTGAGTGGTGGTTCTCGGGTGACGATGACCTTGGCGGAGCTCTTGGCGGAGGGCAGCGGCGTAGACGGAAGTGGGGCGCCGTGGGTGGAAGGTGGAGACCGGCGATGGTGGGGCAAGCAGGAGTCTGGAGCACGAGGTAGGTAGGTACCTCTGATGCTTCCTTCCTGCTTGGAAGTACTTGTCATCAAGGAAGACACACGGAGGAAAGCATGGGAAGGTACTTCCTTCCTCAGTTCTGTGTCACTACCTTACAAAGTAAAGGAATGAGCAAACGACCAAAGGAAATCAGCGGAAGGGAAGGCGGGGAGGAGAGGACGACCGCGGGGAAGAGAGACATGCAGGCCACCGAAACGTGCCTCTGAAATTGATGAGAAAAATCGATTAAATGCCAATGTCATTGCTAGGACAGAAAGCGCTTGCTTCTTCGGTAACCTGTACGGCCAATGGGCATCAAGCCTCAATCGGATGTCACCCATCACTGACTCCAACACCGAAAGTTACCTGCGCCGGGGAAAACAACGGACGAACCAGAGGCCGGGACGCTTCCTCCAGACAGACCAGCATGTGAATCGATCTGGAGATGTCTACTGATAGGATAGAGACGGTGTTGATGCAGGTTGAGATGCAGAAATCAGAGTGCACAGTCTGCAGCCGTACGATATGACGCCATTGGCCACTTCCCAAGCGAATAAGGTTATTTGACGCGACGAACCAATGACTGACTGGTCCCGACTGCGCCATGGGGAAGGAACATCCATCACGTGCTGCTCAGTGTGAAGATGCATACCGCACAGACTTCCAGCATTTTCTATGGGGCTACGAGGCCGTTTATGTTGTGTGATTGGCCCTTTCCCTCCTCCTGCTGTGATTCCAGACTCCCACATCGCATTACAGCGGGTGGAGGTACCTTGCCAGCCAAGAAGTATAGCCACGGTACTTACGCACCTCAGCGGACTCGCCGCCTGTGCGATAACAGCAGGGGGCGACCGGTAGCGTCTTGGCTGCTGCAAAAACCCACCGCAGTCTCTGTGTGAGTCGCTGCCCGAAACTGGCGCTGTGTTTCGTTTTATTTGGCTGTCTGCGTTCAATGTTGCGCTGCGCTGCGTCTTGCTCGGCGAAAAAATGGAAATTGTCCCATATCAACATCCCCTCAACAAAAAGCCTCCGAAACATACTCTGTACCTTACTCGCATATTGCCTTTACTTGCACACCCTCAGTTGCCACAAAACTCAATATACGACGCCTCGCTGCTGACTCCCAATGACAAGGTTTGATATCACGTGTACGCGTCAGCTGACCCAGAAGAGGCTCGTGTGAACATGGAATCTGCCTGACGGTCTGACCGGACGGCGATATCTCACTCTGTCGTCCTCGCTTTCCGCCGGGCGGAGCGATACCGGATAGCCACCCGGCACGCCACATTTCAGTCACTTCTCGCTCGCCTCCGCTCCACGCCAAGACCTACCCTCAACACCACCACGAGCCAACCTCAGCCCGGTCGCGTTACACCCATCACAGGATGAAGACGACGACGTCTCTGGGGCCTGGGCGGCCGGGCGAAGCAGGAACACATGGTGGGCAGCAATCTTCAATTCCGGACGACGACTACCGACGGCCATCGCCGTGATTCCGGGGGTGGTTCGAGGAAAAAGCAACCCTCTTCCGGTTCAAGGCGATTGCTGTCTCCATCTTCGCCGGCCTCCATGCTTCCAGTCGTCTCCCGCGGATTCCTGGCAGATCGCTGTCGACTGCTCCCCAAAAAATGCGACGCACACGACCGCCTCGCAACCCTCGTCCTCGATGCGCGTGTGGCCTCGTATGGACAAGATGGCTACCCACCGCTGCGACTCCGTTTGCGCCGGCCCTACTTGGCTACTTGGCGGTCCCTTGGCGGTTCTTGTCCTACGACTCGACAACGTTGGATCGACCCCAACGTGGGATGACGGTCGCCGGGCTACGTATCCGTACGAAGTACGGATACAGCCTGGAGACATTCCAGACTCTGGCTTCCCGATTTCTTGCGGATTCCATCATCCCACTTTCCATCCGCGCACGCAAATCCCTACAATATGACGGCTCCAATTGACCACTCAACATCCGTCAATCCGATTCAGAGACCCCCGAATACCGAACCGCTTCGGCGACCACCATCAAGCGACAAACTGCCCCGAGTCACATAGACGCATGGAGGGGAGCAGCAGAATTCAGAGGCGCGTCGACGATCCTAGCGCGATTGCTGATCCCATCTGTCGGTGTCCCTCATCTGAGCCGCCCGTCGGTCGCCGTGCGTCGCCCATCATCTGCACCCCGCCTGCCGCTTGGTGCCCGTCCCGGCCGTCTCAGACGAACTGTCGCTCCGGGCGGCTGTCCATCTATTTCTTTCGTCGCAACTCCCATCGCCGTCCGTCATGGACCAACAACCGCCCAAAATCCCAGCTACTTCGCGCCTTCGCAACTCTCGAACGATCTGACACAGTCACAATCTTTTTGGTGGAGTCGCCAAGTACTTGGCTCTCGCGACCGCGCAAGTTGGTGTGGACCAGCCAAGTGACGTAGGAGGTTCTCCCCAGCCGTCCTCCCGTCTTGCTCTCTCGCACCCTCCTCGGATTTCCCTGGTCTGCTTTTCGCTCGGACCAAACCGCCAGCCCCAGAACTCTTGGTCGAACGCTTCTTGGCAACGAAACACCTTTGCCTCGTGCCGCCGTGGTCCCTTGAGCCGTCGAAACCCAGATCGGAATCCGAGAGAACCTCTTACGCAACCGTCTCCAATTCCCTCCAATGCCGTCACCAATCCTCACCCCGCGCTGTCGCCTCCGAACCACTCCCTCGGAGCCGCCGTCTGTCAACGTCCTCGGGTCGTCGCGTCCTACCCAGTCTGTGGTAATCTAGAGGTAAGACAAGCCGCTTGCTGGCCACTTGCGAGTTGCCGGTGGCCGAGCGTAAGCAACTCGGAAAAACGACATGGCACACCACCAAAACGTGCCCGCGACGATGATCAGCGCCGGCATCACCACCTAAGCCTTCCACTATCCGTCTTGTCCGTCTTGTCCTACTGAGCCGTGTGCTCCGCAGAATGCTCTGCTGCTTTGCCGTGAGCTTGAATTACGGCACTATGCATGCACCCGAGTCTTGGATGATGGCATAGACCCCTTCGTGGGGTCGGCAGCGTGAGCCAGAGAGTCCACTCCAGCTTCTACCATTTGCTCGTGCCCCGTCGCGACGCCGTCATCCTACAGCAGGAAAAGCCCTCCCGACTGCAAAATCTCAATGCGGTCAGAGGCAGAGGCCCAGCCTGCGGTCCCAAGGGTCCTTTTTGGGGCTTGGTAAAGTTGCTTGTCTGCATTCTTGCATCTACACCCTCCTCCACTTCCTGACTGCCGCGGGGAGCAAAGACAGAACCAAAAAGTCTTGGGTGTTTTCTTGGCCTTGGCGTATCTGACCAACGGGCCCGACCTTGCTTTGTTACAAACGTCATCCCGCCAAGACGAGACGATCAGCTGAAAGGCGTTTCGAAACCGAACTTTTTTGACAAACCTCGAAGATTGCCCTGTGCTTCCTTGCCACACCTTATCTATTGACAAGTCTGGGACATTCCGGGGAGGGTGGATGGAGGGTTCAGATAATCGAGAGATGGCTTGTCGGGCCTGCCATTGGCCTTGTGTCGGAGCCAAGATCCCAGCCGAGATTTGGTGATTGAGTAACGCTCTGCTGAACTATTGGATAGCCACGGTGACATTTGTGAACTGCGATGTGTCATTCTATTGGCCGGTGCTGCTTTTTGTGTGAGTTTCTGGTGTAGATGGTGTTGTTCGTTGCAAAGAGACAACGACGATATCCTCACGATCCATAGGTCTGGTACCCATGAGGCGTGTTGCTCAAGTTGATAGTTCTCTTTGAATCATAGACTAGATACCTTATTTTGATGAATGTCGAGCTTGTGATGGAACCTATCCAATGAGTTCACCACGAGTCACCAAACTTCAGACATCGTAAAGAACGCTTGAACTGCTATATGAATCGTCCATAATCCGCCGTGATGTTCATGATGTCTATCACAAACTACTTCACAAATCACCTACGCAACCTACAACTCCTACCTCCATCCACAATGCGCGTCATAGCCATCACAGCGTTCCTCTTCCTAGCAGGCAGAGGCAGTACTCGTCCGTCCCCCCTCCCTCGTCAACCACAAACCTCTAACATTTACACCACCCAGACGCCCTCGCCCTCGCCCTCGCCCACCACCAAGACAAACTCCCAACCCCAGCCTCGCCGCAACTCGCCGAGCGGGACCTCGTATGCTCCCTCGTCTGCGGCATCCTCCCCTCCCTCTGCAACGACGTCTGCAAGACCTGCGCGGCGCCCAGGACCTTCTGCGAGAAGACCAAGACGTGCGCCGATTGCAAGAGCGACGGCGAGAACTGCGGCGCTTGCGGGAACAAGGTGAGTGACTCTGCCTCGGGCCGTGTGGTTGGTTGTTGGAGTGTCTGGTTGCTGATGATTGGGGATGGGGGTAGTGCGGCGCTGGATACACGTGTTGTAACTCCAAGTGCGTGAAGAAGACCGCGATGAGCGGTGATGATGGGAATTGCGGGGCTTGTGGGAATAAGGTGAGATGATGTGCTTGTTCTGCTTGGAGTTGAGATGTTTGCTAATGGTTGGGGGGTATGAAGTGCGGCGCTGGATACTCGTGCTGTAACTCGAAATGCGTGCCTCAGTCCGTGTTCGAGAATGACGACGAGAACTGCGGAAGCTGCGGCCACAAGGTAAGCCCTATCCATCTACATAACCCTCCAAAGTATCTCTGAGCTTTCCTCTAACAACTTCTTTTCGATAGTGTCCCGCCGGAGACCAATGCCACAAAGGAACCTGCACTCCGCCCATCGGCAACACCTGCCAGGGCACCAACAAGCACTCGCTCTCCAGGACGTGCCATGCCCCCGGCTCGACGTGCGGGGAGAGTGGCAAGCATGATTGCGACTGCGCGATGGATCTTAAGGGGAACGCGTTCTGCGGCGTGTCCGGGGAGGCGGGCTCGGACTGCGGACGGAAGTGTGAGAGGGATAAAGAGTGCTGGAAGGGCGAAGTTTGTGGAGTCGGAGCTGGGTGTTGTGATGGTGGGATCGGGGGGAGGCATGGGGGGAAGAAGGGTGTTTGTGTGAAGGTTTGTGGGAAGTGAGGTTCGGTGAAGGAGGTTTTGATGACCACTTCTGTGGTTGAGATGGGTGGTTGTCGGCCTGGTGTTGTGTTGGACTGTGACGTCCTGGTTCTTATCTTTCATGTTGTCTCCGTACTCAGCTGATAACGATCTAACAATCTTGAAAGGGGAAACTATAACTCGGTCAAAACACGAAACTCGGGTTATCTAATTCCATATGAGAGGACCTCCCTCCTCCAGCTTCGGCGCAGCTCGCTCCGGACAAGGACAGCAAGCACGGCGTCTCCTTCATCGCGACGGTCTTCGGTTGCTGATTTGAACCTTGTGGGTGAGGAGGGTAGATGTATTTGTCTTTAATGGGATGTTATCATAAATGGGAACATCGCGATGAAAGAACTGCATAGTTTACAGGACTCAGGTGTGCTATTTTCTTCACGAGACCGGAGCTTCGTCACGCATATATCCACGATGAATTCATAACCCCAGCTGTGGTTCGAAGCCCCCTACAGATTCAAGTCTGCTTCATTGTCAGATAGGCCAGCACAGGCTGTAGACCGAGTATCAACCGCTGCCAGCACCCGGCGTGGCCGTTGGTGGTGTATCTGGCTGAGGAGGACTCTATGAGGTGTCGGCGACGAAGGATTTGGTAAGAATTTATGGTGACTGTGGGCTGGAGAGCATCTTCGATTTTGGACCATCGCCTCTGGTTAAGTTGGTCCCCTCGTATTTCTAACGACGAGACGGCGCTGAAAGGGAGGATGTGACTAAATAGAAAAGACTCACATGTATCTTGAGTGGTCACGAAGAGATCAAATGGAGGATGACCACAAGATCATTATATTAGACTGACCTAATGGTTCAACTCTCGATAGCAACAGATTCCTTTGGTAGTAGTCTAAGTTTGGCCTTATAGAAACGTGAATCCTGAGCGTGAACCTCTATACGTTCGACACAAGAGACTTGGCTCCTCCTTAATAACGAGGCAGTCGGAGGGTAACACTTAGTGAGACAGATCGGCTACGAATAATCCTATGATGATTCAACGGCCTATGCGGAGATTCCGCTCACTGGGGGTATCATACTGCGCAATAGCATGGGCCAGAGGCGCTACCAATAATGAATTTATTGCTGCCCAGACGGGACAGATGCACGGGCTGCAAAAGCCAGACGGACGAATGATCCCGTCAGACACGATCATCGATGCATCATGAGTAGTCAAATAATGTATGTGCCTTGCGTCTATGGTTTGACTTCATGACCAGGTTGTTATAGTCACTCTCCCGGACCTTTACTGCCCAGAAAATGGAAACCCGAATAGGCCTTGTGGCATATATATGACTTATAAGCCCTCTGTCGCAGAGGTCAACCTTGATGAGAGCAACGTGGAAGCCTGAAGCGACATGCGACTCAAGAGTAGGCGTCGTTTATCAACTCAATTGGTGCTTGATGAATACTGAATGTACATCATACGAGCACTACAGAAAGCAGTAGCATGTATGCTTGCCGTTGTTTCGACGTTGTGATGTGCCAATAAGCATGATCTCCCTTGATATTAGCAACAGGCATCCTCTTAAGTTACGACGAAGATGCCTATCAACAGTGATTTTCACACATTAAGGCGCCTCATGACTTGCACCACATCAATTTTGTTAGAACGTGGATATATCAAGCATAGCTTGAGGTGCATATTGTCGGGAAGCAAGAAGATATGAAATGAGGTAATCAGTTGATGCGGCTTAGCATGAAGTCGTCAAGGTAAAAGAAAAAACCCCAAAGCTGATGACTGAGAAAGGCGCTACTTGAACGACGTCAAGCAAAAGGCAAAAGATTATCGCACACTTGGGTGTTGCTCATGATGGACCGACAGGGGATCGAACCCTGGATCTTCCGCAGGCATTGAGGAGGATGCAAAGCGGACGCGATACCACTTCGCCATGGGCCCGAGGTACTGGATCTGAATTGATCAGTCAGCTGGTTGCTTCGTCGGCCGCCAATCGCTGTCCAAGATGGTCAGGAATTCCTGGCTGAATTCGTCAGAAGCGGGTGTCAAATGCCCCCTCACATGACCCCACATCGGTGTGTGTGTCAGACGAAATCAAAAACACGTGGAGGAATTCCATGAATCAATACTGAGATAGTACTTGAGTAAGCAGCTCGTCCTCCCGTCCAACAATCCACACCGAGCGGGGCTTTAGCCCCGTCACTCCCCTTGGTGTAGTTGGTTCATCACGTTCGACTGTAATGGTTACGTTATCATCGAAAGGTCTCTAGTTCGATTCTGGAAGGGGAGAACCTCATATTTTGCCTCCTGCAAATTCCAATTTTTTGCACAGTCTGCCCTCTAGAGGTATGTGCGGAATTTGCTTTTGCATTCCAGACGTTGCCCACTACTATGCGACCGGGACGGTCCGGCTTGCTTCCCTGCGAACCTGAACTCAATTGCTGTGGCTGCTCCCATGAAAGTTCTCATGCTCAAGGCTGATCTCATGTTTTGAGAAGTTACCCTATTGACTCTTAGGCTTTTGTTGACATTGAATACATTCCATGAGCAGAATCGCACACTAAGTAAGACAAGATCGTTCCATCGTTCCTTCAGACATCCCGGTTATCTTCATTCCAGCCCCTGTTGCCAAACCCGCCATCGACATCAACACCCTCCCTCCTGGCCTCCTTCACAGCCTCTCTGGCCTCTTGCTGTTCTCTCTTCTTCCTACGCATTATTAGCAAAGGTCTCCGGCAAGGACTCCGCTCACCGTCCAAACTCACCTCTCAAGCCCGCTGGCATCGTCGTCAAACTGCACCTCCTGCCCGGGAGCCTTCTGCGCCCCGCTCTTGCGATCCACGGCGTCCGCGACCTTGCCCTCGGCCAACGTCTCCATCTGCTCGGCCTCTACGTTCGGGTTCTCGGGACCGTCGTCGTTGCCGCTGCTGCTATACGCCGTGTTGCGCTCCTCCGTGGCGTCGACGGGACCCGACGAGTGCACGCCCTGACCGAGGGAGCTGGGCACCGCGTCGTCGGCCGTCCGGGACTGGGACTGCGGGATCGGGGCGCGGCCGAGGACTGCGTCGCGCGCGCTGGACTCGCTTTGCTGTGCCGCGGCCTTTTCGGCCGGGTTGCCTGTCGCCGGGTTTGAAGTCGTCGTGTAGGCTTCGGCCTTGGGCGGTTGTGAGGGTACGGAGGATGACATGGTGACGGTGGGTTGGTGTCCGGCTGTGTCCTTTGATGATGTGTTTTGATGGTTGACGGTTTCTTGGCTTCAATTTGACTCAGACCTCATGAAGATGATATTGATATCAGGTATGTATCGCGGTTCGAATGATTGAGAATGACATGCGAAAGATGCGCTCATATGAGTGACAGATCGATGACGTCGGTGGGTGGGTGATACTGGATCGGCGCTTGTTCGCTTGGACAGAGCACGATTGTCAGATTGCCCATCTCCGTCATCGTAAATTGCAATCAAATCAATTCATCAATAATTACTAGTTGTAATGAGGCTCTACTATCGCGATGATTGCGGTTTGTTTCCAGATAGCTAAGCCACATGCACGCCAAACTGCTTGTTCCAGCCACTTCTCACAACATTTGTCTCCCGGCGGTCCTGAACCCCGCATGGATGAGACTCGTGGGCATGGCAGCTGTGAAAAAGCCATTGATCGTGAATTTTCGCAATCATGGTGTAACGATGCCAAATCGCCTTCCCAGCATTGGACGGCCGACGCGGGGTCGTCTGCCGCTCGCGATCGGTACCAAAATTGCACCACCCTGATCCTTGGTCACTCAAGACGGGCCGCATCTGATTGCTCAAACACCGTGATATCTCCCACGCAAACGCCAGGACAGCATTGGCCCCCCCGCACCATGATACTTCGGCCAAGACAAACTATGCCGCGAGATGGGGGTACGGGGACCGGGATGACGGCTCCGACTCGGCCTCGACACGTGCCGGCGACTGCCGCCGAGGACGACGTTCCCTGCGTCCGGCCTACCACATCCGACGTCGAAGCCAGCGATTGGTACCTGTGTCTGATATTCACCTATGGCAGAATCTGAGTTGCGTATCGCGCGATATCGCGCAAACTCATCCCAAGTCGCTTCAATGCCGTGCCATTTCGGGAACCCGAAACCACGGCGCGTATAAGTAGCGGGAGAGCCCCCGGGTGCTGCTGCGGGATGGACTTTGTCCTGAAACCTAAATAATCCAACATCATCTCTTAATATCGCGATCATGGCTCCATCCGCGACAGCGACGGCTCCCAAGCCTGAAGAGGCACAGACGAAGGCCTTGCCTGTGAAGGACTCACAACCCGTACAGAACCCTCAGCTCCAGGAAGAAGAGCTTCCCGAACGCCTCACGGGCCACAAAGAGCCATTGAAGCCGAGCGGAGCTCTCGATAAGTTCGAACACTTCGACGTGACGCCCATCATCGGCCGCGAGTTTCCCAACGTCAATCTGAAGGAGCTTCTCAGGGCCCCCAACTCCGATGAGCTCATCCGTGACCTCGCCATTACCAGTACGCTTCTTTTCGGGGGTTGGCTCGGCCACTTCTAACAGTAGAGCAGTTTCGCAGCGCGGAGTCGTCTTCTTCCGCAAGCAGGACGACGTCGACAACGACCTCCAGAAGGAACTCGTGCAGCGTCTCGGCGAGCTCTCGGGAAAGCCATCGACATCGAAACTCCACATTCATCCCGTCAACAACGCCGCCCGTGGCAACGACAAGGATGACGAGATCAGCGTCATCTCGTCGGCGAACGCGAAGAAGTTGTCGCTGTACAAATTTCTGAACTACAACAAGAAGCAGACACAGAGGACGCAGTGGCACTCGGATATCACCTTCGAACCTGTGCCGAGCGACTACGCACTGCTGCGTCTGACCCAGTTGCCCAAGACTGGCGGAGGTACGTTGCGCGTTCACCATAATTGGTTTCCCTGCTAACATCACGTAGATACTGTAAGACCATGCACCCCGGACTCGTCGACCTGGTAATAATGCTGACCGACCATCCTCACAGCTCTGGGCCTCGGGCTACGAAGTCTACGACCGCATCTCCAAGCCCCTCCAAAAGTTCCTCGACACCCTGACCGCGACCTACGCCCAGCCGGGCTTCAAACAGGCGGCCGACAATAACGGCTTCAAGCTCTTCGCCGCCGAGCGCGGCGCCCCCGAGAACGTCGGCGAGATCCTCGAGGCCGTACACCCCGTGATCCGCACGAACCCCGTGACCGGCTGGAAGAGCGTCTTCGCCTTCGGCCACCACGTCGAGAAGATCAACGGGCTCGCGGAGGACGAGTCGAGGCACTTCCTCGACTGGTTCGTGCAGCTCGTCCTGGAGAACCACGACCTCCAGGTGCGGCACCGGTGGCAGAACGTCAACGACGTGGCTATCTGGGACAACAGGTCGGTGTACCACGCGGCGACGCCGGACTACTTGCACGAGAATCTCGGTGAGAGGTCTGGGTCGCGCAGTGTCAGTCTTGGGGAGAGGCCGTACTTTGATCCGCAGAGTCTCAGTCGGCGGGAGGCGCTGCGCGCTGCGCGCTGAGGCTCTCGCGAGCGGAGAGGTATCTTGAGTTCGTAGCGTAGATGGAAAGGATCGCTCTGGCCACCTTGTCGACGCGCAAAGGACATCCGGGTTGGTCAGGTTAAACACCAGGTGGGTCTCTGAGAAAGACTCACATGAAGTCAAATTTCTATACTCAATCCTGCTTTTTTGCTAGTTCTAGATCAATTCAACTTCGTTCTTACTTCTTCCAAATTGCTCCCGTCAACATCTCCACGCAAATCAAAGAAAACCATGGACGTCCAACTCCTCCGTAGTACAGGGCCGGCCGGCACTTTTCACGAGTTCAGCGCCCTCCCACCCGAAATCCAAGTCATGATATGGGAAGAATTTTACCTCGAACCTCGGTATTTTGTTCCTTGGGCGCATCGTTCCTGCAACCTGATCGGAGCAGGATTCAAAATTACTGTGAACATGTACGTCGCATGTAGCTCAAGTCTTCATTACCAAGGCATCGATACTCAGATCAACCGAATGTCCTACCACGTGGCCCGCCGTCTCCGCCGTCCTTTCCGGTTTCCGACGATGTACTGGGAGGACATGAGGGTGGAGCAAAGCGCCGGTGGTGTAGCTGACGCCCGCCTCAACTGGGACACGGATATCATCTGTTTTATCGGTCATCACCCGGACAGTGAGCTGGGCCCGCACTGGTCGCACAACATTCAGAACTTGGTCGTGGGCCGGAGCGGCGGTCAAACGGCGGAGACTGGGTGTTGGCTGGTGGCAGACTTGTCGCCTTTGGACAAACGGGCCAAGATCGAGAGGATCAGGAACAACCGAATCCCGAGTGATTTCTTCTACGATTCGCCTGAATTAACGAAGCATTTGAGACATTGGGCCTATGTTCAGGTCCTGAATCAGTCACCTCGTATATACCCCGAGTGGTGGGAGGAGTGGCACGGCCGGAGAGTGCCCCCAGGGGGCAAGACGCAGTATTGGAATGGAAACGACTGGTTCAGTCACATCCACCGGGGTTCTCACGGACGATATAAATATACTGACAGCTCACAAGGGCGACAAGGCAGTCTCATAGACGAATGGTGTATCTGGCCACAGTTTGCCCGACTCTCGCAAGATGGCACCACGTCTGAGATGATGGAAGCGAGCCCACGCGTGTACGTCCTCTCAGAAGGAGAGCTCAGGGCTTAAAATGTCAAATACAAGGTCTTCGAGAATTTTGGACATAACGAGGAGCAATATGGGTCTTCTGTAAGAAGGAGAACATAAAGCTAGAAGAGAAACAATAGTAATCAAGTACACATATACCTAATTTCAGCACTCTGCTTTCTGTATGATCTAGGTCTAAGGCAACGCGGCTGATTTGTAACTGTCACGCTACGTGTAGGCCGAAGGAGGTTGATTGATTGTCTGAAAGCTGGTATTTTAATAAATGCGGCGGCCGCACTATCAAACGTTGGAAGCGTCATAAGCTGCATGTTCTGGCATTCGTTAAGCACGCACCAACAGCTGGGTGAAAGCAGCGTCGAAGTGCTCGAGAAGATATGATATCAGACTCCAAATGCGCATCTGTCCTGCGCTGATCAAGCCGAGCAACGATCCGAGTGGAGAAAATCTGCGCCAGGATCGAAAGTCCCTGCGAGAGTAGATTCCTTCCCGTGGCACATCACGAATGCTCAGGCCATCAGGCGGTCAAGCTTTGAAGCATATCACAAGACCAGTATTGGAGATAATCGGGTTTCCGGACTTATGGTTGAATCGGACAGCCAGCTGGGCTCTTATCACGCGTGCGAATGAACATACACTGATCAGTCCACGCAATCACAAAGTGCTATTTCCTGCGGCCGCCGAACTCCTTCTCAAAATTCAATGGTTCGTCTGAACAAGGTTAAAATTAACCACGTCTCCATCGAAGAATCCGTGCTGTCCCGGACGTCCCAATTGCACCGACCTCCTTCCCGCGGTGCAACTCCCCAGAAACCCAGCGATTGCGTGGACTTTTTCGCTGGGTTCTGGGTCGATTCCCAGGATCCAGGATCTCTGCGCTAGATTGTCTCAGACTTCTGATTCTCCAGCGGGGCCGCGTTTTCTGCCTGTCAAAATTGTCCAATTCCTTCATCCCGCCCCCTGCTCCCTGCCTGAACGTCAATCACTTCCCGAAGGAGACCTCACTTGCGGAATCTCCATCAACTCAAAGTTCCTTGGGTCGGCGGGACGCCGAAGCTCGGCTGTGAGTGCGTAGGGAAAGTCGCGCCATTCTGATGAGGGGAGGAATTGCTTCGGTTTGGTTGATTCGAGAGCTTTGTACTTCCTCTTACTTCCTTTATCTCAAGACTCGTGGCTGTATTAAAGATGGATAGCTGTTTGATTCCGTGAAGTCTCACCTGGAGCCGAGTCTTTGGGACCAGATTGGCGCTCTAGGAAACGGAACAGCCCGCGGAGAGATCCATGATCCAGTCAAGGTCCACTGATAGACCTGGCGGTAAGATCACTGGATGCGACCGACTATCATTCGTGTTCACAAGCTGGGGCAAGCTTGTCCACTGCTTGGTACTACCAGAGCTCGCAATGTAGCTTCAAGTCTATTGCTTCGCTTCGTTGCCTGTACGAGTTTGTTCTTAGGTGTTTTCTCTTCTCCCAACATTTAAATCGACTGGAAACATGGACGTACCGTGATGGGCTCGTCGTCTGACACCCATCACTGAATTTATTGCTCTCTTTGGACGCCGGTACGGCCTCGTTGAGTTCGCGTGCCATATGTTGCGTCGTACGCCATGCCGTGGTCCTCTTCAACACACCGCCGAAGAATTGCGGCATCCACACGGCAGTCGTCCGAGTCTCCGTCCGGCGAACTTCTTCAAGAGGTCGGGGCCCCGAAATCCGGTTCCAGCACCCCGCGAGTCAGTCAGCTGAACCCGACAGTGAGGGACCAAAACTCCATCTCTTCAGAACAGAGAAGCACGGTTGCTTACGATTCTCTGATCGGTAAGTATCCGACTCTTGGTACTTCGATGGAGCGGTCGCTTGCAATTCTGAGCTTTGACTTCGCGCATGCATTCTAGAACGATAAGACCATTCTCCCAGGGCATCGTTCGTCTTGGCTGTCAAGGTTCGCAGAATCTCCCTGCGTTGCCGAATTCTCGTGGACTTGGGTGTCTAAATAGGCGGCTTGGCATGTGGCAAGGGAATATCTAGCGCCCCTGAGATGATGCAGGACCAGCGGGATATTACGTCCCGACGAGGGGATGAAAGCCAGCCAATGCCGTCGAAGCAGAGTAAGAAGCGATTCTTCCTTTTAAATTCAGTTCGAAATTGTTGGGACAGAAGACAACCTGATCAGTCGAGTCTTTGCACTCCAAACTCGGAGTCTCAACTAGGTTAGCGAAACTCGTCGTTGAAAAAAGGTCTGCTCCCCGTAAAATAGAGCACACACGTCTGCGGCACGGTCACGGCTTTGGGAGGAACCAACCGCAGAAAACTGCCGTCTGTGCCGTGGATGCCGCTGTCTGTCGACGGAAAAGGCGGTTCGTTGGGGTCATCTTGGGGGCTAGATGTAATTAATTTCACCCGAACCCTGTCCAGCCAAGCCTTCGTATCGAAGGGACCCATGCTAGGCGATGGCGAAGCCCCCGTCGTCTCTGCGGTCGAGAAGCAGAAAAAAAAGGCTCTCTCCAGGATGATTATCCTGCGTCTGCTTTTCAGGTGGTGCAGTCCTGATAGTGCTCCTGCACGATGGGGTCTCATCTTGTATGCGGACATAAGCTGCACATTCGGTAGCCAAGGCCATACTACCTCGTGGCAAGAGCTTGGATCCCGGCAACCTGGAATGGGATCATGCGGCTCAGAACCAATAGACTGCGAATAGCCACGTGTAGGGGGAGGGGACAGGTGAGGAATGGTCCGAGATGGTGGTGATCTTCTGCACGTATATATCCATGGAAGGGTAGCACGCTTACCGCGATGTTCCCTCTTTGGCCTTTCTCTTTATCCCTCTCGCACCCGAGCTGAAAGGATCATACACTCTTTTGCCAAGCAGTCTCCCCAATCTTGTCGAGATGCCTTCTCTCGGAAGAGCCCTGCTGCTCGCCGCGGCTATGCCGCTGGCTAACCTCGTCGGTGCCCAGAACATCGTCGTCGATGGCCAGGCCATTGGTAAGTCAGGCGGCAGATACATCAGGCTGATTGTCTTCGTTTCGGTTTTAACTAACGTCGTCTGCAGAGGCCAACGAGGTCACGATTGCCCCCGCCGCCGAGGAGGTCCCCGAGGCCGAGATCCCGGAGGAGACTGTCCAGTTGACTGACGCCGTGCTGGCCAATCTCACCCAGCTCGAGCTCACCAACATTTCGCTCTTTACTTTCCCTGACACCGAGGGCGTCGAGAAGCGCGCCCTTCCCAACAACAAGTGCAAGACCTTCCCGGGCGATCTGTTCTACCCCAACGAGCTCGTCTGGAAGGTCTTCAACCTCTTGACTGGCGGTGCTCTTATCAAGACCGTTCCCCTTGGAGCTGCCTGCTACCAGGGTGAACACTACGATGCCGAGAAGTGCCAGTACCTTCTGGACAACTGGTCCAACTCCGATACTCAGTGAGTCACATGGCGAACATGACGGCATGTGAAACTAACCTTTCAAAGCGACGAGCATCCCACTTCAGTCATGTCGCCTATCTACCAAGGAGCGACTTGCCAGCCCCAGAACGCTGCCAACAACGGCACTTGCGAGATCGGTGGTTTCCCCCTTTACTCAGTCAAGGCCACCAACGTTGCTCAGATCCAGCTCGCCATCAACTTTGCTCGTAACCTCAACCTTCGTCTGGTCGTTCGCAACACCGGCCACGACTTCCTTGGCAAGAACACCGGTGCCGGTGCCCTTTCCATCTGGACTCACAACCTGAAGGGTCTTAAGTTCATCAAGGAGTACCAGTCTGCTGGTGGATACAAGGGCCCTGCCTTCAAGCTCGGTGCTGGTATCCAGGTTTCTGAGCTCTATGAGGCTGCCAACAAAGAGGGATACACCGCCGTTGGCGGTGAATGCCGCGTAAGTCAGTGAACCCATGAGCCTTAACAACTCTCTAATTACTTTATAGTCCGTTGGTGTCACTGGTGGCTACCTTGCTGGTGGTGGTCACTCTCCTATGAGCCCCGTCGCCGGTCTGGGTTCCGATCACATTCTCGTAAGTGCATGATTTCATACATCGTGACAAAACTCTAACATTTTGCCAGTCTGTCGATATTGTTACTCCTGACGGCCGTCACATCACCGCCGATGACAAGACCAACAAGGACATCTTCTGGGCTGTTCGTGGTGGCGGTGGTGCTACCTGGGGAGTTGTCACTGCCATGACAGTCCGCGTCTACCCCAAGACCAACTTCTCTGGGTAAGTCCTCCTACTAGCAACTTACAACAGTATTCTAATACGTTTCAGTTTGACCTGGACCGTTAACACTGCCGAGAAGAACGTTTCCAGCACCATCTTCTGGGCTGCCATGGAGGCTTACTGGCGCCGCTTCCCCGACTTCTCCGCCAGCCACAGCTACGGCTACTCCACGATCTTCCCCGCCGGCAACGGTGCCTACCTCTGGAGCATGAAGCCCTGGCTCGTTCCCGGCATGGCTCTCGACGACTTCAAGGCCATGGTCGCCCCTCTCTTCGAGGAGTGGGCTACTCTTGGCTTCAAGGTTGAGCCCGAGTACTTCGAGCACGACAACTTCTACGACACCTGGAAGAGCCACTTCCCCATGGAGAGCGTCGGTGGCGCCGAGATCCGCACGGCCTCCCGTCTCATTCCCAAGGCCAACTGGGAGGACGCCGCCCTTCTCAACGAGACTATTTCCACGCTCAAGGGCATCATCAACGAGGGATCTGCCTTGATTCACTACAACATGAACGCCGCCGCTCCCGCGGATACCACCGACAGCGCCGCGAACCCCGCCTGGCGTGAGAACCTCATGTTCGCTATCATTGGTAGCGGATGGGCGGCTACCGCCACCAAGGAGGAGGTCAAGGCTGCCAACGTCCGCATCACCAACGACTGGATGCAGCGTCTTCGCGACATCACTCCCGGCAGCGGTGGCTACGGCAACGAGGGCGATGTTATGGAGCCTGACTTTGGCCAAGCTTTCTTCGGTTCCAACTACGCTCGTCTCTATGAGCTGAAGAAGAAGATCGATCCCTGGGGAGTCTTCTATGCTCCCACCGCTGTCGGCAGTGAGGACTGGTACATTGCCCGCCAGGAGGACTGGCTTACCCTGCAGACCGACCGTCTTTGCCGCAAGTAGACGTTCGTTAGTAATGGACTGATGATGACCGTGGTAAAGCATGGAGTTTCGGGACGGCTTTCGTGTATATATCAGGATTGAAGCTTGTACAACTACTTCTCCCTTCGCCTGTTCATATTGACTATAATGCATGTACATATTATGTGAAGAACATAGTAGCTTTCAAACCGTGGCGACTGATCAGCACGTGCCTCTTCAAAAACAGGTATTATGCTTCTTTGGAAGTAACGCATGAGAGGAGCCCAATGGATTCTAAAGAGGCTAGGAAACTCACGATTTCGACAATCGCCAGAGTGGGCGAAGAACTCGGAACCCGTACTGGGAGATCTTCATGTGTCTAGTAACTTGCTTCTGTAGCGATGATCATACGAAGTCTTGGTATGGTTCGAAATCCGGAAAAGAATACAATTCGCTTGGTATAGGAAGTACATCATTGCATCGAGGAAAACGGCCCGCGGCATCCATTTCTGGAAGCCCGGTCGGGGCCGGCCTACGGTCACGGGCCGGACCCCGGAGTGGAGAAGCTTACAAATGGACGGCCCGGATTGTGGCGGGCTGCGTATCCGTTCGGTCTGTGAACGCCGCTTCTAAGTACCTAAGACACGCCATTTTCAATCACGTTATCGACCATCGAATCCTTCAGCCGCCACTAGGTCTATTGCGAGTTGTTCAGTTGCTCCGTGCTTACCAATGCAGTCCCTTCTTTTTTTTTTCGGGAATGGTCGTCCGGAATATGGATTCCCACACAGGGTCCATCCATCGAGATAACGTTGAACAACACCCAACTTGAATCAGATATGGCCAATCGTAGATCATCTGAAACGATTGACTTCTCATCTGCATGAACCCTTCCGCTGCACGGTGGCCCAAGCTGGATGCGTAAGACGTCAGGTTGCGTTATTCTGTGACTTGCGCAGTATTGCTGTGACAAGCCTGGCTTGGCTAGCAATCCTTCGATGCATTATTACTTGAAGGATGTGGACCTCGGTCACCAAATTGGGCCGCCTTACCTCACCATCTTTGCTTCACCCCGACTATCCACTTGCGGCTGCGAGTTGTGAAGCTGTCAACGTTATCAGAATTCCCACACTTGTGATTAACAAACAGAACACACCGTCTATAAATCAAGCGAGAAACTCCTCAAAATGACGAAACGAAGACCTTCCAAGCCAAACACACGGGTCAAAATGGCATCCAAAACTGTTTTTGTCACCGGAGCCAACGGATACATCGGCAATGCCGTCGCCCGCGCTTTCGTGGCCGCTGGATGGACGACTTACGGCCTCGTCCGATCGCTCTCCGCGGCAACAGCTCTGGCGCAAGAAGAGATCATCCCGATTATCGGCGCCATCGATGATCTGTCCGCCCACGCCAACATCCAGAGCCATCTACCCGCCACTCTCGACGCAGTCGTTTCGGTGACGGAAAACGTCCTAGATTACATCCCCCACTACCAAAACACCGTCCAACTGCTCCGCGCCATAGGCACCGCCAGCTCCGCCGCCGGCAAGAAACCCCTCACCATCTTCACCTCCGGCTGCAAGGATTACGGCATCGGCCCGCACTACCACGGAGCTCCGGGTCTCGCCCCGCACACGGAGGAGTCTCCCCTCAACCCCATCCCGTTCCTGGCCAACCGAACGACCTATGCGAAGAAGATCCTCGATCACACGGATGCCTTCGCTCCGGTCCTCGTCAGACCTACCAACGTCTATGGTCGCAGTTCGAGCTTCTACAAGGCCTTCTTCGACGTTGCTGCTAAGGCAGCTGCCGAGGGCAAGCCGCTGCTGCTCCCTGTCTCTCCGGACACCATCATTCACGCGCTGCATGTCGACGACTGCGGCGAAGCTTATGTCGCCATTGCTTCGCATCCAAACATAGAAGAGATCGAAGGACAGACCTTCAACATTTCTGCGCAGACGTATGAGACTGTCGACAAGATTGCAGACGCTCTTGTCAAAGAGTATGACATCAAAGCAGGGAAGAAATACGTCGACGCTTCTGACCTGAAGGAAGGGGAGAACCCGTGGCCTCCGGGAATCATTGACTTCCCGCAATGGACGGATTCTTCGAAGCTCACCAACCTGACTGGGTGGAAACATCACAGACCTTTGTTTGCGGAAAACCTCCACGTTTACCGCATTGCATGCGACGCTGCCAAGGTCGCAGGTCACGAGGGTATCAAGAGAATCGACGGATATTTGGAAGCTTGGACTAAGCCCCAGGGGAAATAGATATTCCATCAAGACATTGAAGGCATGATAGAAGCATAGCATCAGGCGTCTCGGTAGCTTGAAATTTAGTTCAACCTATTTGCCAACTGAATAGAGCTCGTTTAGCAGATATGTATTTCTGCCGAGCATCATAACATACCATGTCATCAAGTCTGCTGTGAAATTGTGTGAAAATGCCAAGTTCAAACCAGTTCAATTCAAGTCAAGTGCCTTAATTAGGCTTCCGCTGGTGTTATTAACAGATAGCCTGACATGAGATTACGACGCCATTTCCTGCCAAAACGCAGCACTATAACGACAAGCAATATGGCGAGAAACAAATACATACAAAAGCTCAGCTTGAGCGTCGGTAGCCACCAGACTCTTTCGCCAGTATTACTCTTGCGAGATTGGCATGTGCCCATAAACATGATCGACTCGTCTAGTGGACACTCTTCGTTCCTGACCAGAGACTCGCCAGGTTCTGGGAACTTAACACAGCTGCCTTTGTTTTGTGTCCAACACCCGTTGCCATTATTCGCCTCAAAAACCAGCGGGGCTTCCCAGAACTTCGCCGTCTGATCTTGCTCCGGCACGTTCGCGTTGTCACTGTAGCCCAGAACAACTATTGGAGCACAGTTCATGAACACATTCGAGTCGCCCCATCTGTTATACCATGTCCAGGCCATGACGGACGGTCCGATCGGTAGCCAGGCAGGTACGGTGAAGTTGTAAACACTCGGGAGAAGCACCGTTGGTGACTCTCCGTAGTTGACTTCTGTTAGGTTTCGGATCGGGCAGCCGCCTTCAATGGAGTGAATCACTCGCCATTGAGAGGCTCGTGTGGGCTTCAAATCTTGAGTTATGGATATCTGGCAAGATCCGCCACCATGCGAGGAGCCGCCCATGGCTCTGTACAGAGATGAAATGTCAGTCTACGAGAATTGAGAGATTCTTGATGTCTTCCTACTGTAAGTACTGGACTGAGCCCCGCGGCCAGAGGTTCGATATTCCTGACCAGTCGTAGTCTTTTACTCCCTTACACGGCCAGTCAGACCCGTCCATAGATATTGGGCCATTATTTGAGAGCTGACTTAGGAATGGAGTTGGATGCTGCATGAAAACATGGCCATATGAAAATCGGATGAGAAAAAAGAGGCAGGCAACGATAGGTGATAAGACCAAACGTAGCTGACGCATCTTGACGAGGTGTATTTGCAGACAATGTTGCCCGCAGAACATCCCGACCTATCAATAAGATAGTATTGAACTCAAATGAAAACCAATGTATTACGAAAACATGATCGGCGGCCCCAAAAGTCTGCGATTAGAGACATTGTAACCGTAGCGTGTCATTCCAATGATCCACAGGGGGCATGCGACGTTTAAGGTTTGTACTGGCATCATCACAATATTGGAATGGCGAGAGTTCGAGCCGGGAAGACCCCAGTTCTCGGCAAAAACAGCTCATGAAATAATTGCCATTTTAGATCAATTGTAAAGAACAGCGGTGAGCAAAGCAATGATTCGTGCTGTGACATTGATTCTGGAGACTCGAGGAGTCTACGTGCATTCGTATTCAGGCGAAGAGCACTGTAGATGGAGGAGCTTGGACGTAACACCCGTCTAAGTGATTCGGGTTAGAAACTGATAAATTGAAGGAGTTGGTTGCGAAAAGCTCTAAAGAGTAGTTGCAAAATAGTCTCAGAGACTCAGCGACCTCGGCATATTTACTAAGATGCAAGAACGAGACTTTCGTGTGGCCGTCGGCCGTCTCGTTGGTTTTGGGTCAATCCTTACCTTCGTCACCTTTCAGTACATCACAATCAGAGGAAGAAACTCCTTGGGATTCTACGATCTTCTCATCCAGTCATGTTCTTGCATTCTGTTATTCAACTTTCTCGTTATCATCTCTCGCTGGATTGAGTACGAGCCGATTCCGGGAACGAAAGACAATGACAAACTACCGACACTCAGCATCATCATACCTGCGTACAACGAGTCAGCGTTTGTTCGGAACTCAATTGGTTCGGTCCTATCTTCGGACTACCCACGCCACAAAATCGAGGTCATCGTCGTTGACGATGGCTCGAAAGACGACACCTGGTCTCACATCCAGAGCGCAGCGCAGCAAGCCCACGAAGCAAAGCCACCGCTGCGGTGCATCCCCATCCTCCACGAGGTGAACCGCGGAAAGCGCCAAGCCATGGTCACGGCATTCACGACAGCCAAGAACGAAATCCTCGTGACGCTCGACTCAGACACGCTGCTCGATCGACAGGCGCTGAGAAACCTCGTGTCCCCGTTCGTGGTGGACAGCGGGATCGGCGGTGTGACGGGCCATCTTTCCGTCTTCAACGTCAAGTCCGATGGGTGGAGCAGCTTCGTCCCGCGCACCCTGGACTGCCTCTTTGAGCAGAATGGCAACATCCCAAGAGCTGCGCAGTCGAAGTATGGTTTCGTGACGATTCTTCCCGGAGCCATCTCTGCTTTCCGCAGGCTCGCGGCGGTGCCGCACACGAGTTCGCTCGTGGAGGCTAAGTTCCTGGGACACCCGCTTCGCCACGGAGAAGACGTGCAGCTGACAATGCACATGCTTCGTGACGGCTGGCGATTGCGATACCAGAGCAACGCGGTGGTATACACCGTGGCTCCCGAGACGTTCCGGAAGGCATTCCTCATGTATGTGAGGTGGGAACGCAGTAACTACACCTACTGGATGCTCGGTCTGGTCAAAATTGCCTTCATGGAGGCCGTCAGAATGGTCACTCACCGGAATGTGACAGAATTTGAGATGGCCGTCGACCAGGAGAAGCAGGACGGCAGCGCCACGCGGAATGCGCGGCAACCGGACTTCCATCCTATTTTGGGGATTGTTTGCACCGGGTTCTCGAACTTCTCATGCATGGCTGCCATTTTTACTCTGGCGAGGGGTGCATACACGAATCCTTGGGTGAGCCTCATGAACGTGGGCTGCCTCGTGGTTTTCGCAACCTGGTCGAGCACTTTATTATTGGCGGATGCGATTGTCCAGGACTATGGCGACATGGCGGGTCTTGAAGTCAAGGATACAACTCAGGAATCCCCCGAGTCTCAAAAGAGACGGTATCCAAGACTGAGGAAGAAGATGCAGTACTCGTGTTTCTCCACAGTGGCCAATTTCTTGTTCGTTAGTTGGGCGTCAATGTTTGGCTTGTTCACCTTGAGGAGCCAAAGTTGGCTGACAAGATAGTTAGGTTTTGAATGAGATTAGACCACTTTTCTTCAGTGGAACCACTCATCAGCATTTACTTTCTCAGACACGTTCCAGGCTAATCGAGAACGGACGGTAGAGCAATAACCTGAGCATACTGAGATTTTGATGCGACGCTGCTGGCATTCTGGCGCCAAGATGACTGAAGAAACAAATGTAACGTCGATGAACCGGTGGCGGGAGTTACATCGCCGCAGAGTGCTGCCGAAAGCTTAGCTTGTGGGCTCCAATGAGAAAGACTCAGAGTAGCTCGGTTCAGTTGAAATCTATTAAACTTCCGGGACCCTGTTTCGACGCATGCTTTTGCCTGCCGATATTACGCGGTGTATTCACGTGGCAGCTCGATAAGATGGACTCGGAATCCAAGTGCTCCCTTTTCAATGGATGGATGTGCCTTGCTTGAACGTACCTTACCTCACACTTTCAACCGACACCTTGGACCCTTACCCTTGTACATTCTGACTTTTGCTTATACCCGCTGATTCTTGACGACGACAATGGGCAATGACATACCGATACCATCAAGACACGGACAGGTTGTGCGCAAGTGCACAGTAAGTTCCCCACCACTCAGAGATAGAAGGAATTAAGTTGACTGAAACTGGTTCGAAGGTCCCAGGAACGGTTGCTTTCACGTTCAATGACGGCCCGTCGTTTTACACTGACTTCATCCTGAACCAATTCGCCCTCCATGGAGCCCATGCGACATTCTTTCTCTCAATGTCTCAGAGACTGGAAGATGAGACACAGTCAAGATATTGGGAATCCCTGGTGAGGAAGATGTACGACTCGGGGCACTTGGTCGGCCTTCACGCCACAAGCCAGGATCTGTCCGACGATGGGCTTTTGAAGGCCACACAAAAGCTATCCGCAATCTTATCGACAACGCCGCCGAAGTATCTACAACCACGCTACGTCCGAACATTACCAGAAACTTGCACTGTGGATAACGGTTGTGTCGAGAGACTGACCGTAAACGGCGGGCGTCTTGTCTTCCGGGGTCTAGATGCAGACGATCTGCACCACAACTCGACGGAAGACTTCCACTCGGTTACATCCGCCCTCTTGCTCGACAGTCTGAGCAGAGCAAATCCTTCGAAAGACTCATTTCTTATTCAAATGCACGATACTGAGGAGCAAACTGCGCTCAATATTGGGCACTTGTTACGGAAATTTTCGGAAAAGGGGTTCAAAGCTACAACTGTGGGAGACTGCGTGGCTGATGTAGAAGAGCACTGGTATCAACGACCAGATGACGTTATATCATTCACACGGAATCGCCCTGTGAAAATACCTGGGATGCAAGTTTCTGCGCAGCCTTGGTGGGTGGCATTTCTGGGTGTTGTGCTACTGGAGATTGCTGCACTTAGCTGCCTCTTCTGGGCAGCAAGAAGGTACAAGAAGATTAAATCACACTTGAAAGTAGTTCAATAAGAACGGGTTTAGTATATCCATGTGATCAGTACTCGCAAAACTTGAGAACCATGCGACTTTAGGCTACTTTTGGGTTCATGTCTCCTTCCAAGACATTCCGACACCTCTCCGTCTTCTATCTACTGTACTGGAAAACAAAGTCTTCTAATGGCTCAATCACTGTTGAGACGACTTCGTGGATGAACTCTTCGTCGCCAAGGTCTGGACGTACAGAAAATTCCAGATAGACGCATCGATAAATGACATCCGAAACGTCAGATCCATGCTGTTCCTCCACGTAACTCTGCCACTCCCTGGCAGCTAGCTCCAAAGTTGCATCGCTCACTTCTCCATCCACCCAGTAGTTCTCGTAGAAGGGTTGTTGCTCAAGTTTCTGTTGGTAGATAAGTTGCAGAATAATGACTCCGAGTGTGAAGATGGCCATCTCGGCATGAGTCTTGGCGTTTGGAACGCCTTGTTCTAGCGCATACCGAATCGAGTGATGGGTGTAGAATGGGGCGGGTGTGGGTGTTGCGCAGATTGCGATATCACTGTCTCCCCAACCGCGGGGAAACCAGGGGGATGTCCCGAGGCCAAGTATTGTGTAAGCTAACTTGATTCCCAGTCGCAACCGTTGATCTAGTTGCATCACCGACTTGGAGAAATTTCCGAAAGACAAATTGTCCTCGATGGACGCAAATTTCTCCGGAAGTTTCAACGTAGCTGGTTCTTGTTTCTGCGCCTTGAGCAGCTGTCGAGAAATACCATCAGGGAGCGGGTTTTGGAAAAAGCTGCAGCATATGTTGAGCTCAGGGTCCAGAGCCGGAGAGGTAGAGAAGGATTTGTGTTGATCAGGTTGATCCTCCCATCGTACTCGAGGCTTTGACTCAGCATCAGTAGCGTTCCGTAGAGCTCTGGATAGAAGGTTTAGCCTCATACTCGATGTATCGTTGTGTTATATGATTATTCTGAAGGGTACTGACATTAATGAGCCTCCCGAATTGCTCCTTGACCCTTGGGTATCAATAGCAAATGTGGCGGCCGACCGAACAAGGGCCGATATCGTGTGCTGAGACTCAAGCCTTTCTTGGCTCTTAGAGTCGGCGGCCAAATCCGCCTCAAGTCTCTTCCTAGAAAACTCAAAGATGTTGGAATCTTTTGATGGGGTACTGAGGTCAAACTCGTCTCTGGCGAAGTCCACCTGTACTCGTTTGAGAGACCTGGACGACCCAAGAAGCAGCATTATTTGCCCGATTCTCTTACGACGCCTGTCCTCGGTCCAATAAGTAGCGATTCCACAGAAATGATTGTGACCGCAATGGCAGTTCCACCCTTTTGGTTGCAGAGATTGACAGAGTTTTGAAGCATATTTCTGGACTCGAAGAAATGGTTGCGCGCTCTTCTTGCGATTCACTTCATGTCCCTTGGACATGGCCGCATGACCCAATACGGTGTATCGTACCTCCGATATCTTGAGTTCCTTTTCCAAGAAAGTCTGTATCTTCTGGTTGATAGCTTTCATTTCGTTGATAACCTCCTTTTTCTTGGTGAAGCTGACTGCAAGACGAAATTGATCTTGCATCCGTTTGATCTGACTTGGCGACAGCGAAACAGACGACGAGACAGCAAGTAGCCCCTATTTGAAGAGTGTTAAACATATTCTGTGGCAGAACAACAGTCTGAAGCATTTATGTATTTGATAGAAAGATATATGCTAGAATGGAACATACCTTGACGTCAAACTTGGTCAACAAAGCCGTGAGATCTTCAATGATCTGACGAAGGCGTCGAATCTTTCTGTCAAACCAGTCGAATTTGGCTTGATCATGCCCGAATCTGTACCTCAAAAGCGACAAGACATGCGGGTCATTCCAATTTTGCGAGGTGTCAGGATCGTTCATCAGACTCGCTTCGACTTCTGGGTCGAGACCAAGAGGTCCCAAGAGGAACTCGATATTTTGTCGAAAATCCATCATGTCATCCTCGATTGAAGCGAGTAGCTTTGGCAACCTGTCGCGAAAAGCCCAGTGGAATTTGAGCGGCTCGGCATATTTGACAGCTTTGCCCAATATGGGGAGTAAGCCTAGGACTACGCCGACGACTTCAAAGCCAGACATATCTGGGCAGCAAAGTTAGGAGCCTTCAATGTTGTATGGGGGTTAGGATTAATGCCATTTCTCCACACTGCGGTTCACCTCTCGTTCTGAAGATGAACGGAGCCTGAATATTGCCGTAAATGTCGTCCCGAACGGTGCCAGACAGTTTGGTTCCAGCCGATTGCCGTTGGGAGCAGGCAGCAAGTTGATTCCGGAAGATCAAGAAACCGGCTGCATAAGTGTCTGTCGCATCTATCGTTTCGTACTAAACAAGAGCAAACAGTTCATATATCGGCGTAGGTGTCCCTAGACTTGAGAGCATCCATTTGAGCTGATTGACGATTGAGCCACATACAGTTCCAAAGCCCTCAGCGATCAATCAGCTGACAAAACATGTATTACCCCGCGTTACTTCGAGATGCATGACACGTGAATCATTCTCATTGGAACAAATGCTGCACCTTCATGCACCGAAACAGAATATTCTTGCCTCATTGAACCTAGACGCTGTCACACACATGTATGTCATCCCCGCTTAACTGCCTGACCAACTGTCTTCCTCAGGAGATAAGGATTAAATATCAAGGGACGATTGCGCACTTATCTAACCCTTCAGATATAACACGAGATTGACCACGGACGCTGTTGACTGGAGATGCGTTTACCTGAATCATCACAGTCGACAGAATGTCCGCTCCCACTGGTGACACTTCAGTCAAGCCATCCGCAAACTCGAGGTCCATCTCAACCCTGGCAAGGACTTGCAGGACAAATCTGAGGAACCTTTATGACGAGATATTGGTCGATGCACCACAAGACGAATCCATCGCTGCAACGCTCTACAATATTTGTGGGCGTTATAACGTTTGGGGACATAATTTGGGTGCTTTCAAGAATGAAAACTCTGTCGCATCACTCGACTGGCGGCTGAGAGGAGCGCAGAAGATGCCTGAAGCTGTGACAACGACGCTGAAAGACATAATTCTGGCCACCAGCGACGGTGAGAGTTGAATTGGTTACAAAACAACTACTGAGTAAGAAACTGACATTGCCCTAAACTAGCCAACTCAATTCTGAAAAAGCAGTCTCCTAACAGGGGGAGATCTGATCTGGACCCCATTTTCCAAGGGCTTGATCTCGAAGATCCCGATAACGGCGACTTGATCCAGTTCTTATCTTCAGTCACAACAGAATTCGAAGGCCTCATCAACAGTCTCAGTGCCTCGACTGATCGATTATACAGGCTTGCGGTACTGATCCGCCGGGGATCTAGTCAACGGTCGAAGGGGAAAACGAACATTCCTGTCAGTATCGGAGAAGATCCTGGTCGTGACAGCCATGTCCTGCGCCTCATCGAAAAGTACCCAGGACTGAAAGACAATCATTCGCTTCAGGAGAGGCTTGGAAATGCATTTGTCCAACGTCGCTCTTTCATATTGGACCGTCAAGTCCGGCGTCCAGTTGCGTCAATGGCAGCCGAGTTAGCATCAACGCCTGCAAACCATGAGCCTTCAGTGGCAGCTTCCACATTCGTGGAAGATCTAGAAAACAACGATGCCGAGTCCGAAAACGGCAGTGAAACGAGTCGCAGGAGCGGAGCCACGTCATTCGCCACGGCCTTCCGAGAAGGGGCCGATGGGGAGATAGACATGCTGGATTTGAGCCGGTTGAAGTTTCACACAGTACAGCTTGAGTATGAAAAGGAATTCGACTGCCCCTTTTGCCGAGAGTTCGTTTTGATGGAATCGAGCGATGAGTGGAAGTGAGTTGGCAAGTTCCATGATCCCTCCATACATGGCGCCAACTAAGAAGGCTCGAGTATTCAACGTTGATCATCCGCTAACTAGTATAGGAGACATGTTTACACAGATCTCCAACCATATGTGTGTACCGCCGATGGATGTTCATCTGCACTGTTTGCTACGCGACGTGAATGGTTTGCTCATGAGCTTGCAATTCACCGAAGGAGCTGGTATTGCCACCGCTGTCCCCAAACATTCGACAAAATGGAACTCTTACAAAGTCATTTCGAACAATCGCACCCAGGGGCTGTTCCTTCATCCCAAATATCAATGGTTCTGGCATCTTCGTCGCGTCCTCTATCAGATTTTAAGGGAGAAACATGCCCATTTTGTGGGCTTCTCCCGGTCGCGGAAGGCTCTTCTGAACAAGCCACGACATTCTTTCGACATGTCGGGAAGCATCTTCAAGAACTCGCACTTCTGGCGATACCGGGATACATTGAAGGGCTAGTGATAGAGGATGGGGATGCCGAAGAGGGTGAAGCTGGCAAAGAGAGTGTCAGCGAGGGCCCTATCTCACCGGCACGCTCTTTAAGCCAGCGCTCATGGGTTCGACGAAGTAAGCAGAGTACAACTTCCAAGGTTACTCTGTCGGCAGAGAATGTCAAGGATGTCACAACTAATGCTATACGGTTGAACACCGTAAGCTGGAATGCCATCACTCAACGACTTCAAACCACACTCGGACTTAAGTCGAGAACAGCACCCGGATCGAAGTGGAAAGAAAGTAACCTGGGGATTAACTTGATTGAGCCCAGAGAAGTTGTAACTGCCACTATAGCCTCCGCAGAAAACGGAGGTTTGAAACTTGAGACCGACTTTCTCATCAGGATGGATGGCGACAACCTCTACCAAGCTGACGTTGTGCTGGGCTCAGAATACTTTGGCAATGTCATCAAAAAGTACGGCAATGGCAGCAAGGTGCACATAGTACCAGCAGGTCGGATTAAAAAGTCGGACCTTGAACAGTGGCTAAAGGCTGAATATGGGGCTTCCAAATTCGAAGTTGTAAGTATGTGAACTTCTCTGAGTTTACATAACTCGCTGACGTGACATTTGGTCCAGACTCATCATGGTACCCAATACATCATTGGTACAGTGGAAGTCGTTCCACTAGTAAGTTCATTCATCTAAATACCATCACGTTGCTAATGAGCACGCAGATCACCTCTGCAACGGTAGAGCATCTGATTACGTGCCCACCTCAGCTAAAAATCAGGACGAGATCCATGGAACACATAAGTGAATTTACTTAGTAGAGACACCCCATCAAAGATATCTGTGGAGGGATTATTAGAACTCTGTACATCTTTTCACATCTAGAACGGCTACTTGGATGCCCTCAAGCTCATGATGCACAGCGTAAAAAGCTGAAGTCTCGAATCACAGTCATGCGAATAGCACACAGGGCCCCATCAAAGAACCTATATGATTGTCATTGCCGGCTTTAATCAACGTTACGAGTTGGGTTGTTGCCTGGCCAGATTTGGCGTGGTAGTAAGTATTCAAACGTAGTCTGAACATGTTTGGACATGACGAATTAATCAGAGACTTCTCAAATGGGTCGCTGCATGGGATTGAGCGGCAGAAATTGAGTTGTGGTGTTGGTCCTACCTCTTTTGGTGCCGTATGATGAAAATTTCCCATTAATTCCAACTCATCTACACTGCATGATTTGACTATATGGGAATATCTGGGTTGTGAAAGAACTTTTATTCTCCACACCTTGGGACACTGAATCAGCAAGGTACACGTATGTCAACTGCTTCAACAACAGGAGTCATCATGGATCCCAATACCATACAACAAAATATCCTCAAACGGATTCCCTTCCCTCAAAACCTTCACCTCCGGCCTCCCCTGGTCCTGACAACTCACAAACCCCCACTCAGAAGTCTCGTTAAACCTCTGCCTTCCCCTCGCAACGACATTGAATTCCGGCACGAACTCCTTTTGCTTCGTGACCTCCCCGAGACCCCCACACGTCTGCGTCCGGACCTCAGTCTCCCCCCACGCCCAGAACCCGTCCTCGGCGTCGCACGGGAAGTCGATCGTCAACTTGGGCGCGACGGGTTCGCGAATGGACGAGTACAGGGCACGGAACTCGGGCAGGAGGCGCCGCGTGACGGGGCACTCGGCGTCGAGCCAGAGGTACACCCTGTCGGCCTTCATCTCGGGCTCGGAGAGGATGTGCCAGATGTTGCCGCCGTTGAGGTAGAGCCAGTTGCCGCTGTCCTCGCGGAGGGAGATGTTGATGACGCGGGCCTCGGTGAGGTATCTCGGGCGCGGGTATTTTATTAATCTTTGGAGGGTCGGGCCGTTTGTGATGTTGATGATTTTGTTTTTCCTGAACGAGTCTATGCTTTCATCGTATCTGGACACCTGTTAGTCGCGTCTATACCGGGTGGTATCCGTATGAGACTCACATTCGTTTGCAAGATAGCAAGAGGGCCATGAACCCCTGGTCTTGGCCGTGATTATAGTCCACCTCTATTTCGTCTTGTATGTCTTCCCACAACTCCTCGCATCTCCAATGGTTACACCATTTCGACTCCATCCTGTCGAACCATTTCGGATGATACTGAACCTCGGGAGAACTTTTGAAATCCCTCGCCAGGCCTATCTGCCTCTCATCCGGCGCCTCATGATCTATGATGCATGGCGAGTATACTAATTCCCTGTTTCGTAAAAATGCGTGTCGTTTTACCCCAATGACGTTCCACAATTCTCGGTATATCTGCTCTCGAATCTCGGGCGGCAGTCTGCGAAAGAAATGTGACTGGCCCTGGTCGTATCGAGGCGCTTCCTCCTCCACGTCCTCAAGTATTGGTTTGATGAGCGATCCATGATTATTATCTCTACTTGTTGTTGTCGTCCGGGAAGATGAGGTCGAAAATGACGGACTACTTCGTGACTTGTGAACCTTTCGGCCGTTACTCCTGTTGATATGTTCTCGGAGTAGTCGGCGAAAGAAGTGCGGACTGGGTTGATGGATTTGATCGCAACGAGGGGACTCCTTTTCCGGGTGTTCGGGTATTCTGTAGTCCAGTGGCTTGTACTCGTCCTCCCCTGCCGTCGTTGTGGTGAACACCGATGAGGTAGAGAAGGATGACTTGCTTCCCGACTTGTGGCTTCTTTGGCCGAGGCTTGACTTCTCATCCTGACTATGGCTTTCTCGGGAAAGCGAGCGCCTCACACTATTCAGACATCTTCTCGAAGCCCGGCGTATCAGGCTGGGTTGACTCATAGCTAGACCGGACTAGGCCGACTTGCTATTCGGGGAGGCGAGCCGAAGGAATCGAAGGATTTACGGGATTGACGGGATTGACGATGAGTAAACACACCGTGTGGAGTTGACGGGAAGAGGTCGAACAGGAGGCGCGCTTGCGTAAGGAGTTGAGTCCGAAGGGGAGACGCCTTAAGCAGAAAAGAGCGAGGAGCCGCCCCTAGGAAGAAGAAGAAAAGGACAGGCAAGGGTGTCTCAGAAGAGGGGGGAAATGGGAAATCAGACATGATATAGATGGATGTTTGCTTCACAGTGTCTCGGATACCTACTCTGTCCTCGAAGGAAGCCCAAAGCGGCCAATCAAGGCTGTATAATGTTCCACAATCCCGAGAGTCTGGTAGAGGGCTTCATCACCAACCAACCAATTTTGCAGTTGTACCAACAGAACTGCAAGGTATTCGAGGTCTCCAACGCCCCCAAAGTGCGCCCACTTTGTATCCATACATGGGGAGTGAGGTGAGGGGCGAGGCAGACAAGGGTCGCGAAGAGATGTTGTTGGTGGTTGCTCGGCTCTGCCCAGAATGAGAGCAGCGCACCTTGCCCATCCACCCTGTGTAACTCGATGACCATACCTACTCCTCGAATCCGACCGCGCTGCAGCGTCGCATGGGACCATCTTTGCTGCCCCCTAGTGATGCAAATTTGGGGTCATCGCCAAAGCCGACGTGACCGTGGCATACGGTATGTAGTTGTCATGCATGTTTGCTTCCCCCAAGCGGAAAAAGCAAGGCCGCACGGGGAGCGGCGGGCGCTGCGGCAACTGGTTAGCTCGCCGTCACGGCGCTGGGATGGCGGACCCTGTTGGCCACAGGGCGGGCGCGGCGCGAGAGGGAGAGGCGGCGGGTACATTGCGGATCGTATCCCGCGGTGAGACAGAGATCGTCTGTGGTGGTCCCTCGTGAACTCGTGGCTGGTGTCACCGGGGTTGTGTCGTCGGAGTCGGACAAGACCTGCGGAGACGTCCACAAAAGTGACCAAGTCACTTAGCAAGTGCCTCCACCCAAAGATAAATTAAGTCGATGGATCCTACGGGGCGAACTGCAGCTGAGTTGTTGGACTTCAAATCTTGAACGAGACTGGATTTCGGCCCAATTGCCCTCGCTGAAGAAAGCTGGAAGGATCCCGCGGATCTTCCTCTGTTGGTGGTAGGCCCGCCGGCTTTGCTGCTCACGTTGGTCAGGAATGAATCAAGGCCCGACGCAGACGGGATATGTCTCGCTTCGGCCTCTGCAAAACCCGTGCAATAGTCAGGACGACTTGCGTCGTCTAGCGGACGAATCAACCTCAACCTCTGAGACCAGTCATTTTCCCATCTGGGCATTCCAATCGTCGAATGGAGTGGAACCTGTTAGACCGGAGCAAACACGAGTGATGCGGATACAACGGCCGTTGCGAAGGCACCAACAAGTGTGAAGGCTGTCATCGCCACAGGCTGTCTGCCCGCGGCACAGGGCAGGTTTGACGTGAAACCGCTCAAGGCGCCGTTGGACTTCGACTGTCGTCGTCTCTTTAGCCCGAACAAGGCTCCATCCTGCGAAGACGTGCTGAAGGTTCGCAATTGGCCCGTCTACGGCGACGGCGTTCTTTTCTCCTCACTTGGGCCCCCTTCTCTCCCTCCACGCATCGTGGGACCGCTCGATAAGGCCTGGTCGAATTGGCGGCGCTAAGTCCCTGGTTCCCGGGGAACCGGGGCCAGCGCCGGCCGGTGGACGGGTTGCCGGATAGGGCGAAGTGCATCCAGTGTCTAGAACATGGAGCATTTCTCCGTCCGGCTGCGTCGACGGCGAGAGACATTGGGTTCAGTTACCCAGAGAGCAAAGGCCGAGGGTATGTGGCAGAATCGCGTTTCCCGTCTCTCGAGGCGTGGTTGAGTTACTGAAGCAGAAATGCGGTCGATGGTTGGGACTTTCGCATTGGAAGCCTCGGTTTCGTTGGTGACATCGTGTAAGCGAGGCGGGCAAGGATTGTGCGTCGAGGAGACGCGCAATATGCACCTTGCACCAACACGTAGTCCAGGATGCGAGGATGATGTTCTCCAAAGCGGCAAAAATTCACAGTGTCCGCCATGCGTATCTGTATGAAGTCGACTGTGAATATGCGTTTGGCCATTCAGCATGCTTGAGGCCATAGCTTCCGACCGGGTCCATGAGGTGGTTGATGGCAACGCGATCCTTGTCGCGCTGTTGGGGTCGTTTTCTGGCTTCGCGGCAAAGTCTCTCACATCTCACTAGACAGACTGCCCATCCCTGCCTAAGTTGAACCGAGATGTCAGCCCAGTCAAGCCGGAATAATCCGCAAGGGGAACATAGTTGAACCCTGAATATTTTGAAAAGAGTTTCGGTACGCATCCCGGGTGGCGTCCGGCGCTCCGTGACGGCGAGGCGGGGCCGCCCGCAGGTAGTCAGGTCCAGGGCGACCAGGATGAATGAAACGATGTTCATCTGGCTGTGTGGAAAACCCAATCTGGTAGAGGGTTTGCGGCGGCAAATGACGGGGTTGAGGAAAAAGGAAGCATCGCGAATTTCACTATGTTTCTTGAAAAGAAAGTCCATCGCTGGTGACCGGAAGAAGAGGCCCGAGCTGATGTAATCCGAAAGCCACAGCTAAGCTTATCGTGCTTGATAAGAATATAGCGAGTGACTAGCGATGACTTCTGCTCGAACGGCAATTGGCCTGCTGAAGAGACGCCCTATTATTCGCATCAGCAGCTGTTTCGTTAGGGGAGCAGCTGGAGGCTCAGGCGTTGCATGATGTGCGATAAGATAAGATAGAAACGGCTCAATGAAAAAATCCAGATGAAAGAAAAGGCGGGGCGATTGGTCCGAGAGAGAAGCTTAGCGAATAGAGGCGAACGCCTCGCCCATGCGCACCTTCAGAAAAAAACAACAATCTCCCCCCGGCCAAGACTCTCTGATCGACGGGCACAGGCATCTCTCACTCCTGTGGACGTTCGTTTCCGTCTCATCAGATTGTCAAAACCGTCCGCATCGAGGACAGTTGCAACCCTGAGAGCAACCCCTCAGTTTCATGGCGTCTACTCGCCAATCTCACCCAACATTGCTGTCCTAGCAGTCCCTCGCTGCGCCGCGAATTCGGGCGCCACTACGTCATGAAGTTCGCGAAGCAGCTCGAGCAGGACCTCGTACCAGGTACGGCAAGCCCCTGAAGCACTGTCTGTCTTTCTCAATTGCTTTTTTCTGGTACTGACCCCAAGCCTGTTGGACAGAATGGCGCATCAAGTACCTGAACTACAAGGCTGGCAAAAAATACGTCAAGGCCGTTTCTCGCGCCATCAACCGCGCCAACGGCAGCCCCCAGGGAAACGGTAGCAAGACCGACAACCGCATAGCGTCCAACTTCTTCCATGTGTCGCCGTTCAAGCATGGCAGCACGAAGGCTACGAACCCCGACGAGAGGACCTCGCTGCGAGAGGGTTCTGCCCCGGTGGGCTCGGCGCGTCAAAAGCCCGCGACGCCTGCACGAGCGATCCCCTCGTCCGCACACGACGGAGATCGGAACCTGACGAACGGGCCGAACGATATGCAATATGGCAGCTTTGTACATACCCCGCCTCAACACGAGGGCACACCACTGGATCGCAAACCTACGTTCGAGCTGCCCGGCCCGGCTATGAAGGTGCCCTCGGCTGCGAGCGAGGCCACTCCACAGGTTGCCCAAGCCCACGGAAGCATGACGGCAAGACAAGCGCTGCAACGAAGTGCGTCCATGATTGCGGACCCTCGAAATGCCGATCCTCCTTCGCCAGAGCACACGCGGACTCCTTCCACGTTGAGGCTGCCTCACCCCGCTACCGTCGGGCCTGGATACGGTGCCTCGCCGAGAGGTGGACTGCGGAGACTGTTTTCAAATGCGTCACCCCTTAACAGGGCGGGGACCAATCCTGAATACGGCCTCCAAGGACTGGCATTGGATGTCGTGAGACAGAAAGAGAAGGAATTCTTCGAGTTTTTGGACTCGGAGCTGGACAAGGTGGAAGCATTCTACAAGATGAAGGAAGACCAGGCGGGCGAGCGATTGACGGTTCTCAAGGAGCAGCTTCACGAGATGAGGAATCGTCGCACGCAGGAACTGCACGCCCAGAAGCGCCAGGCCGAAATCGAGTACATGAGCGGGACGAACGGAGACAGCGACGACGCGAAGAGGGGACCCCTTGGTTGGATGGATCCCGTTAGGTCTAAGATCTTCAAGCCTGGGCCCAACTCACGAGCACTGCAGAAGATGGCAAGAACACCGGTCATGGCGCCGAGGGAAGGACACGATGCAGGAAGGGACTACATCCGTCGACCTCCAGAGCACGAAGTTCCCTACAGGTCCGCCAAGCGCAAGTTGAAGCTTGCCTTGCAGGAGTTCTACCGCGGCCTCGAGCTGCTCAAGTCATACGCCCTCCTCAATCGGACTGCTTTCCGTAAGCTCAACAAAAAGTACGACAAGGCTGTCAATGCCCGCCCTCAGTATCGGTACATGAACGAGAAGGTCAACAAGTCGTGGTTCGTCAACAGCGATGCTTTGGATGGACATATCAAGGCTGTGGAAGACCTCTACGCTCGCTACTTCGAGCGCGGAAATCACAAACTCGCTGCTGGCAAGCTCCGGAGCATGGCTCGCAAGCCCCGCGACGAGTCTGGAAGTGCCTTCCGTTGCGGAATCCTTCTTGGAACTGGCGCGGTTTTCGCGATTCAGGGGGCTGTATTCGGCGTCAATCTCCTATGGGATGATGATGATAAGGTACGGCAGCAGACAAGCTATCTCCTGCAGCTTTATGGGGGGTACTTCCTCATGCTGCTACTGTTCTGCATGTTCTGTATCAACTGTGCCATCTGGACCAGGAACAAGATCAACTATCCCTTCATTTTCGAGTTTGACACACGGAATAACCTCGACTGGCGGCAGCTAGCCGAGTTCCCGAGTCTGTTCACATTCATATTTGGTCTCTTCATCTGGCTCAACTTCAGCGAGTACGGAACCGAAGAGATGTATGAGTACTACCCGGTAGCTCTCATCTTTGTCTCGGTCCTCATCATCTTCTTTCCTGCCCCCCTGCTCAAACATAGAAGCAGGAAATGGTTTGCATACGCTCATGTAAGTTCCCTGTAGGCATGCACTTATGGACCTAACTAACATCTTTAAGTGGCGTCTCTTGCTCGCCGGCCTTTACCCAGTCGAATTTCGAGATTTCTTCCTCGGTGATATCTACTGCTCTTTGACATATGCCATGTGTGTAAGTAAACCACCGCACTCCTGTGACCTGTCGGTTGGCTAATTGGTCAAAGAATGTCGAGTTGTTCTTCTGCATCTACGCCAACGCCTGGGAGAATCCCGTCCAGTGCAACTCGAACCACTCGCGACTCCTCGGCTTCCTCGGCGCTCTGCCTCCCATCTGGCGTTTCCTTCAGTGCCTCCGTCGATACAGAGATACCCGCAACATCTTCCCCCACCTCGTCAACGGTGGGAAATACACAATGTCCATCCTTGCCGCCATGGCTCTTTCGCTGTACCGCATCAACAACACTAGAGGGAACCTGGCAATGTTCATCGCCTTCTCGACCATCAACGCCGTCTACACGTGTAAGAAGCTTACCCCTACATCTCCTCGCCCGCCTCAGTACTGACACACACCCTAGCGCTATGGGACCTCTTCATGGATTTTTCCCTAATGCAAGCCCAGTACAACTTCCTCCGCGAGATCAGAGCCCTCAAGAAACGCTGGCCCTACTACCTCATTATGGTCCTCGACCCGATACTCCGCTTCGCATGGATCTTCTACGCCATCTTCACCCACGACACCCAGCACTCCACCATCGTCTCCTTCATGGTCGCCCTCGCCGAGGTCTCCCGCCGCGGCATGTGGACCCTCTTCCGCGTCGAGAACGAACACTGCGCCAACGTCAAGATCTACAAGGCCTCCCGCGACGTGCCCCTCCCTTACCCCACCTCGCCCCCCTTCTCGCGCTCCCCCACCGTCGCCGGCGTCGCCAAGGACGACGACGAGGTCGCGGAGACGACTGCCCCCGTGCGGGAGACCGCCACCGCCGCCGCTGCGTCGGGCACGTCGCAGCGCTTGGAGGAGGGCACGGTGCGCCAGCGGAAACCGTCGACGATTCTCAACCGCAGCTTCTCCAAGATCCTGGCCGAGGCGCACAGGCAGGATTTCGAGAAGAGGAGGAAGCCGATCGAGGCGGACGAGCCGCAGCTGGAGGAGGCCGGGGGTATGGCTAGCGACGACGACGACGGGTCGGATGACGATGATGACGATGAAGGGGATATCGGGTCGCCCGGGTCTTGTGCGGACTCGATGGAGATACAGGAGGCCGCGGACCTTGCGGATGATGGTCGCGAGGGCACGAGGTCTGGTCCGTGACGGGGTTGGCGGTAATGGTAATTATAGATATTTAATGTCTGCCAGCGATAATGAGATTATTTTTAAGGGTGGGGAGTTCAAAGTTCAGTGGTGTCCTGGATCGAAACGTATCCATATTGATGCGTCTAGTTGTGCTAGTTACATAATCTACAAGCAATTCGTAAATCATACCGCCGTCCACATCTACACAATTGCGCCGCGCTGAAACGCCCCTTTCGTCTTACCAAATTACATGCTCTCTCTATCTTAGTGCCACTCGCCGTCGACCTTCTCCCACAGGTCCAAGAAGCCCTTGAAGAACTTGACGCCCAGGCCGGGGTCCAGGGCGCCGGTGGTGGCGCGGATGGAGTGCATGCTCAGCTGGGGCAGGCCGGCGTCGGCGGCCTTGACGCCCATGGCGCTGCTGAGGGCGGGGCCGACGGTGCCGCCGCTGCGGGTGTCGTTGCGGATCTGGAAGGTCTGGGTGGGTGCTCCCGCGAGCTCGCCGACGCGCTGGAGGATGGCGGTGGAGACGGCGTCGGTGGTCATGTGGCCGTTGCTGTCGCCGCAGATGGCGATGCCGACGTTGAGCTTGGGGACGTGGTCGTCGAGGTAGAGGCCGAGGAAGTTGGGGTTGCCGGCGTGGGTGACGTCGGCGGAGAGGAGGAAGGAGGAGGCGAAGGTGCGGGCGAGGACGTCGGTGCCGAAGGGGACGGAGTCCGCGTGGGTTGTGAGGGACTCGACGGCGCGTTCGATGGTGAGGGGGAGGAAGTTGGAGCGGGCGCCCTGGCGGAGGAGGGAGCCGATCTCCTCGTCGTCGAAGAGGGCGACGAGCTTGATCACGCCGTCGGCGGGGTCCGAGTCGGCGGCGAGGAGGGCGGTGAAGGCGGCCCAGGAGCAGAGCTTGTCGTCGATGCGGCCGCCGAAGATGAACTCGCGGTCGAGGCCGCCGGTCTGGGCGGGCTGGGAGTCGTAGAGCTCGAGCTCCCAGTTGACGATCTGGGTTGGGGAGGAGAGGCCGAGTTCCTTGGAGACGAGCTTGACGAGCTTCGGGGGCTGGGTGTTGATGAAGGCGCCCTTGGGGCCGAGGGGTTCGGCGGCGGCGGCGGCGGCGGCGTCGGCGTCGGGGTTCTCGAGGCCGATGATGGGGACGGCTTGGGTCTCGGGGTTGTTCTGGCCCATCATGCCGACGCCGAAGTGAGGCGCGAGGGTGGGGATGCGGGCGATGGGCCAGTCGAGGCGGACGAGCTTGGAGGAGGTCTTGTTGTTGTCGTCGCGGACGATGACGCGGCCGCCGATGGAGAGGTCGCGGTCCCACCAGGTCTGGTTGAGGGCGCCGGCGTAGGGGGCGACGCCGAGCTGGTGGTACCCGGCGCGGGTGGGCTTCGTGCTGACGGGCTTGAGCTTCGCGGTGAGGGCGTCGATGTGGCCTGCGATCATGGCGACGCCGTTGCCGGGCTTGTAGGCCTCGCCGACGGTGAAGGCGATGAGGCCGGTGCCGTTGCGGGTGGTCCAGTACTTTCCTCCAGGCTGGAGCTTGTCGGACCAGCTGTCGCGGGCAGGGAGCTCCGTGAAGCCGGCGGCGGCGAGCTTGGACTTGAAGTAGGAGACGGCGTGGAAGATGGTGGGGTTCTCGGAGAGGAAGTCGACGAAAGGCTGGGTGTAGGCCTCGGGCTTGCCGGCGGAGACGGCGCAGAGCTTGCAGGCGGACGGGGAGGCGCGGGTGGTCTGCTTGACCTCGCTGTAGCGGAGAGCGTTCCAGCACGACTCGCAGACGGGGTTGGAGGCGGCGGGGCGGCCGTCCATGTCGGCGAGGAGGAAGGGCTTGGAGGCGACGGCGGGGAGTGTCGTCGAAGTGGCCATGGAGGGCGCGGGGGATTGGGATCGCGAGAGGGCCTCGGCGGCTTCCATTGCTTGAAGGCGGAGGGAGAGGGAGGAGACGCGGGAGCGCAGGGAGTCGGGGGTGTGTTTGGTCATGGTTGGAAGAGGTCTCGAATCGTGGTTATCGCGAGGGAGGTTGCTTTGGTGTTTTGGTTATCGGGTGTATACACGCGCCACGAGGAATTGAGTGACGAGGAGACGGAATTGCGTGATATGTGAGGTGCCGAGGCCTAGTTGAAGCTAGGTGTTGTGTTTGTGTAGAACAACGAGAGCGGGCCGGGCCGGAGCAGTACGTGTAGACGGAAGGTTGTGGACGGCGACGGGATGGCGAAGAAGACAGCTGGAGCTTGGAACGGATGTGCGACCTGCCGGGAAGCTTTAACACGCGCAATTGATACCCAAATCGGGGAGGAAAGCACTCGGAGGGATGGACCTTCCTGACTCACGCCGATACGGACCCGGTCCCTAGTTGGATCGGCTGCTTATCTTATCGCTGCGATCGATTCATTTGGTTGCCATGGTCACTGGTGGCTGGTTGTCTTGCTGGGGGGTCACTTGACCATATTCAGAAGGTCACAAGTGCGGAGGACGGGAGGACCGAGAGCGAGACATGCATTGTGGTGTATTCCGACTTTGCACAAGTGCTCTGCCGTGATTTGGTGCGCAATGGCATCATTCTGGTTGGACTATTTACATGGATGATGAATTGATGGAAGGTGAACAAGTAAACATGAAGCTGACTGATGTCAATAAGTCCAACCGGGTTGCCTTATGTAAGCGTTCCTATTCACCAGCCACAACATGATATGTGGCTGTGCTTCTGTCCGGGGCTGAAGGTATCCCGTCCCGTCCTGTCTTCGACACATCCCCCAGGTCGGGAGCTACCGTTGTTCGGTTTCGCTATCGAGATGAACCTATAAGTTCATTTGTCGTGTTCTCGGGTTCTTTGGCAATTAAAGCAAGGATGAGGACTGAGACATCATTGACACTGTCCCTTTCAATTTGAAGTATCTTGCTTACATATTGACTTTCATGAACTCATCAATATTGTTGTGTAATTTATAGACGCAAGTATACATGCATAATCGAGCTTGAAGTGCTCCCATGAGGTTTCTTAACTTTGCCACTGACTCTGTGGTACCACCTGGTTGCAAAGGGTGTCTGAGGCTATGGGCCTGGCGCTTGCAGCCTGGAGATTACCAGTATCAACTATTTACCAATCGACTTTTCAAATAACCTCATATCTCATTAATCGAGGTTTCCGATCAAATCATAAGACCAAATGTCCGTGGCTTAAAGTTGGATCAATGAAGGTCCTCGTCCTCCTGTCGACTCCTCCACCTTGAGAATTATATCTCGTGCTGCCTTTTCCATTCCTGCCAGCGTCTCGGCCCGCTCAGGCCTCACTTCACGCAACTTGACTGGGTGGAAAATCAGCGGCAGCATTGAAGACTTCCAAGCCCTCACACCCTTGACATTGTTGACGACAATGGTTGCGACTTGGAGAGCGATGGCAACGAGGGCAAGCCCGGCCGGATAGCCAAACCAGGCCCACCTCACGTGGACGTAGATCTCTTCGCGAAATGCCTCTCCATACACCGGCGTCGAGTTGGATGTCCGTAGGTACCGGGTCATGGCATCTGTAGTATTGCTCAGTACCTGCGGCAAGTGATCCCGCTGAGACCACAGCATTGAAGCCACAGTGTCGAAGTTGGAGCTACCGTAGGCTGATTGCATCGAGACGGTGAAGGTCTTCTCCAGCTGCCCTGAGAGAAAAGTCCTGTCTTGGTTGCTAAGCCAGTAATTGAGGTTAGGCCCGGCGCTGGAAGCGAAGATGCGGTAGTCGATTTGTGTAGCATCGTCGTCAACGGACAGCATCAGGTCCCGTGAGGTGACACCGGGGTTTTTGGCAGTGCCGTTGACGATCACAAGTCCGGCAAAGCTTCGTTCGCAGAACTTGAGGGAGCACTCGCGAACTTGATAGGTGCCCCCTGCCCCTCCTGCGTTGCCGGTATACGTAGCAAATCTCACTAGATCAGGCAGCGCGCCGGATGCTTTTCCTGTTGAGCTGAGCAATGTCCAAGAGCTCTTTGAGGCTGAGATTTTTCTGCTGCTGATAGTGAGGTTGAATCCTCCTGGTGTCAGGATGTAGCAGTTCTCGAAACGAGCGGCCATCGCAGTATAATTCGGATAACATGGACCGAAAGTGGAGTTGGACGATACATCCTCGCACGAACTACACACGCCCAGAGTTGTTATAACAGGATAGGTGCAATTCCCCGTCGGGCAGGTGTACGGCTGGTCGGTTGATTGCCCGAACAAGCCCATATAGAAGGCGCCCATGTGGCCCTGAATGGCTTCCTGCCCTGCGACGTTGGTGAGCAATTGAAGCGATTCTCCGAGCGTCACGACTAACAATCTGGGGCGTCTTGCGGTTCGAACCCTTGAGCGAAGCCATGCGGGTACAGCCCAGACGCCATGCCTTGGCCTCTCACCGTCGTGGCGGAGCCGCTACCGAGCGAGACCGGTCTAGGAGGGTATTCGATGATCTGCTGTGTCATGGGGTCAATCGCGAGGGCGGCAATGGTGACGAGGCAGCCGGCGACAGCCAACGAATTGCGAAGTCCCAGCCGTGCCAGTAGCTGCGAGGCTCCCAAGGCACCGCGGCTTGCTTGATCGAAAAGCTGCATGTCAATAGCCCGACCTCCATGTTGGAAGTGCATCCACTTGACCTGGCTGATGCATGAAGCTACCGAACCCTAACAATTGTCAGATCAATACCTGGCCGGCTGAGCAGGGATAGATTCTGCTTACCATGATTGCGAGATTGGTTAGTGCAGAGAATACAGATACCAAGGAGTTGGGTTGGATCGGCAGAGGCCATTCCCTGAGTGCTCGGCCGTCCATGAGCGCGAGAACTGCGGCAATGGCGGCGACGCTGGCTATGCTGAGTATAACGCTGAGAATCTCGGGAGTCCAGTCGAAGTGAAAGTGGAATCCGCGAGGTCGTCCAGCCGGCATCTTCTCCGAAACGGTCAGGCCCTCACCGTCCGGAGACATCTCAACCAGTGAGGGAGCATGACGGTAGTAAGTTGCACCATTTGTGGTAGGCTCATAGGGGGAGGTGGTTTGTTCTGTGGTGGTGACAGGAGAGCGAACTAGTTTCTGATGGTGTTTGAGAGACATCGTGATGTTGCAGTGACGGTTCTCAGGCAACGCCGGCTATCTCGAGAGTCTTGCGAAGAAGATCTTGCATGGTAACAGACTTCTTCTCCGGGCCTATCCCTAGACTCCAGCTTTATAACTCTGGAGCTGGACATTATCATGAGCTCCGTCGTCGAGAAGGCTGAAGGGGGTTACTTGCGAAACACATAACGGAAATGAGATGTCACAAGGCAGCCTATCTCATCGACTTCTGCAAGGCTTCAGGACACGTGCATAAGGGACATCCGTATGCGCATATCTCTCCGGCTTATATCCACCAGTACGAGGATCTACATTTGTCGAATTCCGGGGGACAGGAGTTATCCGTGAACTGCAGTTCTTGCTGTACTCCGCACTCAATACGATAGACCAGGCAAACCTCCCCCCTAGTACTGCATGGCTTAGATTGGCGTTTCGGAGCCTTGGCGGTTAGCTCGATCGACCGAGGACCTCATTGGAGAACTGTGGAGGTGGTTGCATTTGGGCGGCCAACCAACTCATAATTACCGAGAACACCATCTTCTCGGCCTAGTGGAGGGGCTGTCATTGTCAGATCCTCCGGCCCCATTTCCAGAAGAGTACCGGTATTCGGCCATCCCCTGCGCGGTCCGTACGGTGACCTCCATGGAGCCCCGAGTTATCGGCGAGTTAAACATCGAGTAGGTGCTCGGAGCAATCATTTTGACCAGCAGTAGCTCGAATTGAATACTAAGACCCGTTGTCTTTGTTCCTTACTTGAACAAATCTGGCAGGTCTGGCCTCGAATCACATCACACGACGATGTCACCGTCACAAGGTGGGCGTAGACGCGGCGCGTATTTCCGTGAACCAAGTGAAATTAAGCGCCTAGTTTCCAAATGCTTAATCCGTCAAGTCACAGGTGTATTAATTCGGCAGAAGGATTCCATATTTCTTTCTCATCCTCGCCATCACCTTCACTGTCGAAGAACGACGATACGTGATGTAGTGCACGTATCCGAGGACTTTTTTCAGTGGGGTAGGAAACGACTGACTGAACATATAAGGATTGACTGTCATAATTGGGGACAACAATCATCCTTCTAAATACCCCGAGGGAGGTTGAAAGAAGCCACTGGACGTAAACTATCCTCATAACGTCCCACACCTACCTCCAGGCTACCCCCACATCTAGCCCGAGAACGCAAGGGCACCACGGTGCATACCGAGTATCAAATCTGTACGAACGCCTGGTGACTTGTTTTCTCGTGGCGATATGCTCTTCGGGCGCCAGGGCCAGATTCCGAATGTCCCTCGTCGCGGACCATTTCACAATCAGGGTGGACATCTCCGTGGAATCAAGCGACCGACAACTGTAGCCTCGCACCAGATTCCCCAACCCGAACATCCCATCCTCCCTCAAACTCCTTCCGTGGTCTCACCAAGACAGGCACGGGCTCTCCAGGCGAAGGTAAGGCCGAGAAGTCATTCGCAGCTTTCGGCTTCCTCCCCTTCAGATCTCCCTCGACCTCGACATCGAGCCTCAGAACGAGCATGGCAACAAGCATCATGATCCCGCTCGTGGCGAACCACCTTGCAGGGCAAACGTGCGGAGCAACCCCCCAGACCGAAAACGCATGCGGCAGCATCTCGCTCGCCGCAGCTACGCCGGGCGTGCCGGGCGTCTTCTTCATCTTGATGAATCTGTACGGGTCAAATTCGACCGCATCGGGGCCCCAGGTCTCTTCGCTCCGCAACATCGAGACACCGTTGAGTTGAAGGTAATTCCCCTTCTTCAGCAATATCTGTCTCCCGTCGATGGTGAGGCTGGTATCTCGGAGAACCTCGCGGATATTCGCATGCACCGAGTTCACACGCTGCGCCTCTTGAATCGACGACAGCAGCAGCGGGCATGCTGTCTTGAGGACCGAGATGTCGAGCATAAAATCTGCGGCAGCATCGCTGGTGATGACGGCTTTCCGGACTTCGTCGCGGATCGCGTCGACTAGCTCTGGACGGGAAAAGATCTCGTAGACTGCCCAGAAAGTCGTCGGAGCGTAGTTGGCGAGCATGGCGATATCGAATCCGATGTTGAGGCGGCCCAGGTCGCGTAGTGTAGCGCCGGCTTCCTTGAGGATGCGGCATCTCTCTTTGACGATACCCGACGCTTCTTTGTGGCCGCCGCGGCGGATGTATTCTTCGTATCGTCTGCCGTTCCGCTCCCTGGCATTGATCGCGTCCCTTGCGAAGAGTCTCGACGCGAGGCCTCCTAGTACAAGAAGGTGAGCTTGTTCAGCGAATGTCCTATCTCAGAGATATCAACATAGATGTCCCCAAAAGATTTGTAGCTATGCGCAAGCGGGTTCACAAACCAAAAGTCCGCTTCATGTTCAGGGTCGCGGAAAGGATTCATCGGCCCGAACATGCCCTCCGACGCCGACACCGCAACGAGATGCCTGAGCCACTCGTAAAGCTCAATGTGTGAACCCTCATCTTCTGAAGCCTTGCCGACCAGGCCATTTACGAGTGACGACATGACCTTGGCGGCAACAAGAGACATCGCATCGAGGTCAGGGCCCGCGGACAGCGCCGCACGCTGCGCTCTGTCATACTCTCTGGCCTCGGGCGGACCCTGGAGGTGATCGTTTATGCGGAGAGCAATGTCACCCAGCCCGCTGAACTTTCTCGAGGTTTTGGCCGAGAAGGGTGTGAAAGACAGAGTCTTGGCATGCCGTTGGACGGCGCCGATGAAGCTGCGCTGAGAAATCACGTAGAGTTTGAAGTTGAATATAGGCAGCGTGAAGATACCCGACTTTTGCTTAGATCTGTCGAGCCTGCTTAACCATGTTATCCTGATATGGCAAGGAAAGCGGACTCACGCGACATGGTCGTAGTACCGTCCGGCACCGAACCTCCGGATGCCGAGGAGGTGGCCGATAAGTGGGACGCGGGACCGGACGTGATCCGGCTCGAGTGGGTCTCGGGAGAAGAAGATGGCCGAATCCAGGAGGTAGGAGCCGACGATGAGGGCGAGTAGTGTCAGTAAGACCGTTGAAAACTCCATGACTATATATCTCTGGATATAATACGCGGTGAATGCAGCGAGAAGGAAAATTTGGACGCACGTTCTGCGTATATATGATCCGAGACATTACGCGCTGCCTGTCTCGTCCTAGGCCCATCCGTCAGCACTTATCCCCGTACATGCGTCGCCTATCTTGCCCAGCATTTCTTTTGGAACTTCAGTCCTGTATTGGCATGTGCTACGTGTTGTCTGGTTGGTTTCCTCGAAGGTACAGGAAGCAGGTGAATCCAGAACCAATTGATCGCGCATCTCTTACAGGCCCTTGCATCGAATCCCAGAGTGCCCAGAGTAACAGGGAAGCAATTGGAGTGCCGTAATATGATGTACAGTCATTAGAGAACTCACCAAGGAGTTGACCTTAACGTCAATCCAGTTAGACTCTAGTGTGCTGGCCCCTTTTCGAGACTAGCATCGTACGCAAAGGCGCCACCCATGGAGTGGCTCTCTTCGTTGGCTTTGAGCTCCTAACCTCGATATGCTGGTGGCTGAGGTATCCTGCCAAGGCTGGACACGTCGACGTTGGAATCACCAGACTATCGAAAGGCGGATATCCACTAGCCACCCGATGGTCCACGACAGGTAATGTACGTGCGCGATATGCAGTTCGTGCTCCGCCTTCTCGGCATCTTTTCTATGCTGGAAATGTATTTCGCATCAACTATGTAAATATTGTATACTTCACACTCAAATTCAGGTTCTCGGCTTTTCGAGCTTTTTAAGACCTTCTGTGCTGGGCCGCTTACACGCCATGGCCGACGATTGGGTCGTCGACCCCTCGCGATCAAGTTTGACAATCCAGAGTACAAGCCCTACTATTTCCGCATCAGTACCATCGATACACAGCTCAGAAAATACGTCTAGTACCTCCAGCAGTTCAAACGGGCGGCTATCGAGCGCAGCACTTGGAGGAATCATTGCTGCGTCGGTCGTCGCCGCATTACTTGTAGCTGGACTTCTAAGTTTCCTCTGGGCGAAACATAGACGAAGGAGAAAAGCAGGCAGCACAACAGACGACAGACATTCTCTCGTTCTCGGCGAGAGTTCGACATCTAGCGGCACCAGAATCATGACGAAGACAAGAGAACGGAACTCAGCTCGGGGCTCGTTGACGACTCGGAAGGTACACGAGGGCGAGATCCGACTCCGAGACAGATGCCGCCGATATTAGAGGTTTTCGACGAGCCTATGCCCAGCTCGAATCACATAAGACATTTGTCTGATGGACTGAGCAGTCAGAAAGCTGTTCGGCAGCCACGATTTTCTGAGGAGTAAGGCCCTGGTCTGTTGGGACTTTGTTTGGGTATCTGCTGATGATTTATCTAGATTATGATATATGAGGGCCCGGACAGGAAGATAGCGGATTTATCTTCGTTTGCTTTACTGCGTTGCCGAAGCTTTTACATCTACCCAATAGTAAAACGACAGCAGAAAAGTTGTGACTGTGGAGTGTCTGAACGTTAACTATCCCATGTGACTGGTGTTCGTGGCGATGGCATCAGCTAGCCAGGTCCTCAACCACCAAGGTCAACTACTAAGGTCGTTAAAATCTTTGCGGTTGAACCGTTAAGATAAAGTGTTTGATTTGAACGTCCGCTATGGACTCACACAGCGACCAATAGCCATCAATACGTTACAACATAAAAGCTCTCTAGCCAGTACAAAATCTCAAACAACGATATTGAATGGAAGTATAATTATAAGGCGGGCTTTATTAAACTTTGCTCAACTATCGGTAACGACGATAGCTTCACTCTTAGTGTCCCAAGTCTCTCAAGGTCCTGGTCCATTCGGAGATAAGTCACAAACACTCACATAAAGTGCAAGAACCCCAACTCTCAGCAACCTGACTTGAACTTTTAATCATTGAGCCGTATTGCGGAACAGCTGTCAACATCATGGTTTCTCTCACTCTAATTGTCTTGACCATAGCGGGGTTATGTGTCTCCTTCGTTTGCGCAGTCAACACACCAGTGTCGAAGGACAACATCCACATTGGAGACAAGGACTGGGAATGGTGGTTTGCCGAGAAGGGCTCTCCGTAAGTTTACCATCCGCCGGTTAACACATCCAGGTTTCCCTATCTGACTGAGTACATCGAAAAGGATGTTCCACTTTGCACTCGCAAACGGCAACTCTCAATGCTACCCGACATGGCCCTGGCGCCCCGACGGCTCCAAAACCCCTCCGGCGGAAATGGATAACTGGCCAAACATCCGCGGCTGCAAGAAGCCCGACAACAACCTGGGCTTCAAGTATACATGGGGCGTCCCGATGCCTGTCTACTTCACCGTGCGAGAATGTGAAAACCGCAGCCGCCGCGGTAACGGGACCAAGGAAGTGCGCGTCACGTACGGTTTGTTCTACGAGAAGGACGGCTTCTTCAGCAACGGCCATGATTAGTACGCCTCCCTCATTCCCAATGATAAGTGTAACTACAATACTAACAGTTGAACCACAGCGACTGGGAGAATGTCGTCGTTACGTGGCGGCAGTTTGGCGACAACTTCCTCAAAGACGAGATCTGGGTGTCGGCACATCACGGCGGGAAGAAGAAGATAGGATGGGAGAACGTTCCCCAGACGGCTGACCCGTCCAACTGGCTCGAAGACGGCGGGAAGAATAACGACCATGCCAGAGTCTACGTGGGCTGGTGCAAGCATGCCATGTTCTTTGACAGGGCCGGTATCAAGGACGTGCTGTCGTGCCTGACGGACCTCGAATACCGCACCCACGACTGGTACTACGTGGCCCGAAACAGTAAGTTTCACTGTTCATCTACCCTGACACGTCTTTTCTTCGTCGGAGTAGCCCGTTACCCCCTGGTAAACTTGCATACTGACTGTGGAACACCAACCAGAGAGCGACCTCCTGAATGCCAGTCCCGGCACAAAGTACTGGGACAAATTCGTGAACGAGGAATGGGGAAAGGCGTGGAGCAAGCCGTCTAACGAATATTGGGCATCTTGCGACAGGTGAGCTCCGAACCAAGCCCGCCGCGAGAGGTCATTTTATGACTTGCAAGACGGCAAATGACACCGTTTCTGCGGAGAAACACCATTTCTGATCTTTACGGATCATTCTATGTTCCGCGTCATTGAGCCTTTTTGGCCAAACTCAGATAGTTTTATTGGTAAATTGAGTGTTAAAGTATGATGTCAGTGTCGTGTCATTCTTAGCCGAGACGGCCTTCAAATTGAGTCAAGAGATCGGGCGTTCGATGAGGACTACTGTCTTCCTTTCTCGCAATCGTTTTCCGTGGCCTGACGATGGTCGTCAAACATCATGGTATCATGTACTCCATGCTTCCCGTAGAAATCCATACTCTTACATATTCACATGCTAGTGTTCTCCTCACATCAGTCTTCGATGAGAGTTCTAACGACGCTCATGAGTGACCGACATCTGTACTGTCTTGATGATAGCCTCCTCATCACTGGCCTCTGAGCGGCTCTTCCTCCGGTTGTGGGTATCTTCGAGTCCAGCTTCGTCGGCCTCCGTCTTCCACCTCGTCTCCGAGCCGTATGGTCTGTCGCACAGCTCGAGCTCGTCGATAGTGTCGAAGTGCCTTCGCTTGGGCTGCGAGCTCCCGAACGTCCGCATCGCGTACCGCATGCCTCCTGAAGCAGCTCCCTTGTTGCTACTTTCGCCGCGAGTAGATGCCTCGCCCAGAATCTTGGGCGCGACGTGGTTGAGGAAGATGCGGAAAGTCGGCAGCGAGCCGCAGATGATGATGAGGTTGGCCTCGACGATCAGCCATAGCGTGCCTTGCGCGAGCACAAACGTGGTATCCTGGTTTTTCAAACTGGGAATAAGAATTACCAGACGAGCCACGGCAGCTCCTAAAGTGATCAGACCGGTTCCGAACCACGCAACAAGCGCTGCCTTTTGCTTCCACGACATTTGTAGTTGGTAGATAGTAGGCAAGGGAAGAGCCATGAGCATGATGTCTGTGACACCGCCCATGATGGCCTGGAGCATGTAGACGGGAGGGCGATCGATGCAGTTGGTGCCGTCGAATAGTCGGAGGTTCCATGCTGCTTCGATCGGGGTGCAGGCAAACTGGACGGAGAACCACACGGCGGTAAAGGCGGCGACGGTGATGGCGGAGGTGAACATGATGGCGTAATGATACCAAACGACGGGAGATAGGCGGTCGTAGAAGATGCATAGCACCAACTTCGCTAGTACGGTTCCCGGAATAACAGTCAAAGTCGTCGCATGAATGAGCTGTGAGGCAACGCTGGTCAGCAATTACTTCTGTCATCGTGTTGGCTACTGATGTCTTACGGTTGTTTCCCAAATAGCATCGTCAATAGACATCTCCCAGATATGCACTCCCAGGACGCCTTGGGTGAGGCAATGAAGGATCAGCGACTGGGCAGTGGTAGTCAGAACCCATGCCGCAACGATCATGTCTGAGCTCCAAATTAGAATGGACAAACTAATTAAGTGTCGAGTTGACTTACAATCATCGATACGCCATTTGCGCAAAATGAAGGTTGCTGTATAGATACGTTGAGACAAGAACAGAAAGGCAACCGAGAACATGATGCCAAACGCCCAGTAACTCGAGTTGATGGTCGCTGTGTCCTTGAAAGGGTGTGTAAAGTTGACTTGGTAGCCCTCCGGAGGTGCCACCAACACCTCGACGCCATCGACAACGGGGAAAGACATCTTGATTCAGGAGAAGATACCGCTGCGAGTATAATCAGATCCGTCAACCGGCCTCGTCAACTGCGCAGGAGTTTTCTGGTGACACCTTCGGTTGAAGTAGAAGCAAGAAGCCACAGATCGGGAGTGTAGACGGGTGCACGCGAACATTTACGGGACGGGCTTCATCAAATTTTGAGTCTCCGTATGCGACATCTATGAGAGAATGCCTGTCGCCGCGTTGCATTTTTGTGGCTTTCGTGGGCCCTTGCTACGACAAGAGGGTTTGGAAGAACAAAGGGGAGGACCGGGAAGACACACGCAGTAAATGTTGCTTAATCGACATGCGAGTTGCGGCCTCCTGGCTCGGGACTTAGACGGCTGGCCTCCCGGCCCAGGATGTTAGTCAGGGCAGAGTTGACATGTCACTTGCTCTTCAGTCTAAATGTGCCATTTCACTCTTCTACTGCCGGGATGTTGGGCTGCCAGGTGTGCTTTGCTTGCTTGGTGGTGCGTGGTGGAGGCTTGACCGGCAGCGGTATTTCACCATCACATGCATGCTCCGATCTACATATGCAACCTCATTATTCATGAGCAAGCTCCTGAGTCCTAACAAGCGTGTACCCCTTGAGCGTCAGTTGTTGGTGCCCAACGTACACATCTTGGCTCAAAATCCCTCGACCTCCGTCTTCAACAGCAATAACACCATAGTCTGAGTCGACTTGCACTCAAGAAGTTGTAATACCAGATATTGCGCGGCAAAGAAATAATGATCATCATGCAAGTCTACTATAGGATTTGTTCGGGATTAAACTAGGAGATCCTAAAAGCGGTTCTGCTTGCTTCAATTGCAAGAAGGCAGCCAGCCACCCAGCGCATGAAATCGGAATTCTTCAGCAGCTTGGCATTATGGACCGCAATAAAATCGTGCATTCCTTCAACGGTGAAGTGGGTATTTGACTGAAGGTCCCCAGGGTTCGAGAAGATCAATTCCTCCTCTCGTCAATGTGGGATGCCAGACCCGCCACACTATCTTTGAATTCCCCATGCAGCGGAAGCGGCCCCGGAACCCCGGGAATTCGACAACGGGTGCAACCATCGCAGCATCCGGGTGCCGGAGAGAGTACCCGTCGTCATTCATTGGATGATACTGGCCAACAGCCCGAGTCAGTCGACGCCAGGAACAGGAATTCACCGAGTTCGTAGCCGTTTACGGATGCCATGTAACCATGAACCAACAGAAGCGAAGGAGTGAACCCCACGGCCATCCATACTTTGCAATATAACACCTCGTTCACCGGTGCTCATCAGCGGAGACCTGCGACCTTATTGAGAACTCGTCCCGAGAGAAGCGCGGCAAGCGGCCTCGTCCGCGACTCCGGCAGCTGCATGGTCGCAACCATCCCGCTCCCCTGACATGATATACTTTTCTTTTTAACGGCCATCTGGCATTCCATTTGTTTCATCCACCATGTTCCAGGAGCTTGGTAGTACATGTAGCCATGAAGTGTTCGGCATTAGTCCTCGGCGCGTCCGCTGCTTTCGCGTCTCTCTCAGAAGCTGTCCTCCTTAACAACACCATGACTGATGTTGCTGTAAGTTTCGTCACTTTGCATAGTACTTCACCCCGTGCAATTGGCTGATCATGTTTGAATGACAGTGTGACATTCTTGAGGCCACCGGCCTCAAGGTTCTGCGCCCCGGTACCGAGGCTTACCAGTCGCGAGATGAGTCCTACTTCTCTGTCTCAGCTCAGTTGAGTCCGTACTGCATTGTGCAGCCCACGTCCGCCGCGCAAGTTGCTCTCGCAGTCACTGCTTTGAAGACGACTGCTTGCAACTGGGCCATTCGCGGTGGTGGCCACATGACATGGGCTGGCGCGTCGAACAGTAGGTGAACCCCAACAGCAAACAGTCTCCTCTTAAGTAGACACCTGCTGACCCGAGTGCTCTTAAGTCGATGAGGGTGTTACCCTCGATATGGGGCTGATCAACCATGTCGAGTACTCCCCCGAGACCAAGGTTGCCAGTATCGGTGCTGGTGCTCTCTGGCGCGACGTTTACTCGGCGCTCGCGCAACACGGCGTTACTGCCCCTGGCGGTCGCACCTCGACTGTCGGTGTCGCTGGTTTCCTCACTGGCGGCGGTAACAACTTCTTCAGCGCCGAGGTCGGCTTGGGTTGTGACAATGTCGTCAACTTCGAAGTTGTCCTTGCCAGCGGCGAGATCGTCAATGCCAACAGGGAGACCAACTCTGACCTCCACAAGGCACTCAAGGGCGGCTCAAGTAACTTCGGAATCGTGACTCGCATCGACATGCAAACCGTCGATGTCGTTGAGATTTGGGGCGGCCAGGTCGTTTACCCTCTCAACACCACGGAGCAGCACATCGCCGCTTACGTCAAATGGGTCGACAACATCCCCAACTATACCAAAGGCTCAGCTGTGACGTTCTGGGCGTACTCGCCTGCCGCTGGAACCGTCGTCTCCGCCGCCCTTCACGATACCTCCAACGCGGAGTGGGCACCGGCGTACGATGACTTCCGCACCATCCAACCCCATTCCATGGACACGTTGAGACACGACAGTCACTTGAATATGACCGTCGAGCTTGAGGAGCCCACTGGCTACCGCCAGATCTGGATTACTCTCACGGGCAAGAACGACGCTCGCTTCATCCGCCGTGCCGTTGAGGCACAGGCCAAGTTCATCGACGGCTGGAAGTCTTCTCAGGATGCCGACTTCCTAAACTACATCACGTTCCAAGCTATGCCTACTCTCCTCTTTGACCACTCGGTTGAGAAGGGCGGAAATGCCATCGGCATGGATCGCGAGAGCGGCAACGCCATCCTTTTCCAGATGCAGCACATGGTTCGCTCCGCCGACGCCGAGGCCGAGGCTCGCAAGCAGCTGGTTGCCATGCGCCAGGAGTTGAAGGACTACTACATCTCTGAGGGCATTGATGTCGAGTGGGAGTACCTTGGGTACGCGGATGGGACTCAGGATCCTCTCAGTACCTACGGTGCCAGCAACATTCAGCTTCTGAAGGATGTTGCTGCCAAGTACGACCCCGAGCAAGTTTTCCAAAAGAGAGTTCCGGGCGGGTTCAAGATTTCTAATGTTGTCTAATACTACGGAATATTATCCTGCGAGATGGTTGAATGCTGTTTGCCGTCCGTACAAATACATACTGAACAATTGTAATTACCATTGCGTATACGTTGCCTCAACGTCGCCCATCACTGCTCCGCGATACTTAACCTCGTATCGCAGAGTCGCATTGCCAGGGCGAACGTTGAATTCAAAGTTCAGTCTCCTCCACTTTCCCCGCCTGCCAGTTCCCTTGAAGCTTTTTTCTTCCCAGATGATTTTTCCGGGGATGATGAACCTCACTTTGCACAGTTCCTTGACAACTGTTGAAAGACAAATAGATCAGCAAAGGTCTTTGCCACCATGCTGGTCTGTCCCAAGTCCATGGGGGAGAGGGGGGCCAAAAACAGAAATCGCATAGTGAAACTTACTGGCGTCATCGTATCGTGATGGGGGATGAGCCTCTTTGCAAAAGTACAAAACATTCTCAAACGCCTCATCGCCACGGGAAGAGAACAGCGACATAAGTCCTACACCTTGAAGGGACTTGTATAGATTGATAGTCAGGTCCTGTCCTTCTTTAATTCGGTCGCCCTGGTTACCAATGGTCAGTACATCAATGGAAAGAATTGAGGGCTTCAAAAGCATACCCTGCGCACAAGCCACTCCATTTGATACCCTGCCCAGTAGCTACCGTCAGACTCATCCACATATCGGTCTCTCAATTCGTGCCTCGCTGGATCGAATGGCTGGCTCGTGAGAACACCGTAGCTGTATTGCGATATGCGTGAACTGATTGTTGATAGCTCTACTCTGGTCATAGAACTTGAGCAGGAAAGGCTCGTTTGTTCTACCCGATCAGCGTTCTCGAGACCCCACATGCAAGCACCCCTACAAATTGACGACCAACTGAAAGAAAGTATTAGTATGGCGAGCGTAAAGAGGGGTTCTCGACACTCACGCCCCGTCAACTTGCAGTACCGAAATGTTTTGGTGACGATACGATGTTTCTAATCGATGGTGAAGGTATTTGCTTGATCCGAATCCGCCGACCAGCAGGATGGACTTCACTTGGAGGTTCTCAGACTTGACCTCGCTGACTTGGTTGTGAACCAGTACCTCGACCTGGCCACAGACATGGTCGAACACGGTCTGAAGCATGGACCTGTTTAAATCATGTTACTAGTGTCCCTCATCCATGGTGTAAAGAGTAGAGTCATTTGGCTTACTGTTTCAGACTAATAGTCTCATCCAGGATTCCTTCCTCTTCATTGTCTTCGACACCCCTCAAATCGACTGAATATTCCTTGCGGCTCTGGTTTGGCCCGGCCGAGAAAGATCGCTTGACTCCAAAATCGAACGTCCGAAGCATCTTCTTCTTGTCGATTGATCTGATACCCTCGTATTGCCTCTCGCCCACCAGCGTCTTGATGCAATTCTCGAAAGCAGTGTCTAGGAATACCGATCCGCAAAGGCCGCCTAGACATGCACACTTCAGCAAAGATCACCATCTTTCGGGGGGGTACATTTCTCACCTTGAGCCTCAACGCACTCATCAAGTCTGAGAGGATCTGTGCCCTTGACTCTGTAGCTGATGAGATCCTGCCGATCGTTCTTTTGTAAGCTTATCGTTTCGAATGAGGCGGACAGAGACCTGCACGCACCACCGTTCCACCACCGGCATCGCAGACGACAAATATGTCACCCTCCTGTGGACACCATGATGTTAGTTTCTGCAGTCGATTCCTCTCACGAAGATACATGTAGACTTACCTGCAGTGACTTCTCTTCGGATTTGTCTCGTAAGGTTGCAATAGCTGCAGCAGAAGGCTCTGTGACAAGCTCTATGTCTGCCTTGGCCGGCATACCCGCTGCTCTTGCTGCTTTCAGAGTCTTGTCTTGAGTAGAATGAGACCAGATGGCCGGGACTGTCACCACTATGGCGATGTCGTGACTATTCTCCCAATGATCATCTCCGATCCGCTTGCGAATATTCTCTCTGGTGTACTCCCACAATTGTCTGAGGTAGTCGGAAACAACGTCCTGGGCTGATAATCCTAGTTTCTTCAGTAGTTCGCTGCTCCGACGGACCTCGGTTGTCGTCATCTTTTTGTCGAGATAGTCGGGTTGGAGTAGTATCTTGAACCATCGAAAGGCCTCCTCTTTCAGCTCAACGTCATAGCCCCAATGCTGTACTTTGCCATCTTTGTACGAAATGACGGTTGGCACCTTGTCTGCATTTGCATTCGTTGCGTTTGGGTTCGGCCAGTCGGTAATAAGGCGAATCTTTTTCTGACCTCCGTTCAAGGCCCATGACACGCCCGAATGTCTGCGAAATGTTTCGTGGTCAGTACTGTAAAATGATCGAGATTTTTGTTATCTTACGTTGTCCCGAAGTCTATGCCAATGACAATCTTTGGGGAGGCCATCTTGAAACCAACGATTGAACAGGTTTGAAAGTCGAATTAGATGTCGTCGTCGATACACGAGCAGTGAACACGAAAGGATGAAGGATGAACGAAAGCTCCGGCGGGAGGGGGACCCCTGGACTTCACTTTTCCAAACAAGCAACTAGGAATGATCGAATTCCGAGAATCGGTCGCAGACTCAAAAGCCATGTGTAATGCGTGGCCACCTGAGTAACGGACTACGATAAGAATCGCTGTTTAGGGTAGGAAATGGCATGAAACATTGAACCCAGCCATTTACTTTGCAAGCCTAAGTAGCAGTCAGCTCGTTGCGCTTGCAAGCAATAAGGAGGTCTCACCATTGCAAGCCCGTTCGCATTGTTGAGGCTGCCACAAGTGATGTCTCCAAAGATCCAGACACAATCATACAGGTGGATCTTACTTTTTGGACCTCAGTTCATAGCGGAGGTCGAGAAGCCAGTTTGCGCCATCATTCAATGCATTGGGGGTCAGTCGGGGGTGGCGTTTCCTCAGCCTCACAACCTCCACTACGTTCTCGGCAGTGCAAGACAGCATCGGGCTAGAACGACAAAGGATTGAATATTCATCGTTCAAACTCAATCTCAGCTGCATTAAATCTCGTAGCCTCGTAGATACATGTGATGTTGATCGTAACAAGCCGCAAAGCTTTCGCGTGTACCCAGTAAGTCGCCGCAAGGTGTTCAGCTGGTCAGCCCTCTGTGTGAGACCTTTCTTCATGCACGCAAGCGTATTTCCTCAGCTTTTCTTGCTGTTTGATTTCATTGGTTGTCTCTGTTTCATGTAGGTGTAGATTGTGTGCTTATCGCCGACATGGGCTAATCCGCGTTTACGCGATGCTGTTGTTGAAGACCGTCAAGTTTGGAGCTGCCGTGCTGACCTGGAGTAACCACAACGTTTTCAGTTGCCGACTCGTTTTACTCTAGCCTAGATCTGAGCCGCATCACATGGCTCTGGAAACAGAGTAGTTCAGGGGTCAGGCTGTCGCAGCAACGTACATCGTGAGGCCTCCGATGCATGATTTATTGCTAGTAAAGTGAATACCTATATCTCGGCCACGTTGAACCAACCTCTGGCTTCTATATCGCTTTTCCTCAGCCATATTTCTGTCAAAATTGTGGTATCTGGTCTCGCAAAGATACATACGCTCTTGCCTCAACTCTTTCGCTCTATCATCATGGCTCGCGGCGAAATAGTAGGAGATGCTCCCAGCTTCAATCATCCTCAGAGAAATGGCATGAGTATGATTGTCGTTGTAGGTATCACTGGCGCTGGGAAAAGCTACCTCATCAATCGACTTGCGGGTCGCAATGTGGTAGAGGAGGGCGGCCAACTGGGCTCTTGTAAGTTCGATTTGATTGATTCATTCCACAATCACCAGCATGAATTCAAGCCTAAACTTTGGAAACAGGCACGCAGCGATGCCAGATGATTCCCGTCAAAATCGGAAACACCAAGACTCTCTTGATCGACACGCCTGGCTTTGACGACACCAAGCGGTCTGACGCCGACATCTTGAACGAGATTGCAGATGTCTTGACTGCCCAATACGCGCTTGGCTTCAAGCTCCAGGGAGTATTCTATGTTCATAGAATCACAGACATGCGATTCCAAGGCTGCAATGTCAAGACTTTGGAGATCTTCAAGCGAATCTGTGGCGACGAAGCTCTCAAAAACGTCCTCCTGATTACGAGTCGATGGGATAAGGTCGACGAAGCAACGGGCGCCGACCGCGAACGTCAACTTCGTGAAGATTTCTGGGCCTACATGCTGGGTCATGGCTCATGCATGAGCCGATTTCACGGTGACCGCACGTCAGCGATCAGTCTAGCCAGTCAGCTTTTGGTCAAGGAGACTGTGGTTCTACGCCTTCAGCACGAAATCATTAACGAAGGCAAGACGCTCAACATGACAGCAGCAGGTGCTTTCGTGGACAACTCTCTCGAGAACGCTCATAAGGATTCTTTGAAGCAGAGGGAAAGTCTTCAAAAGCACCGTGAGGAGCTCCAACAGAGCAATCTCATGCGACGGAAGTGGGAGGCTGATTGGGCACAACAACAGGCGGAGATCCAGAGCGTGGAGAAACAGCAGTCCAGTCTCCGCCGCAACGTGGTCGACGAAGTTAGAGGCAAGATGGATCAGGAAACTAATTCCCGATCAAAGTCAAGCGGACTTGGAAGGCTTTTCCCCTTTATTCCTATGTCTCTACATTTGTTGGAACTTTTTGTTCCTTTCCCTGAGGATGCATTGGATATGCTCTCCTCATTCCTGGAGGGAATCTTCAACTAGTATATGGATGCTTTCGTTTGATCTTAGAGTCAATGTATGTACGCGCGCCTTTTCTGTAGCTTTAGGTCCTCTGAATACGAAGTTCATGATATGCAAAAGACAGCCATATTCGCAATAATGACTTTTGTTGGTTAAACGCGACACCTAACATTAAGCATATGGGCGAGACATGAGTTCTTTTCGATAAGTCTCCTTATACACATGCGCCGCAAGACATTATTTCTCTATGGGGGACATGGCTTCGTGTTTGGAAAGGGTTTTCTCTTGCCCCCTCGACATTAAGGGTGAGGCCATTCACAAGCGTCACCACATACGCCGTCAGGAAGCTCATTGGATGTCTATTCTTTCAGAATATTTAACATTATATACATTCTTATTAGATATAGCTAGAAAAGAAAAACTGGGGTAGCTGGATTATATTGCACAGAAAATTGCATTTGCTGGAAAAGATTTCGATGTCTTTGGTCTTCCAATGTACATGTATGCTTGACCAATTTGTTGATATGGGCGATCATGGCGATTCCGTGAAATGCTGTGACAAAATACGCACCGAAAATTGATAAAATGACACTTAGGGCATGTGATTGTTAGAACGTATCCATCAGTGGAATATTGCGGCTGAGGCTGTACATTCCACGCCCCTGAGCCCCAGACATGGGCGTTTTGGCAGCCCCCTTTTCCATCAATGGCCGAATGTACCCTTTCTTAGAATCCAGTTATCACTCCTCATGCCGTTTTCGGAAGCAATACAGCCACAAGAGGTCTGTGATTGCTGGATTACCTTTTCCTACCAGTGGCTTTGTTTTACGGACGTTGCATTCGTCTTCTGGGCTATCATACATGTACCTAGTCTGCAGTAAAACACTCATGTCTTAGGGCTGAACAAAACGGCTGTCTTAGCTGATACATTGCATTCTAATCAGCTGAGGTATTCCTATTGTACTTGTATCATCAACTGGAGCATTCTCGTGTAAGACCAGTTTGGTAGAGTACCACATTGCTGAGGTGGCTTGGTGGCTCGATTGCAAAACATCCAGTCGGGTCGGTTCTGTCAGCTGAAAGTCCAAAACAAAGCCGTGACAATAATCCACAGCCTTCGGAAGAGTTGAGATGGCAATACGGATAGCTCCACATCCTGTATAGCCTGCTTCATCCAAGCCAGGTTGAGCGGCGTTTGCGCATGAGCATTTCCACATGCATTCACGGTTTCTACCGGTTCATGGCACTCTATGTTCTTGCAAATAATGCACTAGTCATTTCGCATCCTACTAGAAGAAACAGCTGTTAGTCCGTTGCCCCAGCATGGTGAGGTCCTTATGAGATCAGGCTTTGCTCCACGTCAACAGTGGTCCCCATCAAACCTATGACACCGCAAACTTATCAGCAATTCTTGTCCCTATCTCGTTCTCTGCACTTTCTTAGACGATTTGGAACTTCGAAAGTAAACATGTCCAGCAATCGTGGTCCGCCTGTGCCTGAGAAAACACGGAATTCCCATAATTTCGTCATCAGTCATCGGTCTGAACCTGTCGTGCAACAACACAATCGAGAGCAGGCTTACTACGACTCGCTAGATTTCCAGAGTCATCCAGACGATACTATGGAACAGGCGTTCCTGCCCACTGGCAAGGGCGAGCTCAATGAGACAGGCACCGCAGGTCTGAACCGTCGAGCCCCTGGACTGGTTCAACACCACGGCAACAAGCCAATCTACAAGAGTTTTGGTTTTGTAAAGGTTGTATGTTAATGAAAAACCAAACAGCCTTCAGTTCTTAGCTAAAGATTCTCAGGCCAAGAAACGATTTGTCGGTGCCACTTCTCGTCAGTCACCGCGGCCTCTAGACTCGGAGGTTCGTCGGTCCAGGCCTGACGATCAAGACGCGAGTACTGCTCCTGTTCTGAGCGTCTCCCTTCCACAGGTGCCACTCTCGCTCCCAAATCAGATTCCACGTAAGGATGTCGGTAGCAGTCGTCAGCAGGTAGAAGACGACGTCGAAGCCCTCGAAGACCGCATTTACGCCCTCGAACAGAATTGCGCTCAGTTGCAGCGGCAGAACGACGCGATGCAGGCGGCACGCGACGCCCGAGAGGATCTGATGGGTCGACAAGAACCAGACTCATCTATTTCGGCGCAGTTCAGCGACATCATGTTGCAGATCAAATCCTGGGTCAGCAAGTACTGCAAAGATGCCAAGCGACCGTTCGAGGTTGAGAAGCTCGACCCTCAGCTGCTGCCACAAATCCGAAAGGTCATCCCTCGGCTACGGCGGCTGGAGGATCTTCCAGAGATCTTGCCTCCGGGTGCCGGTGGTCTCAAGAGTCGGCGCAAGTTCATCCGCGGATGGGTTGCGCTCGTCGTAACGGAAAACTTATTTCGGTCTTTGCCGGCACCTACTCATGGCACGGAGTCCGGATCAGATGTGTGGATACCAGAGAAGCCCAGAAACGCTTTGAAGAGTCTGGAAATGACGCTTCTGAACTCCGGTATGTCATTCTCTTGCATTTAGAGTACATACCGCCTGCTGTGAACATTTGTGCTAACAATCATGTGAACATAGGCGAAGCGATCACGGCATCCACGTTCCACGAATGGAGAACTTTGACTTTCTCCATGTTTGGCAACTTATACCCACGGAGTCACTGGTCCAGAAGTCACGAGCTTGGTGACATCTTGGAAGAAACATGTAGAAAAGTCATCCAGGTGGTGTGGCCTCTAATATCTGACGGGACCGACGAAAACGACATGATGCTCCGACTGGAGGACAACGTCTTTTTTCCAGCCATTGGTTTATCTCAGGTACTACGTCGGCAACGGGCCTGCTGGTATGTGCGGTTTCCGAACGTTATGACAAACGAGACAAATCCTCCCAGCGAGTATACAAAGCCGTACCTCTTTCAGCCCGGCCAGATGAAGGATGTTGATAGTCTTGTAGAGGAGGAAGATGACGGTTCTGTGCCAGAACACTGTCTCAAGGTAGTCGATACTGTCATCACACCTGGTCTGTACAAGAGCGGAAATCATGATGGGGAACAGTACGATGTGGTGTATCCTGTGGAATTTGCAGAAGTGACCTGCAATGAGAGCCGAGACTAGGGGCCTTTCCCGTAGAATGTGGAGGAAGGAACTCTTCTCTTATTAGCATCAGGAAGAAGCTGTGAATGTCATAATAATCATTCAATAAACCAACTCATCTTAATTAAATATACCGCGGCCTAATTTATGTATTGTATATTGTGAGAGAAACTTGATAGAAGTAATTCTGCTGAACAGTCCAGCGCCATCGCGGTTCTTCACTAGAAGTTCCCATTCGTCCGAAGTCATGGTACCCCTTCCCAAAAGACTCCCACCGGCTTCATAAGACTTGACTGAATCAAAACCGTTTCAATCTCCAGCGAATAATGAACGAATGTTCTATGGATCATATGTAAAACGCCCATATCCAGGAAGCAAACGTCTTGTCGGTTTTCTCGGTGCAATGTTCTCAACCTACACGCCAAGCTGCGACTGAGTCTATTTCAGCTGTATTCCGCATCCGGCTTAGCTCCCGAGGTGTCAGTTGTCAACCGAGCGATACGAACACCACTTTGCGGGGCGATCCTCGTCATTTTCGGATCGTCGTCCGTAAGCCCCGACCGCCGTCCCGATCATAACTAAACACGACTCCTGACGAGGGTACAGCATTGTTTTTTCAGACAACCTGCATCTGGCCATCATTGAAGTTACATCAGATCTTCAGGTCAGACACTAGATTGCACGCATCTGCGGCTCAGTGCCGGCTCCGACAGCTGCACAGACGACTCCCTAGGTGGTCGGGTTTAGGTGCCGTGAGGTACACACACCGACCTTCATGGATGGTCGAAGCCAGGGGGCGGGCTCAGCACGATGGAGGTCATCACAGACAGCAGCACTTTGAAAGTCAGGAAGAGACCACACAGGAAGTCAAAGCTGGGATGTCAGACATGTAAGAAGCGGAAAATCAAGGTTCGTCTTCCACCTAGACCCAAATGTCATTTGTCGATGATTGCTTCCATCCCTACCTCGCCTTTCCCGCACCACGAACATCTCAGTCGGAACTTCACCCGAATCAACGGTTCTATCAGCCTGCTCAATCATTCCACGCGCTAATATTGGGAACTCGAAAGTGCGACGAGCTAAAGCCAGCATGCCAAAACTGCGTCAGGCATCTCGTGGCCTGCGACTTCCTGAAAAGCCACCCACTATCGCCGCCCTTCTCCTCGTTTGGCATGCAAATCTCCCTGCAGCCTTCCTCGAGCGATATTGCGATATCAGGACCAGTCCTATCGCAGTCACAGCTTGCGTTCCCGCCTGCGGATGGAGATCTCAACTTCGTCGATTTGGAACTGATACACAACTTCACTACCTCCGTATATACGACACTGTCGACGGATCCGCTGGTCTGCCAAATGTGGAGGGTGTCTGTCGTGCGCCTCGCGTTGAAATGCGACTACGTCATGCGCACGCTGCTTTCAATATCGGCACTCCATCTTGCCCATCAACAACCCGAGCGAAAGGAGGCTTTGGTGGCCAAGGCATTGCTGTATCATCGGATTGCGAGCCGAGAGGCGATGGATTTGATGAGTGGCTTGGACGAGAGAAACGCGGAGAACTTGTTTTTGTTCTCCCTCTTGACCATCTTCTTCGGTACGTCGGGGTCCCCACATACTGCCCCAGTGCTCCTGCAAACGATGCCGTCGCACGATGCGGTTGAATATCACAAGCTGACATATTTCCCAGCTCTTGCTTCCGGGCGTTATCTCAAGGAGTCCGCCGTTGTCTGGGAATCAGCATTCCCCGATTGGACATTTCTACTCTCGGGAACCTGCTCACTTATAAAAATGCTCAACGCGAGGACTTACAACGGCATGCTGAGGCCCATCATCAACTACGCCACAGAACGATTCTTCACAGCCAGGGGCGATTCCTCGACACATCCGGAGGCACTCAATAGCCTCAGAAGGCTCATCAACGACAACTGCCACGACGAAGCACTGCTCAACACCTATAACTACGCGATCGACGAGCTGCGGCATCCTCTCTCACTGGCCCTATATAGTGGAGAACGCGGAATGGATATCATGGACATGTTCATCTGGAAATATTTCGTCGCGGAAGACTTTCTGCCCTTGCTCAAGTCTCCTGAGACAAACCAGGAAGCCGTTGTTATTTATGCACATTTCTGCATCGTATTGAGTCGGCTAGAGAGTCAGTGGTGGCTGCAAGGTTGGGCGAGACATTTGATATCCCAGGCCTGGGCATTACTTGATCAGGATCATAAGCTCTGGATACAATGGCCTATGGAGGAAGTGGGCTGGGTGCCGCCAGATCAGTGAGCTTAATGAGCTCTAGAATACTGTTTAAAGAAAGTTGATCACATGCAGCTAAGTGACTTTTCAAGGAATTTTTATAAATGGTGAAGCGCTGTCAATAGGTGGAAATAAAACGAGAGAAGACGCTCTAGAGCAGCATTGTCAAGACGCGCAGACGGAAGTACAGCTATTCTCCAGCGAAGGAAAATAGCCTACGCCCGAGCTAGCCTGTATCAAGGAAGGAATCACGCATACGAATCTGCATGTTTCGCTTAAAAGCGATCATCTCAAATCCCAACAGCGGTTCCTGGCCTAATCGCTGGTCTTCCCGGCCCGTGGCTCGCTACCTTTTCGATGGGGCACCGGTGCCGGAGCCGGGCTCCACCAGGCGGTTTGGTTGTCTCCACCTTCCGCTCAGCACGGGCCCCACTGCTGCGGGATGACGTCGCAACCCGCAATCGAGATCCTGACCAGCTTTTTGGGGGTCTCACCATCACTCGCATCATCATCCCACGTGTCGAAGCACAACACTTGCTGCTTTGATGGCATCAAACTAGGTACAACGGTTATCCCTTGACCCTGAAGCAATTTACGCAATTTTCCACCACTGGATAGTTAAGGCTCGCAAGAATCCACACAATACCCAGACTCTTAGATCACTTTTTGGCGATAAATGGAGCTGCTGGCCGTGGCGTGCACGCGAGTTTGATGTGGCTGCCAACTTCCCGGATTTGTGTCACTGCGCTGATGATGCCCGAGCAGGGGTCAGCTCTGAGTCCAGACGGGGGTCCTCCCCGGTTGCCTCTCCCCGCGCAGCCTATGGCATCCCGCGTCGACGCCTCCATCACGGACCTGTATGACGTATTTTCAGACATCATCAGCCACACGCACGCACACGCGCCTGCGAGAGGGATGGGCGAGTGACGACTCTGACGAAGCGTGTGCGTGTGTATGTGTGTCGGGTCAGGCTGGGGGGCCTCGGAGGGATTTATATCAGGCCAGAGAGTGCCCTTCGCGACTGTTTGTTCCGTTTGAGGTGTTCATCTGGTTGATCTATTCTAGACTTCAGTCGATTTCTCCCACAGTAAAGTACACCGAGCAATATTATCAAATCTTCTATATTATCAACAACATGGAGTGGGCAAAGCAGACATACAACCAGCAGTACGAGAGATGGGTCCCTTGGCTTGAGGACATCTACTTGCGTTGGTTCACTAAGGACAACAAGGCTAGCTACACTACCAAGGGTAAGTTTCCAGTTTCATTATCCATCGTGCCAACCTTTCTTGAACAGAAGGTTCTGTCGTGTATGAGGCATAAAAGCTGACAAGCTCATCTCCAGACACCCTCGGCAAGACCAAGGTGACCGGTGTAGAACAAGTCGACACTCTCCAAGACGGCGTCCACAACCTTGCCGCCGGCCAGGTCGGTCAAGGAGGTCTCCTTCAACCAGTCGGCGACCTCGCCTCCAAGGAGGGCCTCAACCGCGCCGAACGCCAAGGCAAGGATGACGATGGCGGCTACGTCCCGACCGCCGTCCCGGGCTCCAGCGCCGTCAACACCGCCGCCGGTGGCATCGCCGACGGCAGCAGTACCGTCGCCGGCAAGACCACTGAGGGTGTCAAGGGCGCCGGCAGCTACGTTGGTGGCCTCTTCGGCGGTAGCAAGAAGGAGCAGCAGAAGTAAAACCGAGATACTGCCAAGGAGGCCGTACCACATGTTAATCGCTCGCATGCTGTGCCGCAGGTGGTACAGTACGCAGGGTCGGAGATGATGTGCACGATAAGTTTATCGGGATGGAATGACACAAGGCGTTGGTTACCTCTCAGGATTGTCGAATAGCATTGTTTATAATACCCACCAACAGTCACTGAAATGAGATTTCTGTACTTTTCCCCCTTTCATACTTGATGCGGCAGCCCTTCCCTGAACGGTTCGTTGGTTCTCAAATGGAAGCAAACATAAACCCCAGATCCGGGTTCTCGCCCGTGGCCCGAGTGTTTGCTGGACCGTTTTGGCAGTATCAACGGAGCCTGGTTCGATCGACGCCGTTTGCTTGCCTGTCATCCTGGTTGGCGGAAGACTTGCCCTGTTCAATAACCCGTTTGCTGGGCTGGCACGGGCATGACGGGGTGTTCAGTCTTTCTCTTTCCCTCTTAAAAACCGTTTGATTTCCTCTCTTCTTGTTTTCTCTGTGTTTCTGTTTTTTTGGTTTGCCGTCTTTGCGTCGGGATCACAGACTGCTTACCGAGATGAAGGACGAGAGCCGACGAGCCGGGCGTCTCGGCGTGCGGTCCTTGGCGAAGAAGACGGTTTGTTTGATCCAGGCGCTCACTAGGAACACTAGACGTACTCGGAAAGAAGATGGAGTGAGGGTAGTTGGGGTCCAGCCAAAACTGTGCTACGACAGCGATTCATCGATTACTCTTCCATCGCTCAATTCCTTCAACCCATCGTTTGGGGACTTCTGGACCGACTTCGAACCACGCAATCATGACCACGCATCCGACTTCGCCACGCATGGGCAATCACAGTCGAACTTCTTCGTCAGGTTGCCGCAGGAGATTCGGGAGATGATTTACCAGGAGCTCTGGCGTGACTCTGGAACCGCTCAGCATATCATCCGCACGCCGGCCGGGTACACCCACTGCCGCTGTGTATTCGATCAGTCTGGGAAGTCCGGCGGGCGAGATGGAGATGACGATCTCTGGGAGGCTATGTGGATGGTGCCTGATGCTCGTGGATCGGGTCCCTTATGGTACAAGCGGGAGATGTCGAGCTGGGGTGATCACTGGAAATGTGAGGAGGCAAGAGAAGAGAAGGAGATATGGAAGGATATTGCGAGGGGGTGCCACTGCATCAAGGTCGACACATGGACGGCCTTCCTACCGATGATGTTGACTTGCAAGCGGATGTAAGCTATATATAAACCGCCCGGGAGATGGTTAACACGATGCTTTGCGGCCACTGACTCCGTGGAATAGGTATCACCAATGCGCGGCATCCCTCTACCAATCCCTAAACTTCACAATCACCGACATCACCCTCGCCAGAAGCCTATTCGGAATTCGATATCGCGGTTCCGCCGGCCACCCGTTCCGGCGCATCAACCTCTCCTTACGACGACACGTTCACGAGGGGACGAGTTTCGCACAATGGCTCAAATCCTGGAGCGCCATCCTCCGCCTACTCGACACGCCCGAGTTGACATCCGTCTACCTCTGGCTCGACAGCGACATATGCCACGAACGGCACTGGCTCTCGATCGCCGCCAACGTCCGCCGCCGGATCCCGGAGTCGCTGACCCACAAAGTCGCCGTCAGCCTCCCGCCGTACGAGCCCCGAGACCGAGATGCGGAGCCGGTGTGGCTGGGCGTCGACGAGGCGCCGTCGGGTCCGGCCCCGGACGCGACGGATGGCCACGCGGACGAGGCGAAGTGTTTCGGCGTGAGACGGCTGCGGACGTGAAGTTTCGCGGGGTGGGCGAGTCTGGACCTTTCGATGGAACTTGGGGATGTGTGTGTGTCAAGGAGCATGTGATATCGGGCCCGACAGGTTGGAGACTTGAAAGTTGCGATGAATGAATGAGACGGACGGGGATGTTGGGGGCGAAGACCGGGAAGGGTCTGGAACTCGGAGGGTGATGTAGGCGGTGCCGGCCAATCAGTTCGTCTTGGAATACATGTGATGGCTGCGATGACCCCGTCATCAAGCTGAGGCTTTCAGATGTTCCTCGCCAACGAGTACGGGCGCATCAACGACAGACGCCAAAGCCGACGGAGGGATCCCGGTTGGAGGGCCGCACACCATCTTCGGCGAATTCAAATATCTGACATGGTGTGGTTTAGTCAACCTCGCGCGGCGGCCGGAAGACGCGAAAGTCACGGAATCAAACTCTCTACTTGCTTGTCTGATGACTTCCTCCCGCCAGCGTGAACAACGTTCTCTCTAAGCTTAACTCCCGCCTCGGCTCCGGCGCGTCGTCGGCCCATTTCAGTTTGAATGAGACGCCGTCAGCCTGCGAAAGCTTACGATGTCGCCCAGCCTGCGTGGGCTGAAGCTTATCTGACATGCGACGATGACGGTGGGGGATTCACTCTCGGCGGCTGCCGGAGCACCTTGTTGTGTCGCTATTCGGCTCTTTGCTTGGCTTACTGGCGTCCTCGTTTAGCAGTGTTATGACAACGGAAGCAGACGGAATGATGATGTGTTCTGTGTTCTGGTCCATCATACGAGAGTCATGTTGCTGCCGGATATCGCGGACCAAAAGCCTAAACGTTGTTTAACATCCTTGCGAAGAAGAAACATGGGCATGTCCGCTCAGGAGGATTTCCTCCGATATGAGAGAGAATTCGGTATGGAAGAGATTGGAAATTGAAGCAATCGCGAATGTCGGATCGACGATGGCCGATGAGCAGAAAACTACAGAGATGGGAAGGGGTCCCGGCCGGAGCGATCAAGGGTCTGTAGCCAAGGGACTTCCGGACTCAACTCCGCGATACCCGCCGAAGACTTCTAAAGGCCGGCCGAAAGAGGCCGAATGGTGCCACTTTTGATGAGGACCGAATAAGCCCGCACAGCTGCACGCATCGTGCCATTCGTTTCCGTATCATATTCCAAGCTCTTCCACGGCCGCTTCTGAAATTGTGTCGCGGCATTTAAACTACGAGTGGTCAGGGGTATCATGTTCTTTTCGGCTCGCGGCCGAGAAGAGGGGGACAGACGGGAACTCCATGCAGCAGCGGATCCCCGGGCGTTCTCCTCCAATATAACAAATCGACTCCGTCAATTTAATGGTATCCTCAACCCATGGACGCCGGAGTGGGAACGACGTGGTCGACGAGATCGGAATCTGGATAGCTCATCGGCGGTCCTGTCGCGTATTCCGCGCGCCAGCTCCGCAGAGGCTCTGCCGAGGGCCCGGGAGGTGGTCTTGTTCTTCTTCCTAGCGCGGCATATCTCGCGCCTCTACAGCAGTAGCTTCGCAGAACAAGCGAGGGGCATGTAGTAACTTGGACCTCCGGCTTTGAACCTAGAAGCTCGTCGAAAAGTTCCATACTCGTCTGCCGACTTTGGGGGCTCTGGGGCCTCTGGAAAATCAAGTTTTTCATGTTGCGATGGAGGCGGGAAACGGGCTTAGCCTCTGCTGCGGGTGGTGATTGTTTCGGGCGGGCTGCATGTTTGATTCTGGCTTAGTCGAGCCGAAACGGGACGTTGCGAGGAGTGGAGGGGGCAAAACCAAGATTTTGGAGCTGCAGTGTGTCCGGGAGCTTGGTGCAGGGCTTGCCCCCGTCCTCGGATGGTTGCGACTCTGCGAGAGAGAGGAAAAGCGAAGCTATTCGCACTTTTTGGGACTGGTGGGGTAATGTTTGTGTGCGTGCTTTTGACAGATGTAACGCTGGCACACACGCGCCAGAACCCTTCACCGTACCCATCTCGACCGCCCCGATGGCACCTCGCCATCGTCTTATCTGGAATCAGATAGGGCCGCCGAGGATCGAGACCGTCGTTGGTCATGAGAAGCAGGTTTCACGATGCGAGGCCTTGACTACGACTCGACTCATCTACGGTGTAGCCATGTTCATCTAGACTCGTTCTTCGCGTATCCTGGCCTAGTCGGCCGCAAGTTAAGCATACCTTGTCGGTCGTCGCCTTAGCTCAGATAGGCTTCTTCCTCCCGGTGGCTGGTGGACTTGCGAAGAAAGCTCACCACCAGCTGCCGGATCCGGACATGCCGCTCACGTATCCCACGCGAAGATGCGGGCGAGCTAGCGACGTCCGGGTCCGCGATGCTGGGTTTAAGGTACGGAATAGGGTAGAGGGTTTCGACCTTCTCGCCAGCCACCAAGAACATGCCATGCAGTATCTCTCAAGGTCGATGTGTTCGGCGAGTCGGCGACCAAGCGAGTAAGCGACCTACATGGATCCAGTGTCCATCTTCGCCGGAGAGTAAGACAACGCTCCGGGGCTCTCGAGCTGGCCCATCGGCGCCGTAGCGGCGGAGGAGACCTTTGCAAAACATCAAGCGCCGTTTTCGTCCTCGGCTTCCCCCATCCCCTCCCTCCCTTCACACTAACTAACATGGCACGGCCCAGCATCGTTTCGCAGGGTTCCCGTGGCGGCAGTCAGCAATGCGACCGAGCCGTTGTATGTGCGAGAGACTCTTTTGGTCTGAACCGACGAGGCTGGGGCGCAGAGGCCTCTCTCGCACCGTCTTCTGTCAGCTGCTTGCGCCATCAGGTAGCGTCACCGTCGCAAAGACGTAAAAGTCAAAGATGCCGTGTGTGTGTGTGTGTGTGTGTGTGTGTGTAAGTCGAGGTGTGCCCTTTTCGCGCCGGGATTCGCGGGAGGGCATTGGCCTCGCAGTGGCCTCTGCCTTACCAACCTCTTTCTTGTCGTGCTGTCATGGCACGTCTGATGTCTGAGGGTGAGAGGAACAGAGTTGCGGGCGATGGTGCTGTCAAAGTCGCGAAATCTGGATCGCTGGTGCGGAAGGGCTAGGCCACGTTCTCGAGGGAAATCCCGACCGGCTTAAACGTCTCTTGACTCGGACGGACTCGATTAACATCAGTAGCTGATGCGTCCCCGTCTGATCCCCGCCAGTACATAGCAAAAAGGGTTGTCGTCTTCGCAATATTCTGCCCACTGTATCCGCGACGATGAGCGGCGAGGCGCGAGTGCGGGGGAGCGGTATCCCTGCGAGTTGAATTTGAGATAGCTCGACGGCGTCGCAGACGGAGATGCGACGGACGAGAGAGAGGTCGAGTTGAGAGTCGGTTGGCGCCGAAGATTGGTGAGTGATGAGCGTGTCGTTTGCCGCGCTGGAGCTTGGCTTTCTTCCTCTCTCTCTCTCGCCTGGGAAAACCTACCCGGCCTTGTCTATATCACGCACACAATATAGGGCCCAGGGACAGCGCTTCGAAGCAACACGGTGAGCGAATGTTCAAGGTCCGGGTTCGTTTGTGTATTTTGGCGAGCTGCCGGGTTAGGGAACAGGGCAGCGGGCGATAACGAGGTGGCATTATAGGGCCGCCTTGACGATGCCATGACGTGCCGCTTACCACCTTCTGCTTTTTTTCCACGATGAGGTATTCAGTTCGTGGGCGGGGGGAAGCAAGCAAAGGTAGGTAAAACCCCTCACTGAGGTTTATTCGTTCAATCTGTGTGAGATCAGCCTGTCGTGGGAGACGTCGCATCGTGAGTGCAATTCGACGCCGCCGAGTCGCATCCGGAGGGGTCACTGCGACGGGCTTGACGAAGAAGAAGCTGAGAGAGGGTTTCGCGGCCGCCAAGCCTCAATGCCCAGCTGTTCCCTCCCCGAAAAGGTCGATGATGGGATTCGTGATGAGCTGGGGTGGTTTGGAGATGGAGTATGTACATGCATGGAAAACCCAGGTCCCCACCGGGGTGCTTCTGTGGAGGCTTCTGCACATGATCTGATTTGTGGTGTTTTCCGCCAACGCCAATGGGCGCCACGCTCCAGATTGACTGCAAACTGCAAGCTGTAAGCTGCAAGCTCTGAAAGCACCAGCAGGCTGGCAGCAGGCTGGAGTGGATTGAGTTTCTCGCAGAACCGAACGAGAGAAAACTGGTAATTCACGTAGCAGCTCTGGCCGGCCGGCACATGGAAATGCCGCAGCCAAGTCGCTAGCTTCGTGCGGTCACCGGTGCGGTGTATGCTGCTTTCGTTTGCGCATCACACAGCTCCCCGCCGCCGCGGCCGCCGGAGGAAGACGGAAGTTCAGAGAGATATCGACGAAATCTGCCGACTTAGACTTCAGACCAGACAAACTCCGGGCTTGGCCCTGGACTTGGGACAGCTGAGCTTCGCATCAGCTCGACGGAGCTCTCTCTCATGAAAATGCTACCATTCATAACTCCCCGCAGTTTCGGACCATGCCATCTTGGCGAAGCTACCTCCCCGGTCGAGGTGTCATCGGAATTTTAAGACGGCGTATCCTTGGATAGCTGGCACTACCTGGTGAACGAGGATCATGACGAGAGTGGACGGGGTTTGACGATTGGATCGCTTCTGTACGACGACGGCTAGCAGCCAGCAGCCAGCAGCCAGCCCTCGTGGCAGAATCTCGCAGGAGGGCAGAGACGCAATGAGACGTCGTGGGGTAGCGTACAGTCTATTGGACTTTTTCGATTGCGATGCGCTTACACGGCGGTGCGGTGGCTGTAAGTCGAGCAGAACCATCACATTCGTGGCGGCGCCCGATTGATAGCATCTCTCTCGGCAGCCTGACGTGAGGCTTTGCTAGCCACGATACGTCAGTGAAGTGACGGCTTGTCAGCCATGGAAGAAATTGCAAAGATATCGCGCTTCGAGGTGTCCTAACATAGGCTCGGATGCCGTTAGACACCAGCGCCCATTTCCGACTCGGCGTCTAGTCTAGCGACGAAAGATGGCAAAGAGCATGAAATCAGACGGGAGCTTCTCGAGGCGTGCTGCCAGGCTTTAC